AAAAAAAAAAAAAAAAAAAAAAGTTGTGCCTCTATGTCAAGGATTACGTAAACCTTCCTGCTGCGGTGTCTGTGTACCAAAAACGTGTCCACTCTTGTAACTGCGGGATGACCTGTTGATCATCTTCCGTTCTGTCAGTAAAGGTAAAATTTCAACCCGATGAACAACTCGGAGATAAAAATAACCAAAAAAAAAATGTTGGCACAGTTGTCAATGGGAAAACTTAGTAAAAAGGTATATAATTTAATCGGCCGAGCCACCGGAAGGACCGAGCTGGCGCGGAACGTGGTCGAACACCGAGGAACGGGACAGAAGTTCGTGGAGTTTAATGGAAGCGAAAAGAACAACGAAATTTTATGATTTTGTGTAAGCGTGGAAGAGAACAGGTTACTCAATAGATATACGTATACGAATATTTAGACCGCGGAGATAATATTCGGATAGAGAACAAATGAGCAATTGGTGTGTTGGTTGAGATCTCTACATGTATGCAACTTGTTACAAAGACTATTGGCATGGAAGGGTTATAATATAATGGTAATTCATGGTTTGTGGTTTTGAAGAGTAATTCTCGTGGTTGTTGAACAATACGGTTGGGGAGAAAAGTTCCGTTGAGTTATGGAACTCGTTGAATTGTTTATTGTAAGCACCCAAGCTCATTAGATCTTGAAGTTGAACTTGAGTCTCTTTAATAATTTAACTAAAGCGTTCATAATCAATAGATACTTTATTTGAATATAAGCATGATGATCAATAGATACTTTATTTGAATATAAGCATGATGGTCAAGTGTGTGCATAAAATCGGAATTTGCTTCCACGAATTCAAACTTGATTTTTTCTACCTTTTCTAGGTACCTTATTTGCTCATAAGGTGGTGTTGTTGTTTTGATACTATAATTTTTCAAGAAATGTTTGTCATATTTAGTGATGAACCCAAAGATATAGATAGCATTCCTATTAGACAAGTCGGGGAAGTGTTCAGATTCAAATCTCACTAGTATTATATTTAATACTTTATAAATTTTATTTTATATCATCATCTACTAGTAAAAACATTGTTTGAAATTTTTTCCTTATTATTTTAACGATATATGTCACTATATCATAATTTTTCGTTAATGTTTCATAAAATTTAGAGAGATTTTTTACATGTAGAATGAGATAAAAACAAATCATATTTGTCTTGAACTTTATATATATATATAATAATAATAATTAGTATTTATCTTTGGAAAGTGAGAAGGAGGTATTTAATGAAGAAAGAATTGCTTATCGATTCGTGTTACCCACATATTGCAGAGCCTTAAATTTTGTTTTTAGTTCACTAAATCTTCATGATTAGATAATCGTTACATACAATATGTGAAACCGTAAGTTGAAATTCAAAAGAGAGACATATAAACAGTGAAGAAAATTAATCATGGACGGTCATGATGGGATAATTCCTTAAAAAACATTATCGTGTATATAATCTATAAAGTTTTATTTTTTTTAAAAAACAAAATCAAAGATATCTATGGTATGTATTCGGAGATTTGTTCCTCACAGAATTTCCATACTTCTCTTGAGATACCATTAGTTAATGCTGCTTTCACATCTTCTCTTGGATCATGGATTTCACCGAACGGTACAATATATGAACCGGAATCCTTTGAAGTTAAAGTTGACGATAAAGCACAATACAATTCAGAGTAAGCTCCATAGACACCATCCCACACAACTAATTTGGCAGCTGTGACAAATGGTGGCCACCAAGCTCTCGACATGTCAGTACTTAAATTACCTGGATAACAGGAAGTAGATACACAACCGATCTTATCTGCTTGTTCTTTGTGAATATCATACCATGCTTGTGCTTGATAAATATTATATGTCTTCGATTGACCATACAAATTCATCCCCTTTGGACGTTGCTCCAAGGGAGTATTTTTAAACCCTGGATCATCCCAATAAATACCATAAGGTTCAGGTGTGAAGAAATGGGCAGCAGAACTTACCCATACTAATCTTTTCAAAGATATGTCATCTTCCTTTAATAAATATGGATCAATGAAATGCTGTAATAGTTGTGGGCCCAGTACATTTGTTTGATACATAGCTTCATAATTCTGTACAGATGATTTAGGGCTGTTTGGGGCCACTAACCATGTTAATCCAGCGTTATGAATAACAATATTTAATGCACCACTACTTGTTTGATCCAATAATTCACTAATTTTTTTGCCCGCTATTACAACTTTTTCAAAATCTAGGAAGTCACAACCACCAACTATATCAATTGCACCATTAGAATCTGGATTAGCTGTTATAATTTCATTTTTAGCTTGTTCCCCCTTTTCTTGAGTCCTTACCACACAAATGATGCGACAATTTTTTTGGTATAATAGTTCCAAAACATACTTCCCTATACCAGTATTGCAACCAGTGACAATTGCTGTCTTTCCTGTCAAATCGGGATAGTGTTCTGGTCTAAATTGTGGAGGATTTGGTCTAAAACCATAATATACCTCCTTTAAAAAGTAGAGCTTACTTGTAGATGGAGCCGTAATTTCTGGAACTTTCATTTCTCTTCTAGTTCACAAAAATTCAAAAAGGAATACTCCTAACTTGCCTTAGTATTTATAAAAAGCAGTGTTTGATATAACTCATTGTTGAGTTATTGTTAGTGGTGAATCAGGAGATGACTACACTCAGTGTTAATCCACATTTTTTTTTTCAATAATGCTGCGAAGTATGACATTGAGATGGATCTCGCGCTTATTAGTGAAGGCACCATTTGTCATAAACGAAAGAAAACGAACATAGAAAAATAAAACTTTAAATATAATTAACAAGAGGATAATATCACCACTGTGCACCTCCTAATATGTCGAAGAGATTGAAAATCTTTAAAAATAGTAAAGGGCCTCTCAGGAGAGCCAAAAAGTAATGAAGGATGCGAGGTTCGAACTCGCGCGGACACCGTCCAACAGATCTTAAGTCTGCCGCCTTAGACCACTCGGCCAACCCTCCATGTTTTTGTGAAAATCTAGAAAAATAGTATAATACATTAGGGTCCTTACTTTTTAATTTTCTGGATTGTTTGACTGTTAATAATGGAAATAATGTAAACGTAAGTTGGATATCGAGAAGGTACGATTATTGTTTGGGTTTATAAAGTCGGACATAGAGATAGATTATCAAATGTATTCTAGTGCTTTATTATATGCTATATAAAGTAGATATAAGAAAAGGAAATAATATACATATGTATTAGAATATGTGGCCCTTTTATACTTATAGAAAAGGGTGGCAAAGCTATCAATTTCTGATAGTGTGCGTACTGGTATTCTTAAAGAATGTTCTAGAACATCATGGAAAAATCTCTGAAAGTTCTAGAATGTTATGGAACATTATTACTAATATGTTCTAGAACCTTATGGAACAATTAGTAATATTCTTACTAAATGTAAAATGTTAAATAACTAAGTATTGCCACTTAATATATTATAACATAGTCGTCTGATTCCTTTAGTATACAAATTATAAATAATATACAAAATAATCAGGGAAATAAAATATTCGAATGCATGAAATACTGTTCCCTTTATATACCTTTGGATTGGGTAACATTTCGTGATTATAAATCTCCAATACTAGCATTGTAGAAATTATGCATGGTTTCTAAATGCGTCTTATTATTATCTTTTTCATTTTGGATTGTTAAATATTGAACATTATCAAATCTGACAATTTTTATTATTCTTTTATTCTTATATTTTATATTCTTGACGTCATTCTTCTATCATGTAAATTCCGACAGAAGAAGGAACAGGAACCAATAATATTGGGATGGGATATTCAAATGAAACTTGTTTTTCTTAATCTTTAAGTCAAGTACATCCAATATGATTGTGAACTTTAAGTTTTCTCTGTACAAAATCGATGCATTAAGAGTTAATGTCATTAGTTAATTATATATTTACGTACGGTGATTAATCACATCTTTTGGTGTTGTCTGTCGAAATAGAATGTTTTCGTTAGCTAGCCAAGGTAAATTATCATCTTACTCTAATTGGCAAGCACTGTGCCATTTTTTTTTTCGATTCTAAGATACATGGAATAGCACATATATAAATGTCATACTCTTCCATTATCATAGCTGTCACAACTGATAGAAATAATCAACAGTAGGACCAAAAAGATTATGACACGGAATTACCAAATGCCCCTAGACAAAAAGTGTAATATCTAAAGGCAACTAAACGGATACTTCGCCCAAAACATATAAATCCTTCGCTGAACTACCTTGGTGCTATTTCACACAATGGATCAAAAACCGACAGTAAATTATTTAAAGACGCTTACGATAAAGAAATTAACCAACTACTTAAAATGAATACATGGGAAAATTCTAAGCTATATGATGCTAAAGACATCCAAAAGAATAAGATAATAAACTCCATGTTTATATTCACTACAAAAAGAGATGGTACTAAAAAAGGTCGATTCGTTGCTAAAGGTGATCAACAACATCCAAGTACATATGATGAAGATGCTCTTTCCAACACTGTACACCACTATGCATTAATGACAACACTAGCATTGGCATTAGATTCCAAAAAAATATATCGTACAACTCGATATTTCGTCTGCCTACTTATATGCTGATCTGTCAGAAGAGTTATACATTAGAACTCCGCCACATATGTCTAAAAGAGGTAAAGTAATGAGACTTAAAAAATCATTATACGGATTAAAACAATCTGGTGCTCACTGGTACAATACTATTAAAAAATATTTAACCTCTAAATGCAACCTGGAGGAAGTTAAAGGATGGTCTTGTGTGTTTAAAAATAAGAACCTGACAGTTTGCTTATTTGTCGATGACATGATAGTCACAACAAATAGTTTGGAGGATGCCAACAACTTCATTTCCGAACTAAAGAAAGAATTTGACACTAAAACGGTAAATTCAGGTATACCAGACAAACAAGGTTATGTATTCTATGATATCTTAGGATTAGAAATAGAATACCAAATTGGTAAAAAGGTGGTACTAGGCATGGGAATATCACTAGAGAACAAATTAACTACTCTAGATGTCCCATTGAATCATTCAGGTCAACTGCTCAAAGCTCCAGCACCACCTGGTACTATAATAACAGACAAGGAATATGAAACATCAGAAAACGAATATAAGAAAGACGTCAAATGGTTACAAAGAATTATTGGTTTCGCTTCATATGTCACTTAAAAATTTAGAACAAAAATAACTCATACGTTTGCTTTATAACTTACTATCACCGAAATAATCATCATCACTCAGCAATTATTATTTAATATGCAAAACAAATCCAAATCTAACATCAATATTTCTGCTTCAGCTCAACAACATTTTCTAGACCCTTAGTGTCGTACTGGGCAACAACGCCGATTATTCTACCTCCAAAGATTGCAGTCTTAAAACGCCTTTTGCTTCCTGACAAAGTGGTACTTTTTCAAAGTTTTCTCAAATAGGGGGTATATAATCATGAGGACTTACGTTATGTAACAATGATACGTCGTTGGATATGGTAATGTTGGAACCTGTATCGAATAACATGTAATGTTGGAGATTGATTGATAGTAGAGCTAGTTCTTGTTTTAAATCAGAAAAAGGAAGTCTGAGCGAATTTTTGTTATTGTTACTATCTGTCTCATGATCAGAGTCGTGTGCATATTCATTTTCGTTATTTAGTTCATCAACGAAGTGGTTGGAGTTTTTACGAAGTCTTCGCTTTCTTAGTAGTGTTATTCTGGAAGTTCTCCTTTTAGCGACGCCTTTATGATTTTGTTTCGCATAGCATTGTGAAACGGTATAACCGTGTTTATGATAACTACACATTTTGGAACCAGTAGATCTACGATCAGAACAATGAGTACGTCTATCACGGTTATTGGGGTAACGCTTGGAGAAGTCGTATTCAAATTGAATATCATTTAAGACGTCCTCAATTAAATAATGGGACGATTTTTGAGCGTACTTCTTTGCGATACTTGTATAAGTACCGTGCAAACCATCAAATAAAATGGTTAAAATTAAATTTTTCGTTGTTATTAAGGATGAGTCTGGGAACATGGAAACAATTGCTCGAACCTTGGAGGTAAACAAGAATGTATCAGAGGAACCATTGAAGCAAAGTGCTTTCAGTTGATTCCATAAGTGAAACTGGTCATGTTTTTGAACGTGTAAGTACATTGCACGTTGAACAGACTCATAAACAGATGGTATATCTTTAATGGCGTGTTGAAACCAATGTGGAAGGAATTCATCTTTAACATAACGGTGTAAAGTGGCTTCGATATTTTCACGTTTCGTGTCAGTAGCATTACGCTTAGTACGGTCTTGAGAATCAGGGATGAGGTTTTTTAAGTCATATTCTTCTAGAACTTTGATAAATGGACCAATGCATATGTTAAGTTCAGTAGTTCTAGATACTATTTGTATTCGTGGGGAGAAACAAATTTGGAAAAAGGTTCTTGAGAAGTATCAGTTGCATTTTTGAAATCATCAAGTTAAAATGATGCCTGGAAAGAGGATTCCTTAGAAATTTCCCGAACAATATGCTTCACGGGGGGCAGACATAGGATAATAGGGGATCCTAATGGCGAATAGTCAAGAACTGTTAAGCACCAGCTCCACCCAAAATGGTAGAAGTGCGTTGATGGTTGTGGAAATCCGTGTGGATATGGCTCTCCATAGTGGGGAGAAGCGTGCGTTGGTTGATCATAGTATGGCATGGAATGTAGAGACTGAGAAATCTTAGGGGACGACAGAGCAGAAGCACAAGAAGTCTTCTAACCAAAAGTAGTTGACCTATCCACAATATGAGATGGATGAACAGTAGCATTAATAGCGATAGTGGAAGCGCAAGATTGTTCTGAAATATTTAAATTCGAAAAATGCTAATCAATAAAAGCAGAAGAATTATCAGTGACAACGGGATCTTGGACAGTGCAATCATGACGGTAGCATGAACCGGTAAGGAGCTACCATATTGGAAATTGTTCTTGTTTTGACTACTCATTGTCAAATAAGTATCGTACAGTTTTTTTTATTCTAAAAGGTTAGGACTGATATTTGTCCTTTCTTTCTTTTAAGTCTAATTCACATGATATTATACAATTAAGTAATGGAAATTAATTTATTTCAAAGTTGAAATATCATTCCAAGTTTATTCGATTAGATTTGCTAATGACATGCTTATGATACTCACCCATCGATGACATGTAAAAATAGATTCTGTTTGCAAAAGTTTCCTTTTTAGGAAGGAGTTTGATTTAATAGATGGAATTATATTTCAACTTTGAAGTGGTTAATTTCCATTACTTACTTGTATACTGGTATGTAAATTAAAATTTAATCAAAGAAAAGACAAAAAGAGTCTTAACCTTTCACAATAAAAATTGACTAATAAATTTGCTAAAGTGATTAGTAATCTAATTAATAATTTCTAGTAATTCAACATTTCTCTCTCGAACAATCGGACTCCCTCTAGCAAAGGTTATTCAATCCTGTCAAAAAAAACATATCATCCTCACTGAGGCGATACAGAAAATGCAAAAAAGTAATGAAGGATGCGAGGTTCGAACTCGCGCGGACACCGTCCAACAGATCTTAAGTCTGCCGCCTTAGACCACTCGGCCAACCCTCCATGTTTTTGTGAAATTCTGGAAAAATAGTAGATTACATTGGGGTCCTTACTTTTTTAATTTTGGCTCCATAAATCAAAGTTTTTCAGTGTTCTTACATCTTAAACTAAATATTTTAAAATCGATATGTATTTTAGAGTTTCAAAAATTATCTAAAATAGTTATTTAGGTCAATTAAGCCAATATCTAAGATATTGTTACTTTTTACTGTCAGTTACCAAAGTAAATTTGATATATAAATAAGTTTATACTGATTAAAAAGGTTCTACATATGTTCTATAACAAAATATATTTGTTTAGAGCTTTCCTACATTACGGAACGGCTGTATGACAACTATTAACGGTACATCTAGATAAAGAAAGGCAGACGACAGTACATTTTGAGAAGTTTAATAATTCGAATAGCGATACAAAAAAATCATAATAAGGTTATTTAATTACACTCTATGTTAGCCGTAAGATAGTTCATAGTGAAGTTGAGTTTGACGAAAATAACATGATATGAGTATATCTAAAATATTTTACCAATAACATAGAGAGATCACAAGAAGATTACCTAAGGAAGATTACCTAATAAATGGGAAGGTAATTGAGAGAGATTAAAATTGTATAAATACAAGTCAATCTGAACTCACAATCTAAGTTTGAATTTATTCGTTCTGTATATCAAATAAGAAATAAAAAAACCACTTACAAATTTAGAACAAAAATAACCCATACGTTTGCTTTATAACTTACTACCACCGAAATAATCATCATTGCTCAACAATACTTATTTAATATGCAAAATCAATCCGAATCTAACATAAATATTTCTGCTTCAGCTCAGAGATCTCATATTGAAAAATTTTAAATTTTTTTTTTTATGTTTGTAACCAATTACGTTACTTCCAAACATAGTCGGTCTAGTAAACAAAATGTAAAAGTGATAAAAAATTAAGTTTCGATTTCAACTTTTAAAGGAAGTCAATAGTACAATGTCAATAAAAGTAAAGTTTTGTTTTTACTAGTTACTAATGACATACAATCAGGCTGTCATTGGTCACCGGACATGTGTGATGAGCGTTTTACTGAGCTGAATGTTCTAAGGTATATAATATGAAATATTCACATGAGCATAAAAAATTAACATTAATTAAATGGCACATCGACTATTGTGCACAATTATTACAATTGAATAGGCTTATACGACGATACTAGAATAAGAAGTTCATAAATGTGAAGGTTAACAACTACGCCACTAAATTCGTAATATATAAAGACAGAGGTTTGAAATACATAATCTGTATATTAAATAATTCTTTCCGAAATAGATTAAGAAGAATTATCTGTATAATATCTGTATAATAAAAATGAAAGAAAATAAAAATATAGTCAATCCTCAACATGATAGAAATCCTGATTTCTATCATGTTTAAATAATTAGCGGTGTTATCTTGTAGGGAATATTTTAATTTGTTCTATGTTATGCTTATTTAAAGTTATTAGGTACTATTATACAATTTATTCTAAGTGGGTTTCTTTCAAGTCTGAAATTCAACGTACATAAGATTTAAGACATAGATATACTTCATTTCGACAATTTGTACTCTTTATATATGTTTGATATTCATTTATTTTCATCTCCATATAAGAATCACGTCATCTCAGACCAAATCAGACAATCCTCTTTTATTATCCTTAATCATTGGGTTTTTGTCATATCGTTTAATATTCATTTGCTCTTAAATAAGCTTGTGGTATTATTTTATAGAGAATTACCATTCAACAATATGGTTAGTGCGTCTTATTGTGTAAATGCTATTACTAAAAAGAACGCAAAAAAAAACAAAATTACCACAACACCCATTTTATACTGCTCAAATCTGCAAACTATTTAACAATAATTTATCTAGTCAAAAAAACTGTTTCTTGAAAGAAGCCATCGAGCTATTATTTTCTGTATTAAGCATTATGAATAGTGTCACTTCATCAAATTCCCAAATAGAAAATATTTGTGACTGTAACATCCGCACCTCCACCCGTGCATCCACAAATGGTCTCCTTTAAAAAACACTAAACTGTTTTTTAATAACTTTTTCCAAATTGAAAATAGAAAACAAATTGAGCACTCCCGCATTTTAGTTTCTCACTGAAATTTTCAATTGTGAAAGTTATTCCGTGTAATTTACTGGCATCACTAAGTGGATTGTATTGCGCTATCATCGGAAGAGAAATGCATAGAGTAATTGTAACTAATACCCCTTCTTGACCCAATCCAAGTAGAGGTAGTGTAGGTAAGAGGGTTAACGCTGTTGAGATGATACCACTAGAGGGTCCGGTCGTAGTGTATATGCCAATAGCTATATACAAATTGATAAGTTATTTATTACAGTAGTGTTTTTATTTAAATATTGAACCATTAAAAAGAAACCGACAAACAGTATATTGAATCATTTATTGACAAGATGGCTAGAGGACCGTATGTTTAAAGATAATAAATAAGATATTTGGGAACAAGAGGAATTCAAGATGAGAACTATTGTAGAACGATGAGGAATTGACGTATTATGAAGTGACACTGATTATAATCGATAAAACAAAATAAAGTTAATTTACCAGAAAATAAAATCATGTAGACGTTTGAACGGGAGGATATAATAAAACCATGTTAGAGGATTTCAAATAATGCTATTTGGATTCATATGTACTATAATATAAAAGTATTTCTGAGTTTATTGAACGATATATCAACGAATTGTTTTAGTTATGATCAGTGAATTACTATTTCCACCTAACAAGAAACAAAATAAAAAAAATAACAGTACAATAAAAATTTCACAAAATTTCACACATCCTTTTGAACCAATATCACTCCTGGATGATTTAAATTGTTCATTTTTACTAACAATATTATTTGCAACTCATTAATATTATTTTCCTTTAATATCCTTAAAGTTGCATATCATATTTTAAATAGAAAGAAGCATCTAAAGAGACTAGCAGCTCCACACCACTGGTTACTAGACAAACTATCTGGTTGTTATGCTCCAAGACCATCTGCTGGTCCACATAAGCTAGGTGAATCCCTACCTTTGATTGTTTTCCTAAGAAACAGATTAAAGTATGCTCTAAACGGTCGTGAAGTTAAGGCTATCATGATGCAACGTCATGTTAAGGTTGACGGTAAGGTTAGAACCGATGCTACTTACCCAGCTGGTTTCATGGATGTCATCACTCTAGATGCCACCAACGAAAACTTCAGATTAGTCTACGACGTTAAGGGTAGATTTGCTGTTCACAGAATCACTGACGAAGAAGCTTCTTACAAGCTAGGCAAGGTCAAGAAGGTTCAACTAGGTAAGAAGGGTGTTCCATACGTTGTTACTCACGACGGTAGAACCATCAGATACCCAGATCCAGCTATTAAGGTTAACGACACTGTCAAGATCGACCTTGCTACTGGTAAGATCACTGACTTCATCAAGTTCGATGCTGGTAAGCTAGTTTACGTTACCGGTGGTCGTAACATGGGTAGAATTGGTACTATTGTCCACAAGGAAAGACACGATGGTGGTTTCGATTTAGTCCACATCAAGGATTCTCTAGATAACACTTTCGTTACCAGATTAAACAATGTTTTCATCATCGGTGAACAAGGTAAGCCATACATCTCCCTACCAAAGGGTAAGGGTATCAAACTAACCATTGCCGAAGAACGTGACAGAAGAAGAGCTCAATCTGGTTTATAAGCAAGAAACTAAGTTTTCTCGTTGAATAACTGGTTTAAGTTATTCCTTTTTCTTTCTTTCCTCATTTAGTTTTATCCCACATATTCCCTTACAATGTTTTAAAGGAAACCAAAAATAAAATAATAATAATTGTATAATTATACATATATAATATTTAAAGCACAAAATATACGGAAGTATCTTAACCCTTCGAAAAATAACAGTTCATACTTTGCTATTGAATTGAAACTAATTATAGTCGTTTCAAGATGTCTTTATTACTGAAAAATTTCATTCTGTAGTTTTCGCGACTGCACCGAGATTCAACCCGAACAATATTTATTATGATCCAAAATGAACACGTTCAAGTAAACAGAACAATAAAGAAGTACATAGTATACGAAACTTTTTTTTTTAAAATTAGTCTGCTAATTTGGTTAAATAGTTATCCTGAAGAAATCCATTGAAATACTATAACATAGTCCAATTATGGCTTCTACAAAAAAGAATGTCGGGAAGACGAAACGTCGTGATATCGATGTTGATGAACCTGAAAATAAATATACTAAAGGTGATAACCATCTGGAACAATTCGCCGAAAAATGGTTGTTAAAGGAGAAACCTGATAGTGAAGCTCAATATGGCCTATGGTTGATGATTGTAACAACTATTGCATTCGCTGTAAGATTTTACAAAATCTGGTGCCCTAAGGAAGTTGTCTTTGATGAAGTTCATTTTGGTAAATTTGCCTCTTATTACTTACAAAGAACTTTTTTTTTTGACGTCCATCCACCTTTTGCCAAGATGATGATTGCTTTTGTCGGTTGGTTAGTAGGTTATGATGGTTCTTTCAAGTTTGAAAATATCGGTATGAGTTATGAGACTCATCCGGCTCCGTACCTGGCTTACCGTTCTTTCAATGCTATCTTAGGTACTCTGACTGTCCCAATTATGTTTAACACTTTGAAGGAGTTGAACTTTAAGGCTATCACATGTGCATTTGGTGCGTTATTGGTTGCAGTAGATAATGCCCATGTCATTGAAACAAGATTGATTCTATTGGATGCTATTCTTCTAATTGCTGTTGCTGCAAGTGTTTACACATACGTTCGTTTTTATAAAGAACAATTAAAGAAACCTTTCTCCCTTCAATGGTATATCTGGTTATATTTAACTGGTCTTTCCCTATCCTTTGTCATCTCTACTAAATATATTGGTGTCATGACCTATGCTGCTATTGGTATTGCCGTTGTCGCAAACTTATGGCAATTATTGGATATCCGTTCAAACTTAACTTTGTCTCAATTCATGAGACATATCAGTAGAAGATTAAATGGTTTAATCTTGATTCCATTTGTTGTTTATTTGTTTTGGTTCTGGGTTCATTTTGCCGTCTTAAACACATCCGGCCCAGGTGATGGTTTTATGTCTGCCGAGTTCCAAGAAACATTAGCCGATTCTCCTGCTACTATTAATTCTAGAGAAGTAAACTATTTCGACGTAATCACAATGCAACATAGTGACACTGATGCGTTCTTGCATTCTCATTTAGCTAACTATCCAATGCGTTACGAAGATGGCCGTATCTCTTCCCAAGGCCAACAAGTTACAGGTTATGCTCATGAAGATGTTAATAACGAATGGGAAATTATTCCAACCAAGGAATTACCTGAAAGATTAGGCCAACCAGTCCTGTTAGATGATGTCGTCAGATTGAGACATGTTTCTACAAATACATGGTTGTTGGCTCACGATGTTGCATCTCCTTTGTATCCAACCAATGAAGAAATTACCACTGTCAGTGAAGAAACTGCAAATGGTGATGATTATAAAATGACTTTATTTTCCTTCCAACCTATCAAGAAGAATGATGCAGGTCACATTCTAAAGAGCCAAACTGTATCTTTCCGTATTTTCCACGTCGATACTTCAGTGGCTTTATGGACTCACAATGATGAATATCTTCCAGAGTGGGGCTTTGAACAACAAGAAGTCAATGGTAATAAAAAATTAACGGAAACTGAAAACAACTGGATCATTGCGAATATCACCAACTTGGATGAATCGAGAATGACATATGTCCCAAAGGTTGTCAAGAAACTTCCTTTCTTTAAAAAATGGTTGGAATTACAAAAATCCATGTTTGAACAAAACAATAAACTATCATCCGAACATCCATTCGCATCTCAACCACAAGCATGGCCAGGTAGTTTGAGTGGTGTTTCATTCTGGACAAAGGACTCTGAAAGAAGACAAATCTTTTTCACTGGTAATGTTGTTGGTTTCTGGTTCGAAATGATATCATTATCTATTTACTTAGGTATCATCTTAACTGATCTTATAACCAGACAACGTAGTTATTTTGCATTGAACAAATTAACTAGGGAAAAGCTATATGGCCCACTAGCCTACTTTTTCATTGGTTGGGCATGTCATTACTTCCCATTCTTCTTAATGGCTCGTCAAAAGTTTTTACATCACTACCTACCAGCTCATTTAATTGCAGCCATGTTTACAGCTGCATTATGGGAAACCATCTTTAGTGAATGCAACTCTATTAGTACAGAAAAGGACGAAGAATTACCAGGCGCAGTCTATGAAAAGGAAACGAAGGTCAAGACAAAGATTCTGGCTGCTTTCTTCCTGAACATTTCTGTTTGTTTGATTCTATTCTTCATCTACTTTTCTCCACTTGTATATGGTGATGAGATTTCTCCAGAAGAAGTTGCAAACAGACAATGGTTTGATATCAAACTAAACTTTGCTAAATAAATTAACATATAAACAGTTAAAGCATATGTATACACACAGACATATATATCTATATATACATACACACATTATACGGAATAAATTAGTTCCTAATTATGAATTTTATTAATATTTTCATAAATGTTCTATAGATCAGTAAAATAGACCAGGTTAGGAATATATATCAATATTTTGAAAAATAGGGTTAGATAAAAGTGTATAGATTGGCTCAATTTCTAGTTGGGAATGGTAAAGTTCTATGAGTCCTATTAAGTATTTCCAAATAGTTTGGTTCATTTTCTGTGGTAATATAGCCATGTCTTATTAAGAAATCTACCATAACTAACGCACAGTTCGGTTTAAATTCTGCATTTTGAAGAGCTGTGATAACTTCCTGTAAGGACATTACATTAAAACTGTCCACTTCTCCGTCATTAGGTCTGGGGATAATTTCTTCATCCAATTTCATGTCATAAACATATTCAATTTCCCCTACAATGTAACTGTTTTGGGTATTGAATTTATCAAGTTTAGGATTACCTTGATAAAATAAGTAAGAAACAACCCCTGCGTTAGAGATCGAAGCATCTATAATATCTTTTGGTAAGTTTGCTTCCTCCAGGGATTCTTTAATGACAGTCTCGTGGATCCCATAAGGGAAACCAATTCCACCAGCAACCATGTTATCTAACATATATGGCCAAGTAGGTTTAGTAGCAGACCTTCTTGGAATCCAGAATCGGATTTCTTTAGTCTTAGAATCAAAGAAATACCCATTAATATGGACACCATATGTCAGAATACCCATAGGGCCAGCCATTGCTCTCTCTACTAGAACATAAGGCTTCTTTTCCAAGGACCACACAGCATATTTTTCATTTCTCCAACCTTTCAAATCCTGAATATCTGAATGTTCTCGAAGCTGAAGAGATATTTGATCTATTAGTTGATTCCTTGTATCGAAGTTGTCCGATTTAAATCTGATTGAATGCTTGCTAAAATTCACGTCAAATGCAATCGATACAAGATCTTCACAATACTTAGTCATTTGTTCTAGAACAAACCGACAAACAAAACCAATCTTTACATTATCGTGTGTTATCAGATGGAACATGTTCTCTTGGAATTCTGGGATTTCATTATAGTTTAGAGGTAATTTGTCCACTCTATCAATTATCTCTTTGAATGAAAAATTTACCCTCTCATCATCCTCTGTTCTCACCAGAGCTTGTTTCTGATTAATATCTATAATCGTAGTAACCATATCTGTTGGCCATTCCCCTTTTGGTTGTGTCATCTATTTAATTGATAAAGTAATGTGATTAACTAACGCTGAAATTTATACCTAAAAAAATGGCGGAGAGGCGAGCCTGAAGGATTTGGCCTCTCTAGAAACTCGAATCTTCGAATACTTTCTCATTACTTACTCTTGAACAATACATATCCTTATATATATATATACATGTATCGCAACATCGATGGATTGACACTTATAAACGCCTTGTTTTACCATTCCTGACCATAAATAGATTGCAGATCCCCCAGTTCTGACGTCAACACAACAGAACAGTCTTAGGGGCTTGCATAATTCCTGATTAGGAACGAGGGAGCGATCGCATAATAGCTTCACCAATAAGGGGAAAGGAAAGAGTTACACAGACCGATAGAAGTAGGTCAATCAATGATACAAATGGCTGCATACTAAGTATTGTAAAACATTGAATCGGGTCTATAATTAGTTGGGATGGTTATATAGTTGCAAGTAACTCACTGACCATTCATCGAATTTTTGTAAGGATATAGGCAGTGCCTCATTACTTTTTTGAAGCTGGGAAATACATTTTTGAAAAGGAGCTTGTTGCACTGTTATCTCTTCCATATTATGGGTTTGTTTAGCCGTGGTTATCAGCTCATTGTTCATGGTGTATAGGATTTTATTCGCATTTGTCATTATATGGCTCTTTGAAGTACTTATACGTAACCCTGTATTAAATAACCACAACAACAGTCGTGTCTGATTGTATGAAATTAAAATATATCTACCAGATTGATCCTTTGCAAAAGTTAACAATGACATCAATATGTCATCAACCGGGTCAAACGTTTCATAGTCTTTATTATTCTTGTTCAATTTCAGGTTCCATTTGTATAATTTTATAAGTTCGTCCTTTGTTGGTTCTCCTAATACATGGCGACATTTTTTACAACAAATTTCTTTGTTATCTTTATCATTATTGTTCATGGTAATTTGTAACTCTAGAGATTCTGGGAGGCAAAGAAAATATGAACCTCCTAGTAATAGCTCCGTTCTTATCGGTCGTAACGTATGCTTAAATTTTCCGGAATAAAGATCAGTATTCAATTGATTTGTATCATTTATAGAGGGTTTATGACAATGCCAATAGTCCATTAATTCTTCCCAATGCTCAGAAGGCATATCGTTCAATCTTGAAAAATTATCTTTAGAGATTATAGTATTATTACAGTTAATGCAATTAAAAGTGAAAAATGATAATTGAGACAATTCTTTTTTACACCATTTCTCTTGCATTTCATCATTGAATCCAGACAACTGTATATGGTTCTCACATATAGCTTTCAATCGGAGGTTGAAAACAGGCTGTTTACTCGATTGGAATGTAACATTTGTATCGGGAATAGTAAATTTACCTGGTAAAGAAATATGGGTAGTTTGTATCAGGTCACTGTTCACATTTTTAAACTCTATATATATGTTTTCTTGACTTACTTGAAGTAATTTTACCTCTCGTACATCCTCAATAATGACCAGGATACAACCGATTCTTGAGAGAAACTCCACAAAACTTCTCATTATAAACAAGCTTATAAGAAATATAATCTTATGGTAAGATTTCCTGTAGAGTTCCACATTGAAAAACACTCTCCTTCTATCACTGGATTATAAATTTCTTATAGAAATCTGTTCACCTCATCTATTTTATGAGTTGTTTTCGATTGTAGGCGAAAGTGTGAAAGAGACAAACAGAATCGCGAAAACTTGTTTAAGAGTTGAAACCAAAACAATAAAAGTACGGGTACATAGACATGACCTTGGAATCCTAAAAATTGTACAGAACATAATCCTACACACTTGTTTCAAATAATACTGTCGAATTAGAGTCCTAAGAGACCAGTTTATTCTTACACCATAATGTCCAGCTTTAATGCGATCAATTTAGCGCCCCAGGACGATGAAGTAGAAGCTGAAGAACATACAAGGGAATTACAAATTCAGGAAGGGTTCAAGATATACGAAGAAGCACTGTTATTACTTAATGAAAAGAAATTTGACAAGTCAAACGAAAAATTTGAAGAATTGTTCAAGTTAGACGTTATTGTTCCCGATAAATGGGGTATTTACAGATATTCATCACCAATATTAGATCGTTTAAGATACCTCACATATAGAAATAGAGGAATGTATTATTATACATACATATTAGAGAATCATGAATCGTTGGATCGTTCGGATGTTGTAAATAATATTTTAAAAGTGGTAGAAAATCTGATAGAGGCTATTCAACACGATGACCCTGATATTGCCGTAACGAATTTATTAGTGCAATTATTTCGTGGGTTTAAATCAAAAAGACTGGAGAGATTAATCTTAGAATGTGAACTGTCGAAGAATGATAATCAATTACTGCTAACAGGTAGAAGAAGGAAGACATTATTACCCCAAATTGAAATGCTAGTTAACCATTATTGCTCTCTATTGACGAAATTCGATGAAGATAATACATTAGATTTCATCCTTGCAAAAATTCCTACAAAGACAGGTATTAAACAAACACATGAGGATTCAAATGTGCTCAAGTTAAATCCAATCCTAGACAAAATCAAGAAAATGAAAACTGAAGATGAGGACTTAATGAAATCGTTAGATACATTTGCCATAGATATCAAAGAACTGGATTGGGAGAATGTTGTATCTTCTTTATCTTCTTTATTACCATATGCAAAGACTTCAAATTTGTTAGGGAGAAATTCAGATCCATATAATGAACTCGAGGAACCAATAGAAGCTATTGAATTTGTTGTGAAACCTGGAATAATAGCCATGGAACAAAATATTTTACAAAACAAAAAAGACGATATAGAACTGACACCTGTAGTAACTGAAACAATTTTACCTAATGAAACTACATCTGCACCATTGGACGCCATTAATAATAAAGAAAAAAATATAGATGAATCAGATGTCACTAAGAGGGCCCTCAAAAGATCAGCTGAAGGTGATAGCGCAGCGGCTCGAATAGTACAGAGAGCGAGTAAAAGATTTAAAGAAAGAGACACACCTACCAATGATAATAAGACACACCTATCATTGAACGCTCATGAAATGTTTTTAGATGAATATGGCAAGATAATTGCAGAACTATCATATAAGGTACCATTTCTAATATCCGATCTCTCAAAAGAAAGTTCCGAAAGCAATAAAGATTTATTATGGTACTATGATTTATTACATAGCCTCGATAATTGGAATAGCACGTACGCTGATATTTTTACTAGAGGAGAGCAAACCAAAAAAAAAGCAACAAATCCAACTTCTAACAGAGATGAGATACTCCAATTAAACGTCTTATTAAAGACAAATATACTGGAAGAAAAGAACGATATGTGTGATGTTACTGAAAAACTTATTTCAGATGATTTAGAAAAATTCATTGCAATTATTAACTCTACTAAACCCCATTTTCACGAGGCCAGGTTCTCTTTATTAAAATTTCTTCTTGGTAATAACAATGGTGAAAGATTTGTAACAAAATTTATATGGTCTAGTACTATGTTGAAAGCCATTGTTACGTTCGTACTTGGTATTGAGCGGAATCTCTATGAATTTATTGTTTATAATAAAGACAATAATTGGTGTTTTGGTTTGTCGATTTTAGAAATTTTAGTTAATTTTCTTGGTGATATTTGTGAAGAAATGCGAACAATTAAAACACAAAGTAACAAAATGAATGACTTAAAATCGCAGCGAAATAAGTTAGAGCGTAAAATAGATAGATGGTTCTTACTATTGGAACATGGCGAGAATATCGAGAACAGTGCATACAATAACCTTCAACTGGAATGGATAAGATATTGTTATATTCAAATAACTAATGAAATTACTAGTTCGCTCTTATTCCATTCATTAGAAACTCTATCCTCAATTATTAAAAAGATAGAAACTCCTACTCAAGTAAATTATCCTAACTATAAACATATCCCAACCCTATCGTCTGATTCTGTGAGATCCCAATTAAGTAAAATAAATATTATTCGCAACATTTCTCTAACAGAGTTAAATGAGAATGATTCTGCTAATCAAGATGAGATAGAAAGGGAAAATTTGCAACATATGCAACTTTTAGAAAGTATACTTGTAAAGAGTCTCTACCCTGCGAATAATTCTACGAGTAATGATTTAGAAAAAGAAATGATTAACTTTATATCGGAGTCCCCGTTTAATCTACAGGCTAAGTTATGGGAGGTATTATTTCTATATTACTGTAATTTAAATGACGTGAATGCTTCATTAAGGGTTTATTTTAATTATATTCACTTATTAAGAATAGGAATCTCAACCGACCAAGATTACACATCGTTATCAGAAATCCGTGTACGTAAGTTGCTATTCATTCTTTCAGCAGCGGGATCTATCTCCTTAAAGATGTTGGAATACTTGAAAAATAATAAGTGGGATGAACCGAAATTATCTATTAAACACGAGGCTGTTCAAGATATCTACCAAATTTTTTTTGTGCTATATTCCATAACGTATTATGAAACAATTTCATCCAATGACCCAAACCTAACTTCTTTTTCGCACAAGGCTGTTAAATCTTACGCCTTAGTTAAGGATTATTTGGTGTCAATGGGAACTATTCTTGTTTATCTATTTTGTTGGGAGTGTTACGCTCAAAATATCATCGAATACAACGATTTTACGGTTCAGTACATCTCACTTTTACACTCCTTTTTCGGTGCCCAGTCATTTTGTGATTCCGCCAATGGGTTTTTTTTATTATTGTCTGAGAACTTGTTGTGTAGATGGGCCATAAAAGGATCCTATGATTCTTTCAAGCAAGTTTTATGGTGTCGCTATCATTATTTACTCAATACTGAGAGTGGAAACACAGAAACTCACGAGACCCAAACTACAAAAATGAATAAAGAGAATGCAATACCTTTAGGTATATACCTAATGAGATATCAGTTTAAAGATTCTAATCCCCTTTTAACATCCAGCAATAAATCCTCGATAAAGCAAATCTTAGACAATATTATCGAAACCGTAGGAGACCCTATCATTTCAGACAATCATATTTTAGGTCGTAATGAATATTTGTTTAACAACTTTTTGAGTAAACCTATCACCATATCATTATTACAACGTGCGTTAAATGGCTCATCTCTATTGACCTTGACGACACCAAATGACGATCTACAGTGTGGAATGGATGCCGGAATTTTCTATGTCGCAAGCATCCAGACAATGAACCTCTACAAAATCAAAAAGAAAGCAATGCAGGCTAGACCTTCCGAACTAGACTCAATAAGGAGATCTTTGCGAAACGATATTTTATACAATACTAAGAGATTTGAGAGCTGGTATTTGCTTGGTACTTGCTTCTCTTATATTGTTGAGGATGACCTAATCTGGACCTCTGACAAAATTTCTGTGATCGAAAAAAAGCGTACCACTGCGGATACACAGCGAAAAGCCATCTTATGTTACATCATGGCATTATCATTGTATTTTGAAATGGATGACCCTTTACCAGATGAAACTATAGTTATTGGTCAAACCTTCGAGGCACTCGGCAATGAACTAATTAGCGCCTATTATAAGCCAATGGACAAAATCTCTTTTTCGTGGAATTTCTCGAACAAAATATTACAATTGTCAGAAGATAGAAATGTTGCTGAGTCCCAAACCGATGAATACACAACTATTTCAAATTTCAATGTAGAACAAGCTATAGTTCTCTGTTTTATGAAGGCAAATCATTATCTGAGTATTTCTCAGAAACCCAATTGGTGGAATGACTACAATCTAAGTAAGATGCTCTTCAAGATAAACAAAACAACCTACTATAACCAGGCTTACAATTACATATTAAAAGCTGCCATTACTGCAACAAAAATGTTTTCTAAAAGTAAGGATGCTATCATTGAGCCACATTTTTACCTAATCAATATTTGTTATAAAATGGTGTCACTAGAATTGGTTTCTCCATGTGAGGCTCTTGGTATGATTTCCAAGGATAATAGATTCTTTTCACAAAATGATGAATTCTGGATATTACAAAGCAATGGAGAGCTCAATCAAAACAAGAAGCAATTTTATCAGAAAGTAATTACTCTTTTAAGACATACATTATCGGAAGACAAAAAAAAGCTACAACATCGTCCCCAGTTTCGAATCGCAAAGATCCTCTACGATGAGTTTCGGGATACTGAACTAGCTCTCAAAGAAATGGAAAATATGGTTTCAATTAAGAATTCTAAAAATTTAATAAATATTTGGAAACCAGATTTTGAAAGACCCGGAAAACATTTCGTGTATGCATACGAGTATGTTATGTTTTATATCAAACTCTGTCTAGAACAGAAGAATTTTAATGCAATTGCAATAATTATCAAGAAATTAAGAAGGTTTGGATCGGGAATAGCGTATGTAAACGACGCAATTGACTCGTCCATTAGAAACTACAACCTATGCATTGAAAAAAAGCTAGAAATTACTGACAAGAAATACATCGAGAATCTATTTTTACAGCTTAGTTATCAAACATTCCTCAAGGTGAGCAAGAAACTATTTGAGGAATTCGATGCAAAAGATTATACAGAAGAATATATTGATGGACTACGATATGCGTTCCAATTAAAAAAAGGAAATAATGGTATAGCCTTCGACAATGTATGCCTTTCAATCTATTTTAAATGTTTTTATCTACCTAAACTCCAAACTGAGATAGATGAAGAAACTGGAGGTAATCTTGCTCAGAAAGATACACCAGAAGCTCGATTTCAAGTACCAGAAATTCTGGAACCTCTAACAAAACCGGAAAGTAAAATACCTACTAGTCCTAAACAGAATGGGGTTAAGAAGAGAATAAGTAAAAAGGAAGCTTTTGACAGAATAAGAAGTTTAGTTGATAAATTCCCCTGAGAACGTTAAAAATGTAACAATATTCATTACCTAAGACAAGAGTAAACTTACCAAAAATTCCATTATTGAGCATTTGTTTTTATTTGACCTTTTTGCGTGAATAAGAATGGCATTTTTTTTAACAAATAACTAAAATATAACCATAGTCTAACAATATCATTTGGTATACTCCAACTTAAGGGATAAAAAGATAGACCGACTTCTTTACTATTGCCATTTTTAGGAGTCTCTTTAAAGAGAAGATACAACTAACAATACTTGCTATAACTCTATAAGATCGAGTGATATGACGATACCATATAATGAATAATATTACCTAACATCTATTATTATGAACCTGTCTAATGAAAATGTACACTTATAAGCAATTAGACAGTTTGAAATATACCCGTTACTCTTCATATATATTCAAATAATACAAAAAGACAATATACGTATAATTTTTCAAATCTCCATGTCGAACATTTAGATCCTAAAATATACAAATATAAATATATAATTTCAATAGATAAGCAGTAATTTAAAACTCGTCTACATTTCCAGTTTCCATCCATTTTTTTTTTATTTCCTCAAAAATAGGGTGGAGTTGACAGTAATCTGACCATTTCTTTTTAAATTCCATAACTAGAGTTTGTGAATTGAAATTGGCTCTCGAAGAGGAACGATATTTACCTTTAATATTTCCAGGCGTCACTCTTGAGATATGAATATTATTTGGTGCTAAAAAGAATTCACCGTTCTCTCTAATTTCAGCTATGTATGCCCCACTGTTGTGGATATATTGAGCGTATTTGAATTGAGGTTTACCCCAAGAATAGTTTATATCGAAGTTAATTTCACCTTCTTGTAGGAATTTGGAAGCTCTATTATCTAATAGGAACCCTGATAATTTAAGTAAACAAATATGATAATAGAATTTGTTTGAAGAAAATAATTCCTTATCATAAAACTCTGCATCTTCCCAAGGATTGATAGCCAACGTTATTTTAGCAAACGAATGAAAAGGATTCATACTTGGTAAGGAGCATAGTTCTTCCCAAGGTAGCTCAATCAATTTGAGACCGTAACGCTCACAAATTCTGGACCAATTTCCAAGTAGATCGTCAATTAATTTTGGTGTCGTCGTCATCCATTCCAATCTTATGTGAAAACAATGATCGGGATTATGAACTCTGTCATAATGCACAGTACAAACTTCCTGTTTGTATGATCTATTTAACGAATCCACATCAATCTGGATAGAACTACTTAGAGTAACAGTTGGTTTAGTCGATCCTTTCTTTGTGTCTCTATATGTTGAATCACCACCGTTAGTCGAATCAGAATCTTTAGAATCGATAAGAGAAAGACGATTTGAGCTTTCAGCCTTAGAAATATACTCTGTCTCTTGTGCTTTAGAAGTTTCCGAGGCAGATGGATTAGAGTTCATTCTATCTAGTGTTTGTGGATCGATCTTATACTCAGGATTAAACTGATAGAAATAGTGTCCATCTAGAAAACTATGTTTATTTAGAACATGATGGAATAATCCTTCATCCATTAGTGTCTGCCCATATACAACCGCCTCATCCCTGGTGAAGATATCGGAAAAATTTCTAACTAGCCAAGAAACCATCTCTGAACCAACAAAACAATTCAAATGTTTTTTCCAGTGCCATTTTCTGTTAACTAGCATTAATTTATCTCTCCCAAGTTGTAATTCGTGGGCTAATTTAAATAGTTCTGTATTTTTGTCCATTAAATTTTTATCGTCAATAAAAAGGGAATCGATGGTGTTTTTATTAAAATTCTTCAATGACTCCTGGTGTTCATTAATAAAGTTCAAAAGTGATCCTGTATAAAATATCACATCTGGTTGTAGCTCATCTTTCTTGGATTTCTTCATTCTTTTTTCCTTCTCACTTCTTAATTTACATTTCGTAATAGAATTAATTAAGCGACGCAATCCTTCTAATCTAAGCTCTTCAACCGAAAGTAGTTCGTTCTTACCATTTACAATTATTGAAAAATTATTTGGAGCAGCTTCTGATGGCAAGACAACAAATTTGGATCTAAATCCATGCCATGCTCTATCAACAACATAATCACCATATCCTGCAATTACTTGATCGATTTGGTTCCAGTTTAATGATGGCCTCTTCACATGGATCGGATCTATCATAGAGTCCCTATAAACAGTTTCATATCGGGTTTTAATGAGAGGAATATAACTAGGCACTTGATCGAACAGATCACTGTTATTTCTCCTTAAATACCTTTGAACATCAATTGTTCCATTTTGACTACAGGATATTCGGTGAATCTCGGAGTCAATGATTAAATAAACCTTAATATTTTCCCATTCTTTGTTATCTATGTATTTTACGACCGTTGTTTCGTCATCAGAATTGGTTCTCAATTCCTCCAACTTTTCAACCTGTTCACCAGAACATAATTGGAAACCAGTAACCAAACGCATATATATTATATTCCTCAGAAGGTCAAGTGCAGTTTGGTTATATGACTCCTGATCAATATTTAATGTAACCGAATGGTTCCTGAAGAAAAAATTATTCTTAAAATCTTCCTTAGTTGGGAATGCAGATATTGTTACAGGTAGATCAGCTGGTGTAGTGAATGATCTCCATTTACTGTACTTTTTAGCAACAAAATGAGGCCATACATCCCTCCAACGAACAGGTAGCAAACGGTTAGCTATCTCTACATTCACCGGAACTGATGGATTTTTTATCTCTATCCATGTTTCATTGGATATATATGTATTACTTTCATATTTTGGATTATTGTCAAAGAATGAAAATGGCCTGGCATTAATTGCAGGATTTGAAGTATACAAGTCAGCATCAGCCTCCTTAGATTTTAATGTTAGATCCTCATTCAAACTTCCTGAAATACCAGTACCTGTCCTATCAAAGAGGTGTTCATTATTCTTGTTAACTTGAGATTTTGTTGTCGAAGATGTAGATAATTGTTCTGCTCCTTTATAAATATTCCCATTTGAAGGGGAAAACGTATTTAAAGAAGGTTTTGTAATATTAATATTTCCAGAAATAGAGTCAGATGAAGATTGCAAATTATGCATGGTCTTAAAGGGTGATATATCTTTAGCATTAATCTTAACTGGTTCACTGTTTGCTGTAGTTTGAAGAATATTGTTCGTAATTTCACTATCGCCCAATATAATTTTATTTGAAGACTTTGTCCCGATGATACCGTAATTGAATTTTACCATAAGGTTCCTAGTGAAATCTCTAATTGATCTTTTCCTACTCATTCCTCTCAATGAATTCACAGCTGCTGAATTAGACGTACTTGGTTGATCATTGTGACTAATAATAGGATTCAATGATTCTTCTGGGTCACTACTCTCAGTATTCCTACCATCACCATTTACCAATACAGGTTCGTTCAAAGTAACCATATCACCGATTGCATTAAATGTTTGAACTGCTTCAGCAACAGGTTCCGAGAAGGTTGGTTGTCTCCATGCTAATGCGTTGTGCCTACTAGATAAATGTCCTTCAGTAGGTGCTAGTGTATTAGATTTATTGTTTTGTGCCTTATTTTGTTTGCTGATAGTGTTTTTGGTTTTGACAGATGATAAATATTCTGGGATATTAAAAATGGTATTTTCATAATTTGAAATCACTGTGCTTATAGAGTGATCCTTCTTTATATTTGCCGTAAGATACGGTACATCAGCTTGTTCCATAATCTCATTATCTGTTAAACCCATCATTTGTAAATCATAGATTTTACAACGAGGGTGCCATTCATCTATGGACTTGGATGAATCATTCCAAAAGAATATACTCAACCAGTTGGGTATACAATAATGTAATTTTTCTTCATAATCTATTGCTCTGAATAAAGGAACAATATGCAAAGGAGCTCTAGAAAGACAAATCAGATCCATGGTCATTTCAAGCGATAATAATTTCTTTCCGGTTAAATTTAAGAGATCATAATCTACATCATATAGTCCCGACCCTGGGGATATTATCATTACATGTGTGGTAGTGTGACGTAAATCAACTTGCCTAAACGGGTCAACCAATACAGTAGTAGCAAAATTAATCAATTCAAGGAAATTTGATTTAATAACCGGTGCAAACCTTCCCTTCAAAATATTATGTCCCTTCTCTGTCATGAAATTTAACAAATTATTCTTAATATTTAGGAATTCCAGCTTTAATGTTTCCATGATTTGAACCCAATGGATGATATTAACTTGATCAACAACGATACGAAAATGATCCACTGGGTTTTTCAATTTCTCACCAGGTTTTAAATCTGTGAATGGAGAATCTGAAAGATCCATAGATATTGCAAATGCTATTGTAATGGAATGATGCGTATCAATTGCTTTCCATTTTTTAAAAATTTTTGGGAATAAAGAATTGACCATCTTTTGAAATAATTTCTCACCCGTTTCTTCAAAGTTCCACATTTCTTCTGTAATTTGAATTAAAAATATCAACCTCGCAGACTCTGAACGAAATACAACACGAGTAGATTCACCGACATATCCTGATAACACCTTACGTCCATCTCGATATATACCTTTCACTGTACCCCTGATAGTTTCGATAAAGGTGAGTCTTTGATCCGAGAATACACATGTATCTTGTAAACGGGATGAAAGTGCCCACATATCACCTCTATTCAAAAAGCAATCTTTCAAATTTATTTCTATTAAGTCTGCCTGATATTGCTTTTTATTTTTCTTCTTAATCCAAACTTTTGATTTTATGGGAAGATCTATAATTGTCTTAAGTTGTCCCGAGAGTAACGATATTGTACCCACATCATGCTGCTGCTGCTGCTGTTGCTGTTGTTGTTGTTGTTGTTGTTGTTGTTGCTGTTGTAATTTCTCAAGTGATATACTCTCCACATTATTACTATCACGATATTCAGGTAGTATATTACTTCCATTTGTCTGAATTGTCTTGATACTGGCAGCTGCCGTGGTAGTTGTAGTGTTAGTTGTAGTAGTAGTAATTCCTAATGCGGCTGATGTATTGTTTAATTGAGTTACAGTTGTCCCAGTCGTTGTTTTATTTTCTACTTGGCAATTATCCTTCGCAATAAAATATATTTTTTTTCTCAATCCTCCTGTAGATTCTGAATCATCCTCTCTATTAGTAGTTTTCCCATTGTATGTCTTCAATTCACATAAATCATTTTGCCGTATATCATTAAATTGGGATAAATCCAATTGTACTAATTCATTTGATACTCTTGTTTCATGATAATACAATTCTAATTCATGGGAGGTTGGTTTTTGTGTTGAAGAATTTGAAGAATTCTTACTGAGCTCAGGTACATTTCCTAATTCACCATTTGAAGCCCCAAATTTTTCATTATTAGAACCTTGACGTATATTGTTATGACTTGACCCTACTATCAAACTTCCTGCATTCAAAGCAATACTATTTGCATGAGTGGTATCCGTTGTAGGTCTAATTACTTGAGAGCGCCGTTGTTTTATATTGGTTGAATCATTCCTTACAGGTTTTTTCTGAGATGCTCTCAGTTTTGAAAACAATGTATCACTTTGCATTGCTTTCGAAAATATAACAGTATTTTTGGTTAATGATTTATCAGTAATAAGTATTTGAGGTACAACCAATTATTCTATAATGTAATATCAATCTCATGAACTTGTCTTTTAACTTGTAATCTCCTTATAAATCCTTGGCTTGCTCTTGTTTAGTCTTTGTTTAAGGTTTGTTCTGTCTGTTTCTTTTATCGAAAAATACGTCACCCAAAGAGTGAAGCCCTATATCTGGAACCTAGGGTTGCACATATAACCCTAGGGCCAGCCAGCTCTTTAAATCAGGGTTAGAGGTCACGTGCCATTTGCAAGTTTTCGCGCAAAATATGTTTCAGAGCACGTGACGTGGTCCATTTTCTTCAACATATCACGTGATTTTGCGAATCTGTGATTCTATTTGATGCGAGTGAAGAGTGATACATATCCCGCATGGCAAGAAAGACAAGACTCATTTCATTGACTTTGATGGTGTCGCCGTGTGGACCTTCATCCCTTCGCTGTGGAAGATCATCATCACAACGTGAATTGTTGATATTGACTCTACGATGAGCAACTTTTAGAAACCATGACGTTGAGAACCTCAACGAAGCACGAACTTTGCTAACTACGCATGTCAGCTCCCACTGTTTTCTAATATTTTTTTGTTAGTAGTAAGTAGGAAGTGTGCATAAAAAGACATGAACAAGCGACAGCCCTTTGATAATTAGATATTCTGATTTCATAACATCGCAACATCTATCTATCTATCTATATATATATATAAGAGTTCTGAAGCCATTTACTTATTGTAATAAATTTTTTTTTTTTGGGAGGGCACCGTTTACAGTTTTAATATCCTTTCGAATTTATAACTTTAAGTTACCCATCGCCAAACAAATAAATCAACTCCTTTGCAATGACAGTCACATCAGATACCTCATTGCAACAGGTACTTTATGATTTTGCCCTTACGGACTCAAATAATAAAGTATTCTATACTACTGCCACCAAGACTGAAAAATCCGATGACTCAATTTCTAAAAATGCTATTCATTTATTGAACGATAATGATCCATTCGCTACTATTTTGGAAACTGTTTCTACTACTTTAACTACGATCTTTACCGATGAAGTAACTTTATTGAAGAGTTTACCACATTTATACCAATTGAGAGATTCCATTGTCGTTAATGTAGATTTATCTTTACAGGATTATTCTATCATTACAGCTTTGAAAGATTTAAACATTGTCTCTTTAATTTCAAATGATGCCGCAACAGCTGTTACTAACGCTCAATTGGCTAGTAAGGTCGCTTTAGAGAGACATCTACCTGTTTTCCATTTCATTAACTTTACCATTATAAATGACTCCGAGGATATTATCCCTGACTTCCAAGAACAATCTTCCAATGAAGCTGAATTAGAGGAAGAAGAACAATCTACTCTAGAACAATTTTTCACTGAACAAGACATATCATTCTTTGAATTGAAAGCTAAAGGTTCAAAACCATCAGTTGCAATTGTTAATTTATCCCAATATGGTCAATCGATTGCTCAAATTCTTCCACCTACTGCCTCAATAATTAATGTTAACGTCTACAGACCTTGGAGTATTGATCAACTACTACAACTTATTGCCCCATCTGTGTCTAAGATTGTCATGATTCAAGGTTCCTATAAGGATGACTCAGCAGAACAACATCATTCATTCGATCCTTTCTTGTTAGATTTCTTCGCAGACTTTCAAAAATTGGTTCAAAGAAATATCGATCAAGTTATATTAACAAAAATTGGTCAATTACCAATTGAAGCAATTGCCGATTCTCTAGATATAATTATTAATAACGCTCATAAAGAGAACCCTGTTCAAAACCTTTACTTGGGGAAACAATATCAAAATCAAACCGATAACAAACAATACATCGATTTATTACACTCTTCTGTTAAAAATGTGTTAAATTTAGAGGCTGCATATATTAAGGTATTAAAACAATTATTTTCTAGTAATTTGGAAATTTTAAATGAATATTCTAGTGAAACTGTTAACTCGAATTCTCCAGAATATGGATTTGGTTACTATTTAAAGCAAAATGAAATCCGTCAACAACTTATAGATTTGATAAAATCTTCTTTAGACGTGTCGCTATTTGCTGGAATCCCAACTGCATCTAACCTTGTCGAATCTCTGTCCAAATGGTTGAAATTCAACGAATCATTTAATTCGCAACAGGTAGAAGAGGCAAACAAATTAGCTGAACAAATTTTCGATATATTAAACTCCAATAAGACTAATAGTACTGTTTCTAATATTTTAAAACTAGCGCCAACTGTTGACGAATTCTCCTTCAAGTCTCATTGGTTAATTGGTTCCGATGCTTGGTCATACGATCTGGGTAACTCTGGTGTCCACAACGTGCTATCCTCCAACAAGAATATTAATATGTTATTAATTGATTCAGAGCCATACACTTCTAAAAACAAGGTTGCTCATAAGAAAAATGTTGGTTTGTATGCTATGAACTATCATAATGTCTACGTTGCTTCTGTCGCTGTTTATTCTTCTTACACTCAATTGCTAACTGCTATGATTGAAGCCGCTAAGTTTAATGGTCCCTCCTTGGTTTTAGCCTATTTACCATACTCCTCTGAAGCGGATACACCATTAGATATCCTAAAGGAAACTAAGATTGCTGTAGAATCAGGTTACTGGCCATTATATAGATATGATCCTACCAAAGAAGAAGAAGATGATGAAACACATGGTTTTACTCTGGATTCCTCCATTATTAAGAAAGAGTTGCAAGACTTCTTGGACCGTGAAAATAAATTGACTCTACTGATTAAGAAATATCCAATTGTAGCAGACAATATAAAGAACTCTGCTAGTGATGTTATCACTAGAAAACAAGAAACAAGAAACAAGGCTGCTCTTGATGACCTACTTGAAGGTTTATCCGGTCCACCATTACATATCTACTATTCTTCAGACGGTAGTAACTCTATCAATTTAGCTACTCGTTTGTGTAAACGTGCTGTCGCAAGAGGTTTAAAGGCTACCGTCCTTTCAATGGAACAGATAATTCTTGATGAATTACCAGGTGAAGAAAATGTAATATTTTTCACTTCTACAGCTGGTCAAGGTGAATTTCCTCAAGATGGTAAATCCTTCTGGGATGAATTAAAGTCTTCTACAATTGACTTGGCTGGGTTAAATGTCTCGGTATTTGGTCTAGGTGACTCCAAATACTGGCCACGTAAGGAAGATGCACGTTATTATAACAAACCTTCAAAGGATTTGGCCGCTAAACTAGAGGTTCTAGGTGCCAATTTTATTGTTCCTTTGGGTTTAGGTGATGATCAAGATGCCGATGGTTTCCAAGAAGGTTATCAAGGCTGGGAACCTCACTTATGGGAAGCTCTTGGGGTGGATAATGTTGATGTTCCTGATGAACCCAAACCATGGAATAACGAAGATATGAAGCTCAACTCTGATTTCTTAAGAGGTACAATTGTCGAAGGATTGAATGATGAATCTACTCTTGCTATTCATCCATACGATCAACAATTGACAAAATTCCATGGTTGTTACATGCAAGATGATCGTGATATTAGAGATATCCGTAAGGCTCAAGGTCTAGAACCTTTGTTCAGTTTTATGTCCAGAGTTAGATTACCAGGTGGTAAGGCTACTCCAGAACAATGGCTGGCACTGGATAAATTAGCTACTGAAGTTGGTAATGGTACTATGAAAATTTCTACTAGAGCTACATTCCAATTGCACGGTATTTTGAAAAAAGATTTAAAACACGCTATAAGAGCAATGAATTCTACATTAATGGACACTTTAGCTGCTTGTGGTGATGTTAACAGAAACGTTGTTGTTACTGCCCTTCCAACTAATGCCAAGGTCTTCAATCAAGTCTCCGAAATGGGAACTGAAATTTCTGAGTATTTCCTACCAAAAACAACTGCTTATCATGAAATTTGGTTACAAGGTACTGATGGACGTGATGATGATCCAAATTGGCCAGAGGTATTTGCTAATAGAAAGGAAGGTCCAACAAAAAAGAAAACATTGGTTAGTGGAAATGCTTTAGTAGATGTTGAACCAATATACAGTAATGTGTATCTCCCAAGAAAGTTCAAAGTCAACATCGCTGTCCCACCCTTTAACGATGTTGACGTTTTCGCCATCGATTTAGGACTAATTGCCATTGTCAATCCAGATACTCAGATCATTGAGGGTTACAACTTATATGCTGGTGGTGGTATGGGTTCCACACACAACAATACTAAAACTTACCCAAGAACTGGATCTGAATTTGGTTTCGTTAAACCCGAGGATGTTATTCCTGCTATACAAGCTGTTATGATCATTCAAAGAGATAATGGTGATCGTCAAGACCGTAAACATGCTCGTTTAAAGTATACCATTGATGATATCGGTGTTCCACAATTTAAGGCTATGGTTGAAGAAGAGTGGGGCAAGAAATTCGAGCCATCAAGATCATACGAACAATTTATTTCTAACCACGATTATTTCGGTTGGGTTAAGGATGAAACTGGTCTGAATCATTACACATGTTTCATTGAAAACGGTAGAGTTGCCGATACTCCAGAGTTACCTCAAAAGACCGGTTTAGTAAAGATTGCTAAACTTCTACAAAAAAATAATTCAGGTCATTTTAGATTGACTGCAACTCAGCACGTTTTAATTTCCGATATTGAAGACAGACATTTAGATGAAGTTAAAAAGGTCTTAAAGCAATACAAGTTAGATATTACTGAGCTAAGTGGTATTAGAATTGCATCTTCATCATGTGTCGGGTTACCAACTTGTGGTCTAGCTATGGCAGAGTCTGAACGTTACCTACCTGTATTGATTGATGAAATTGAAGAAGTTCTTGAAGAATTTGGTTTACGTCATGATTCTATAGTTATGAGAATGACTGGTTGTCCGAATGGTTGCTCACGTCCATGGGTTGCAGAAATTGCTCTAATTGGTAAAGCTCCACATACTTATAATTTGATGCTTGGTGGTGGTTACTATGGCCAAAGGTTAAATAAACTTTACAGAGCTTCGGTTAAAGATGATGATATTATTGGTATTCTAAAACCATTGTTTAAGAGATGGGCTTTAGAGAGAGAAGAAGGCGAACATTTCGGTGATTTCGTTGTTCGTGCTGGCATTATTAAGCCAACATTGGAAGGTAAGTACTTCCACGATGATATCTCAGAAGACGCTTATTAGAATTTTTAATATTACTTGTTTATGTATATATACTTATTTATTTTATTTATTGACTAATTGATTATTTATCAAAATTCGTTTATTCGTCTGGTAAAGGTTCCTTTCAAGTAAAAGACAATATAAAAGGGGGAACATCCGAGTTATAGTTTAGGCAGTCGTAACTTTGTCACCATCAATGAGAGAAAACTATCGGAATTGGGAGAAATAATCAGAAATTAAAGAATTTAGAAGAAATGTCAATTGCAGTGGTTACTGGGGCTTCATCCGGGATAGGTTACTCTCTCGTAGATGAACTGGCATCAAACGGCTTTATTGTTTACGCCTGCGCAAGAAGGTTAGAACACATCAAGGTATTACAAGATAAGCATGGTCTTCAAAAGATTAGACCTTATCAACTCGATATATCAAACAACGCAGAAATTGTAAATTTCAGAAAGTTCCTAGAGAGTGAACCACTCAATGGAAAGATCGATCTACTATATAATAATGCCGGACAAGCATGTTCTTTTGCTACAATAGATGTCACAGACAAGATAATGGAGGAATGCTTCAAAGTTAATGTGTTTGGTCATATAAATATGACTCGGGAACTATCTCGGATGATTACAGATGCGAAGGGTACAATAGTATTTACAGGTTCCATCGCAGGAATCATCTCATTCCCATTTATCACAACATATTCAGCCACAAAGGCCGCTATTCACCAATATGCCAGGGGATTACATTTGGAAATGAAACCATTTGGTGTACGAGTTATAAATGCTATAACTGGTGGTGTCGAAACATCTATTGGTGAGACAAGACCAATTCCGCCGAATTCTTTGTTTAACTTCCCTGAAGGTTTGGAAGCCTTCAGATCACGTTCAAAAAAAGTACGTAAGATGAGTTCCACAGAATATGCAAAACAGATGGTTGAAATAATAATGAGTTCAAATGATCCAGTAGACATATATGAAGGTTCATTTGCCACAATAGCACGTCTGATATCATTGTTTATTCCAATGTGGCTTTTGGATAAGGTTCTGTATAAGTCTAATAAACTAGACAAAGTAGAATCTTCTTTAAAGTATAACAAAACAAAGAAAGCTATATAACTTTAAAGTTCATTTAGAGAATTGAAACTCTTCAAGTAAGCGCATTCTTACATTAAATACATTTCACTCATTGTATATGCTAACGTTTTAGATTAATAATTTTTATAAGGTAAAAACGATTCTCTCATCGCAAAAATAAATAGATAAATTGTTCATTATACAGAAATATATATGATAAAACGCATACAAACGACAGTTAAAAATAATCTGAAAAGGGATAAAGGTTTGACCAGAGTAGGAAGGGAATAATGCTCGTCGAAGAATTCGGTCCTCCTATTGATGAATTCATACAAGTTTGTGATCGGATCACAGATCCACTCGAACTTCCCCATGATCTACTAGATCTTGTGATGACTGCTGATCTGAATCATATTGATAGTAGTGATAGATATAAAGTCTTAAAATGTGTGTCATATTACAGCTTGCATCCGGATTTACCGACACAACAAAGGGTTATTGAGTTTTTCGAAAAGTATTCTTCTAGTTCTGATAGACTTATGAATTATCTCATAGATGAGTTAAAACCGATGCTCCTAAGGTCAAAAACCTCAAGCAGAAGAACGCAAAAGTTTCAAGCAGGTTTAAACCCAACGTTGGGATTCTCGTTTGAAGAAGACAGGATTATAACTGAATGGAAGGAAAATGGTGGATTAAAAGGCATACCATTGTTTTATATGGTATTGAGATATTTAAAAAACTATCAGATATCAGTTAATTTAAATTGGATCATTCCTGGTATCATGAACATGTTAGATAATACATCTGAATTAAAACTGATCAAATTGAGAGGTGTTTTACTTTTAAAGACGTTTCTATTATATTGTTTTGAAAATGATGACAAGACATCGGGTAAATGGATTACTTTCAAGCAAACAGGTATATTTGATATGGTCGATCCAATTCTAAAAAATATGTGTTATTTTCTACCGCCAAGTTATAACGAATATGATTCACTAGATATTCTTGAACTAGTATATGGTACAATGGTCGTGTTGTATGAGCAAAGCATGGATGATCAGATGATGAAACGTAGACTTGGTACAGCACTATTATCAGATATAATATTGAGACATACTTTACCAAGAATAGGAATAAAATATGAAACTCTCCTAGAATTTCAACTCGATAGTGTAGAAAGAATAATACACATCTTAGATAAGAATGTAGTGATACATTTACAAAGAATAATATATACGTTTGGGGAGTATGTCATACGGGATCCTTTTTTGACAACAATCAAAAACAAGAATATTTTGCTTAAAATGTTAAGTATATTTAATATTCTTGTGAAGGTATGTCCCAAAGAAAGAATTCAAGCTCATAAATATGATCTTGTAGCAGGTGTTTGTGTAATCTTCCAAAAATACAATACTGAGGGAGGTATTTATACAGAATTATCCAACGAATTAGATAAATTCTTGGATGTGTTGATTGCAAAGGGTTGTAACTTGGATAATATTATTATTCCATTGGTAGAAGAAAAACCACAGTTTAAGGATTTCCTAATAAATAAATTGCAGAAGGATAGAAGTGTTGATATATCATAGTTAATGGCCCTCATAGAAAAAATACAGACTGTCTAACATAGCTTGTTATGAATATATGAACAGTAGCATAATGCATGTATTTACATGGTAGATAGGTTGACATAATACTATATATACGTATATACGTATATACATATATATATATATATATATATGAATATTATAATTTATGAGATGATGATATGTGACTAAAATAAATTTTGCTAAAATTGTAATAAGGTTCAAAATGTTTATCTCTTGATCATCATTGAACGTTTTGCAAATTCTGGACAATTCTGATGTTAGCATCTAAAAATCTATTTACACAGCTATTTAAACACTGTTCTTCTTGTGTGGAAAGTTCTGGCGAAGTGATAGAAGACACACAGTTTTTGAAGCAACTGTTGGTAAAGTCATGTATTTGCATTTGGACCCTTTGTTTAGAGTTTTCAGCATCCAAGAAATTGGCAATCTCCTTTTTGGATGAATCGTTCATGGAATCCAGGTCAGCTTGAGATATAGAAGACATGTCGAATAGCAGTAATATACTTTGAATGTTATCTATAGCGATGTAATATTCGTATATGAGATGTGGATCCGGGCCGTAGTTGTATTTATAACTTTCTATCCTCCTTTTTATTTTAATTGAATTGTTTAAGTTTGGAAACCCTTTTTGGTAGTCATCACGAAAATATTCACTGCGCACGAAGTATTTTCCATTTTTAAAGACTATAAGGTATAGAATACCACATACACACATGATCAGTTGGTTTGTTGATATATCAATTGGGCGCAAAATTATTCAATTGAAAAAGAATATATTAACTATCGAATAATATATATTCATTGATGGAGGACACAATAGATGACTACTTGAGGACACTGAGGACTCAATTAGAGAATAAGATCGTGTTTTTGAAACAGTCTAGGGATAGTCTCAAGAAACTACGCCGAGAATACAAAGATGAGGACCCACAGGAGATAGACCCAGAGACATGGAAGACATTCATGAAAAAGCCGGTTATGTATGTGGAGAAATCAGACCCAATCGGATTGAGTCTTACCGATATCGATGTACATTTGCAGAACGAGACATCATTGGATTGGGTTGAATTAATGGCCGGGAAAGATATGGATTACCGTGCTACCTTGCGGGAATCAATCAATAACCAACGTAATTTGAATAAGGACCTGTCATCCTTGATACGGCTCCTAGAACAAGGTGATCTGGGGACTGAAGAATTAGAAAATATACCTGTGGCGTCCAATTTGATGGATCAAAATCGGAAATTATGGGATTCATTAGAATTGTTTACAAAAGAAGTATTATGTAAAGATGAGAAGAACAAAATTGCGATAGACAGTCTTTTAAGACGTCTAGTTAAATTTGACCCCCTTCTTACCATTTCTGATTTCAGAGTATCTCAGGAATCTGGAAGGTTATATAGACTGTTATTGAAGGCCAATCTTGTTGATCTCGTCATCCAAGCCGACAACAGCACGGATTCGTATGTACGATTGATCGATTTCACTGACAACGATTTAAGTTGACCACTATATTGATTAGATATGATATATAAGTGTGTAATCATTACAAATAGGTGATAGTATTCTGATAAAGATGCAGATATGTATTCATATATATATTGCTGTATTAATTCCCTCTCGATTTTATATAAACCTATTTTTGCTTGTTTTGCTTATACGTTATTTAAAAACTGAAAATGTAAATACCGTTGCAATGTAAAATAAATAAAACTATCTAATTTCAACGATCTTTCAAAGAAGAAAAATGTGTTAGAGCCATAACAAAATTGAATTGAATTTAATCCCACTTTAATATCTCGTTCCCAAGGTACATATGTCGAGTGCTAAGAAACTGTCTCTTGAAGAGAGGTTATCATTAGCAGCTAAGAAAGGGAAGAAGAAGAGCAAAAAGCTGACTTCGGCTAGCCCAACACCAGGACCTCTTGTGGATGAAGAGATTGCTACACATGTGGAAGAAACTTCACCTGACGTCAAAGAAGGTATAGTTGAAAGCTGGAATATAGATGAGACAGTGAAGACAGTTAGCGATAGCAAGAAGGATGTTGAAACTAGTGTTGCACCTGAAACCGTAAAGGAAGAAGTTAGTCCAGTACAAGATGAACAGAGCCCTAAGGAAGTGAAAACTTCAGTTGTGAATACGGTTAAACTTGAGCCACTCTTAATTCAAAATCTGAAGTTAGATTGGCTGCCGAATAACTACCGCGACATCGATGTTCATAAACTGTTAAATACAATTGACCAACGAATTGGTGGTTCAATAGAGAAAGGGGAATCCTCTAATAAAAAATTATTAGAATCAATCAAAGAGAAGGATAAGTTAATAGGACAGTTGAGATCGGAGGGAGAAAACCTGTCAAAAGTTGATCTAAAGAAATCCAATCAAATTAAACTTATGAAGAGTAAAATGTTTGAAATGGAAAACGACCTCTTGAACACAAAGGAACAACTTGATGAAGAGGTTTCGAATTATAAGACACTAGAAAAAAATCTTAACGATCTTCAGCAACAAGTGGTAACATCCAATTCTGTCATCAAGGACCTTAAACTTCAAGTAACCACAGTGGAAAAGTTGCAGAGTACCACTATTGCACAAGATTCTCAAATTGCCACCTTGAAAGAAGAAGTTGCAGACATGACGACGCAACTGGCTGAGGCAAACTCTAATCATCTTCTAGAAATAGAATCCCTCAGGGAATCCAGTTCGGCTCAAATTAATACCCTTGAAACGGATTTAGAACAACTAAAGATTAAATTGGAAAATAAAAACCAGTCTGAGACAACATCTGGGGAGCCCCAAAGCATGACTAATGATAGTCAACAATATTACATCTTAGAACAACAGTTAAGGTCAAGTAAAGAGAATTGGAAAAGCATTGAAGATACTTTTAATATTAAGATTGTAAAACTTGAAGAGGCTTTACAGAATGCAGAGCAGGAAGTACAAAAACAAACCCAAGAGAAAGAAAAATTGGCAAATGGCAATGGTCTCCTGATAGACCAAATAGATAACACATTGTCTAAGAATAAAGAATTGAAAGATCAAGTACAAAGTTGTAAGAATGAAGTACAATCCTTGCAAAATAAGTATAACGATATGAAAGATGATTATAATCTCCTTAATAATAAATTTAGTATTCAAAAAGCACAACTGACCAAATTATACGATGAGCCAATCACAAACTCACACTTGAAACTAGACACTTCCAATATTAGCGCTATCAAAAGTCATTCATTGAATGACGTGAGCGAAGAATGGTTACTGCCAGCTGATGACTCTCTGCTATCTATTCAAAGTATTTCTACAAATATCGATAACAGCAGATTCGACGATACCGATACACCACCTCGTGTAGATAATAATGTGAATGAATCGGATGTAAGCATATCGATTGATATTCCTGATGATGCGGAACATTTACAGAACATGTTAGCCAAAAAGAATAGCAGATCTAGCAACCAATTGAATGTTTTGGGAACAATCAGACCTTCAGATTCCTCCTTAACACCAAATAAGCTGAAACCGTTGAGCGAAATCAATAACAATACGGAGATCAATTCAGGATCGATGAATACAAACCCCCAATTAGTCACTAGACTTGGTTCAGAAGTCCGTAGGTTGGAAAATGAGTTGCGTAATATGCAGAAAGACCAAGAACGTCTTGTTCAGGATAAGGATAATGCAAACGAGGAAATATTGAGACTTCTTGATAGGAATGATAAGGCTATCAAAATTATAGATGAAAACAAGTCTTTAAAACAAGAATTGGAAAATATTTCTAAACGTTTGGAAGTTTCGTTGCAACTGTTAGGGGAAAAGAGTGAGACCGTAGAGGAACTGGAAAATGATGTTAATGACTTAAAGGAGATGATAAAACAGCAAGTCCAACAAATGGTTGAGATACAAGAGAGTAAGTAGTTGTTTTTAGTATAAATAGAGTGCAATCTTGACTTTTGTATGAATAAGTGGATGAGGAATACAACAACTCAGTGTTTTTTTTACTTATTTTTATTTTTCAGTTTCCGAAATATAGAATACATTGATTATACATATATGGTACATAAATTTGAAACAGATTAATCGTTACCTTGCAATTTTGCCAATCTAGTTTGTTCTTCGATATCATCAGCTTCCCATGGATAACATAACCAAACATCAGGAACAGTTACGGCAGCCATGTAATGGCCAGATTCAAGCATTTCCTTTGGTAAGTCAGCTCTTTTTGGTTTGTCCTTGTTATGCAGAACAAACACGGTAAAAGTTGTCTTTTCATTTAGTCTGTTTAGCCTCTTTTGTTGTTCATGAACTTCCTTTTCTAATTCAGAGACAGCATAATGTAAAGTGGTTCTGGTGTCATCAACTTCGTCAACAATTAAAACCTTTTTACCGATAAGAGAATCAAAGTGTTTATCTAAGGCACCGAAATCTAACCATTGTGTTCTGATAACTTCCTTTCCAATAGTTTCAACGCTATCATCTAAACCTAAATCTTCATAAAGAGATAAACCAATAGCTTGGATTGGGATATTCTTTTCACCCTTCTTCTTTAAGAAAGTTCTAATAATTCTGGCTGGGATTAAACCACCACCAGAAATGCCGATAATAACGTCAGGTTTCTCATTCTTATCTAGAATTTCCTTAGCGGTTTGCTGACATAGCTTGTGAATGTTGTTGTATGAGATATAGAATTTCTCTGGTGTTTCAGACATTGTGAAGAAACTTTATATAAAATAACGATAAAGTATTACGACGTAGACGTAAAAAACAGATATAAATATTATACAACACAAGAGAGAAATAAAAAGGCTCAAAGTTACAAGTCAAGAATCCCAATTTCTATCCCGTTTGGTTTGTAAATACCAAAAAATAGCTGAGATATGTCGTAACCTCATTCTTTTTATATACAATAAGCTCATCGCCAAAAATTGAAAATTCAAAAAAATTTTCAAAGCTCATCGGGAAGCTGAAAATTTTTCGCTGAGCTTCCTGATTAGGTATTGAAGGATAAATATGGAAATAATTACTGTTTTGGGAGGACACAGTGAGGTAATCGATTAATTGAAACCTAATTTGTTAATTATTATACATAATTTTATGAGTGAATAATGCTGTATATATCTATATAAAAATGATTCGTTATCGCAATCGAGTCTCGCAGTAATGGTGTTAGGAAATTGTGTATGTTAAGTGTGCATTTATAGCGAAAACGTAGGATGCATGGATCTGCAAGACAAGACTAAGCAGCTGTTTCAGCAACTCCTACAAAGTCCGAAGCATCAACAAAAACATCATTTTCACCATTTACATATACCAGGTTGTCTTCATCTTCATTTGAAATAGCATCTCCTATCTCGATATTATTTGTGTCTTCACCTTGATCTATGGCAACTGCGGCAGTGCCATCATCGATAGATAGCATAGCTAATTCTTGTCTTAACGTAGCTTGTTTGTTTAGTAGATCTAGTCTACCTTGAATACCAAGTAAAGTTGGTAATGTTTCGCTTGACGACTTTAAGGCACTCTTTAAATGTTTCATATTTTTTTTTGGTTTCTTGTCGAATATCGTACTGTGAGGAACATTTTTCAACATCATTATCCATTTTACCCATAGGCATAAGGTATTATCCTTTGCCCAAACGTCATGTTGCAATTCGGTAATAATCTTATTAAGAACAGACCCTACAAGATTTTCAGAGGTTAATTGGGTATTTATAAAATTTATAATTCTTTGTTCATTCCATGAGGGTGATATCAGGAGACTGATAACAGGCTCGTTGTCTGAGTTATCATTATCCTTTGCTAATGCTTTGACTAATCTAACATTTAATTCGGTTTGTTCGGATTTTGATATTTTCTTTGAGCTTTCATGTTTTTCTTCTTTTGCAACATCTTCCATTGCATCTTCTTGCTTGTCAGTACCTTGAGTTACATGATTTTCTGCAGGTTCGATATCTTCGACACCCTCGTTTAGGATTATCTCCTTGTTACCGGTAATGTTATCTATAGATAGTAATTTAAAATTAGGTTCATTAACGTTTAACCAAGCGAGCATCACATCATTTGATATTTGTTTAAAATCGATGACTTCTGAGTTTGTCACTGTGATAGTACTGATAGGTTCACTTTGATTTACCTTAAAGACAGATATCTTACCATTAACATTTAATGTGAAAATTAGATCTTTGATAGCACTAATCCTGTCTGCTTGTACATCCCAAGAACAGACGATATCCTTTGTTTCGTAGTCATATACAGTTAAAGCATCAATTGTAGCAACACTGAAATATTTCCCATCCTCACTGAAGGCACATGATAATGCACCAGATATTTCGAAAACTGCTACTGTACTTGGTCTCCTCTTACTTGGATCAATGATGTAGATCTTTTGTTCAGTCACAATCGATAAATATATACCATCTTCATTAGCGTTATCTCCACTATATTTTAATACTTGGAAATGTATTATCTCTTCATCTTTACCATCGATCAAATGGAAAGTTTTCACCGGTTTTGTCTTGTTGTATTCTAACTTCTTAACGCAGTTATCCGTATCATATGTCCATATGTATTTACCATGTGTGTCAACGGCCTTTATTTTATCCTTATTGCGAAATATGTTAATAATATGTCTACCAGTAGAGGAGAAAGTGACAATTTGACCATCTTCGAATACATTAACGAAAAAATTGTCTATTCTTGGTTTACTCACCCCTGTCCCATCTTCATCTAATTTACGTTTAGTCCTACTAGAATTAGAATCTTCATCGTTAGCATCGCTACACCAACCAACATAGAGAATATCTGAGGATTTTAAATCATGGCTTTCGTAGTCCACATGGTTCACTAAGGAACTATTAACTTTGTAGTTATTTGATGCATCCAAGGGGTATATATCAATAGAATTCTTTTGTGCTGTACCAGTATTGAAGGCAAACTGACCTGCATCATGTGCAAAGATTGCTATTAGATTAGCGTCTACGCTCATATTTATTTTTTTGTAATAACTTTCTAAAAGGTTACTATAACAATGATTAAAATCTCTCGGTAATTATCCCAAAGTCACTTCTGTTAATCAAAAATAGATGCTGTTCTGATGATATATATCAAAGCTATTAATCCTTCTTTGAAACATAAAGTGAAGGTGCCATGTTCTTCTTCTTCACAATGTAAAAGACTGGCAAACTAAAGCTGAAAACTTTTTCATTTTTGCGATGAGCTGAAAAAAATTGAAAAACTTAAAATACTTGATGTCAGGAAAAGTTACCCTCCCGTTATATCAAAAATTAAAATAATACGAGATTATCTTCACTATTTCATGATGACCTGGTCTAGCTAATGCACAGAAGTCTATTTTTACAAATATATACCTATATCTATATCTATAATTAAAGTTATTGCCCTAGTGGTATACAGTTAGTTACTGTTACCCCGATTATGATGATCTAATTCCCTAATATATTGGCCAATGAAGCTTGGTCTTCACTTGAGACATTAGAAAATGCAGATTGGTAAACTGGGCCATTTGAAGTTGGGAGTTCGCCCATTGATGTCTTGAATACAGCACTTATATTTATATCGTCCAAAATAGATTTTGTTAATGGGTCCTCTTCTAGATCGTCGAAAGTTTCATCATCATCAAATGTTAGACCATCTGCAAAATTGCCATCACCATTATCTTTCTTCATCAATTCTAGATAATTCTCAAAAGTTCGTTCATCTACGGTAGTATCATCGTCGTCGTCATCATTCAGTTCAATCGCATCACTCCAAGGTGTCTGAATATCATCACCCAATGCGGATGAAGTAAATTCTTTTCTTTTCTCCTTTAGTTCCAATTCTGCTTGAGGATACTTGCACATCAAATGGACAAGAGAATTCCCTAATGTTGGTAGCACTTGCTCTATTGACATTTGTGAAATTTCTTGTGGGGGTAGTTGACCAATTAAATTTAGCAATGCCATAGTAGAAAGTTTAATGTCATAGATCCTCTTATAATTTGGAATGTAAACTGTTAACCATACATCAAAAAATAATGGTAAACAACTATGGTTATAAACAAACTTTAAGGTATCCAATGGTGCGGAAACCATACTGGCAATTATAGCATTGAAAGTGGTTACACCAAATACGATGTGTTTTTTTAAGTCGGTCTTATTAATAACGATACAGGTGATAGCATTCTGTAGAATGGATTCTCTTATTCCTGCAGGGATTTGTGATCCAAGTGATAATAGCAACTTTTGACTGTAATCAAATATTATATTGATCTCATCAAAGTCAGAATCTTCATCAATATTAGTGTTATTATAAATCTCATAAAATATCTTGCAATAAAAATTATTTTTTTGTAATTCTTCACTTCCATAAACAAATATATTGTTGAAAATTAGCATAAAATCTTCGAGGAAATATGTAACCATACTATCCTCTTTGTTGTTACATTCACCAATCAGCTCTAAAATCTTCCACGTGACTGGGGTAATGTCCCTTAATAAAAATGTGGAGTTCTCATAAAACTCACAAACTTCACGATAAAAATCATCCAGTTGGTTATTTAAAATAAATTCAGCTGCAGAATAAAACGATTGCTCTAAGCTCTTCACAATCTCAATGGAGTTTTCAAACGATAATAGAAGAGAAATGATAGTGGATAGGATACCTAATGCAGCCATTTGTTTGTCACTCTCATCTGGAAGACTTTCTCCATTCATATAGTTGGTTGGGTCGATATTAGATGCATCGTTTAAATCGATTGCCAATTTTAAAAATTGTTGAATCAAATTGTTGACTAACTCAATACCAAATGGCTGTAGTTGCTCCGCAAATTGTTCTACAAATTCTTGCATAACACCAGCAATTGAATCAGATTCAAACTGATTAGATAGTTCAAGTAATTTTTGCATAATAGGAACAACAGATTCTGACATAGCCTGTTGGAAGTATGCATCCTGTACAAATGTTTGTAGCGCCAACGCAGCAGATAAGTTGATAGGTAGACAGTCAGAAGCATCATTAAGACATTTAGTGATACCAGTATATATTGTTTCGATGGTGGAAGGATCCTTAAACTCCACAAAGCCTAATTTCGATGCTATTTCACATGCCCTACTTTGTAGAAATCCATATTGCGAGTTAAAGAATGGGAAAATGAAAGTTTTTGAAAATCCTTCAATTTCATTAGCATATGGTGAACCCTTGGCAACTAACCTGTCAAGTATATTAGAAAATATTCTGAAGGCGGCTTCGATGTTCAAGGCATTCTGTAAAGAAAGTGAGTTCAAATCCCCGCTATTCTTTTGCAATGTATCTATAACAAACTCCATCGTTGGCTGGATTGTAGTTTTACCTCTCTTATTCACTGCTGTAGTTAGTAACGAAATGGCAGCAATATCTGGAGAGTAATCATCATTCCAAAGTTCCAAATTTCTGTGGATATACTCTTGAGGATCATTTTCGAATTCATCCAATGTTTCTTCTGTCGGACGCAATAATGGAAATATGACATGTTGCAGTATGGTAGAATAATGAGGACTTATTAGTTTCCAAGGGCTTTTCTGTGTGACAGCCTGCTCTATGAAAGATAAGACATAATATAATGATTCGTCACTTAACCAAATAGAACCGCTCCCCCATTCTTCGATTTGTTGGAATAAAAGGGATAATAACTGGGGTAGAAACTCATTCATATATAGGGTTTTGAAGTCAGAATAGTCAAATCTTCCAGATAATGTCTGCGATGCATAACGGTAGAATAATCTAAAGAGATTTGCATATGACCATTTCTTACATTTGACCCATGGATTGTGTTTTCTCTGATCAATATCTGTGATGTTCATGATTGACTCAGGGACAGGTGTTTGTATGATGGATACAAAAAGGTTTGCCCATGGGACAAAGAACTCTGCACGTTGGAGAGTAAAAGGCAGATCATGGTATGTCACAAACTTGTAAATTTTCAAAATTAAAATCAATAATTCACCAATTTTAGGATCATTCATGTTCTCACCTTCCTTTAGTAAGGTATTGTTGGCGTATGCCAATAAGTCAGGGAAGTACTGTAAAATTAATTTCTCGAGTTCTTGGCGATCATCGTTTTCTTTGTACCTAAATGTTCTGAATAGCTCAGATAGACATATCAGTCCAACATGTGCAACGTTGATATCATCATTAGATAGCAATTCTAATGATTTTGGTAATAGATCATTCCATTTGCCCTTTGGATATTCCTCTAAAATAATAGTTTTCAGGGCTGGTCTTAGGACTCTGAGACAATGAGCTGAATTACTTGAGCATCGCAGCATAGTCTGGATAATCATATCTTGGACAACAGGCTTTTCGTCGGCATCCACGCCATGGTTCAATAGCTCATTCTTGCTAGCTGAGTATGCAGATACAACCCAACCGTAAACAATTTTGTTTTTAAAGTAGAGGGATGCAGATAACTTAATGTTTTCTGGGATTTCATTCGAAGATATAATATCTAAACAGGCTCCTAAAAACCCAGGAACTTTACTTGCCTCCTTTAATTGCGCTTCGGCGTGTGATCTGGTCGTGGCATCATGATCTAGTGTACTCGCAAAGCATTGAAGCAAGCCGTTAACATCCATTTCATAAAATGTAGAATTATAGTGGCAGTTGTATTATAAACGATAGTGTTTGGATTAGAATGAGTCAAAAAGATACTATTATTAATCTTATACGTATATATTACTTAAGTACAACAATTGTAACTGGGTCCTTGAGGTTATAACGCAGTCTCTAGAAATTTCAAAATTTTTTTTCCAGCTCATCGCAAGATGATATCATGTTTTACGAGATATTCATCAGGACCACAATAAATACCAAACGAAAACACAAAAGACAACAGCATCTAAGAGGACCTATCTTTATCATGGTATTTAATTTGTTAAAAATACTCTCTTCAAATAATATTTATTAATAACAGTTTTTTTACCTGAGCAAAATGCATGTATATACAGTTAAAATACTGTTTATTATGTGTCTAAAGTATTTATCGTAGAATAATGATATTTGTCTATTTGAGTCCCCAACCAGTGGTCAAATTGGATTTTTCCATATCAGCAATTTCTAAGACAGGGAATGGATGCGCTTCAGTATTGAATACAATTTCTGTGAGATCAATATCATCCTGGAAAAGTAAATACAAGTATTTCAATGTTTCGGCAAGCCAGAAACTTTCCATGTTGTCTTTTTTACCAGTCGGGACATGTAGACAATCATTCAATGATGTATAAGCTTCTACTATACCATTACCTTTGATAGCAGTATGTTCAGCAAAATTATTAAGAATTTCTTCACCCCATTCACGGTATGTAGTATCATTAGATAGATGGTACATGAACATGATAGATTCTACCGTCTCAGGTCTTTGTAGATTATGACCATCCAAAGGCTTCACGAAAAAATCTCCTGATGGTGAGTTCCACCAATTTTGACGATCTAACTGGGTTATTTCTTCAAATTCATTTCTTTGCTCCTCAGGGTAATTGAAGACAACGATTTCAGGTGAAAGGCCTGCAGGTAATTGATGATACATTTGATAGCATGTATGCGTCAATTTCATAGCCAACAACCAATCGTCCTCTCTATCTTCATCCCAGAAGTTCATATTACGCGCAGTTTTAATTGTGTGGCCTTCAGTAGCACCCATTGCCAGGAGACCACCCATGAAACATACTAGATGATCCATCTTTGAAGAAGCTTGATATTCTAAACCGTTTGGTTTTTCAGCAATATAAGTTAGTCCTGATGGGAAAGACTCTTTTACTAGATGTTTCTTCATACCGTTGATAGCAGCACGATATAAATCGTAATAAATACCTTCATGAGTTAACAGATATTGCTTCAATAGGTATTCATAAAAAGAATCACCTCTTGAGCCAAATCTGATATTTCTTCCCCAGAATTGAGCTGTGTCTGGTAAAGTATAAATTGGTACTAAACCATCATATTGTTCTAAAATATTGTTGACTTTATAAAGTGGTTCATAAACTTGCTCTGCAAGTTTCCAATAAGTCTTGTTGCCTGTAATCGATGCTAAATATTTGAATTCCAATTGCAATGTAGTAAATTCTGCCGTGGATGAAGCACCGTTGTCGACGTGGTTTTTAATCGCTTCACCAGTTCTCAAGTTTACACTGGAATAAGGAATTCCTGACGGAGAATTTGCAAAGGATAGGGATAACCGATCTGCTAAATCTATGGCCTTATTCAAGTAAACCTCTGGGTTACCAATATTAAGATCAGTTGAAAGATAATATCCTGAGAGTAATCCACCTAGCATTCTGATTGTAGTTTCAAAAATATTGACCTCAGAATCCATATTATAATCCAAATCATTTTCAACCCAATTTTCAACAAATTGTATTTGTTCTAAAAATTCTTTCTTATTACTTTTATTGGTGGTATAGTTGTAACCTAACATTAAAGTATCAATGGTATCGACGATTATCCAACCTAATGGTTGACCAGATCTAGGCATATTACGGTGGCTATGTGAGATTGGACCATATACGTCGTAAGGCCACCCATTTTTTTTATAATCTTTAAATGATTGCAAAAGAATTTTCTCTATTTGGAATGGTACTGATGCATTTCTACTTTGAAAGTAATAAAACACTGCCATTGCAGCAACCCCTACAGATAAAATAACAGGGTTCAACATTATTGTTATTTGTTGTTATTTTTTTTTTGGCCCACTAACACAGATATTCAATTTAAAAATACTATATATTGTTGTTCTTATCTTCGTATCAATTGACCCTATATGGATGAATAAGAATCAATCTAACTCTCTTGATTTGAATAATAGAATGAGAGCTCTAAAAGAAACAAAATGAAAAAGCAAAGAGCCCTCTCCCAATCATTCATTTTATTTAAATTGTAAATGGATATACGCATATATATATTTTCAAAGAATTGCAAGGATTAAACGTTTGCCTTATTATTCGGCCTGCGAAATCGGTTAACGGAATGAAATTCCAATAGTGAAATAAATTTTTCAAGAAATCATCTCTGAAATGTAATCATTTCGCAATTGAATGCATGAGATGAGATGAGGTTAGTTAATTGTAAAAGATGGGTGGCGAATATATATATAGCTTATTTTTTTTGTAAGGAAATGAGTGAAGAAGGAGACGATTGTAATGAATATTGTAGATCAATTGTATGCTAGACGTCCTGTAGAAACGTTAAGTTTTGATTCTGAAACTGCGTTTGAGACTCTAAGAGATCAATTACTAGAGATCAAACAAATCAACGCATATTATGTTAAAAAAGTTTTAAAACGAATCATTGATTTGGGCCTATATATAGACGATACGGATTGGATTTATGATGAATATGTGACGTTATTGAATGTAACAGACAAAGATCAATATTCTCAAATTGATTCTATACGATATTTTTTTAAGAATAAATATGAGATTGATGGTGATAGAATTTATGTTGATATTTATGAGAAACCGAATTTAATTAGTGCCAGTGGTACAACAGGTTTTAGAACATGGGAAGCTTCACTATTTTTATGTGAATATATTTTACAAAATGAAATTTTATTTAAAGACCAAAATATATTAGAATTAGGTTGTGGAACAGGTATCTGTAGTATATTATTAGAAAAGATGCAATACCCTCAAAAGATATATGTGACAGATGGTGATAGTGAATTAATTAGTAATCAATTAGTTCGTAATTTTGAATTAAATAAAATTTCAAGAGATAATAATTCAAATATTGTATTACAACGTTTATGGTGGAATGAGGATAAAATCCCAAATGATATTGATATTGTTATTGGCGCAGATATAACATTCGATGCAAGTTTGTTTGATTCTTTATGTCAATGTCTTTTAGAATGTTTAACCTATTGTAAAATATGTTTAATATCAGCTACTATTAGAAATCAGGATACAACAGATAGCTTCATTTTAACCACAAAGAAACTTGGCATGAAGATTGAAGAAATTTCAAGAACTGAAACACTAGAAAATACAACATTACTAGCTCCAGTAGTCATATACAAGATAAGTAAATAAAATAAGATAAATAAATAGATAAATAAATAAATAAAATGTTGACACTCTCTGACACCCATGTATCATATCATATCTTGACGATACACATTCCACATAGGTTCTTATATGAATGGCTAAAGTTGGGTTAATATATCCCGTCACTTATCACGATGAATAGTTGCATTGAAATATTTTTAAAATAGCAACCCACGTACTGTCTATAGTGAGGGAAACTTTTGGACAAAGTTACCCCTCTTAAAAAAAATTGTCAAGAACCAAACAATAAATATACTAAAATTGTAGAAGAGGAAAGGTTTAATTCAAACGAAGAGAGTTCTCTCCTTTTTATACTTCTTCAATTTTTTAATTTTTTTTCTGCCTTTTTTTTATCTTTTGGCGGCGACCGTGCAGCTGAGGGTAAGTTTGGGAGCCACTATAAAGTTAGGGCTTCCAAAACAGCCAAAATATTAGATATTAATTTAAGATGCTTTTTTGTTATATTTAAGAGCCAGTGAAAGAAAGTTTTACCTCTTTCAGGATTAATACATGTGTTTTTGTAGTTTGGGAATCCTTAAAGTAAGGATTATTTAAAGTCCATGAATGGATATTCTTTTAGTATTAGGAAAAAAGGATGCTCAGGGATATGAAATACTTCCATTTGTTTTTTGGTTATGGTATGTATATGTGTGTTTTTCCGTTTAATTACCACTTGAAGAGTTGTAATTGACAAACCAAGCAGTTTTTTACTAATTTTCTGTTCCTGATTTAAATATATACATATATATGCTGGAGTTTGCCCAGTGCACCAAACTTATGGTTACAGTTTAATCTTTTTTGAGATGTTTAATGCTGGTGATCCCCTCAAGTAGGTTTACATACATCTATATGGTTGCTTCTATATTCTCTTTCAATGGTTTGGAATAGCTCAGCGGTTAATAACAATTTTTTTGTTTCAAAGTGTACGCGCAGTCCAAAGGAGGCAGGGAGATGGTTATTCGCTTTGAGTGCTCATTTTTCTCTGCCTTTCTCTGGAAGAATTAAATATTAGAAAGAAAGAAAGAAAAAGGGAATACCATCCTCATGAAGACTGTAGCGGTTGCAACTAATAACACTAACAAAGAAAACCTGAAGTTACAGTTGATAATCACCGTCAATTTATTTGATGTTTTAAGGCCGTTTTTTCTTAGTGAAAAGACAAGCTGGTTTTATGATAAAAAGGGATGAATAGCTGGATACCCGGTGGTTTCCATTTCTACTAATAAGAGCGCATTTTGTTGCAGCTATAAATATTACCACTTATGCAGGATTCCGCTCCTACGTTGGGTATACGTAGATGTTAGGCCTTTCTTCCTGACGTTGTACAAATCCGGTGCCACAAAGAGAAAAAAAAGGAAAATCGATTTTTCTGGCTTGTGCGACTTTTGTTTGTTTGTTTTTGAAATGCTATCTGCGTTCACACTTAGTTAAGCTTCTGTGCAGGCAGGTTCTCTCTCGAAATTCGTTCGACTACGATATTTTAGTCTAAATTTTATTTATACGGGATACCTCTCTCTCTCATTTGGTTGGGCACTATAGTGTGTTTCTTTAGCTTAGTTTTGGTGTAGGTAAATTCAAAGAAAAACGCCGTGGATGCATTGTTCCTTATACACTTTATTTTGCTTATTCCTTTAAGAGGATAATTCTTTAAACTGTCGAAAAAATTAATTTTATTTGAACTCTTATTTTCTCTTCTCATCTCGTTTTGTCTGCCTCTTTCCTCCGGTCATTTTTCTGAGATGGTACGTAAGATTACCTTTGTTTTACTGTGGGTATTTTTACGCTTACTGCTGCATTAATGTACCTAATTATTGCTTCCCTTACCAACATCACAAGAATTTATTGTCAATAACCCATTATGCAATTAACTAACCTCTCCTGGCCGTCTACGAACGTGTGATTTCTTTATTCCTTTTTTCTTTTCTGCTTTTGGTTTTCTCTCCCCTTTTACATAATATCTTCTTAGAAAAACAGAAGAGGAAAAAAAGGGAAAAAAGCAAAAAAAAATCTAAAAAAAAAATTGCAGTAAACTGACCTCAATGGTGGTTTCCTTCCTATCTTATTTTCAAGTTTGTCATTATTTAAAAAGGAACAAAGAACAGCTATAATTTAAAGATATTGACTTATAAACAATTATTTCTTTTCTTTTGTCTTTTCTTCATTTGTCTTTTTTAACGAAATTAGTTTATGCTTTACTAATTGAAGATTAAGAACTTTATAGAACATCGTTTGGGAAGCATATCAAAAAGGTGAAAAAAAAAATAATTAAATTCCCCTATTATTACTTCTGGAAAGTATAATAATTGTAATCATTAAACAACATTAAAATAATTAAATCTCATTTTACAAAAAAAAAATTTTTTTTATTATCGAGAAACCTATTTCTTCTTTTGTTTTTAAAGTTATCCATATCCATTTATTACCATTTTTTTAACGGATGTGTCAATCTTTTGAACCCATCCCAAAAAAATCAAGGGTTATCAAGACTGACAAACCAAGACCATTCTTATGTCCTATTTGTACAAGAGGTTTCGTTAGACAAGAACATTTAAAAAGACATCAAAGATCACATACAAGAGAAAGACCTTTCTTATGTATATTATGTGGGAGGTGTTTTGCCAGAAAGGATCTAGTAATTAGGCATCAACAAAAATTACATCCAGCATATACTCAGGATAATGATTTCGACAAAATTATTGTTAACGTAGCTGGGAACACACAGACAATCTTGCCAACTGTAGGGAATCCTGTGACTAGTGGTGAGAATGTTGTTGTACAAACTCCAGCCGAATTGATAACAGGACAAAATGTCCCATCCATTCACGTTGAAGATGTACAACAACAACAACAACAACAACAACAACAACAACAACAACAACAACAACAACAACAACCAATTTTTACATCAAATCAATTTCAAACTCCTGAACATACAATAAATCCACAAAACATGGAGAACCATTTTCCCCAAAAGAGAAATTTTTTGGAAGTTTCTTCCGCAGATCAATTGTTAGATCACCAAATTACTTCAGCAGCATCACCTTCGAAAAGACATGCATCATTTTCTGCCACCACTGCATTTTCATACGCTCCAATTTCTGGTACTAACAACTTCGAGTCAGTCAACTTTAAACCAAACGTTTTGGAAGATGGACCAATCCAAGTTAGTTTCTCAACACCTCAGTTTACAGGTACCCAGGTTGAAAATAAAGCAATTGAAGCAGGATTACTTGATTTGGATCCCTTAGAATTACCTCCTAGTGTAACCTCTAAGCAATATAACAATTCGGCTGTAAATGCCTCAGATTTTAATATAATGAAAAAATCTCAATCAGAACCACTTAAGGATATTAATGCAATGTTTAGTAATAGTAGTGCATTTTTGGCTAGTTTACCATCCTTAGCGGATATGGTGACGATATCATCCACTAGTGGAGGTAGTAATGGGTTTTCAAAAAATATTTCTAATGTTAATGTAAATCCTTTTGATTATACAACAGAATTGTTAAATACTCAGAGTACCATGGGTACAAACACGGCTAATTCTTTGTCGACAATAGGAACAAATTATCTTAGTGATATTGGAACAGACCCATGGTTATCTGAATTTTTAGATCCAAAAAATTTTCCAACAGATGCACAATTGAATCATATTGGGTTTATCGATAACAATTCCACTCCAAGCCCAGGTGTTGAAAGAAGGGATTCATTAAGCAATCAAATTTTGGGTCTATTTACATCCAGACAAATGGATCTCCATGATGGTAATCGTGGTTCATCCAGCACCAGCGATGAAGGTGACATTAAGGAAGAACCTTTAACAATTAATTTTGGTCATTCTTCTAGCTTTGCTTCGTTAGACGTAAAACCAATTCTTCATCAAACTGGTAAGCCATTGGAGTTTTTCACGGAATCTCTGAGACAATATATTATTACCGACAATGAGTTAAATCCAACCAGTTTCCCATCTGTTAAAGAATTAAATGCCTATATTAAAATGTATGATAATCAATTTTCAGAATATTATCCATTTGTCCATTTGTATTCTATAAATCCATCTGAAAATAACTATCCTTTACTTTTGTCCCTCGCTATGATTGGCGCATTATACACATTCCATTCTAGTCACTCTAAATTGATGTCTATGATTTGTAGTACGCAAGTGAAGAAGTATTTATTCAAAAATGAAGTAGAAACGCCGTTATGGTTAATACAATCATTAGTTTTGGTGAGCTTTTACAATATTTTCAACAATAGTATTCATATGACCAAACAAATGGCTGCACAACTAACAACTTTATTGAATTTGATTCGCTCAAATAAACTGAACTTACCTCTGGAATTAAGCGTACAACCACCAGTTCCAAATGATCAATATATGAAATTCGAAAATAATCCTGATGAAATAAAGTTAATGTATGATCGTTTAAGCTCTCCAGAACAGTTGAAAAAGAATTTCGAATATTTCATTTTAGCCCAACAAAGAATTAGAATATGTCATATGGTACATTTATTGTCTACCCTGTATGGGGCAATGATTGGCGTTCAATACTCTCTTCACTCTATTGATTTGAAATGTGGTGTTCCAACTGTTCATGAAGAATTGTATCGGTGTGCAAATTACCAAGAATGGACCAATATATTAGAAAATAAGCTAAAGATTAGGATAGACTCAAAATTTTCGTTAATACAACTATCTAATGGTGGGGAATTTTACCAATCCTATTTAATGTATCTATCCAATGGTTATAATGGTAACATGAAGCTATCTCAAAAGCCTGTTTCCAAATTGACTCTTTTGTCGTTGATACTTTCAATTCATGAAAAAATATCCTTTGAAAGAAAATATGCAAAGGATAGAAATATGGATTGGAAGGTTAATTCAAGACCCATTATAGATTCTATGATCAAACATTGGGAAGTTTTGTATTTAAAGAGCGGAGGAACTTTAATCATGAATGATGCTGCACTACCTATAATAGATAATGATTCAATGTCAAGACTTATTGTTCCAATGTACTTTTTTGTTAAAACAAGGCGTTGTGTTGATTTCTCTCAAGTTGTAGGTAAAGTGTGGATAAAAGACTGGTCTTCAATGAACAAACTATTAGAAGATATTACTCAAGACTGGGCTCATTTCCGGGAAGCAACAGAGGCGGCATTATCTATGATAGAATCATGGATTAATATAGTGGCCTCGATTCATACTATACCTAACGAGAATAAAAAAAAATACGGTTACAAAACTCCAATTTTTACTATTACTTGTATTTTCACATGTGTTTTATTGATTTCTGAATATTTAAAGCATATTGAAGAATGGGCAGCTAGTCAAAAAGATGGTATACGTGTTTCTGAACTTTCAAGGAGAGATAAATTACTGTATTTTAAAGCTGCTAATATTATGAAGAAGATTCAAGATGTTCTTCTACCAAAGGACCACGACCAAATTAAGTCGTCTTATGTTGAGTTTTTGAAGTCACAGGCCGATGCATATAATCACTTAGATGGGATATGGGAGAGTCCGCCATCTACAGAAGTTGATATTACAGAATCATTATCATTGATCCAAAAGTTAAATCTTTCATCTAAGGCATTGTATCTTGGTGTAAAAATCTTAAGTGATGCACCTATTTGGCCAATTGCTCTTTTATTTGCGCATGCTTTCCAAAGTAGGGCCCTATATAACGTGAGTAATGGTTCAATCGATATATAAGGGACCATTTCTTCTAGTCAAGAATCTTAATAAATACCACTCAACTTTAGTGCAATTTGTATAATTACTTCTAACAGAAAATAAAATAATTTCGTTAATTTATTAAAGGTAGAATTCTACTTAAACTTCACCTGAAGTTTCTACAAGGGAGAAAGATAAAAATTTTAATATTCCATTTGTACCTTGTTTCCTTTTCCCTTTTCATCTCTTGATTAATTAGATTTCTTTTTACCTGAAATTAATAATGTTATCCAGTTACCAGTAATGAGTGATTACTAAGGTCAATTTTCGAAAGTTAGTATTATTGTTAATCATTGAAAAAAATTAAAAACTATTGGAAGTAACATTACAATCTAATACTAGACAGTTCCACAAGTATTGGGTCTATTTGTGAACAACAAAGGGAAGAACAAGGAGTAACTGATTTGAGCGCCTGATGAAATGAAGAGGACTTGATCACATTCTGAATGCTTCAAATATGAGTATAAAGAGAATAATAGTAACCCTGATATAATATCGATGTTTTCGTTCCCCTATTTACTTTGTACACTTAATAGAGAAACGAGTGATCTTAGTCTTTTAAAGAAGCATAAAAGTTTTTGAGAGAATTAAATATCTATTAACAATGTTTTCCTATTAATAAAACATACATGTGGTTTTAACGTGGCGCAAATCATTAAGTATACCTCACATTTTCTAGAAGAGTGTAGTAATTAGGTAAGGTAAGTGAACTGTGCAACTGACACTCTAAGATTTTCAAGTGTGGGTAATACGTCATAATAATGACTATCCCCTCTAAATAATTGATGAAGTAGTTGTCGTTGTCAAATACAAAGATAACTGATGAAAATGTTGAGGCACTAAAGAAGATTCAAGAAAATTGAAAAATATTAGAACTTCCTACTAATCATTACTAAACTTAGTACGGGTCAACATTGGTTCAGAAGTACCATGATCTTATTTTAGCTAATAATAAAGTCAATGAACAACTTTTAAAGAAAAACAAGTTGTTCGCCATATGCTCACTAAATACAATATGATAGGAAAAGATCACAAAATATTTACGAATATTTTCATATAGAAACAGGGACTGCACAACGTTAAGATTCGGAATTTAAAATTATCAAAACATACAATTTGAAATTCAAAAGCTTTTCATTGTAGTAATACTTCTTACAATGCATCAAGAGTGAATGTGTAGATTTAGAAAAGATATGGCGTTGTGAATAAAGTAAGGCTTCTGCACATTACAACTACCAATAAATACTTCACCTTTCATTCTATACTCAATATCTAAACCTTTTATTATAAAAAAATATCCCTTTATGTATACCTTCTTCTACTCCAATGTGGTTTGGATTCAAACGGGGAAGTGTCCAATTCATTACAATCAAGTATTTAAATACAAGGATGCTGTATTAAATGGTCCTCCCCCTGCCGAATTATTCATCTAAATTTCAATATCTTAAAGTGTTTATTTCACTCATTATACGGTCAATAAAATGAACATAATATGTAATTAAAAGTAAGTATTACCCGGATTCTGAGCTTCTATGTTGTATGGAAAACTTTAAACAATTTTCCAAGAAAAGAAGAAGCGGTGGCTCAATGGTAGAGCTTTCGACTCCAGTTAGATCCTGGAACTTCCAAGGAAATCAATGATTGCAATCGAAGGGTTGCAGGTTCAATTCCTGTCCGTTTCATCTTTATTTTTTAAGAATATTTTTTACCGTTTCCGGGTAATCATTAAATGTAAAGATTTTAGAATTGGACTCTCATCCCTAATGATTTCATTAGCTATTTAACCTAACAGAAAGTAACTAAAACCAAGGAAAACTTTGGTTTCTTTTTCTCTGTACTTATCAATTCATCTTGAAATACACTGCTAAAATGACTGAATCAAGGAAGACAAATAGCCAGGAAGACAATGGCGAAACAGAGAGCACATCACTACTAGCACGTGAAACAATACCCTATACTCCATCACCACGCCCTACGAGTGGAAGATCCCAGTCAACACCGGATTTATTCGATTCATTTAATTCTGTAAGTCGTAGAGCTAGGAGTAGTACGGTATCAAGTGTTGTAAGCACTAGTATAGAGATTGTACAAGGGCATTTAGATAAGAAGAAATTTACAATTTTGCTAGCCATTAGTTTCTTTATTTATCTAGGTTTTGTTGTAGTATTTGCTCCACGTACATCATTAGCAAGAGATTTTAGAAGATATCATAACTCAAAATTAACTACCTCAGAGGTTTATCGAATATACTTAGATACTTTACAGGATGATAACTTTATGCACCATCATATGAAAAATTATACAAATTTTGATAATAGTGTGGAAAGTCTTAATTATACTATTAAAGAACTGAAGATGCTTAACTTTGAACCTAAAATAGAAACATATTATCCGTGGGTCACCCTTCCAGAAGAAACTGATGTACAAATGTTGAAGGATGGAAGATATGTGTTTAATGCAACATTAATGGAAGACTCGTTATCTAATCAAATTGAGTCATCTGGATTTAAAAAAGGATACCATGCTTATTCGCCAAACGGTGAGGTAAGAAGTTCATATGTGTATTGTAACTACGGTACATTGAGGGATTATAAGATACTTCTTGATCATAATATTCCTATAGAAGGGAAAATTCATATATTAAGGGATGGTCTTGTATCGTCAGGAATCAAACTTAAAAATGCAGAGTTATATGGGGCATCAAGTGTGTTGATATACAGTGATCCATCTGATGATGGATTTGTTACTGAAAAGAATGGATTTAAGTCATTTCCAAATGGACCTGCAAGAAACCCTAGTAGTATTAAGAGAGACTCCGTAGAGTACATGTTTGATTTTCCTGGTGATCCGACTTCTCCAAATTTCCCATCTAAATCCAAGGATATGGAAAGACTTTCACCAGCAGGAAAAATCCCAAGGATACCTTCTATTCCAATATCGGCAAACGAAATACGACCAATTCTACTTGAACTTAATGGAAAAGGTATAAAACTTGGTGACGGTGATATTGATGGATATGATTACTTTTGTGGCCCATCTGACGAAAAAGTACAACTAAATTTACTCAACAAGCAGAAACATTCGATTGCTACGATAAACGACATTATTGTAGAAATACCAGGGATATTTTCTAACGGGGATATAATCATTGCAAGTCATAGAGATTCATGGGTATTTCCTGGCGGTGCCGCAAATCCAGGTAGTGGGAGTGCCATACTTTTAGAAATTGCTCGAGGACTAAGTAAACTAAGGTCCAAAGGTTGGATACCTCTTCGGACCATAAAACTTGTAAGCTGGGATGGTGAAACTACTGCAAAGATAGGTTCCACGGAGTACATCGAAGATTTTGCTACTAATTTGAAAAATAATGCATTGGCATATATTGAGCTTGACAATGCTATTTCCGGGACAGAATTCCACTGTGCAGCTAACAAACTCATGGAAAATGCAATTATTATGGCGGCAAAATCAACCAGTTTCAAAGGAGATGAAGAATGGACTTTATATGATGAATGGAAAAAAGAGTCAAATTCTAAACAGATACAACTATGTGAAGATCCACCCTTTTCACTTTTCCAAAGTCATCTGGGAATTAGTTCTGCTTCGTTCCAATTTCGAAACAACATGAACACGGATGCAATAAATCACCTTAATTCTTTGTTTGACTCCCATGACTGGATGAAGCATTTTATTGATCCGGACCTCAGGTTACATGGCACACTTGCTTCATTTTCCGGTTTATTGACGTTGATGTTAGGTGAAAAAGAATTGCATTTTTTCAGCATTCATCCCTATATGAAACAAGTCTACGAAAGAATGACCGAGTTGAGTAAAATGATTAGCAATATTTTCCCACATGATGATGAGTTACATCATCTGTCGCAAACAGTAGAGGCTAATCTTGGACTAATTACTTGGCAAGATAGTATTATTTTTGATAATAAAGTTGAAAAAATTTATCAAGAATCTTTTACAGATATGCCAATTTGGTTCGGATTCAAAAAATTTAAATTATTTTTATCACTACAGAGAATGAATAAAAAACTGAAGAGCTTCGATAAATTGTTTGTTACACATATGGGGTTAAACGATAGAGAATGGATGAAACATTCTCTTCTTGCACCTAACAAGTATAATGGGCTTACTGGGGATATTCTTCCCGGTGTACATGAAGCGCTAGTTGATATGAACAGATCAAGAGTTTCGAAAGAATTGACTATCTTACAAGAACAATTCGAAAACGTAAGAAAGCTTCTTGCTTGAATAGGTTTTAGTTTTATATTATATATTTAAAATGCATATTCTCATTTTGGAAGATATAACAGGAAATGATTCCTAAATTTTTTTTTATAATTTCCCGTCAGTTTCTGAAGACAAAAAATGTATTAATGATAAAATAAAGTAAAATGAATGGTTTATTGCTTGGCTTTATCATAAACATGTATACACTTATCATTTTCTCATTATTATGCGCCTAATTAAGCTATGGTCACTTTGTTCATCAGTATATGAATGGTGTTGCTCAAGGTGTAGGTTTTGTGAAAGGTTTTATATTACACTCGTGATGTATCACAAAAAAATTAAATTCTAGTCGAAAGACATGTAACAAAAGTAGTAACAACAGTAATATTAATCTATGATCTGCTGGAAAATCGATTATCACTTTTGTTTTTTTGTTTATTATTTTGGTCATAGTATAGCACTTTGAAACTCTTCGAAAAATTAAAAAAAAAATTTAATCATAGTTTCTAAAATATTAGAGGAAATAGTAACAGTTCAATAAATATAAACATAGTAACAAGTAAAACTTAACATTCAAGTGAAAAATTACTTCGTTAGATAATAATAAGGTTTAAGTCTTAAGTTTAAATAAATGTAGCTTCATTAAAGAATAACGCTTCTAGAGTATTTCCTTATAATTGCTCCAGCAAAAATGGAATAGTAGCTATCGAGACTAATATAAACAGCAAATAAATAATAAACAAGACACTAGAAACTTTGCGATATAACAGAAAATGAATGAATATATTTTGTTGAATTATTCGAGTCGAATTATTATGAGCTAGGGAGCAACGTCCATCGATAAACTTGTATCGTATAACAGTCTATTAAAAGGTACCTTGTCTTCAATAATAGCATTAGATACCCAAGCATTTTAGTCAATGGTCCTTAACAGGTCCTATAAAATTTCAGATTTTAATAGTACATTTGGTAAATTACAGGAGATGAGCACCTACAGTATGCTGTTGAATATTATTATTAGTTGTGAGGAGCCGACTTGACCACTACATCGCTCTTCCTGTTATGGATCATATGACTCTTCACCAACTGCCCTGTAGCTAGGGCCGCACATAATGACAGCTCGGCCGCCATGACTGAACAAGCTACAATTTTGGCCAAGAGCCTTGCATTTTCACCTGGGGTTTCCTGGTTGGGTCCACGAACACCCAATACGTCTAACATCGCACTCTGGGGTCCCAAGATTGTCCCACCTCCAATTGTCCCAACTTCAATTGAAGGCATTGAAACTGATATTTTCAAATTACCATCAACTTCGTTCATTAATGTTAAACAGTTTGAACTTTCAGCATTTTGTGCTGGATCTTGACCTAAAGCTAGAAAGATCGCCGTCAGTGTATTTGCTGCATGCGCATTAAACCCCCCAACGGAACCAGCCATTGCAGATCCAATAAGGTTCTTACATATGTTCAATTCTTCAAGTTTTGCAGGGTTACATTTAAGAACTTTTGAGACAACTTCACCTGGAATAATTGCCTCGGCATAAACACTTTTTCCCCTACCTTCTATCCAATTTATTGCTGCAGGTTTCTTATCAGTGCAATAATTACCAGATAATGATATGACTTCCATATCTTCAAAGCCATACTCTTCTACCATCATCGATAATGAGTGTTCGACACCTTTAGATACCATATTCATTCCCATCGCATCGCCTGTGGTTGTCATAAATCTAATGAATAATAAATCACCTGCTAATGCAGTTTTCACATGTTGCAACCTTGCAAAACGAGATGTTGAATCGAAGGCCCTTTTTATCTTTTCTTGCCCCTCTGGAGAATCTAGCCATAATTTACAGGCACCAGATCTTATTAGTGATGGAAACCGTACACATGGTCCCCTAGTCATACCATCTCTAGTTAGAATAGTTGATGCCCCACCACCAGCATTAATTGCCTTGCAACCTCGTGTAGCTGAAGCAACAAGACATCCTTCTGTAGTTGCCATCGGGATATGATATGATTTACCATCAATGATTAACGGCCCCATTATTCCCAGAGGTAATGGCATATAACCAATTACATTTTCGCAGCAAGAACCAAATACACGATCATAATCATAATTCTGATACGGTACATCTAATGTATTCAAGGATGGTGATTTTGCTAACACAGATATCGCTTCTCGGCGAACCTTAACAGCCCTATATCGGTCCTCCAGTCTTTTTTCTAAAGAATACAAAGGTAATTTCTTTGCTATTACCATATTAGCTATTTCTGTATTTCGCAAATCTTTTAACTTACCTTCTTTCATCATCTTGACACAATTATCTAACGTTCTCTCAACTGGAGATAAGGAACTACTATCGCAACTCGAACTACTATTTTCATCATCACTTGCGGTTAGAGAAAATGTCTTTGGACTTAAATTTTTAGTAAAATCTGCTGAATGTAATGACCTTGTAATTGAAATAGGTTCCCTCTTAATGACTTCTGTTTGGGTTACTTTTCTGTTCCTAATTAACTGTGAAATGGTAGCGTCTGAATGAATCTTTGCAACTCTTAATAAATAAACATTTGTACTAATGCTAATTACGCAAATGATAAATATAACTTTACCAATAAATTTATCAGAAATTGCGAACCCCAAAGTTTTTAATATTAATATTGTAATATTTCCAGAATTTTTATACTCTTGTAATGATTGATAGTAGAATGTTGGTAGGACGGATATAATAACATCTTTGTTAGGAAGAGGTAAACCATTACTATTATTAACAAGTAAAATATCTGGTAATACTGTTGGACGGAAACTTAAAAAGATAGATTTAATAGTATTAAATGTCCATTTCAAATTAATATTATATATATTAATACCAACCAACAAAAGAATGATAGACAACTTACCTATACGTATCATTGCGTTTGATTTAAAAAAGGATAGTTTCTGTAGACCAATCTTTTCATCAACTGCATCAGATTCAATGGTTACATTACATTCTTCTTCCAAAGTTTGTCTGATGATTGTTGATCTATTTATGATTTTTATCTCCAATTTTAAGCATAGTATCGACGAATAAAAAGTTATCGTTAAGAGTAGATCATAAAATAAAATAAATACTAGTAACATCAAACAATTCACCATTTGGGTAGAGTATCTAAATGATACAATAGCAAAAATAGCTAATGTGGATAAGCCAAGATAAAATTTGATCAAATGTGAAGCGACATCAACAAATGCATCGTAAATAATTTTATCTACTGTAATTTTTCTGGATATATTTAAAGTACCATATCTCTTGATAACATAATCACTAAATTTAATCTTATCCCTAAACCCTACAACTACAAAGAAAAATGGTAATGTTTCAAATAATACTAAAGTAGTTGTCGGTCTTTTCAAGACATATAACATCGTGAAGGAAGCTAGAAAGAAAGCACACGCAGAGTTTATGAGTGTGGTCAAGGATAACCAGAATCGAGACCCTTTCTTCCTCATTTGTTGAAATAGATCCAAAATTGTACCACAAACCATGATATATGAAACTAACAGCAAGGTGATATCAGTTTGTTCCAAATTGTTTTGTATAGTTACATTATGTGAAAACGTTAAAATATGATTCTTTAATTGTTGTAAATAATTCTTCGTAACTCCCATTTCCCATATGAGTTCATCTTTATTACCCAAATATTCTTGAGGTTTATAAAGAGAATCGGTTAAAATACATGTACTGGAATTTGTCTCATAGATAACATTTGAAAGTTTTGGAGTTGTTGCGAATGTTGTTTGATCTTGAAATGTATAAGTGTACATGTAATAATGTTCCAAATTTGAATAATTACCAAGTTCTGAATAATTCAATTCTTTCCATTCGTTCAACCCATTAGAATGGTAATAATGAGAAGAATCCTTCAACAACTCTGTTTGATTAAAATCGATAGGATTTATTGTATTTTTAAATATAACTTCCCATTCTTTAAAATAATAATGTATCATAGAAAGATATGCCATCGAAGAAAGTAATAAGGACATCATTACCACTTCTATCGGGTGTCTTGCCGATAACCTTGCTAGATTAGCCATCACAGTAACTACCCGGTTACATGACGTTCGACTAGTCATTATTCTTTAGGGGGATCTACCAAGTAGCAAAAATGAAGAAACCTCAAAACTTAGAAAAAGAATAAAATAGCGTAATGAATGCTCAACTACCGTAAACTACCGGACTCCAAAGATATTCCTCGAATGGTAATGAATAAGAATATAAGTTTGCTAGAACTATCAATCTCCTTGTCTAGAAAACTCTTCAAAGTTTCTTAAATATTATCCTTTCTTTTAGAGTTTCGGCGGCTTTTTTTCCATCTTTAACGTTTGCCTTCTAAATGACTCCCCTCTCTCTTTATCGTTGTTCTCCCCGCGATATATGCAAAAATTTCTGTTGAATTCGATAAAAATGACATGCAAAGATTATTTTTTATGTAATTATTAAACTAAAGAATAATTTGGTGGTCCCAAACTCATCAAAACATATCATCATCCGTGGTGAAGATTTGATCCCTATGTTCATACCTGTCGAGGTCCTACTTGTAAGAAATAATTGTAAAATTGAGAGTCTTCTTTACGTATATTTTATATAAGAATAATGGCTAGATATGAAATTAAATAGTCTCCAAAACAGCGAAAAATATAACCAGAAAAAGTACACTACCAATCTGATGGCAAGTGAAAACTTAAACGACTATTCTATTTCTTTTTTTTTAAAAATCTAATAGGTGTCTGATGAATCTCTAGACCTCCTTATTTCATGGAGACAAGCTTAACATCGAAAGTCAATTCAGAATTGGCTGGGATACCAGGTAGAGCTTGCTTACCGTAAGCATATGGAGCTGGAATAACAATTCTACGTTCACCACCAACAGCCATACCGGCAACACCAATATCCCAACCTTTAATGACTTCACCTTGACCCAATTTGAAAGCAAATGGCTTACCGCTTGTGTTCTTGTCAAAGACCTTACCGTTCTTTAACTTACCAATGTATCTCATACCGATTCTGGAACCCTTCTTAGCTAGAGGACCTTTACCAGACACACGGTCTTCAACAACGATACCACCAGCTAGAGTCTTAGCCTTAGGTTTTGTTTCTTGCTTCTTCTTGGTTGGACCTTCTTCTAAATCCTTCTTGAATTCGACCTTTTTAGATTTCTTAGCCTTCTTAGCAGGCTTTTCTTCTTCTTCTTCTTCCTCTTCTTCTTCTTCAGATTTTTCTTGCTTTCTCTTGTTTTGCTTCTTGTTCTTACCCTTCTTTTCTTGTTCTTCAGCGACTAATTCTTCAATACGACCTTCGATGTCGCTAGCATCTTCTAAGTCATCAAGTTCATCACTTAGTTGTTCATCATCTAGATCTTCAATTTCTTCATCTTCATCGTCAATTAGATCATCTAGGTTGTCTTCATCATCATAGTCTTCTTCGTCTTCTTCATCAGAATCTAGACCTTCAATTGGAGTGTCAAATGGATGCTTAACATAGTTACCAGATAAAGAAACGGTGTATGAACCAGTGACAACAAATTGTATATCTTCTTCTGGAGCAATAGTGATATCCAAAGTTTGTTGGAAACCAGTTTCTGGGGAAAGAGTTGCAAGGACACATTCTTCAAATTCATCATCAATTTCTTCTTCTTCACCCTCTTCATCGTCATGGTCATGATCGTGGTCATGTTTGTGGTCATGCTTCTTACCCTTCTTAGACTTTGGCTTTTCTTCTTCTTCTTCTTCTTCTTCATCGTCTTCTTCTTCTTCATCGTCGTCGTAGTCATACAAATCGTAGTCTGGGTTTCTCTTGATCAATCTCAAAGTGGATGGCTTTTTTTCATCATCAAAAGGTTCTGGGTCAATAGCGGCCATTGTCAAACGGATAGTGACCGGCATATCTAGACCGATGGCTGGAGTTGGATCGTATGGTTCAACATTAATACTGTAAGTGGCTAGGGGTAACATATCGGCCATTTTTGATTATCTTATTTCTTTTTTAGTGAGTCTGGTAGAACTTTGTAGTTATAAAACTGCCATTTCAATAAAATAAAGTTGAAAAATTTCAAATAAGTAAGTTTAAATATTGTTATGTTATATTTATACTTAAAGTGGAAGCTCATCTCATTTTTCTTTTTAAATTAATTGAAAACGAAAAATTTTCAGGCCCCAAAATTTTTTTTTTCGTTCGCACCGTGGGGGCCGTACAAATATGTGGACTATCCCGTTCTCCCCCAGAAAAAGAAAAGAGTATTCTAAGAATAATAATAATAATACTACAAATAGAAATGAATCTGAAAGCTTTTATGTTCTAAATTTTAATTAGATATATAATGTATATGTTTTCAAATGTGACCATAGAAAACCTGTATATACCCACATATATACAAGTTACTTAGTCAAAGAAAAAAATCTAATTTTCTAGTGATGAATGTATTTTGCTTCATGAATGTATCTCTTCATAAAAGTAACAACAATATGAGCCTATGCAAAATAAGTATTAATGAAATTAATCAATTTCAATAGCAAGCGTAGCTTCACACAAACGAGATAATTAATCATACCGGAAGACGAAATGGATATGAAAAAAAAATACTGATCAGATATAGTACATAATATCCTTAACCTTTTGATTTATAGGTGGTAATAATTTAGACCCTGGAATGACATCGTTTTTATTCTTTCTAACCTTAGAGAATTCAAAGTTAGCAAGAGCAAAATTAGCCTTGAAGAATTGAGCACCACGGTCACATAACAAATCTGCATAGTAAACAGGACTTGCAACCTTGATACTAGTACTGGATCTACCGAAGATGTAACATAAACTGTGTGTAACTTGTTGTAAGTAATCTGATGTATATTGATTTTCATCGTAAATACACCAGTAATGACATGGAACACCGGTACCCTCCAAAGCTTGTTGAGACTGTAAGAAGAAATCGAAGTGAGCTGATGATGTAACACCACGATCAACAACAGTACCAGCCATGACATTACCCATGGTTTGAACTGCAGCAACTTCACCCTTCTCATTTACAGCATTTTGTTGTAATGGCATAAATCTGATATGGTTTCTCTTAACGACAGCTAAGACAGTCATTGGTGGGTTATATGGAGCACCTTTATTCAGAGATGCACCAACCTTCTTAACAGCTTCCTTCAAATTCTTAACTTCAATGTTAATCAATTGACTGAATTGACCTTCAGAGACACCATCTCTGTAGAATAAGATCTTTGGTGGTAATTTACCATTATTATGCTTTTGGTAAAGAACCAATCTATCTCTTAATAAACTACCAATACCGGCAATCATTTCCTCACCTGGTCCACTTTGTAGTAAGTAATCACCTGGGAATTGAGCAAACTTATCATCGAAGGAAGCAACCAAAGCAGCAATAGAATTTTGATCTTCTTCTGGATAATGTGTAACATCAGCACCTAGAATCATAAATGGTAGACCAGTAGCCTCATCAATTAATGGAGCAACATCTTCTTTGCTCAAAGAGTGATTAATACCTTCCATCTTCAAGTTCATCTTCATTACAACATTAACATTGTATTGTGTAGAGTTCTTCTTGAATTTGTTCCAAACAACACAGGAGTTAATGACACCGTATTTCAAATCGGATAAATATTTTAATCTATTGTAGACATCAGAGTTACTACCATGACCTAAAACGTACATAATGTAAGTGTTTTCTGGAACATTTTGTAACAAATTGTCAAGAGCTTCTTCACCTGGAGATAATTCGAAGACAGTTTCACCACGGCCACCGAAACCACCACGACCACCACGGCCACGGCCACCACGACCACCACGACCACCACGACCACCACGACCACCACGGCTACCACCGCCGACAATCTTCTTATGTGGAGCACCAAAGTCATTAATTAAGATTGGAGCAGCGGAGACATCGAAGTTGACACCAACAGATGCAACATCTTTTTGGAATTTAGTTAAGGATCTCTTTAATTCTTCCATGATAGATACTGGTGGAGCTCTGTCGGAGTCATTAACAAAGACAGCTCTTAGATTAACAGTCTTTTCTGGGGAAGTAATGAATTCGTGACCGATCAAATCCCAGTTACCCTTTGTCTCTTCGTTTCTGCTTTTACCATTAGCAGCCTTGGCACCAAATGGCTTATCAACATACTCAACAGTAGAGCTCTTGAATTGAACAACAGGAGCGTCAATAACACGAGATGGAACTCTTAGGAAAGAATAACTAGTGTCATGAGGAGCCTTAGCTCTTTCTTCTTCGGTAGTCAAAGCATCTCTAATGGATGGTAAAGCCAAGTTGGTGATGGCCTTGAATTTATCAGTTGGTCTCAATGCAGTAAAGTTAATAACAGCAACTTCATCTCTAACTTGACCCTTCAATTTTTGACCTGGAATGATAGATAAACATTCAGCTGGGACAACGTTTCTACCACCAAGACTGACTAATTTCACATCTGGATATTGTAACTTAATTTTGTATTTCTTTTCAAAGTAGCTGTTAGTGTTAATCATAATTTCCTTTTCACCATCCTTTGGTGCAGTGTTGTTAATGGCACTTGGTAAAGCTCTGAATTTCAAAGAATTAGCGGTTTCTCTAACGAAACCAACAATCCCTTTTGGTTTAATCATCTTAGTTGCTTCCTTTGGCTTGCCATTAGCATCAACACTATAGTTAATGTAAGGTCTGTTAACCTTTAGGCCCTTCAATAATTCTTTGATGTCTCTGTTTTTGTCAATAAAGAAGTTGATATCATTAGAAGTGACTTTACCATTGAATTTTTGACCTCTAGATTCTTTATCTTGAATGTAACACTCAATAATCCAGTCTAATAAGGAATATTTGGTCTTAGCATTTTCACCGAATTTAGCATCAGATGGTAAATATTTAGTGTGCTTATAGAATGGTAAACAAACGTTAACAATGTTTAATAAGACCGCACCATAAGTATATCTTAGAGAAACAGTGAAACCATGCATCAAATAAGCACCCATTTGGAATGGAGTAGTTAAAGCATGTTTGTTGAAAATAAAGAATTTATTACCTTGTAATTGAAAAATTGGATCCTTAGTTCTTAAAAATTTAACACCTAATAAAGATAATAAAACTGTCTTTTCTGGAGCAGACATCTTAGCTTCTTGGAATTCTGGGTCATTATTTAAAGTACCTTTGTAAATATCAGATAAATTAACCTTTGAAACAAACTTTAAAACAATTTGAGAAGTTAATTCACTTAAATCGTAAACATCACCTTGAGAAGGAGCAATCTTAATCTTATTCTTTTGTTTGTTACTAACATCCCAACAACCTTTGAATAATGTGAATTCTTCTAATGGAACATGGGAGTATAAAGTTTCTTCACCATTGAAAGCAATACGATCCTTATATTTGAATAAAGTTTCATCTTCATGGAATAAGGCATCAATTAATTCAAACTTCTTTGGTTTTGAAAGTGGAGCTGGAGGAGGTGGTTTACGTGGACCTTTACTTTCAGGGGCAGCCGGAGTAATGAAATCAATATGATAAGCGTAAATAAAAGCAGATTTCCACCAAGGATCAGTTTCAGAATGTATACGGTTAGTGACATCATCACCACGAGCTAAAAGGATATGATTAGTTAGGACATCAACTTTTGTACCTTTAGTACCATAATCAACTCTGCCATGTAATTTCAAACCATCTTTAACATCAGCTTGTTTTTCACCAGTTGCTGGATTATGAGTTTCATCGAATGTTTCTTTTGGGATTTCAATGTTGTTAATTAGTTCTGGGATTTCTTCAGGAGAATTTGCTACTGGTCCATTGCCGGTAGAAGTAGTAACAGTTGATTTCTTAGTTTTGGTCTTCTTCGGAGCTTCAGTAGTAGTAGTAGTAGTAGTAGTTGTAGTAGAAGAAGGTTCAGTTGAAGCATCAGCAGAAGATTCTTTTGGTTTCTTTTCTTTCTTAGATTTTGGTTTCCTTTCTTTCTCAGATTTTGGTTTCTTTTCTTTCTCAGATTTTGGTTTCTTTTCTTTCTCAGATTTCGGTTTCTTTTCTTTCTCAGATTTTGGTTTCTTTTCTTTCTTTGACTTAGATTTCTTTGATTCTGCATCACCATCCTCAGAAGCAGTGACTGTAGTATCATTATCAGTATCTTTCTTATTCTTAGTTTTCTTCTTTTTCTCTTTAGTTTCAGCTTCTACAGCAGCACCATCGTTATCTTTTGTAGTTGCCACATTAGAATCATCTTTCTTACTCTTTTTCTTTGGTTTAGATTTCTTTGGTTTTTCTTCACCTTCAGCAGCTGCAGTAACAGAACTTTCTTCAGAATTATCATTAGTACTCTTTGGTTTTTTAGTTTTCTTTTTCTTCTTCTTTTCACCATCTTCTGAAGTTGATTTATCTACTTCATTTGTTGTAGATTTTGTAGATTTTTTTGAAGATTTTTTTGAAGATTTTTCTTTCTTTGAGTCATTAGTTACAGGAGTAATCTTTGGTTCATTATTTGACTCGGACATTATTTTATTAGATATACTTCTAATATTTGAAATAGTTTAATGTTATTTTAAAAATTGATTATAATTGTGGGGGTTTAAATCAATTTTTTATATAAATTAAAACAATGAAAGAATTTTAACTTTGTTCAAAAACTTTCCCAAAAAAAAATTAGTTGTAATATATCTTTAATTGATCTATGAGTATACACTAATTAAGAATAACTTTCCTAAAAGAGGCGAAAATAAAATACAGAATTTTTTTTTTATTTTTATATTAATTAAATACGTTATTATTTATTTATTTACTTAATTAATCTATTTTCTTGTTTTAAAAATCTCCTAAACATCTCTGTAGATGCGATTAAAAACAGCACACACATATATTACTAAGAGGCAAAAATTTAGATTTTATCGAAAAATACAGTAAATAGGACATGCATATTTTCTTGACATCGCCCAATAGAATGGAAACCGCTAAAGCCCCCAAAAAAAAGAGGGGAGAAAGGGAAGGCAGAGAAACAATTTAATTTTTCTTGAGAAATTTTTGTTTCATTTTTGGTTTTTTTTAATTTTTTTTGGTTGTCGAACTCAAACGCGTCGTATTAAGGTATGTTGCCTCGAAGAGAAAGGGAGCAGGGCGTGTCCGGGAAGCAAGCTTAGGCTGGGCGGCTAGAGGCCGGTTTAGGTATTAGATCCGTCTCGAGGGATGTGGGCATTAAATGAAGATATTAATATGTTTTAGGGTATGCGATATGTTTCAGGGGGTGGAATGTACATTACGGGGCAATTGCACGCAAAGATCAGATTTCAAGGCGGGGGTTTCCGCCTTTTTATTATATATGTATATTCTTTTAAGTTTGGCTGGATTTGTAATCTGGATATCAGAATGCTGAATTGCTGAGAAACATAACAACTGTAAAATGTTTTGTTCTAGCACCTTTTATGTTAATATATATATATATATATATATACGCGTGTTTCGCTTTACAGATACCGAAATGCACGCCTAGCAAGTAGTTTACGGTTTAATCATTCTCGAGAAAATAGGGAAAGACAAGTTTCTTTTACTAGCGTATATATTCGGAAACATGGAAGAGTGTTCATAAGAAAATCGTCATCCCCGTTGTTTCAACGGTATGGGGGTGGAGGGAGAGAACTGTCTGTTTATTTAGGCTGTTCTCTATGCGGGTGGGCTTGAACGGCTGTGCACATTGCGTCTCTCACGTAAGGCGGTGAATTTTTATAGTATCACGAATCGTAATGTTTTGTCTCTCTTAATTTTCGTTCTGTATTTTGCAATTAATTTCCTATCGGTCCCTTTAAATATATATACATATTTGTATCTATTGACACTTCAACTTTATGAGTTGGTAATTATCACGACGTATACAGTGATATACATAATTTTTTTTTTCAATGATTTCTGAATACAGTTAACCGAACAGGATAACGAGATATAGCCGCTATCAACATCAAAAAACAACCACAACTAAAGAAGTTATTATCCTGTCTTGATACACAATCAGGTATAATCTATTAAGTTGTCTATCTTTTGACAGTTTTGGTCTCTTTTTTTTATAATTTTTTCTTATTTTCTTATACGTTACCTATATAATAGAAAAATCATATACATAGGTAATAATGAGCTATAGACTTTAATATAAATATATAGACTGTATCGTTATACCGTGTGCCTAAATTTAGAAATGATGGGGGTGTAGTTTGTTTCTGTATTGTAAGTTTGTATTAATATTTTGTTTGCAATTATTATTATTGTTAATTTTTTCTTTATTTTTTTAATTAATTAACTGTTATGAGTTTTAGTTCTTTTTTGTTTGTTTATCTATTTCAGATATGCTGGAAAAGTAAAAAAAACAAAAACAACTTAAAACTTTAGCATGTGTGGCTTATCACCATTCTTCAAAGAGAAAGAAGTAGCTAAATATTGTTTTAATAAAGAAGTTTTCTTAATTTCAGCTAATAAAGCCTTATCAACATTCTTTTGATCTTCAATTCTTTCAGCTTTAACTTCCTTTGAAGTGTTTTCTGGGAACATTTGAGCTTCTTTCTTTTCTTTCTTTGATAGTTTAGCATCTCTGGCAAAGTATTCGACGTTGAATTTTTCAACGTTGACTGAGTCAACAGCAACCTTGGTAGAAGTAGCAATGACGTAACGAGCATTGACTCTTCTTAATGGAACACCGTTAACCTTGAATGGACCGGAGATCAATAGAGTGTTGTCTTCTAGGTGCTTTAAGTAAACAGCTCTCTTACCTCTGAAACGGCCAGCTAGTAAGATAACAACAGTACCTGGAACTAGAGAAGCACGTAGCTTTTGTGGACGGATAGCCTTTCTGGTCTTCTTTTGAGCAGAAACATCTTCAGATGGGAACCACTTTGGAACAGCTTGAGCACTCATTTTATTATTTTCTTGTGTGTTGGAAAGTTGGGGGATTGTTTGATATTCTTCTCTTTTTTTATTATTATTAAAAAAAGTACTATTTAAATATCGAAAAATTCACACTCTCTTACGTATAACTATTAACTTAATAATAATATAGAAAAAGATGTACTAATACTAACTCAGTACTATTTACTTTAACGTTATCACGATGAAAATGTTCTACTAATTCCCACTATCCTTGGTAGATAGACTATAACGAAGCATTATCCCATAACGTCAGTATGGTCCCATCCATTCTAAGAATACTGGGAGATCCCCCCAGACAAAATTGTTCGCGTCAAGAGTAAGAATAACTAATTACATGGAGAACTTCCCTCAGTGTTTCAATTTTGGTATCTGACAATAATGATTATGAATAATTGAAAAGTTTCAATCATCTTTGTCACTGTTACAGGGGAGATAATATTCGCGTCGCGTTGTGGATGCTGAAATATTCATTTTGAAGAATTTGAAAAAACTTTAAAAAAATGTATTCTTTGAATAAATGCATGGGTGTACGATGATGTGTGGGTGGTAATTAAGCAGTCACAAAATATTAAGAAAATATAGACATATCACTGCAAACGGAAAATTGCGTATATTTTTTTTTTTTGCAGCCATCTTGTCCCTTCTACAGCTTCTGTTGCTATTCTTTTTTTTTTTTTCTAAATGACTGCAGCTGTAGTAGCAACACATCTTGTAATACTTAAAGATCGAATTTGATGAAACATAATTTAAACCCATCAACTGTATAAAAGAATCGTAATCTTGTTGGTGAAAGATTATTTAAACAATATTATAAGGCCGTAACACTTCCGCTGAGTCTCGTCCCTTTTTTATAGATCGTTTAGATTGGTTTCCAACTTTTATTTACATCAAGTTTATAATCTAACAATTAATCATGGAAGGTGTTTATTTCAATATAGATAACGGTTACATCGAAGGTATTATTCGTGGTTACAGAAACGGGTTTTTAACTGCTAACCAATACTTAAATTTAACACAATGTGATACTTTAGAGGATTTAAAATTACAACTTTCATCTACCGATTATGGTAATTTCCTATCAAGTGTTCCAGCTGAGGGATTAACCACCAGTGTTATTCAGGAACATTGTTCTGATAAATTATTCAATGAATTCAATTATATTCGTAACCAACTAAGTGGGAAGAGCGTTAAGTTTATGGATTATATCACTTTCGGTTATATGATTGATAACGTTGTACTAATGATTACTGGTACGATTCATGCTAGAGACAAAAGTGAAATCCTAAGTCGTTGTCATCCTTTAGGTTGGTTTGACACTTTGCCTACTTTAAGTGTCGCTACAGATCTAGAATCTCTATATGATACAGTACTTGTCGATACACCATTAGCACCATTTTTTAAGGATTGCTTCGATAATGCTGATGAATTGGATGACCTTAACATTGAAATTATAAGGAATAAATTATACAAGGCTTACTTGGAAGATTTCGCTACTTTTGTTTCTGAAGAAATCGAAGAACCATCAAAGGAGATTATGTTGGAATTGTTAGGCTTTGAAGCTGATAGAAGAAGTATCAACGTTTCTTTAAACTCTTTACAAAGTGATGATATCAGTGATGATCTAAAGAGATCTTTATTACCAAACCTAGGTAAGTGTTACCCTGTGGTTAGTGATATGTTATCAAAGGCACATGACTTCGAAAGTGTAAGAGCTGCTCTAGCTAATGTCTATGAATATCGTTCAATATTAGAAAATGGTAATCTTGAGGATCAATTTTATCAATTAGAGATGGAATTATGTAGAGATGCATTCACACAACAATTCGCTATTAGTACAGTCTGGGCTTGGATGAAATCAAAGGAACAAGAAATTAGAAATATTACATGGATTGCTGAATGTATTGCTCAAAATCAAAGAGAAAGAATAAACAACTATACATCTGTTTATTAATTCCAAAAAGAATAAGGATATAATATATATTACCCTCATTATTCAATGGAATTTAAATAAATAAATTAATAAATAAAAATAATCATTATGTCATCATTAAAGCAATACGTATACAGGTAAATAGAGTAAAATCTAAGTAGGGAAGTTAAGAGTGCGAGAAAAAATAATAATAATAAATAATTATATGCATGTTACCATCGGAGAATGAATATTGTCATCATTATTTCTCCATATTTCCTTTCTATAATAATGTGGAAATTGCTGCACCAAATAAACTACTATCTTGGAGCAAAACGAGATTAATTCTTCCATTCGATACTTTTTCTATTTGGTCTTGATAATACTTCGAGTAAGCCAATGTTGATCCGACGTAACCGATACTGATCTTATGGTAAGGACTTACTTTATGCTCACTCACTAATGAGTCAATCTCAAGAAGTGCTGCGACTAAGTAAATCGATGCTCTTTGAACGATTATCTTGGCAACTCTTGATAAAGGTAATAAATGTAAAGGTGTCTTAATTCCATGTTTGTTTTGTAATTGAGATGTTAATTCATCCAAATCAAAATTATCTTGAATGTTGGCTAATTTTCCAAAAACAGCACCATCGATTATCTTATCTAACTCAGTCATTCCAGCCAACGTTGGTTCTAAAGCAGGGTATTTGTTAAGAATATTTATTAAAATGGAAGGAATATATCTACCTGATGAAATATATTCCAATGGCATTGGTTTAGCACTTCCAGGTGGAAGGTAATCAAACTGGGTCAATGTAATACAACTTTCTCCTAAGAACCCCATCTCTGCATTTATTACCACTGTAGTATCATCTTCAAATGGTGCATTATTTTTAGTCTTCATTAACTCAAGACGTTTAAATTCTGGTAATCTTTTAAATGGTAATTCAAAACTGGAATTTGTCCCCGTACCCAAGATAAAAGATATGGAATTACCATGCGAGTTAGCAAGTGTGCTAGATGAAGATGCAGGGATAGAAGGGTATGAATCTGTGAAAAATGTAACAGTAGGGAATTGTTTAATGTAAGTGTTTGTTAGATGCACTGCAATGGAGTCATTAATAATTAAATTATCTTTAATAGTAAAGGCAAAAGTATCTTTAATACTATTTTGTGAACAAACTTTATTGAATGTCTTTTGAAGAAATGTTAAAAAATTAATATTTTTAATTTCATCACTTAAGGTATAACCTTTCCCCATTGAAGTAATTTCAAATTTCGAATTTAAGGGGAAACTAAAAGTAATCGAGACAGGTATATTTAAAATCTTATTATCAATAAGATCGTTATCATAAAAGAAATCAAAAAATTTATCCTTCATTTCGTCGATCATAGCTTGAATAATTTTTTCAAAGAACAGAGAATCAACATACCTTTCCTGGATATTCAAAGTGTGTAGATAATCTATACATAACGTTGGGTATGTCTTGATAACAGCAATCTTCAAGGTTGTGCCGCCAAAATCTATTGCTAGAATCTTGTTGTGATTATAAGGATGTAATAGGTCATTGTTGTCCTTGTACAATCTTAAAATATTTAAGCTCGAGGGTAACATGGAATCAGATGACTTATTTAGCATTTGAGTTAACTCCTTTCTAAAATCCTGGGAAATAGATTTAAATTGTTGTTTTGGCATCAGTGCACTTCTAATTTCTTTCAAAATAATATCATTAGAAAATACATTGTGTTTTACCTCTGTAGTTACAGTCATTGTTTATAATAGATGATATATTAATATCTTAGTTTGTTGTAAAATGGAATAGCTAACAAAATGTTAAATGAGAATATATCATAAAGGAACAAAAATATAAGCAATACAGAAATAATCTGAAAAAAACAACACTTATATATATATATAACTATAATTGGGTATTTTGTTGTTTAAAAATTTACCTATTTATGGTTTCACCTTTTACCCTTTTCTTCAATTCTTATTCTATAATTTATAATGGGTAAAAAAAAAGACCCTTACCTGCGATTTCAATATATTAGTTAAAACGTTTCTTCCACTAGTATTTCTTACAATAGCCAAATTGATATCCTCTTATCAGTCTAATAGTCACAGTTATTTTCATCAATTCTTCTCCTTTTAACCAAATCACGAAACCGAAACAAAAATCTTATTCAACTTCCATTTTTTCCATTTTTTGACAGATTTACAGTTTTCAAAGAATGCCTTTATTGCCCCGCAATCGATATTTTTCCCCGCGCAGATCAATATTAACAACAACAGAAGTCCAACAGTATTTAGTCAATTTTTACCTCACCGTCAACTCTGAATTCCTCACATAGGTAACAGGATAATTAATTAAAAATAGCAGTATATAAGCATCGATGGCTCACACATTGGGTAATATAGGCAGTCTTTATGGTAGGAAACATATGTATATTTTCTTTTTCTTCGTTCCTTTCATACCTATCTTTTGCAATTAGGTTATTCCTTTTCTAGACGACCCACAGAGTCTGCTATCTCTTTTACTGTACTATCCAACTGTTTTTGGCGATATAATAAATATTTTTCTTTTTGCTTCGTCCATTCTTCATGGTTATTCATAATTTTTAACCCCCGATGGGCATCAAACGAAAACCCAGCTTCTTGCCAGTATCCAAGTTTCTTATTCACATTTTCAAGCTCTCTAAAGACGACATCAATCTGTTTAGAATATTCCTCAATCATCTTTGAAGATACTTCATAGATTGCATTCCAGTCAAAATTATATGTTGTTCCTTCAGATGATCGATCAAGGGTGGAATCATCATCTTTAGTAGTAGCCGTCTTCTTCAACAACAATAGCATTTCCTTAACATCTTTTACTGTAGTCTCCTCATTCATGGTAGATTGTATCTTATTTACAAAATCTTGATTTTTTAACCATTTGCTTGATGCAATGTCAGAGAGACCGTTTGGATGATCTTCAGGAATAGCGACCTCTACATCTGGAATTTTATCTGTTACAGCACAATCTGTTGATTCTGGAACTTCCTCGGCATTCATTGTTTCTAGTTCAGTATATGATAATTATCTATCTACGAAAGGTTACAATTCACTTCCTCCAAATCTATTTTACTGGCCTGCTGTATTTGTATTCCCTCTTCTTTTAAGTGTTCAATATTTTCTTTGCCGCCGAGCAAAATAATTAACAATTTCCACCTTAATACATTTATAAAAAATAGAAAATAAAGAACAACACAGAAAATTTTTCTATAAGAATATAATTACGTAAAATTTATGTTTACAATGCTAATAATGTATGCTAATATATATAAACATGTATGAGTGAAATAATATCGGTTTCTTTCTGATAATCTTATACTTAAAACATCATGGTACTAGAAGGTACAATTGTTTGTTGTCTCATTGCATCACTATCGGTTGATGATCTTAATGTGATACTCTGCATCTCGTAGGCTTCATCTAAATCAATATCACCAGAATATCCACCAGGGTAATGAGTCGAATCATGTCCTGCATGGTATCGACCACGATATGTATTAAAATCATGAAGTTCATCAAAATCAGAAAGATCATCGTTGTCACCATCAGATTCATCTCCATTATGATTATTATTTTGTCTATGAGATATTCTTTTACCGAATCGTCTAGAATTTTGGAAAGCCTCTTTTAAATTACTACTTCTCAAGAAATCAGCCTCTTTATCATCCTCGTAACCATCAGTATCAAACCCATCCATTCGATTTTCTTCCAGATCACTCTGAGAAGCTTCATCTAATAATGCTCTATTGTTGGTGCTATCTATCATGGCAGCTCCTACCCCATTTTCGCTTAGAAATGCGTCATCCACAACTGTACTGTCGGAAACACACCATTCTAAACCAGACCAGGCCATACATGAAATAGAAATCAAAAACACAACCATCCAAAGGCAAACAAAATATGATAAACCTAGCTTATATTCAAACCCAAATGACATCAATTCACCTTTAATTTTCTTTTGAAAAGAATAATTCAGCCATACAAGATCCATAAGACTCACCAAACCCATCACAAACACACAAAAAGAAAGGAACGTTATAATATGTAACAAAGTCTTCTCCCGTACAGTGTTAATATACCTTCCTTTGATCGAATAGTACCAGAAGGTAAATACGAATGCAATAATTTGAAAAAAAATGACCACAATAAATAAGGTCAAGTATTGTTTCTTATTCAATTTCATTATTCGAATATATCCTTCGTATGCACTAGTTCGCATGGACCCTGAACTATCGGTTTCCCCATAGGCATAATCTAGTACAATATCCAAACCTAATGTGGTTAAAATTTCTCTGTAATCCAGTACATAGTCAAAACCTTCCTTGAAACATTCCAATATAACGGTTGAGTTCCGCTGAGAATGTGATGGTGAGTCAGTGGTTTTTGTATCTTGATAGCTGTATAGACCGTCGGCAGAGTCATCGATTGTGGTATAATACGTGTAGCATGTACCATATAAAGATATTGTAATATATTGTGGAACATTACTCACTTGGGCTGAACTGTATGCAGTTAAGATATATAGCTCGGCGCTAGTCAAACCGACACCATTGTTAACAGTGCTGGAGGCGCCTGACTCCATTGCATCACTCAACGCCCGGAAAATACCTTCAGTAATCTCACTGGAATAAGTATTTAATCGAGACATGTATAATCTATCAGGCAAAGTTAATGGTCCTAGCACTATGGTTATAGAAAAAGCTATACAAAACATCATCGATAGAATTCTCACCCAAAAGACCCATCTCTCAAACATGGTCAAGTTTTTGTATGGCTGCAGCAGGCCATGCTGCCCATCGAAAAGCATATTGAAGACGGAAATTATGTTTCAACAACTCAAAATTTTGTTGATGCTGGATTAGAAATGATATTTTTTAATTTATGGTTTCTTTTATTGATCGATGAAATAGCTTTGACGTTAATACTATTTTTAACTCAGAGTTTTTATTTTTTTTTATTTCGATGGTAGGATCACGAAATGGCTTCGGATCTATTTTTTTTAGATAACCGAGGAAACGTAATAAATCAAAACAAAACATTTTGATGTCGCTGACATTATGAGAAAACATCACCATAAAATTAAGGAACATCTCTTATCAACTGGTAAACTGTACTTAATATTAATATTATTTACAAGAAGGAGTGAATATAAATCTAATATTGAAGTTTAAACCCTGCTGTGGTGTCTGTACCATCCAAGTAAACACTTGACAGCGCTTGTAATATTATTAAAGATCTTACCACGACCCTAATATTTTAAAGTTTTCATTAGCAAGATACACCTTAAATCAAACATAAGAATAACAAAATCATGGCCGCAAATTTGAAAGATATGGAAGGTTGGCAAATAGTCAACGTGGATGAGACCGGGAAGATCATCAATGAAAATAGGACCAGACGTTCACGTACAGGAAACCGTATTAAGAGCACTTTTCTTCAAAGGATTTCTGATGGACTTAGCTTTGGTGTAGGAGATAATGTCATCACACATGATAGTGTAACCCAAACATATTCCGTATATCTTGTTCATGAAATTAGGCAAAATACTGTGAAGTCGCTAGTGGAAATTTGGGCATTCTCTTATCTTCGATGGTTTGAATTAAATGGGGCTAAATACTTCTCACAATTTGATCCAAGAATGCTTGAAAAATATCCTAATACCAAGGAGCTTAACCAACAGCTCTTTAAAGTGTTAGATCATCATGAACTGTTCCTAACTGCAGAATTGGTAGAGTTTAATCTGTCTGATTTCATCGACCTCGCTACAATCGTATCAGAGAAGGACTACAAGATTGGAAAGGCTATACCTGACAAAGACTTCGCTGTGAAATATATTTGTGAACCAACAGGTGAAAATTTCGTCAAAATAAATATTTCTCATGAGTTGAAACTTATCAAGCAAATGCCTACAAAACAAAGCGATGAGCATTTGAAAAGATTATCAACACAGCATATAAGACCTGTTTCAATCCCTACTAACTCTTCCAAGAAGATACCGTTGCAGGCTACCCCTATATTAACTAATGGGACACCTTCCTTAACAGCGGTGACTGTGGCTAGTTCAGGTGGTGACGACGCCGAAGACATTAATGATGACCTTCCATTATCTTCCAATCGCCGTCGTCGGAGACCCAAGTCATATGCATTTTCACAGTCGACTGATTCAGATGACACAAGTTCACAAAAACGTAATTCAGCAGATGTTTCTAGGAACAACATGAATGACTCTAATGTTATTTCAGCCAATAGCCCTGAAAATGGAAAAGAAACAATTGGTAATAAAGATCCTAAAGATAGAGAAGAAACAATTGATAATAAAGATCATAAAAATGAACACACAGCAGTAATAAATTTACTCGATATCCAGGCTCCTGATGTATATATACGGCCTACTTCCGAGGGGCCAATACTAATTAAAAAGCAAAGTAATCTTGCTAACCGATCCACCAAAACTGCCGAAAATACGACAAAACCTAATGTATTATCAGAAAGTAATAATTTGCATAATATTCCAGAACAAAATGATAAAGTAACGAAGAAAACACCGTCCCTCTTTGTGGAGGATATCGATGATGATAGCTCAGTTGAATCAGATAATATATATAGAGAAATAAAGGAAGCTGGCCCTGAGTTTCCAAATAACTCCACTGCTGCGTCCGTAGAACCACATGGGAATACTTCAGGTGTTCAATCCAACTCTGATGCCGAAAGTGTAAATTCTTTCCATGAAACACATACATATTTACCTTCAGAATATGATAACTTACCTTCCAGTTCATTAGAGCCAAGTAATAATACCAAAAGGAAATTACCCCAGGAATCAGAAGATATCCAAGAAATACATGATAAACAACCTGAAAAGAAGAAATCTTTATCTGCACCTAAGCTAGATGACAAAAATGACAAAAATTCGAATAATGAAAATGTAAATAGGACGTCAACGATGGAGAATACCAGTAAAACTCTCCAATCAACTACTTCTAAAGGGAAGCAAGGTTCAGCAGGAAGCGTACTCATAAACCCATCCACTTTTAAATTGATAAAAACAAATTATGATAAAACATTGGAATTAATAAATAATTTTCAAAACGTGAATGTTCCAAGTACTGAACTACAATATACCAAAACATCTGATGGTAAAGACAATACACCAAGCGCCATAGGTACAATGATGAAGTATGACCCCGAAGTTACATCTGAAAACGACAAACAAACATTATATAGTCAAATTAAAGGATCATCGAATAAACTCTCGATCGAATTAAAATTAAGATCGATCACAAGAAAAAAGGAAGGCTTATCTGACGTTTGTAACGTATTTGTTGATATTTATTATGACCTATTTCTTAGGATCAGGGCATGTACGCCTTGGTTACTTTTTTGTACCACAAAGAAAGCTATTAGTGCTGAATATGTCTTGCAAGAAGTTTTTACTGAATTATCATTATCATACCGTATGAAGGAACTTCAGCCATTCAGTTGGACACATATCTATCCAATTGCAAATCCAACAATAGCGTCTTTGATTACACAAATATGGAAAAATATTTCTGGTGAATTTTTACAGGCAAAACAAGCTATTGGAGCCTTATTCCATTTTTGCAAAAACGTTCCAATTGCAAGGAAGAAATATCTTATTATTGTCATACACAATTTCGAATCAATACTGAATTCTCCGAATCATAGTCATCTTATTGATGTTTTAATGAAGTTGGTCCAATTTCCAAATTCTAAATTGTCTATAATTTGCGTTGGCAATGAGACACCACAGTTATTAAAATTATTTCCAAACAAGACAGATAACGAAATATGGAGTATTATAAACCTTTCAACTTACCCAACTAATGCTATTAAAATGGTGATTCATTCGATCTTATATAATAAGTTTTTTGGAACTTTTTTTGTTAAGCAGGAATCGGAATCATCTAGTTGGTCAATCAGGAATCTTGATTCATTAATAACTACACCCATAGAGTACAAAACTGCTGTATCGAAGGCAGCCAAAGATGGATATATTACTAAACATGTTAAAATTACAGCGGAAGAGACTCAAGAAATAATTTCGCTATTGGAATCTCATGCAACTTATTACGACGAACTTTTGAATAACTGTAAAAAAGCCATATTTATTGCAAAATGGACTTACGTAAAAGGTTTAACTAATAAAGAGATTGGGCCTAATGATGATGCATTTTTGATTCAATCTAACGTTCAATCAGTAATCGATTCAGTAACTACAGCAACCGTATTTGAGAGGGTGGCATCATTACCTGCCATCAGCAGATTATTATTGATATCGTCATTATTAGATGATGATGGGAACATTTCAAATGGGCCCACTGTGCTCCATTTTTCTGAAATGAAGAATCGAATGATAAAATACATAGATAGTTATGAAAATACACCAACAATACAGCAAATTAAAAGTGCTTTATCACCTAATCCAGATGATTTAAATGAAATAATAGAATCAGTGAATTGGCGATTCTTATTTGGAAAATTGAAGATCTTAGGTCTAATTAATTTTTCGATGAAGAATGAGGAGGATGTAAATAGTATTTTTTTCACTATTCTATGCAATAGACAAGCATTAAAATCATCTTTACAAACATGTGGTTCCACAACAAATACTATACCAAAAGTTCCAATACCGTCTTAACCTAATATGTAACACTTGTAGCTAAAAAAAATACCTTTTATTGTGAAAAGGACCACTTGTGGATCCTTTTTATTTATCGTTATTAATATTATTATTAAATAAATATATTTACATACCATTATCAAATCATAATAATGCTTTTGTTCATCCTTGACTTTATTTATTTATGCAATTTCCCACTTTATAACCCATTTAAATGTGTATTCCCAAATTCTTTATAAATCAATAATGGGTCCCCGATATCACTAATTTCAGCTAATGTCAACGTTAGATTAAAAATCTTTGATATTATGATTTTGAATAATTTTTGAATGTTAATTGAATATGCAGATGACGAAAATATAACAGGGGAATCCATTATTTGAGCGTATTTGAGACAAGTCCTTGAAATTTCTTCTTGGTAATCTTGATCCATTTCAATAAACAAATCATATTTAGTTCCAACAAGAATTGGGATAGCGTTTTTGTTTAAACCAAAAGCTTGTCTATACCATTCTTTAACCGATTTCAATGTTTCCGGTCTTGTTAAATCAAATAATAATATAATACAATACGAATCCATTGCAGCCAATGGTAGCATATTAATAAATTCACGTTGTCCACCCAAATCCATTAAAGATAATGTTATATCTGTTGATCTAAGTCGTATTCTTTTCTTTAAGAAATTAACACCCAGTGTCTGTGTATATTCTTTATTATATATGTCCTGCACATACTTAACCATTAGGGAAGTTTTCCCAACTTGTGCATCTCCGATGATACCAATTTGTAATTGAATTTCCTCTCTGGGACTAACTTTATTTTTTTCAGAGTTCATAACGTGGTGAATTATAGTAAATAGCCCTGGCAATAACAATTAGAATTGAACGTTCTTCTTCTTTACCTCGACCCTTAATAATCTCTTTTTTTAAAGGTTGAAAATAATCTGTACGTATTGGGTAACTAGATCAATAAAAAGAAAACAAAAACACACACACACAGAGAACCGATTCTGTCACCTTACCAAAAGTATATCAAACCAACAGTACGACTATTCTTCAATATCCTATGAACATAAGATATCGATCCACTTCAAATTCCTACACCTATTGGCATATATATATATATATATATATATATATGCTTATTATGTATGATTTAACATTCAATCTCCTTCAGCTACCAGATTCCCGTGTGAGTATGAAAACAAACCTTTGTCCATTATTTTGGTGGGTTCCCTTCATTTCGCGTGTCTTTGGATTTCTGAAATTTCAAAATTGTTTCAAGACTGTGCTATTCGCTACATCTTTACACCCACATTGCTGTATCTACCATCCGTACATCCACACATTTGTTTTCCAAAGAATTCCAAAAAAAAGTTTTGAAATTTGAAATAATTTTCGTTTTTTTTGTAGTTTCCGGTCCGTTCGCAATATGCGAGAAACTCTTTTCAGTTGGTTAACAAAATTTGGCCCTCCATAGATTGTTCGGAGTAGTTTAGTAAGATGGAAGAGGCGACAGGTAAGTAAAGTCAATTGGTATACGCACAGATATTGACGCATAGACGCAACTTTAGACACCAAAATTTCTTGAAAACTTTCTAATTTTCCATGTAACGAAACAGCTTTGGATGGGGGCAGCTTAATCCATTCTTGTACTGAGATGTAATGGATATTGTAAGGTTTCTATGATATACAGGTTGTAATTACTACTATCTGATCATTTGCAATATACTCTACCTTTCTGTAAAATTTCCAATTCAATAATGTGTATATTCTTGTTAACATAAGGTGAAAACTTATACTACAAAAGAGAAATAAGTTTTTTTATATATTAGTTTGGATATTAACTTGAAAGAAGAACGTTAAGTAATAAGACAGATAAACACATTTAATCATGGCTGTTGGTAAGAATAAGAGACTATCCAAGGGTAAGAAAGGTCTAAAGAAGAAGGTCGTTGACCCATTCACCAGAAAGGACTGGTTCGATCTAAAAGCTCCATCTACTTTCGAAAACAGAAACGTTGGTAAGACCTTAGTTAACAAGTCTACTGGTCTAAAGAACGCTGCTGATTCTCTAAAAGGTAGAGTTGTCGAAGTCTGTCTAGCTGACCTACAAGGTTCTGAAGACCACTCTTTCAGAAAGGTTAAGTTAAGAGTTGATGAAGTTCAAGGTAAGAACCTATTGACCAACTTCCACGGTATGGACTTCACCACCGATAAATTGAGATCTATGGTTAGAAAATGGCAAACTTTGATTGAAGCCAATGTCACTGTTAAGACTTCTGATGACTACGTTATCAGAATCTTCGCCATTGCCTTCACCAGAAAGCAAGCTAACCAAGTTAAGAGACACTCTTACGCTCAATCTTCTCACATCAGAGCTATCAGAAAGGTTATCTCTGAAATTCTAACGAAGGAAGTTCAAAACTCTACTCTAGCTCAATTAACCTCCAAGTTGATTCCAGAAGTTATCAACAAGGAAATTGAAAACGCTACTAAGGATATTTTCCCTCTACAAAACGTTCACATCAGAAAGGTTAAGCTACTAAAGCAACCAAAGTTCGATGTCGGTGCTCTAATGGCTCTACACGGTGAAGGTTCCGCTGAAGAGAAGGGTAAGAAGGTCGCTGGTTTCAACGATGAAGTTCTAGAAACTGTGTAAACGACTAGATGAAAAATTTAAATATAGTATAATTTTGCATTTTATTTTTTTCTTATTCAATAATAAATAATCAAGAAAACAATTAATTAAAAAAAAACATCAACAACAATATCATCATATATCTTTAAAAAGTTTATTGTTTGTATAACATGTATAAGTAAGTCAGATCACGTACAATAGTTTAACAAGTGTAAGTCTGATTATATATCTAAAAACAATGTTCTGATATTTGCATCATTGTTGAAGGTTCAACAAGCTTGCAGAAGAGATCAAACGTCTCTCATACCACTACATATTATTTTTATAAAAATGGAATGGATCAAAAAGCTAGCGAGGTCTAATTGAATGAATGTAATATATACTACGTTCGTATTTTTCTGATTAATTGGTGCTATATTATTAACCAAACGTTACCTTAAAGCAATTTTTTTTCGTGGCGGCAATGAGCAGTAAACTTCAACGTTAAAAGAAAATTATCATTTTAAGTTATATAAAATAACCAATATGTAGCGAAATCAAACACATTCATAAACAGATAAGGACGATAAAACATTTATCAGGGAACATTAATAGACATATTCACCATTTTAAACCCACGAAATAATGTTAGCAGAGGATCAGCTGTACCTTTTATCATGCATTTTTGCTACAAGAGCAGATGCTAAAAATATGACGCGACTGGCTTCCAAGTTTAAAGACTCACAAGATTTCATTAATGCAATAATCATACTATGGCCTGAATATGACGAACCTAAAAATCTAAAATTTCTATTTGTGGACTCTGTTCAAGAAGATTCGAGCAGTGATGAAGACCTTATGATTTCATTAATTAATGGTGATTCTGATTTGATTTCTATGGTTGAACTGGATCCAGAAGAAGTTACCAGTAGGGTAAATGATGTAAAACATCACATCGATTCCGAATTACAAACATTAGAAGTTGCTAATAACGGAAAGGACCTTAACTGGCTAGCAAAACGTATAATATACTGCAATAATAAATGCCCTGAGAATACATTATTATACTCATCATTATGGGATGATATCAAGACCAATAATATAAATTTCCAAAATTGGATCAATAATGTAGTATTACCCTTAAACTCACTAAATGAAAGACTTAGAAAATCAATAAAGATAAAAGAGTTTATGGAAATGGATATAAACGATGTCTTTCAATTAATCCTAGCTACAGACCACAGTGGCAATAATCACAACAACATTATTAACCACATATTAGACGAATTACTACCGTACCTAAGATATAGAAGTTCGGTTGATGCATATAGTAAATTTTTGGAAGATTGGTATACCATTGATAGATTTGATTTCCAATATCCACTTCAAACTGAACTATTTGCAAAACTTTTCAATGGTATCAAAAATGATTTAATAGACATGGAAAAGGACAATTTTTATAAAAGGACATTAGAGATAGTTTTTATTAAATCAGGTCAGGGGTTGAAACATTCTGATATAGTCAATTTACAAGAAGTGTTGAAACATATCCCTAACGAAATAAAGCTTTCAAACTATCCTAATATCACCTCTAAGTTGTTGATAAGTTATTTGGATTCAATAAATTTATTCCTACCTCAAACAGATTTAATGACTCTATATACTATTGGAACCGAAAAGGAAATAGGACAAAAGATGCATTTCACATCTATTTGCAATGAAACGATATTAACTAATGATGCAAAAATTTCTACATTATGTGAATTTATAAATCAAGAACATAAAGAAGATGACAAAGATTATGTTAAGATATTTAACAAATTATCCCGTGAACAAGATCTCAGTATTTTATATGAGACATGTTTAAGTCTTGGTAAATTTGATTTATTAGAAACATTAGGTCAAGATGAGACCACTAAAGATAATAAATTGGAATCGACTTTGCTAGAAAAATATTTTTGGCAATTTTTTAAAAATGAAACAAATGGGGGATCTAAGAGGCCTGGAATGATAAAATGTCAAAAGATATTAACTTTGTTACAAAATGGATCTAAAGTCAAATCATATTCAAACTTGGAAATGTTATTAGAGGTTAGTGACACATTAACAAATTATTCGATGAATCTAGGTAAAAATGTTATCTTCAAGCCAAGCAATATCTTAGATTTTAAAGAAGATCCATTTAAGATTATTGAAATTTTATTAGAGAATAATCCACAAATGTATAAATCAATTGACATCAATCTAAGTATCATCGAAAAATTATTTATTGCATTGGATAATGATATCTCTACTGTGACAGGCATAGAGTCATATGGTTATAATAAATTATTATCGATGCATATTGATCATTCATTAGTTAATTTAGATTTTCAATTTGCTTTAAAACAATGTAATGAATTAATTCAAAATTCTAAATATGCTTGTGAATTTTGGTTTAGTATTTTACAAGTTGGTAAATTTAAGGATCCAAATTGGATTGATAATGAAACTCCAACAGAAATTTTATTTATGCAAATGCGTCTCTTGAGTCAACTATTACAAGTTTGTCCAGTTGAAGAAACTGAGGTTGTTACTCAACAATGGAGTGAAATTGAAATTGAAATTGCATCAAGAGATTTAATTCATGATAAATATTCATTGGATTATTCAAACTCTAGGAGTGCTAGTAATATGTTTAATACGATTTTCACATGATCAACAAATTTGATTATGTTATATATGCATGTTATGTATTGAATACTATATGGAATGTTTATTTTTCTTGTGTGTTGATCATTTATTTACTTATTTACATGTGTATATATGTGTGCGTGTGCGTGTGCGTAACAATCGAGTACGGTATCGTTCGAGACAAAAATAATAGTTTTATTGTGGTTGTGATTGTTCTTGATTTACTGATGCATCTGTTAATTGTTGAATATAATTTTGTACAGTTTGTAATTCATCATATCTTGACACAGTCTTTTCATTAATTCTTAATTCTTTAACTATTTTAATAGCATCATTAATCGAATCAATATTATTTTCTGCAGTGAATAAAACAAAAGCTTCACCAACATCTGTAATTTTACCTAATTCATTTTCATTATTAATTAATTTTTTTAATTTTAAATTTGCAATAAATTTAATACCATCAACAAATGATCTATCAATAATATTATCTTCAATAATTTCGCTAATTCCAAAAATTGCATATTGAAATCTATTTAAAGTTTCCCAAGTTATTGGATCATTAATTGGATAAATTGAATTATCATTAAATTCTATTAAAAATTCATCACAAAATTTTTTTGTCTCTTTTGAAAAATTTGTTTGAGTTAATTTTATTGCATGATCACGTTCACTCAAAACATGTCTAATTTTCCACATTGTATCTCTAATATTATCAGCCAATTCCATATAAGGACCTGCATCAGCTCCCATTGAAACTTCTAATAAATGAGTTTCTCTAGCTAGAATATTTCTTTCTTTTAAACAAATATACCATAAAGAATGTAAATCATTAAAATTTTTACGTCTTAATTCAGGTATTGACCAAGATCTACCATTTAAGTCTAAATCTTCTTCTGATCTTAAAAATTTTTTTTCATGAAAAAATTGCCAAAGTGGATGATTATCAGGACATTTAATATTTAAAACTGTTGGTGGAATTGGTTTTGTAATTTTTAAATTATTTGAATGATGAGTAAATTGTGTTGGTTTACGTACATTATTACGTATTGGTGGAGGAGGTTTTGGAATAGTAAATTTTGTACGTGCTAATATCTTCCCACTAGTTGAGAAGGATCTATGTAAAGGTATCATCACAGATAAATAAATACTTTCAGTGTTACTATTCTTGTGTAGTTGACCTATACTATACTATATATATATATATATATATTGATTAAAAACTTATAGTCTTATATTATATCCATGTATATATCATTTAAAGGGAAAACAATCATTTTTAAGAAAATATAAAAAATCGAAACAGTTACCCGGGTTGGCCGAATATCCGGGTAGCCCCCTCTTTTTATGGCCAAAGAAAGAAAAAAAAGTGAAATTCATTTCTAATTATTTAAGAAAGCTTACCATTATATATATATATAAGAGGATAGCCTTACTACGACAGTTGGAAGAGAGTAACAGGTATACATAAGAGGAGACCACGCAAACATGAGCAATACACCATTAGATTTATTAAAATTGAACTTAGACGAACGAGTATATGTAAAATTACGCGGAGCACGTTCCATTATGGGAACATTACAAGCATTTGATTCACATTGTAATATAGTGTTAAGTGATTGTATAGAGACAAAATATTTATTAGTTGATGGAATATTACAAAATGAAGAACGTGAATCCGAAATGTTATTTATACGTGGGGATTCTGTAACATTAATAACAACTCCCGAAGAAGAGTAAGAAATTATATGTATATATATATATATATATTACATAGCATATATTTTTAATAATAAAGAGATATTAAGTTTGATATTTTTCTTTTCTTTTAAAAAGTAGCTAAAGCATTACGAATAGCATCAATGCCTTTATCTAAATCCTCCTTTGAGATTACTAAAGGTGGAGCCAGACGTATAATATGATCGTGGGTCGGTTTAGCTAACACACCGAAGTCTCTCATTTTCAAACAGACATCCCACGCGGTATGGCCGTTGGTTCTTGATGGATCGATAACAATCGCAGTCAGCAGACCCATACCACGGACCTCACTAATGATCCCTTGGGACTCCTTCTGTAGAACCCGTAATTGATCCAGAAAATAACCGCCGAGTTCCTTTGAACGGTCAACTAAATTTTCATCACGAATAACTTTCAAAGCGGCAATGGCCACTTTTGACGCCAAGGGGTTACCTCCAAATGTCGAACCGTGAGAGCCCGGAGTGAAACAATCCATGATTGAACGGGACGACAGGACGGCACTCACGGGCAAGACACCTCCACCAAGTGCTTTCCCCAACAGGACAATATCGGGTTTAATACCATAATGTTCACAACATAGTAGTTTCCCCGTTCTGCCAATCCCTGTCTGGATTTCATCACAAATCAGTAATACGTTGTATTGTTGACACAACTTTGAAACTCTTGGGAAATAGTCTGCGGGTGGTACGACGATCCCTGCTTCACCTTGAATCGGTTCAAGAATTATTGCCGCAATAGTAGAACCATGTTTGTGTAGAACTTTCTCCAAATCTTCCGCAACACCGTATCTGATTGTGGTACCCAGTGGACCACCGGAGTGGGTATGCTTTAAAAATGGTCCAAAATGTAAACGTGAATCCTGTTCGTCTGTTGATAATGAAATTGCCCCAAAGGTTCTACCGTGGAAATTCCCTTGGGCGGCTAACACAACAGCTTCCCCCTTTGGGATCTTCTTCGTCATGTAGCCCCAACGTCTCGCCAACTTCAATGCGGTCTCAACTGCTTCCGCACCCGTATTCATTGGTAAGACACACTCATAATTAAAATATTCCGTAATGAATTGTGCATATTGTGCGAATGCTTCACTATAAAATGCTCTTGATGATAGAGTAACTTTTTGGGATTGTTCAATAAGAGCTTTAATAATATCAGGGTGACAATGTCCCTGGTTGACTGCAGAATATGCAGATAAAAAATCTAGATATTCTTTACCTTCGGGATCCCAAACATGTGCACCTAATGCATGATCAAATACAACAGGTAAAGGATGGTAATTATGAGCAGAATATGTTTCTTCTAAACGTATAGCTTCTTCAGACATTGTGACTGTGCTTAGTTCTCTATATGTTGAGTATTATCCAAATGTGTTTTATTAATTTCAAACCTCTGTTTCTGATATCTCTTTCTCTTTATATATGGTCAGGAAAACTGCTCTTTCTTCCCCTTGAAAATAATCATATAGATAAACGGCTGTAAAAATAGAGAATGGCTCTCGCAATGGCCTGCCTATAGCGGTTAAGTTACCGTATGCGCGCGCATTGATTACTTTTTCCATGCAGAACCGTTCACTGTGCGCTGTTCACATTCTTCCCCTCTCCTCTCCTCCCCGATCCCCTCTGCGCGCAATCTGTCAAGCATAAACATCTCTGCTCATACGCTGAATTATCTATCACATTACATCAGACACTCTCTTTAATGGCAGGTTCCAGCGGTTATAAGAAGAACCTATCTGATAAGGACTACTATCTTATCATATTTATCAGTGGCGTTATCTATTGCCCGTGCTGAAACAACAATATGGTCCCCTGTTGATCTCTGATTACCACCACCGTACACACACACACACACACAAACTGTCATTTATATCTCTTTTGAAAGTTTATCTAGATCTATCTTTTGTTACCCTCCCCTTCTGAATGTAAAGGGGTGTATGGGTGTCCTTTGTTATGTAAACAAAACCGCAAAACGAGGTGTCAACCCACACACCACACCGCACTCGTTTCTTTTTTATATTTTGGGAGGCAGAAAAAAATTGCTTTTCGGGTGTCTCCATGACAACAGCGACCACAAGGAAACTTCGACCAGCCCATTTAATATATATATATAGGAGTGACGGTATCGTTTTCTCGAGATGTGGTTATAACTACAATCATTCTCAACACATATAGACACACACACACAATGGATAACGCTATGAATAAACAAAATAAAGTTGGTAATGAAGAAAGATTTTATTCTCCAAATCAACGTAATGACTATATGGAAAAATTGAGTAATATTGGAATGCGTATTAGACAAAAAGTAGATAGTAATGCAACATTTCAAGGTTCAAATGCTAATACTAATTTGTATGCCGGTTTAATTGTGCCACAATATAGACAAGCAAATTTAAATCAAGAACCACCAATGCTAGCTAGAAATGGGAGTTCATTGTCCGATTTAGAAATCATGAATGAATCCGCCGAAAATATTAATACTAATGGTAAAAGATCATTCTAATCATCAAGTCCATTCTTCTTTTAAAAGAAGATGCTCTATATACATTTACTTCCCTTTCATTATTTTGCATTATTACATTATTCCGTTTCTAGACCCAATTTCCTTCTTTCGTCTTCTCTGAACTCTATACACACACACATACATACACATACCCATTATATAAACTGACAATATCAATACATATTTCATCTCATTTTATTCACTCAACGACATCTCTGTATTATTAGTCTTGCAATTCCAATTTATATTACTTAAAAGGAGAGCAGAACACCGAAATTTTTCAGTTGCGATTTTTTTGACAACTCGCCCGCATTATAATCTAATGGGTATTACAAACAAATGATACAGAGAAAAAAAACACCCCATAATATATATATAAATATATATATATATATATTTTAATTAAACTGAGAGGTTAAGGATACTATAAGGAAGACTCTTTTTTTTTTTTTTTTTTAAAAGGAGTTAAGGGATTGCCTTTGTTTGTGATTTGATTACTTTCACACATACATTTAAACAGTAGCAACTGAGATAACTGATATCTATCTATCTATATTCAAACAGTTGGAATATGGGTAATACAGACTCAAAAATTACTAATGTTTACAGGGACTATCTGTTTCAATTGTCGCAAGGTGATGCAACCAATAATAACGAATTTTATATAGATTTTTTAAATGTTACCGCAAATTTACCATTACATACATTTAATACAGTAATTACAAATAGTGTATTAAGAAAAATCATTTCATTAAATCCACAAAATTATATTAAATTGTTAGATTTCACAATAACAAATTTTATTGAATCATTTAAAAATTTTCAATCAACACAATCAACAAAGAGACAAATCAATTTTTTCTTTAAACAAATTATAACTTCAATCAGAATTATTACTAAATTATCACCAATACTTTTTGAATATATTCAAGAAGGTAATAATAATATATTATTAATTTCAAATAATGAAAAATTAAATTTACAAGACTTTTTCATTAGAAAGGATTTTATCGAATTTTGTTTACAATTATGTTTTATGGAATCTTTTACAATACAATCATGCACAACCGATCCAGGTACAATTAATTTAATTCAATGGCAAACTGGTATTTCACCAAATGTTGTTTCAAAGGGTCTTAATGATTCAATACCACCAACAACTTTACAATTACCCTATTTAGATAGTAATAGATTAGAAATTATAAATTTATTTCTTACTTTATCATCATTAAATCTTTATACCAATGATAAACATAATATACCATTTTTCGTTAAAGAAATGATATCCACGCGACAGAATAGAGATATGTTATTATTATTAATGATCTCAATTTTAAACATTTATTCACATTATTGTAAAAATATTAATGAATTAAAAGTTAATACTTTATATGAAAATCCACAAAAGACTCATATCTCAGTAATATCAGGAAATAATGAAAATATAATATCATCGAATACAAAGGATACTAATGATTCATCAAATAAACAAATCGTCTCATCACAACAATTAATTATTAATTTAAAGAAAAATCTTGTATTATCATCATTACAATGGTTTAATCTAATATGTTCACATTTATCTGATAAATCAACATTTTTAAATGATTTTTTGAAAAATGAATTTCAATTAAAATTATTATTATCAACTGTGGTGAAAATATTTAAAAATCCAATAGATTTGGCAATAGATCAAGAATCAAATCCATTAAGTTTTAATTCAGATGATTCCTCTTCAAATAATAAAAATAATAGTTCAAATACAAATTCAATGGGACAATCTAAAACTTCAAATAAAAATTATAATCAATTAAAATTGAAAGATTTTACAATTCAATTACCAAAATTAGATATGATTTTTCTTCAAAATTTAATTTTACTAATAAATTTGATTAAATTTAATAAAACTTTTGAAAATTATTTTGCTGATAAATTTTCAAATAAATTTTTAATTTTTGTCATTTATTATATCAAATATTATTATAATATACCTCAATATCAATCAAATATTATACCATTATGTTTTGATATGGCATTATTTCTTACGGATAAACCATTAATATTGCATAAACTTTTACAAACGTTTAAGACTAATTATTATACCAATAAATTACCAAATTTCTTTAAGATTTCAAATATTTCTCACATAGAATCTTTAACATATAGAGATTTTATGATTATACAATTATCAAACCTTTCTTCAAATGATATCAAGAGTAATTTGATCTTGAAGTCGACATATTTCGAAATTATTTATAATATTTTACCAATTAATGCTAAAACAATAAGCAAAATGTCCGTTTCATCAAGTGATTCTAATTTAGTACAGTTATCGTCGGTGAAGAATTCCAATTCTAATTTAACAGATAAATTAAGTTATAATGCAACGTTAGCTCTATTAAATCTTTTATCAAAACTGTCTAATAAAAATTTCCTATCATCTTTTGCAAGCTCTAATTCAGCAAGACAATCTCCTTTGACATCTCCTGTAATAAAATTAGACATTTTAGCATTATTATTAAGATCGATCTTAGTATATATTACAACATGTTATCAGGAATCGAAAAATTTGATATTTTTATTGACTAGACATTATACAGTGCTTTTACAAATTAAAGAATCCATCAATTTTATTTCTACAAATAGAAATATTAATAATATGTTATTTTTGGAAGATTTGCCAACAAATTCTTTATCATTATTGGATCAGAATTTTGGAACGTCAAACAAATCTAATTCCGATTATAACTATGATGAGAATGATGACAACGATTACGATAGAGACAGTACCGATTCAAATTTGGAAATAAAAGATGATAAATTAAATATGCAAAATATTCTAGATAGTGAAAACTATTTGATTTTTAATAAAAAATTAAAGGAATATTCTGATGATGAAGGTGATGTTGACATTACCGAAAAGGATAACGAACGCAGTAAATCTAATGGTGATGAGGATGACTATAATATGACAACAGCAAATAACGGTAATGCTCAAAAACGGAATAATAATTCAAAACCGTCATTTAATCATGTAAATATTCATAGTGCGAAATTTATGTCTGCAAACCCAAAGAGAAATGATAGTTCCTCCCCCGCAACTAATGCTAACAAAGAATATGAAATATATGAGCACCCAGATTACAACAAACAATTGATAATGAATAATATAAATTTATACCTGAAATTAAAACCGAAGTGGCCAATCGGGTTAACTGAGAATTCCAAATTAAAGTCACCAAAAAGATCCGATTTCAATAACTTATGGACTGGTGCATCTACTCTTAAAGTTCTGATAGATATAACAAAAGTATTTTTGAAGCAATTTCCAGAAATCGTGAAAATGTCAAAAAACTCGGATTTTGTAGATATTATTAAGAAAATTGAACAATTTGAATCAGACTTCGATAAAAAGATTAAACGCGATCTAAGGAAAGAGTTCTCCTTAAATGAGCCGTTGAAATTTAAAATATCGAGGAAAAGAAATTCAATATTTAATGATTGGTTGGACGAAATTTTCTGGTCAGATGTGTTCCAAGCACATTCTGCTCCTTACATTGACTCTCTGTCGTCGATGACAGACGAATCTACTAATAGTAATACAGCTAATGTTCAAAATAAGAGGAACAATTCTATCTCCTCAGGATCAAATATTCCAATTTTGGAAAGATGGTCTTCCCATGGTTCACAGTTATCGAGAACTCAGAGTAATGGTAGTTCTGTTGTCAATTATTTTGCTCCAGATAACATTTTGAGTATGCAGACACTAACTGAACGATCCGAGACAAGTTCTCCTGACATCGCCGCTACAACAACTAATATGGAGCTATCAACCTCTTCGTCGGTATCGTCTGCCATCAGTATACCTATAAATACAAACACCCAACCAGCACACAATCTGTCAAGAAAGAGTAGTAACGCATCATCATTTTTATCTAGATTTTCATGGACAGGTTTCAACAAGAATGAAAATCAGGATAATGTAATACGTGAAGAGACAGTATCCATATTGGACGGTGATACGGAACCGTTTGTTGTTGATGAAGGGCTTTTCAAGACAAATATATGGGTGGGTACTAACATTAAACTATTCCCTATAACTACTATTAAAAAGGAAGAGTTCTCATTTTTGGATATGACATCATCATTACTGAAGAAATTTAGATTTAACAGTAGTGATAATCCCGACGCTAACGGACCCAATAGTCCTCGAAATACCAATGAGAATAGACAATATTCTCCTGTGCTAAGTGCCAATCCGTTTATGGCCTTCGCGTCACCCAAGAGATTTTAGTTTTCCTCATGTTATTATATATTGAAATATAAAGTAGCATTTATATAGGTAAATAATGAACATTCCAATAGAAACTTTTTAAATAATATTTTAAAATAATTTGTAATTTACAATTCAGTAGTTAAACATGGTATTTTCACAGTTTCATTATGAATAAAATATAAATATTTAAACTCTAAAAATTTAAAACTTAGATTACTTTACAACTACTTAAGATATACTCAATAATATATTTGATTATTTATATCTTACAGATATTTAATATTTTCTTTTCCCTTTCTTTTGTACAAGTTCAAACCCATCGTCATCTATTATTGGCTCAGCGATTGTAGTAACTACCTCATCTTCTTCGACTACTAATTCCATCATGTCTTCATCTTCATCATCCTCGTCCTCGTCACAACTAGAATCATCGTCGTCATGGACATGAACAATCCTCTCATTTTGTCTGCCTTGTCCATTCTTTTCCTTCTCCAGATATTTGGTGTAAAGTTCTTCAACACGAACATAGTTCATAGCATAACACTCTTCGTACAATTTAATAATGTTATTTGCAACAAGCAAACTTGTATCATCCTCAACATTTGTATCGAATTCGTCAACCATTGCATAAAGTAAAGTTTCTTCTACCATGGCTACGTCAACAATTTTGTTGGCTTTAAATAAATCGATAATAATAGCCGTTATCCAATCTCTCTTATCGGCAGAATCCGGACCACCCCATTGGTTTACAACAGCAATATCTAATGCATCCCAGCTGTATACTAACATGGATACACCCAGTTCAAATCGTCCTTGTTGCTTTTCATCTGAGAACTCTAGGGAGTTAGCATCACTTGTCGCTTCAACAAAAGCACTTTCGTCAATAGTTTGGTTGCTCATATTGAAATGTCCAGTTATTTGAGAGAATCTTCACGTTATATAGTTCTATCCAATGGGTTTCGGGACAGTTAATGCATTGTAATCTCGAAGCAAACTCCTTTTATTCTCTTGAGATGAGATGAGATGAGATGACTTTTTATAAAAATTTTCACTTCTGTCAAAGCGGGCCCTAATTAGGGTATTTTGAAAGCCCTAATAGGATAAATATAAGGTTACAAAAGAAAGACACTAACTTCAAACTGCATTTAATGACATAAGTCGTTTCTGGTATTAAAGAGTAGTAAGAGATTTGGATAGGAATTAATAGTTTAATTTATCATTTTAATATTGTTGGTTTTATGCTATATATGTTCTAAGAAGATTGTCTTTTTTGAGTATAGTCAATAAATCGATTTAATAATGTCATTGAAGATGGGAAAGTTGGACGAACTTTTGAAACAGAGGGAGGATATTTCGAACTATTTGGAATCATTAATTGAGATACATAAAGATGCATTATCTGACGGCTCCGACGGTAGTCAATTAGATACAGTAAGGAATCACATATCCATATGCTTCTCGGATCTCCAGAAGATCAATGAAAAGTTAATTTCTCATAATGGTATATTAAAGAATGAGATGTCAAAATTAATGGAAATTCGAAGAGAAGTCTTGGAACTTTCAACGAAAGAGATAGAATTACTTAAAGAAAAGTTCAACTGGAGTTTTGATCCTACAATATCCAGCGGAGTAACGCATAACGATGTAACGAAATTTATATTTGAAACTCATTATAGGGACGATATGAATAAATATATTGAATTGGTCGGTATTACCAACACGTCACTCGCAAGGGACAAAGATGAAGACAAACGTGAGAAACAGGAGAGATTCTATTCAAATGAGACTAGTGACGGAACAGCCGATGGTAATGTTTTATTAACAAGAGATGATACTTTGAAATGCATGACTTACTTACACAATGCAAGTACAACTGCAAATAAAGATATTAAAGCTTTAGAAGCACTTCTAAAAAATATGAAAAAAGATCAAAGTTTTCTTGGGGAAGAAATGAAAATCCAAACCAGTAAGATAAAATCAATTAAAAATAGAATATTAAATGACCTTGAAAAGATTCATAAAAGGACGGAAACGATTTTAAGAGAGATCGACTTGAAAATACCGAACCAGCCACAACTGAAAGATAAAGAATTATATAAGTTGGCCAACGAGGATAGTATTGATGATCTTATACAGTTAGCACGTGAAAAGGTGGAACTTGAAATAGAGTTCATTGATATAAAGAAGGATGCATATGCTCAAATGCTTAAAGAGTTTAAGGTAGAGAGCTCTAATTTAAAAGCACGACATGAGTTGTGGGGAGATTGCTTAGAAGAGGTTATCTCACTGGAAAAAAAAGTTAAGCATGAAATAGCAAGGAAAGGATCGAACCCAGTAATTCCGACTGATCTAATAGAAATAATTCAGGTGTCCATAGAACATCTTCAGGAACTACAGATATTAAACAATGATAAAAGGATCACAACTTTAATAGGGGATGAAAAAGATACTTTGAGTAGAGCATGTCAGGAGTTAAGGAAACAAGTACAAACACGTTAAAAAATTCGTTAATTATAAGGCCCCTTCCATAGTTAGCAATTATCTGATTGAAGCTGTCTCCTGAAGTAATATAAATATTTTAAACAGACCTCTTTGCTGCATTTAAATAACGATGCAATCTACGAGAAGCATTAAATATATAAAATTTTATCAAATACATAGAAACGTATGCCAATCTTCATAAATATTCATCGTATTCTTACAGATATAATCGTTTATATTATATACGATTGATAACACGTACACAAAGTAGTTTATGATACCGTTTTAGTTATATGTTACTAACGAAAAAGAAACAATTCATGGTTTGCTGTTAATTTAATTATTATGACAGCCTTTTAGAAATAATTAAATCATTTAAATGTCCTCTTCCTCTTTGGTATAAATGGAGAAGGTGCCGGAGTCCTCCTACTATTCTTTGAAGGGCCATTTGAAGGTGTTCTTGATTCTTCACTTACCGTTTCGGCATTGGATAGCGGAGGTGAATGATAACGGTTGGTAGATCCGGGGTAGTACGGATCATTTTGATGATGCTCACTTGAACTTGGTCCATATCTTGAGTTTTGATAACTATTGTACCCTAAGTACGATTTTGTATCGTGATTTGTATTCATATTACTACCAAATCCAGCATTTACACCATTGTGATAATTAGCATTAGGGTGTCTGCTAGTTTCAGAATTTTGGCTATGTTCATATCTTGCATTTGGGTAATTATTATAGCGTGTATCCGGATTGTTACCAAAGTTATTATTGAAATTATTATTGTTAATATTATTATTATTGTAATATCCATGAAATCCAGAAGGTTGTCCGTTGTGTTGAGCAAAATTGTTACTATACTCCCTAGATTTATAAGGCAATGTACTCCCAGGTGATGGAGTACTTTCGAACCTTGACTCTTTTGAGGAAGTACCATATCGACTAATCGGGGTTATTCTATCCTTAAAACTGGCAGACATGCTCTGAGGCTCCTCATGATTTGTATAAGATATTCTTGGGGGATTAGATGGAAGAGTTTGGATCTTATCGATCGCTCTAGGCTCTAATCTTGAGCTCCCATTTACATTTGATTGTTCAGTTGACGCTGATGTCGAGGTTGAAATCTCGTTCTGTTTCCCTAAAACAGATCTTGATAATTTATCATTAGAATTGGTCTCCGTTTTTAAATTGGCTGTTACTGGTGGCACAACTGTGTCTTCCTTCTCATTCTTAGTACCCAGTGATGCTGTGGGATCGTAGTCATCATCTGGAGGGGATCCGGAAGCATGTTTTTCAACTATTAAATCGTTGGCATGTGAAGCTGATACATTCGAAACTTTAGCCTCCTTATTTAATGTGTCAGTTTCACGTGTATTGCTTTTGCTAATATTATTGTTTAAAGAACCGGAAGGCTTTTTGTTCTTTGTATTAGAATCCTCTTTATTATCAGTCCTTTTTAAATCTTTTCCTTTCATTGCAGATTTTAAAGGTCGCGGGTTCGAATTCGATGGGGGAATTTTATCCCATACCGACTCCGGAATGGCGATTATGTCATCTACAAATTTGAGATGTCTATTATCCTTCAAACTAGATGATTTTCTCTGTTTTTTTATTTTTTCATCATTGATGTATATATTATTATTGGGAGCTGTAGAAGGTGAAGGTGATTTGGTAGGTCCAAAGAACGAAGATTTTCTTTTAGTCCCAGAAGAACTTCCATTCTTGTTTTCTTTCTCAAAACCTTTCTCGTTGTTATCTTTTTTTTCCTTCTTATCTTTCCTTTCTTTCTTCTTTTCCTTCTTCTCTTTATTCTCCTTCTTATCCCTCTTTTCTTTTTTTTCTTTCTTTCTTTGTTTCTCTTCTCTTTTTAATCTCTTTTCTTCACCCTCTGCTAACTCGATTTCTTTAATTGGAATATCTTTTGGCTTTTTCTGTTGCGGTTGCATAGAGAGGGATTCACTTATGGCAGGCCTTTTTCTTCCAGCTCTGTCAGCAATATCCAATGGATTATAAGAGTCGTCATTTGTGCCTACAACAGTATTGATCCTTTCCTTTGGTTGTTTATCGGAAAGAAAACCTGCATATGCCTTTTGAATACTATGTCTAGATTCTGCATCCTCTATTAAGTTTCTCCATAATTTATTTTGATATAAGGAATTTCTATGACCAAGGATCCAAAGACTAGTCTTAGCTCTTGTAAATGCAACATTCATACGCCGAAAGTCCTTTAGGAAACCCACCGACGATTTTGTGTCGTCAGCACGAACACATGATATGATGATAATTTCTTTTTCTTGACCCTGGAAACCATCAATTGTGTTAAAATCAATATATTTATTTATAAATGAACCAAAATATGATGTAAATTGTCTACGCATTCGTTGCATCTGTTCTTTGTATGGAGAGATCACCCCAATTTTTCCTGTAAAATCTACATCATTTTCAAATTTAGTAAATAGGAAATTGATAAGCTCAACAGCAACATTAATTTCTTCAGTATTCACATATGACATAGTTTTTTTATTTTGCTCTTGCTGACCAGTAGAGATATCAAAGAATTTATAAGGTTGTAATGGAGGACATGTATGCCATGGTCTTTTGTTGATCATGGCCATATCTGGTCCATCTAATAAACGTCCGTTGTAAAATTCAAGTGAGGGGAATCTACTTATATCTGGGTGCATACGATATTGGACATTTAATAAATATGGGGTGGTGTTCTTTTCCATACGAACAAAGAGAGATTGATTGTATTTGAAATTACTAGCAGCACCAGATAAGACCGTCGGAGGAAGTTGGTTGGGATCACCGACCATGATACATCTCTTACCACCATATCTTAACGGAATTATCGAAGACAGTTCGGTACATTGACAAGCTTCATCAATAATTACAGTATCAAATTTTATACCCAAGGTTGCTAAAACATCATGAGCTGAACCGGATAACGTTGAACAAATGATGTCACTCTCAGACAGAACCTGGGCTTGTGCATTTCTCCTATCTATATCACGTTTTCTTGAGTTTAATGATCTTTGTTCCCTCAGTTCATCTTTCTCTTTACCAAGAATGTTAAGTGTCTTGCTTAACTCTCTGATTTGTGTTTGTAACTTTCTCATATCTTCTGACGAGAGCTTACTCTCAGGCTTACCATTTTCAGAATTTAGTTTAAACATTAGTTCCCGTCTTTCCAAAACTGTAGCGTGAAACTTTTGGTCTAGTTCAGGATTTTGCAGGTATTCCTGGTTCTTAGCAGATACTCTACGCTCTACTAACTCCTCTAAAGTAAGCTCTTTGATCGCGACATTGACTACATCAGATCGACCAACACGAACGACTCGCGGTTTAATTAAATTACCATTCTTATCGTAAACACCATCTTTTAAACGAATACAAATTTCGTCCACAGCTGCATTACTTGGAGCACATATTAAAACTTTTTGTTTTTTCAATAGTTGGTCCATAGTATTATTCGCCTGTCCAGTAGGGACTGTGATAACGTTGGATGGTAGAGCATTTCTCAAGGAAAGGATATATCCCACAATTCCTAATATTGTTTTGGTTTTACCTGTACCTGGTGGCCCCTGAATTAAAGAAAAACCTTCATTCAAGACAGTATTGACAATGGCTTGCGCCTGCGAAGTATTTAATTTATAGCAACGCTTGACGTTTTCTACCTCATTAGGAGAAACATGAGCCGGTGGGGATGGTTTCGCTGCCAAAATTTGGTCAACTAAATCATAATATTCTAAAGCTTCGATGGTTTGATATTCTCTCTCTACAGTGGTCATCTGCATTACCTTTATGGCATGTATTTCGGACCTTAGGGTAAGGAATTTAGAAAATGGCTGATTTCTGTGGATACGTAACGTTATTTCAACTGTATTATTCTTGGCATAATTAATAGAACGAATTTTAGCAAGACAAGTGTTTTCGGCCTTTCTAAAGTCATCGTTAGATGGTTTCTCCCCAGGGTGTAGGTTTGGGAAATAGGCCATCGCAATTAGATCGGACTCGCTGATTTTACTACTTTCTACAAAAGATTTTGACATAGAGGTGAAGATATCGTAAAAGTCAGATACAACTCTCCGGTTACCACATATAACACTAAATGGTATGTTATCAATTCTATCCCTTGCTGCACATAAACCTTGCCAGCACTCCAACAATAACAAGGGTTTAACAATTTTTCTATATTCTGAAGCTGATGTGAATTTATCCTTTATGTCTGTATACTGTGAAGTTTCATCGTTTGGATATTCATTTTTTCTTGTATAATTCCATTTTAACATTGTCTCATATAGCGGGTTTAAGTCTACATTTAATCTTCTTCTCATATTTTCTTCTTCCATTCGAGCAATTTCAGCTTTGGTGTTACGTTTAATATTTTTTCCATTTATGTCCACAGTTTCGATTGTGTGACTTTTGGCCCTGGTTGAGGCAAATAATTCACGTGCTGTTTCAAGATCACCTTCTGCATCACTATCGCTATCGCTTGAATCACCGCCCTTAGTTTTAGTTTTTGGTTTTGTATGGAAAACTGACGTACTTGGTGGATGTACGATACGATTACTCATCAGCTGTTTTCTCGCTAATTCCATCTTTGAAAGAGGTTTAGGTGCCTTTTTCGTTTGTAAAGTCATGTCTGCCCCAGATTTGAAAACACCGAAATTCGTAATCTTGGGTTGGGTAGACTTTGGTCTACCAAGAATCGAAGAAGATGTAGCCTTTCGTTGCAAAAAATCCGCCCTGGATTCGTCGAGACTAGGTAGTCTAACAGTCGGATGTCTAAGAGCTTCCTTTCCTTTGCGGCTTTCTTCAACTGAGTCGACAATGGAAGTTACTAATCGGGAATTGAACAATTTTGCTTTTGTTAATATTTCAGATGTTTGTGATGCAGTCAATTTATTGGAATGTCTCTTAGCTTTTACTGCATATTGCGTTAAAGATGTTACGATTTCGTCGCCAAATTTCATTTTACGTTCAAAAGCAAGATCTGTGGCACTTATTATTAATCTTACACAAGATTCTAGTAACTCATCATCACTTAGTCTCAACCAGTACAACATATTTTTAAAAGCCTTCAGAACACTGTCAAACAAGTCTACACCGGAACTGGATATAATATCTGAAAATTCTCTAAAGGAGTTAACAAATGAACGACTCAATTCCAATGTATCTTTGGTAAAGTTTTCTAACTCAGAGTAATCGTACTTTGAAGCCCATTGTAAAGTACATTTGTATATTGTATCTAGAAATGACCATGAAAGTTGCCAAAATGTAACAATTTCATTGTCTGTGTTTTCATCCCTTAAACTACTATAGTTTGAAATAATACCACCTACTGGATCTGAAAAGGCACTTAAAATATCCATTAAAACTCGGATTGCCCTCGGGCAAGGTTCATAGAATTCACATTTGATAAGTTGTCTCAATACAGTATTAATAGATCTTAGTTGGTATGATAAACTAGTATTTAGAAGAGCTTGTATACCTTCTAATCTACCTTCAACATCAAATGTATCATAAAGAATATTGGTAGTCACCTGGTACAGGTTGGCGTCCGATGAAAATATACATGACCAAAACCCTTGAGATGCATTCTTATCTGCTAAAATTTCAGATAGTTTATTTGGCAGAACGTCAGTAAATTTGCTAATCAAATTAGTTGATAGATCTAAAAATTGTTTTACGGTGCCATTATGTTTTTGGATTATGGTTGATTGGCCAGGGACAACTAATAGCCCATTGATGTTGCGCATAGAAATTAGCAGATATTTTGCTAATAGTGGGCCATCTTGAAATGAATCTAGTTTGACTTTGCTATTTAAATTCTCAAGCAAAGTCAGAGGTAATGGTAGTTCGCTGATACTTTTGCCTGAGTATAGTCTATAAGTTCTTTGGCAAAGGAGTAGAACATCCAAGTCAATACATTTAGATAAAACAGCCATTACAGATTGGGCAACTGAATACACTGCAGTCCCAATACCCGGGTATGTTTGTGCGGCATTTGTCGCAGATTTAATAGCAATATCTTGAATTAACGGGTTATTTAACAAAGATCTCGAGTCACTCTTGGTAAAAAGAATTGTTTGGAAGTCATCTTGAACGTAGAGTTTTGATCTTTCTTCATCTTTGATGGACAAGATATCATTTAGTAGGGCAGTTGAAGAGCTCATTAAGAACAGTTTTGCAGTTGAATTTAGGTCATGGTATGTCGCTACAATTCTTAGAAATGCCACTGAAACTTTTTTCACCATCTGAATTCTCGTTGATTCAGATAAAGAGTGATAAAACGGTAAATTCCATGATAATAAATCTGTCATGGAACCCTTGTTGGAAAAATAAGTCTCTATATCATCATCTGGGATTCTAATATTTTGTACAATTGTGAGTCTGGTGACGAATAAATTATTACCAAAAATCAATTCGATTATATTGTGGAAAGTGTAAGGATGAATAATTTTCCAAAATTCGCTATTCATTTTATCTAATAAAATGCACACTGCTCTCAATAAGAAATCAAGTGGCTTATTAGCTATATTTATCGAGAAATGCTTGTACCATAACATAAATATAGATTCAATGGGAAACTTGTATGTTGCAGTTAAGGAATTGATATCCTTTGGAACAATTAAATATTCTTTGAACACATCTGTATCTAATAAAGCAAATATTGGTACAAATTTCATCCAAAACTTCGAAATATTTTCAGTTGTCCAATTTGATGGATCCTCTAGATGAAGAATGTAATAAAACATTTCTTCAAGTAAATCTGGTGTTAAAGATTTTTTGGTGATTATTGTGTTTTCTCTATGCAACTTTTTTAAAAATTCTTTTGCCCAACTTTCTTGTTCTCTTGTCCCACTATACCAACAATAAATAGTCCCAGCAAGGAACGTTTGTATTGACTCTGGTGACCGTACATCAAGTAATTCATATTTTGTATCGTATAAATATTTGAATATTACAGCAAATATCTGTTTAAAATCAGGATTGTTTCTAATCATATGTGGGTTACATAACCCTTCGAACATTGCGCAACGTACTGTAGGTGTAATATGGATAGATTTTCTATCCTCACTGATCGATATATTTCTCAATATTGGTGTACAAGTCGAGGCTCGCCATTCCGTTACTAGATCATTAAATTTATAAACACGATCGTGGGGTAGATCTCTTTGAGTTGCAAAATGTTGCAACATATTACAAGTCCCGCGTGTAAATGCTAATATACATTTCTCACATTTGGATAGAATGGGATTATATGTATTGAATAACCATTTTCTGGCAGCTTCATCGGGAAATGATAGTAAAGTTAATGAAAATATTGAAATTTGACCGATACGAGGGTCACAAAATAGATGAAAATCTTCAGGTAACTGTTTCAGGAGTTCTATAAGACCAGATAAAAGATTTGCCTCCTGGTTGTTTTGACTCTTCCCTTCATAGATTTCTTTAATGAACGGTAAATATTTGTCAGCCTTCTCATATATCGAAGCATACTCAGGATTGGTTGCTTCCATTATTTAGATATCGGAAAGAAGGAATTAAAAATTGGGGAATAAAATGCTGATAATTGACTTAAGACACTGTAAGTCTGTGTTTTTTGTAATTAGTTCTATCTAATGGTATGCTAGTAACTAAAACAAAGTATTGCAAATAAAAAAAAAATATAATTGAAGGATATGGGAAAAGAATAATTTGAAGATGTCTATAAAACCATACTAATATATAATGAAGACTCCAGTAAGAAAAGGTGGATGACTTCTAGTTGAATTAATTAATGTTTACAAAGCGATCTTTCAGATTTTCTTTTTTTTTTTACTAAAAAAGTGTGTCCTTTTATATGTAAATCTTCTTTGTACGTGTTATATTCAATATGCCAATAGATATTTATCTTTGAACGAATATACAGGTGGTAGAGTATCTTGGTTCTATTTAAAAGTGGAGCCCTTCAGATATATATAGTTTTATCAGAAAAAAAGATTTTCTCGTGTTTTGTGGTTTTTCGATTTGGTAAGACACACCTAGTATTTGTTAATCGCAAAGGGAAAAAAAGTATTGAAAATTCAACTCGCGACCTATATAATTAATTGGTGCTATTCGAGGCTATCTGAGTGGCTTTTTGAAAAGTATTACAAAGGAATCGAATTGAGTCAAGACACAAGATAAAGATGAAATTGATCCCAGCAATCTGTCAGCAACCCTTATGTGACTAAATTTCAGTTGGAAATTACTGCTTATGGTTATTTTAGATTTCATTGTGATAATAATCTTTATATAGTCTGTATAGTATAAAAGAACAAAATGGAGTTTGTGCATATATTACGCACTCCTCATAGATAGATACAAATAGATATCATTAACATTACAAAACTTAATTCTTGTGAACAAGTTCTTCTAACTTCTTTTCAACTGCCTTTAAACGTTCGTCCTTTTGAAGATTGGCCTCTGCTAGATGTTTAATTACATCTTCTAGATGTAAAACCAAAGAAGATAACTTCTCTACGGATTGTTTTAGACCTAATGATTTAGGACCAGCTGTGGCTGTTGAAGAAGATTTTGTTGGTTCAGAAGTAGTCTCGGCTTGTTTAGTCTCCTCTTTAGTTTCCTTCTTAACAGGGTTTTCTTCAGATTTTTTAATTTCTGTCTTGACGACTGGTTTTTCAATCTTTTGTTCAGGGGTTTGAACTTTAGGTGATGATGATGGTGATGGAGTCTTGATAACGGTCGGTTTGTCATCTTCATCATCCCAAGTAGATTCAGCTTTTGATGGATCTTCGGCATCGTTTATAGTATCTAAATCAGATGATTTCTTTAACAATTTACTGACAGAATCATCTTCTTTTAAATCATCTAAGGAACCACCAGTCTTTGGGGCAGGAGAACTGGCCTTGGGTACAACAGTTTCCTTTTTTGGTTCTTCCTTTACCACTTCTTTCTCAGTGACTATAGGTGATTGTTCTTTAGTTACAGGGGTAGGAGTAGTTGGTTCTGGAGTAGATTGTTTTTCTGCTGGATGGAAAATTGGGGTAGAATCATCATAAGCTGCTCTCATACTAACTAATATTGGACCATCAACTTCTTTACCAGATAGCCATTCTTCAGCAGATAAAGCTGGTTTGTCTGATGGGGCATCAGGATAAATATCATCTTGGAATTCTTCTGCTCTTCTTGGAACGCGGAATGAAACATATTCAATACGTTGATCGACTACAGTTTTGAAACAACCAAAAACTTCGTTTTCTTTAACATTTACTAACCTTTTTGGAATCATTGCAAACCCTCTTTGAGGTTCGGTCGATTGAAATTCGGATAATTCAAACAATTCATCATTTTGGAATTCATAATATCTGATATTACCATCACCTTTACCAGCAAGATATAAGATCTTATTACTATCATCAAAGAATGGCATTAAAATACCAGAAGATTGATCAATATTGTAAAAGCCTCCAAGATCACCTTTCTCTAAATTAAATGCATCCCAAATACCAATTTGACGATCACTTAGTTTTGAGAAACCGGTTGTCGCTAATCTATCAGAATTACCCAACCAAACAACTCTTTGATTCTTAGCACCAGTATGAGCTGCTCCCTCACTGATGATTTCTTGTTTCTTGATATTCCAAACCCTTAGTTTCTTATCACGAGAAATAGTGGCTAAATGTTCACCATTATAGGAGAAGGACATAGAGGTAACCATATCTGGATGTTTTAGAGTAATAACATTTTCCCCTGTTTCGATATTCCATAATCTAACAGTGTAATCCAAGGAAGAAGAAACCAAAATATTTTCAGCAACAGGATGAAATAAGACATGACCAACTTTTCTGGAATGTCCGCTTAAGATCTTTACTGGTTTAATATCCTTTGGATCGCCATTTTCGTCAACGTATTTATGGAAAGAATAATCCTCTGGGATCTCCCAGACACAGATCTTAGCATCATCTGAACAAGACACAATTCTTTGTGGGTGGAATGGATCGAAATCTGTATCTAGTACTTGAGCGGTATGACCTCTGAATAGTGGCACTTGGTCTGGAGATTTGCCGACTTCTCCTACTGGGATAACAGCAAACGCACCACCACCTGATGCGTTCCAGTTGACCGATATATATTTACCATTAGTCTTCAAAATGTTAGAGTCCCATGCATTGTTGGTAACTTTGATGTTTTCATATTGAAGCTCCCTCTTGGCAGCTTGTCCAAATACATGTCTATATTTAGATGCACGAACGAATTTCCCACTCATCCTAGCAAATTGTCGTTATTGATTTTAATTTTTTGAAATTGAACAAGATTCACAACAAGAGAAGAAACAACTAGTTACAGAACGCGTTTCTTTTCGTTGTTGTAACAACTATTCTTATGTGGTGCAGTTACCCTTTGCTGCCAAATTTAATTTTTCGTCTCTGTAATTATTATTATTGTTGTTGTTGTTGTTGTTGTTGTTCTTTATTTTTTTTCAATTCGCCCCGAGATTCCTCGAGTAAAATATAATACCGCAATTCGCTCTCTCTCAGTAATCTTCTTGTACCCACACAGATAGTTCGTATTTATTAACTATTTTAGGCACTAGGGGACAACGAGATCCTACGGTAACTAGACTCATTGAAACAGCCTAGCAGATATTTGGGTGTTCGATTTATTACCTGTGTAGTAATGATATTATGTCTTTGATTTTATGTATCGTGAAGAGATGTAATCGGTGCTTATTTATGTTTATATATTTTGAATGCATAGACCGGTGGGGTCGTAATGAGGATGTAGTCGACGTGACAGGGATGGAGCTTTACTTTTAAGTAGTCAATACCGAACTATCAGAAATATCTGGCTCGGAGTTGTTTAAGTGCTAAATAATAGAACTTTCCCCTTTTTCTTCTTTCTTTTACCGTTTGTTTGTTTTCCTTCGGCTGTGATTGGCAAACTGTCATCCAGATTGAGGTTATCCTTGGAGTTATTGTTTATCTTTTGCAATAACATTTCTTCGAATTCTTGATTCTCCTTGGAGGTCTTTTCATCTGGATGAACAGATATGGATGTACCCCAAATTGTTGTTTCCTCATAGTTTGTTTTTTTTGTATTATTGGTATTGGCATTATTAACCTTTGACATTGAAGCCACAGTAGATGCTGATAATGAATCTAGTCTACTTGATGAATTGAGAATTTCACTCAGTTCAACAGAAGAATCATTCAATGATTGTGATGTACCATTTTCCTCTTGATAAAACCTCATTTGGTCTTCTTCTAATTTTTGTTGATACATTTTCTTTTCATGATCTTCTTTTTGTTTCCTCCTGTTAAATTGTCTTCTACGAGATTTCAATTCATTAGCAAACTCATCATAAATTTCCTTAGGGATAATATCTATTTTACGCCAATCGATATCAATAAAAGCTAGTTCTGTTCCCAGCGGTAAATGACTGATATATTTTAATCTTTTAATTAATTGTTCTGTGACCACAGTCCCGAAATGTATATTTTCGACCTCGATCCTTAAGGATTCTGGGAATGAACTGTAAACTTTGAAACTACTCAAGAGAATCTTGACATCTAAATGTGATAAAAAATACTTCGTAGAAGAATCAAATGCAGTCTCGTAGAAGAAGAATGTGTCTTTGTCCGAATATTTTGACGTCAAAGTTTTTTCATTAGATTCACCTAGGCTTAAACTTGCTATATCATCAGTGACAGATAGAGCAAGTCCATCTTCATCTTTAGCTTCTGAAAGTATTAAAATAATTTTATCATTGGTTGAATTGATGGCTAAATCAACATACTTTTTATCCTCGTTGAAAAGAGCTCTATCTATTTCATATTGTGTACTAATCGAGTCAATATCTCTTTGTAATAATGCTAATTCAGAACTGATGTCACATTTCATAATATGACTATATGATGTGATATTTTTTATAGCATAATTTGGGAAATCCCCAACCTCACATGGATCAATATTTAATTCAACTGGTAAAGGTAATAATGAACCATGAGGTTTACACATTAATTTAAGTTCAATTTCGGATCCAATCATTGGTATGGTATCATTTGATTTAGAGAATTCATCTTCAAATATTACATCCTTCACCATCTGTGGTCTTACAATATTACCACATAAGGGGCAATCTTTATATTTTTTCTTTTTCTTAAATCCTGTCTCTTTATTTGTAATAGTCTCCTCCACTGAAAAGAAATTAATTAGACAACTGGCACAGAAAATATGACCACACGTTACCATTCTAGGAGCCACAGGTTCCTCACATAAACAGATAGGACAACTTTGACCCTTTGAAACAACGACTCTAACGATTTGAGAATCTGGTAATGGAATATTTGGGTTATTCCTTTGTTCATTATAGTCACCACTATCTTTTACAAGAAATCTTGAGTTAACATTAATAAAAGAATCACCTGATAGATGAATATGTTCCCTATTTTGTTCTTTTCTTTTATTGGCTGTTCTCTTATAGATACTGTCATTTTCATTATTTCTTTCAATCTCTGGTAAATTAAAATCTAACAAATGTTTAATGGACACTTGAGTTCTTCTTCCTCTTAATTTGAAGTTCCCATTAATAATTTCATCTTCAATAGAAGAATTAAAATTACTACTAAACCCTGCCAAATCGTTATCACCTCCATTATTGGCTTGTTTGTACTGATTATTTTGTTTCCTCTTATATTGGCCTTGTCTCTTGGAAGAATATTGACCTTGACTACTGTTAGGTCTATTAGCGTTCTTATTAGAAGTATTCTTATTTCTATTCTTATGTTGCTTTCCTTTAGCATTATTATTGTCGTTATTGCTATTCTTCGAACTAGATGAGGAAGGAACATCCTTATCTGACATGTTTCCCTTGGTGGAAGAGTTCATATCTTTCAAGTTCGGTGAACTCATCGAGTCAAATAGAATAGAAATGTATATCGTCAAAACAAAATCACCCAGGAAATTAATCAAAGAAAACGGATATCAGCGTATTTCACTCCAAAAAGAGTTGCAATATATATATGTGTAGCTGAATATGTTTATCTAGTAAACAATGTCTTTTCGTTTCTCCCAAAGTTTTAGCTATTACTCACACTTGCTCGAAACAAAATATTAAACAAAACTAGTAAATGTGATGGATAAGGGTATGTCACACCTTCAGTCACTTCCCATGAGGAATATATAATCAAATGACAAGATATATTAAATCTTGGCAAAACGTGTTCAATCACACATGAACAACAAAAACGTGTATCTTTATATTTTATTTATTTACTTCACTATGATATTACTGCTACTAGCAATCTAGTTCAAACAACCCATCCATCATTTACTATGTGAGAGAAAAGCGTTAGTAATCTGCTCGCTCTTCGCAAAACTTGAATCCCTTCCCCCCCTGCAACGGTTTGTTCTCACGATTTTCACATCGAAAATCAATCACACTACCTGAAATTTCAAGTACAAGACAAGCCATGGGATGAGATACAATAAAGGTAAACAGATTGATGAGAATGAAAATAAGGGATGCTATTTAGTGGTTGCTGATGAGAGTTCAGTTATGTAGTTCAATGTTTCTATAAAGCTCAGGTTGTTTTATCATCTGTTCCGATGATAATTATTCATCCGGCAGACAATCATCAATTTTGGCAAATTCTCTGGCCCATACTTGAATAACATATGGTAACGACATTAAAATGTGTGCAAAATTAGCATAAAATGGTTGCTGTATTGTTCCTCTTTCACCAACTTCGCATTTAGAAATGATAGCTTTCGCCAGAGTCTCAACATTGATGGTTGGAGCCCAAAATTGCATAGGAGGTTCAAATCCGCCAAACATCTTTGTGTTTAATTGTCCTGGTAAGACTAGTAACATTCTGATGTTATCAACTTTAGATACTCTTAATTCTTGCTCGTAGGATTGGTGGAATGAGATTAGAGCTGCTTTTGATGCTGCATATGCCGCCACTTTACTAGGGTTCAAAATTCCAAGCACACTTGCAATGGTAACAATGAAACATTGGCGTTGACTATTGTGGTCAGGGGCCAATTGTTTAATAATCTCCAATGTAGAAAAACAATTAATTTGGAATAGACGCGATATCTCGTCGCTATGCAGTTTATTTATAGAATTGAATGGAAGTCGAGCACCTGCATTATTCACAATTAAATTAATCCTCTCTCTGAATTGGTTTTTAATTGTTTGGATTGTTTCTTGAACGTCATTTGTATTTGATAAATCACATTTATAATAGATTAATCTTTCATCTTTAATAGTAGATTTTGTTTGATCTATGTTTATTATCGTCGTGGAAGGAAATCTTTCTAGTATAATTTTAATAAGTGAATAGCCTAATCCTCCACTACCTCCAGTTATTACTATAACATTTCCTCTTATGTCTTTTAAGTTTTTCCACTTTTTACTACCTTTCAGTTTATATACCTTATTTAACACCTCAAATAGATAAAATAGTATGCTATATATTACACAAACAGTCTTGATCCAAAGTGCAATTGATTGAAATGGCAGGATCAAAAGCGCTGGAAATTTTAAACATGGAAGGATGATATAGTCGAAAAGGGTATCAATGCTTATCATTCAGTGGATATCGAGGACTCACTATTGGAGTATTGAGCTGGTATATATCTTAGGTGTCTTTGTTAGATAAGCGATTCTGTTTTCTTCTGTCTACATCGATTATTATTAGTCTGTTTTTTTTTATTTTTCAGTATATTAGGTACTTCTTAATTTAAAAGATTATTTACTAAAAGTGAAGGGAATCGTTGAAATATCAAAGGTTAGTCCTTCAGGTTTTATATAATTTGAGAAATATGGTTACCTTTTTTCAATAACCATTTATGTTATAAGTTTTTAGAATAGTATTAATTATTTAAAAAAATTGTAGTTTTGTACGTTTATTTACAATTTCAAAGTTAGATAATCAATTATTCCTTGGTTGAGACATAATTGTTTTTCAAATATTGATAAATATGTTTATACATATTTCATATTGTCCTTACATATTTTTACATGGGTTATATTTCTCCTGTTTGTGTATATACGAGATCACAGGTCATTAATAACTGTCTACTTGGAATGTCAGGATGACTCAAAACAACCTTAAATTCGTTATTTCCAGAAGAGCTAACCAAAAGTACCTTTTTTCCTTTTATAATTTGGTTCGGTATTATCTTGCTTAATACTGTATTGAAGTTTCGTAAAGAGTAAATCTGGATTAAACTATCTCCTACAAGAATCAAATGATCCTTAAAATAACATGCCCCAGTACAGTAAAAATCCAAGATTAATATATCTTCAGTCCAATCAGGTATTTCACCATGATTATTCACCTTCACTACTGCTTCGTCGTAAATCATTAAATAGTTCCCACTACCGTCGTTCAACTCAAAACACGTCAAAGGTTTTGTTTTATTAGTAGCTATGTCTCTTTTCACATATTCTGCCATTTTATGTTTCGAAGTATCTGCGTGAGATGGTACGTCACTGTTAGACTTGAATAAATTAGAGTTAAAAAGGCCTGAATTTGTGTCATTTTTCATAGTTGAATCATTATAAAAAGTTGGTAAGAGAATGCCTTCTTCACCAAATACATCTCGATATAATAATGCCCCCTTAATTGTACACACAATAAAACATTTTTTGAATATAACAATGTCATAGATCTCAAGTCTTGTTAGGCCGTTAGATGGTAGCTTATACTCCTTATATTCTTTAAAATATTTGAAAACTTTGGTTACATTATCAAATTCAGGTGTTAAAATCACTATTTTCCCCTTTCTTTCATACAGTAAATGCCTTGAGTGTCCAAAATCACTAGCAAATTTAAAATATCCGACTTTATCCCTCAGGACAACACCGACTATTAAATTATTCGATAAATATTTCTTTCTATCATAATAAGCCCCAAATATACTTGGGATATTGAAATAACATAAATTCCTATCATCTAATACAAATAATAGACCTAATTTTTTATTAACTTCCATTTTGTTAACAAAGCAACATTGGATGACTTTTACAAAAGGAGCATCCACGCCATTGTCTAATCTAATCAAAATACCATCCGAAGTAGCTACAAGTAAAAATTTTTCATCTTCAAACTCGAATTGTTCAGTGCATAAAATATTAGTAACCATTGGAAAGTTTCTTACGTTACTATTCTTTCTATTATTCACCTCGTATATTTTTAATGCTGAATCTATTTCAGATCCTTCTGGAGCAACCGGCAAATTAACTGGTGCATCTTTATCTGAGTATGAAAATTGAGTTGAGACTACAAAAAAGTCCAGCACATTTTTATTGTCATCTTTTTCATTATTTTGTAAAGTTCCCATTATTTTCTTGATCCATAGATCCTTATCACCCAGGTTGGAAGCAATGAATGTCATAGATTCATTGGTGGCTGTATTTCGAATCTTGAAAGATAGTTCAGATTCAGAAGGTTGAATGTTCGAAATACCAGCTCGACCTTCCCTCTCATTCGATGACACAATCGTCCTGGAGACATTAGAGGCTGCACTAAACAGTGTTGGTCTCGCACCCGTTAAGGGGGTCGATGGAGTCATAGAAGAGTATATTTTGGAATCTCTTTTGTTCGTAGAAAGAACACTTTGGGAGTCATCATACTTAACTTTCTTTTCTAGATTAAGATAATCGATCGGGATAGGTCTTTCAACCAGCTTGTACTTTTTATTTTCATTTTTGATGACTGTCTCAGTAACTAAAAGATAGTTGTCCAATAATACCAGGAAGACGGGTGATGGATCCAGCCAAAGCTCTCTCTTTTTCAAAACTTTTCCACTTAAAATTAACTTTCTATCTGGGTTATTTATACCTATATCCAGAGAATCGTTCGTTGTATTGCCGTAATTCGAATCACTGTTACTGGAATTCAAAACGTTTGAATAGCCATGTAAGGCACCTTTAGAAGGATTATCTCTTAGTAGCTGACTGGAAAATCTTAACAACTTCCGGCGATCAATGGCATCACCATGTATTCTATCAACTTCTGAGCTTAATTTTTCAATATCTTTTATCACCATTTTTAAGTAATCATAATCATCCAGAGATGGATCGGTTACTTTTAGGATAGAGCTCAAGGTAACAGTCATGTTCTGCAACGACTTAAAATAACCACCAAAAAAAATAACATCATAATACATTTTCGATCTTGTAATTTCAGGAGAATGATCAACTTCATCTAACCATTTTGAAAATTTAGTACCATGTTGTTTCTCCCATTTTATAATTTCGTGTACAGTTGCCATAGACTTTGCATATCTTAGATAAGGTTCACGGGCCTCATTACACCATTTCAAGTATATTTTCCCTATACCATCAATAAATTTTCCCTTAATCTCGATTTTACGAAATATAGGTTCAAGAATATACGTCTTGTGAATATTAATTAGAGGTCGAAAAACTTCAAAAGCTAAATCTGAGAAATCAGGTTCATCAGGTAATAAATTAGGATCGAACCTTTTTCCATATACATCAACGGCAGCGTTTGCCATATTTAATGATCTCTCTTCTAGAATAATCAAATCAAAGATAAAACTTTGTCTTTGAATTTCATGTGGATTAATCTCACTTAATTCTTCAGAGGATATATGCCAATAATCTGTCCATAATCCCAATGGTTTTTTAATAATATCGGCAATCTTAACTTCTTTCCTCTTACCATGAGAGTGACTATTCATACATGTGAATGAGTAGCATAACGAAGGGCAACTTTGTTCATATGTCGTATCTGCAAAGGAATAACAAGGTAACAATTCCGTAAATATACCCTGAACATCAAGACCACCAGTAATCACAGTAAAGTCACCATCTATTGTATCTATTGTTTTATCGAATCCTTGTTGTGATTGGCTTCTTTTCTCGAATCGTACTGCATCTTGAATAACCAATGATTCTATAATTTTATCAACATTAGAATCTATGGTATCCTGATCATATGAACTTGGAACTTGAAATTCCAATAATCTTTGTACAACTTGATAAAATTCAAGTTTTCCAAAAACATATTCATTGAACCATTCGAAATATATCTTTAAAATCCACTCATAAATATCTGATAAACGGTAGACACAATAACATTGATACAGTTTATTCTCATCTAAGAAATCTATATGGAATGGTTGTGTCGGAGTTGTTATACTTGGAATCATCTCTAAAGGTTTGGCACCAGAAAAAGAATTATAACTGCTATGACGTGCACTAGAATTGTTAAAGGTATAATTAGAGTCAGAATAATAACTATCTATTCCATCCGATTGTCTACTGACTTCACTTACAACTCGAGAATTTGGTATTGGTCGGGGAGGTCTATTATAAAACCCGATATCAGTATCAATGGTCATTCCAACTTTGGTCGAATCATTTTTAGGATCTATTAAGCTTGCATATTTAGAAGGATTAGTATTACCAATCTGATCAATGCCTTGTGCTTTTGATATAGGTTCATATCGATCGTTTTGGGAGGTTGTTGAGGATATTCTAGTGTTCTGTTGCAAATCTGTAACAAATGGGGAAGGATATTCAACTGTATTTGAAGAAAATACTTGACTTTTATGTTGAGAGGTCAAATAGGAATTTCTGTTGGGTTTACTAACAAACGGCGAATCATATGGTGACATGCTGTTATTTAAATTTTGTTCTGGCGTTAAAGGTGAGTAGCTTGAATATGAAGAGTTAGGAGATGTAACGCTACTGTAATTTGCCAAAGAAGATCGAGAAGGAGGAGGAGGCGGCGGTGGTGGCCGCCTCCGAATTGTAGACGTCTTACCTTGTAATGCTCGTCTAGAAGTAGGACTTTTGACGTTAGCCGGTGTATTTCTCGATGAAATATGTTCTCTACCAACCTCTGAGGAACTAGATGGATCTCTCAATGGAGTACTTGGTTTATATTGGTCATTCTGTTGGTAATTAATTTGACTGTCATTCGAGGGCCGCGTTCTTAATGGAGGTAGTTTTGGTAATGCTATATCTTCAACGTTCTTCCTCCTGGAAGATGTATATTGAGCATTATCACCATCAATCCTTTCGCCATACATGGAATTAGATTCAAATTATAATCGAGGACCTTAATTTGGCTTTAAAATTCTTTTCCGTTTTTATTGATCTGATCCGGTAGAATGCTTGCAATTGAATTTTCTTAGAGTTTCACAGAATTAAGGAGTATTTAGTGATCTCTTTCCTTTTACTCTTTAAGTTCGATAAATATAGAAATCGGTATCCAGTGTGCAGTAGAATCAGTTTTGTAATATTTTGTTTACAATTCATCGCAACCATTGTTGATATATTGAAAGGGTTCAAGGTATTCTGTAAATAATTTACTGCGGCTCAGACATTCCCGCTCTTTTTTCCTGATACAAAAAATTGTGCATAATAAAAGTCAGATTTCAACTCTAAATAGAGGACGATGACTATAAGAAAAATTAGTGAAAGATTCGACCTTGGTGGGTCACGCATTTAAAAGAAGAATACCTCATTTCTTGAATTTCGTTTGATTCTTCAACGTTGCATGTGAGAGAGGTGGTTAACACTAAGTCGGTGTTCTTTTCAATCAAACTGACATACACCGTAATCTTAAGAATTGTTTTAGTAAATCAAATTTTCGAGATGTTTTCTGAACCCTGTCGATATAAATATCTTGCTTGCCATGTACCTATTTATGTAGTTCTTTACAAATGCCCAAAATGAAAAGTGACACTGAGTTAGAAGCGATTGTAACGAAACTGTCTGTAACAAGTGAACAGTACCAATAAGAACTGTATAAGTCAGTGTAAAAATTACTCAGATTCATTGTGAGTATATGCGTTTTTGTTCTGATCCTATCTAATTGAATATGATGTAGCGTTACAGAGTAATAACGTCTCAATATACCGAAGCCATATCAGCATCGTCATTAAACGAGCGTCATATTCACCATAATGTTGGATTTTGGAATTATTAGAGGAATCCATTTCTTTAATATGGTACAAAATTTAATTTATTAGAAATCAACGTATAGTCGTCTGATTTCTTTAGTATACAAATTATAAATAATATACAAAATAATCAGGGAAATCAAATATTCCAATGCATGAAATATTGTTCCCTTTATATACCTTTGGATTGGGTAATATTTCGTGATTATAAATCTCCAATACTAGCATTGTAGAAATTATGCATGGTTTCCAAATGCGTCTTATTATTATTATCTTTTCTCATTTTGGATTGTTAAATATTGAACATTATCAAATCTGACAATCTTTATTATTCTTTTATTCTTATATTTTATATTCTTGACGTCATTCTTCTATCATGTAAATTCCGACACATGATGATGAGCATATAATATATATAAGATGAGGATGATCTCTTGTTTGGGCTACATTGTTTCCCATTTCAATATAGAAGCCAGTCAGATGATTATACGTTGAAAACAATAAACTTACTACTTTTAAATATATAGCTCCAATTCTGATATTTCTCTGAATTTTGTGACACAATACTGATAGTACAGGTAATATGTAAAACTTTAAATTATAGTATACTGTATCATTCGTGTAATAATAACGATTTTGTGACACAAGACGTTTATCATCAACAATCACTTTGTTTTAGCCATTATATTCAATTTTCTGTGAGAGTTTGGCTATTATTTTAAGCAACCCAGATAAATAAATGAACAAAGATTATCTTTATTATAGTTAGAAATGGTTTTGTTATATTTAAATAGGGATATATTTAAATTTAAACTATATTAATCTACTGTTACCCGGATATACCACTCGCATCATGATCATAAACATCAGCACACGAATTCATCAATTATTAGACTTCGTGGCCAAGCTGGTTAAGGCGTGCGACTGTTAATCGCAAGATCGTGAGTTCAATCCTCACCGAGGTCGTTTATTTTTGTCTTGTATTTTTTATTATAGCGGAAGTTCTATGTTCGAACCTAACATACAATCTTATTGATGAGATTAATATGCAAGTTAAAGAAACGGGGGCCACCAAAAATATTTTTTTTGAAATTTTCAGCGAAAAAAAATTGAATTCGCCTTTGCCCTTACAATTCCGATTGGCTGACTAAGGATTCTTTTATAATTAGGGAAATTAATGATTTAGTTTTCAATTTCGAATAACTTGAACGACTTTTTTTTTGAGGTAGTTTATTAACCTTTAATTTAGTACTTAATACATGTAGATAAATTGATTCATATATATATACATATTTTAATTGTCTTTTTTTCTTTATTTAGAGTTACAAGAAAATAAGGTCTATTTAAAAAATTATTAAGCAATGTTTCGCCACCTAGCAAGAACTAGTAGGACAACTGCAAGATTGGTAAACACTAGATCAGTATTGACTCAAAGATCTATTACACCACTTATTTCTCGTTTATATTTTTCAAGTAATGGTTATTATTATGAAGAGCCTCAACCTAGTAAAGTAGTATGCTTTTTGTTAGGTGCCACTGCAGCTGCAGGTGCAATTTATTTTGTCAAACCAAATAAACCAAAACCTAAGAAAATTGAAGAGACTCCAGTAATCCCAACACAGGAGAAAATAGTTAGTATAGAACCTCCAATTACTGAAGAAATATTAATACATGATGAACCTGTCGTTGAAACATCTGACATGGAACCTATTGTAAATGAAGAACCTGTTATTCAAGAAGAAGTGACTGTTGTAGATGATAATGCTATTGATTCAGTTATAAACCCTGAAGAGAATAGTATTGCAGATATTGATAATGGATCATCGGATGTTGCTGAAGTATTGGCTAGCCAAATCAACAATAAAAATAATGATATTAAGAAATCAAATACTGATATCGCTGAAAAGGAGAACATACAACTAGGTGAATTAGAAGAAGAAACGAAAAAAGAATCAGCTTATAATCCAGATACTGGTGAAATCAATTGGGATTGCCCATGTTTGGGTGGGATGGCTCATGGTCCATGTGGTGAAGAATTTAAAGAAGCTTTTTCATGTTTCATTTATTCTGAAGCGGAACCAAAAGGTATAGATTGTGTCGAAAAATTCCAAGGTATGCAAACTTGTTTCAGAAAATACCCTGAATATTATGCTGAACAACTAAAGGATGAAGAAGATGCTGAAACTGTCATGCAATCCGAAGAATTTGCTCAAACTAATGATGATAGCACCGTTCCAGTTGTTCCAGAGGAAACAGTTAACTTTAATGAACAACAAGAGAAAGATGAACCCTTCGATTTAGTTGAAGAAATTGAATTAACTGAAAGTGATTAGAACTTGGAGTAACCTTATAATGCCTACTACAATGATCCATATTTTATAAAGTAAATTTTTCTTTTCTCCCGCATCCTATAATAAAGTCTTTGGAATTAAAGAATATATAATTGTACGTATATTATCATATGTTTAAACAATTACATGTAAATAATATATATTTCATCATTACGTTTATGATAAACTGATTTCAAATTTATCGAAATTATTATCATCAACCAGCCATAGATAGGTGAAAAATAAAAGCGCCTCTAGGTCATATTAGTAAATGTTCAATTTTGTATAAGTAAGTTGGAAGATATTTCCCTTGCTGTTTTTCTACCCAAAGTATGTCATCTTTCATTGCAAGATTGATCTTTCTATTATTAATTGCGTTTGAAACATTAAATATTGGCACTAAACTACTTCTATCTTTACCATATTTCAAATGCGCATATTTGTTTGAAATCTTTTTAATTAAAAACCCATGTTCTTCACAATATTCTTCAACTATTTCTCTAAAAGTTGAAATAACCCTACGCATTGGAATATTCCTTATAGTGTATACAGGTTCCTGCCCGATATCATCTAGGGTACTTTCATCACTATAAATACCTTCCAGACTATCTTTTATATTAAAATCTTCATTATGTATTGGATTAATATTTTTAGTTAATTTCCATTCATTGAGAAATTTCAAGGTATTGTTTATTTGAAATATCTCGTTTGCACTTGGTAATGGTTCTGAAAATGTGTTATTTATAAACCAATTGAACCAAGAAATAGATGCTCCTTTAGACTGATCATCTGCATATAACAACCATTGGAATAAAACCTTGTTCAACTCATTAAATATAAACTTCAAGAGGAGATTATATTCGTTTGGTTCAAATAGGTTAATGTAGGAACGAAAGGTTTTCACAGCAGTTAATGAGTTTGCATTATTAATATTTCCTTTTACATCCTGCCACTCTTCGAGTTCAATTAGTGGGTCATAGTATTTCTCTAAATAGTCCTTCAAAAATGTGTAAGTAAAATACTTAGTGCACGTTATTCTAGCCTTGTTATCACTGCGCAAAAAATTCTTTATAAATATTAAATCAGAAGAGTTCGGTGCAATAGATGTTTTGCAATTCCAGGTAGTGCAATATTCATAAAGTTTATCATATAATAATTTCCTTAAAGTAGTCATTGTGCTTTCATAAGCGAGTATATTTGGCTCATTTAACAAGTATCTTGGAAAATTATCATTGGTAGATTCCGTAAGACTCCAGGCTTTAATGACCTTAATTAATTGCGGCGTAATGTAGACCTCTAAAATAAAGTCGTAACTGCCAATATATTTCAGTATAACCTCATAACTCAATAAAAATGAGATAACTGTGTCATAACTCTTGCGGCCCTTTGTTAAATCGATTGAATTCCAGAAGCTTTCCATCTTAGTAAACACCAACTCATATAACACAGTCTGCGTTCTATTAAGAAAGCCTTTATTTGTTTCTAACCTATATTTCAAATTATCAAGTAGTTCTATAAGGGAATCTAAAATTGTACCCTCAGGATCCAAGGGATTCCAATTAGCTTGTTTAAGTGTTCTTTGTATTTGATTGGCAATCAACTTATCAACAGTTTCATCATCTGACAACTTGAGGATCATATGAAGTGAATCAGAAAAATCTGAAACATCTGAATTTTTAAGAAATTCCAACACTTTGATATATTCTTCTATCCCATAGACATCATTTTCAAGTATTGGAATCTCGTTATCAAGTTGACTCAATCTATTCGCTGTATCACCCATTTCAGTTAAGTTCAACTTAAGCTTATTTTTCTTTTCCATAAAGATGTTGTCTTCAAATTTATTTACATTTTCCCTCAACTTTAGGAGAACAGGGCCATCCGTATTAAAATAGTCGAATGCTGAATTTACATCCAATTTATTCAAAAGTTCCGTAATATCTTTACGACTGCTCTTCCCAAAATCGGTAGATTCTAACTTATTGGATCTTTTAAATGAGACTACCTTGGCTTGGCTCTGGTATTCCATATCTTCATCAGATGAACTTGTAATACCTTCATCATTTATGGATTGTGCCGTTGACAACATACCCAAACCTGCCCTCTGGTAGGCTGGGGATGATGTACTCTCAGTTTGAATTGGATTTACTATACCAGAACTATTTACACCCAACCCTTTCCCACTAACATATCCCATTTTAGAAAGTAACTGAGCACCAATTCCATATCGCTGGGTCAGTCGACTATCTTTATCATTGTTCTGCGATTGATGTTTCTTTGACGGTATTATCTCATCAGAGTGTATGTACTTCCGCTTCTCCATCTTTTTAGTGTTACGTTTGGGATAGTTTAATTAACCCATTAAATCAATTTTAAGGATGTACTATACATTCCTGTAATATATTTGTTGTTTAATCCACAACTCTTTTAGTTTATTTATTTTTTTTATTTTCCTTTAGGACTTTTTCACTACTCCAGCCGTTAAAGCGTTGCACTTCTATAGTTCAAAAAGTGACACTTTACCATTATCAGAGTTAAGTTAGTTAAAATAGACGTGTATACAATACAGTATGATGACTTTAGCAAAATATGTAGGCCTAATAGCGACTCTGAAATGGAAAGTTGCCTTAAATTATCTTTTCACTACTATTTTATATCCTGTAAGACTGAAATCGTAGGGAATGAGTATTAACAAAGCATATCAAATAGAATCTCTTTTATATTAACAATGATCAAAACAGTAATCGATACTTTCTGGTCGTATTTATTATCATGAATAAAGCTGGATATAATGTCGGACTGACTGTTTCAGTATACTCTGTTTCTCCTCTTCCATCCAAAAACTGAACGAGAGTAACACAAATGAACTAGCCAAAAAAGTATTTTAACCTGAGAAACGAATAAACAGATATGTATTCCAGATAAATACATTAAATAAAGAAGAATACCACATAGGGTCTTGAATTGGACATTCTCCATAAAAAGTGTTTATTATTCCGGTAAAACAACTCATAAGAAAGAATGAACCGTATAGCGATGTCTTTTAAAAACCCTTCTTATAACCCATTCACGGTATTGTACAAATGAGCCACACCCAAATTTTACATCCCCGAGAGTAAAGTATATTGACAGCACAAAGTCAAGATGGTTCATCTTGTGTGTGTGGGCAGAGACGAAATACATCAAATTTACCAAAAATTTCTGAGACGATTTTGCTTAGCTGAAATGTTCATAGTGAAAATGTGGAAGTTTGTATAATCGAAAGCTTTTTACTCTATAGAATGTGTGGATAGCCTTACAGTTAAAAATTTGGAAGCAATACAGTTGTGTTTGCGAAATGCAGACAGGACACTTATTCAAACTTTCAATTTCGCAAATAAAAAAACAAATGCATAAGTCTAAATTGGGATAAATAGCTAATCATATTGAAAGAACAATATATTTTAATATCAGGTACGTAATACTTACCTTTAATCTGCTAATTTTTGTGTAACAAAATATTAAGGTGGTGTGGGTTATTTTCAAAACCTATTGAATTACACCGTATTTTATAATAGGTTGCGTTTTTCCAAAAATAAAAGCACTACAATTTCTAGTAGACAGACAAATACAACCTCTACATCCAAGCATTAGTAAATATTGGAATATACTATTTGGATTGTCTTCATAATTCCAGTTTTTAGGAAACATACAACTGAATCTTTGTCCGTTTATTTATTCCTTGTTATGACTCCATTAACTTCGATGATAGGACCACAACATTTATGTAATAGCTAAGTATATAATATGAATTTCCATGTGATAGGGTCATAACACTTAAGGAACTAACATTTAACATACAAAAAGTAATAAAGTTTACTAAATCTTCTTACCCAAAACTCTAAAAATCAAAACTGTCGGAATTTACATGATAGAAGAATGACGTCAAGAATATAAAATATAAGAATAAAAGAATGATAAAGATTGTCATATTTGATAATGTTCAATATTTAACAATCCAAAATGAGAAAAGATAATAAAAAGACGCATTTGGAAATCATGCATAATTTCTACAATGCTAGTATTGGAGATTTATAATCACGAAATGTAACCAAATCCAAAGGTATATAAAGGGAACAATATTTCATACATTGGAATATTTTATTTCCCTGACTATTTTGTATATTATTTATAATTTGTATACTAAAGAAATCAGACGACTATACGTTGATTTCTAATAAATTAAATTTTGTACCATATTAAAGAAATGGATTCCTCTAATAATTCAAATATCCAACAAAAACATTTAAAACTTTAAGTGTTAATTAATATCTGTAACATATAATTTTAATTTCTTCTCTCTAAATATTGAATTTAAGGTGAATTAAGGGATTAAACTCGTTGTTTTATTAACCATATAAATTTTTGCTTCGAACAATGAGAACGGATAAATTATACTTTGCATCCAATTTCAAACAAAATAATATGGGCGTGTGGCGTAGTTGGTAGCGCGCTCCCTTAGCATGGGAGAGGTCTTGGGTTCGATTCCCAACTCGTCCATTTTTTGAAATTTTTGACCTTCAATTTTGCAATTAATAGAAAGTCATATATTTATAGTAAACTATTATTAAATTTTTTTTTTTTAACTTATTGAAGATACATGCACATAAATCATCAAAAAGTTGAAAAATAATATAAATTTTGTTTTAATGGTCTTTATATTATAATTCTTTTTTTATAAATCGGTTGTATTTACTATAAAATATTATCTAGTTTTTCAGTATATCGTTACTCTATTTCAATCCCAGATTGTAAAATCTTGTAACTCCGTGAATCCGTCTTCAATTTTAGGGACAAAGGTACCATCCATAACATTCCCAACGTTACCCATATTCATCATAGCGGGTCCAGCAAACCCTGACATATTATCATATGTCACTGGGTTAGCATTATTCATATTGTTTGCGTAGTTACCATTATTTCCCATATTTGGCATACCGGTAGCACCGGTATTCATACCATTCCCTTGCATATTCATAACAGACGCCATACTACCCATGCTCATGTTCCCGTTCAAACCGCCTTGAGCAAAATTATCAATATTGTTTGTATTTGGAGCACCCATCTCAGACATCGGATTGAATTCGTTGATGGCTGCCATGACGCTGTTAGGATCGAATAAATCTCCAAAGTTCGAATTCTGGACAAAGAAATCGTCTGAATTTGGTGTTAACGTAGAGTTCATCAAATTAGCGTTGTTAACTGCAAGATTATTCCTCGAGGCAACATTGTTATTAGAATCCTGGAAGAAATTGGATACAGATGGCAATGGCACAGCAGCTGGCGATGCCGCATTTAATTGCATATTCATGGCCGGAGCTGGTGAGTTAATAGCAGATGGATAAGATGTAGTTCCGTTACCATTATAGCTCTGTTGACCTGTCATCATGGTTTGAGGAACCTTTTGAACCTTTGTGCCATCCAAAGTCATACCAGTAGAAGAGATACCAGATGATAGTGTTTTTCCAGGATTTAGTGCCGGTGTAACTACTGTATTATTCAATTTTCTTCTCTTCTCAGAAGCATCCTTTTCGGCTTGCTGCTCTAATTTACGGATATTACTATTTGTATAAGTAATTGGTTTATAAGATGATCTTATTGGAGGTAATTGTGTATTAGAAGAGGTGGATGGAACCCTTGGCCCAACAAAACCTAAAGCGTCCTGGTAAACTGGGCATCTCTTCAATTGGTCTGTGTTCCCTGACATGATTAATGAGGGGACATTTTTAAAGAAGCCGGAAATCTTTGGATGCTTCCATGTAGTTAGATTAAAGCCACCCTTCTTATGACCACTCAATAATGTAATAAAGAAACCAGTAGATCTGTATGTTCTTGCTGCATATGGATATTGAACAGCTATTTGTTTGGTCAATTTTTGGAACAATTTCATTCTTGCAATCAATATATTGGCAAGTTGGAAGTCAGCGACAGAGTCTAACACAATGTTGTTTATCATATTGGAGCTCAATTCCAATGGATCTCTCGTACTGCCATAGTTAGAACTCGAGTCACTAGAATGGGAATCATTGTCCGAATCTTCACCACCACTGCTGTTGTTGGAAAATATATTTTCCTTCATACCACCTATTGGGCCACATTTCGAACGAAGTGTTAAACAAACTAAAAATTGTAGCGCTCTATGGCCAATATCTAAACAATGTGGCGTTAACAAAATATTGACATAATCAAAAATAGTTGAATGGTTGTGTAAAATTTTATCTCTCTTAACATTGTTAAAGAATATTAAACAATTCCTGTACCCATCAGTAGCAAAGTTTAATGTTTGTTGAGCATAATTCTTCGTTAGTGCAATAGTACCACTATCCTGACTACCCATTGGTTCATAATGTGTGAACAGAATGTAATTCAGTAAGTAAAGCAACATTCTTAAGGTCAAATGCTTCGTAAAGAAAAGTGCCTTCGTTGTAGATTCATGAGGTAATTCAAATTTCTTTTCAGAAGGAGTACCCAAGTGTTTTTTACCAGATACAGAAGATGCAGGCGAGGCACCAGTAGTGGAACCAGGTGTATTCATTGCTGACATTGGACTGGAAACACTCGAATTCCCGATAGGAGTGGCCGTACTTGAAATGATTTCTTCTAAGCTTGGTAAACCATAACTTTCATCAGTGTAGTCCTGGAAATTAATAGAACCTTCTGAGGTTGTCAACAACCCATTGTTAATTAAATCATTTAAAACATCGCCGATACTCTTCTTGGCATATGTCAGATTGGATAAAGATTGAATCAATTCATCTAGCTCGAATTTCCTGACATTCTTAGCAAGGAACACGTTTAAGATATTATTTAGTACGGCAATGATAACCAGATCAATTTGCCAAAATAGACTGAAATTTTTAATGATAATCAATTCCTTGATATCACGCACATAATCAATTTTAGATGCAGATGGTAACTTTGTATCACTGAAATCCTTCAGATTTCTCAATAATCTTGGAGTACCTAATGTTAGAGATTGTTGAACATCTAAATGAACTATATAGAACCAAATTTTTCTCCATGTATGCTTGAATCTTTCTGTAGTTATTTGATTTTCCTTTGCGCTTGAATTACCTTCCGAAGTACCACTAGCCCCATTACTATTTGAATTATTTCTTTGGTTGCTATTTCCAACATTCATGGTTGTACCAGCTGCGCTCTGACCATACGTGGATACAACGTTTAATTGTGGAAAATTATCTGGATCTCTATGTAGACCACAACTAAAAGCCATTTGGATGATAGATGATAATAAAATTTGATTCAATTCACTATCGTGAGAGTTTGGATCACTAATACTATGGAAACTGTTGTTATTTCTCTTGTTAGCAAAACCTTCTGTTGGAGAATTCATCATGTATATCTTATACATAATAGCAAATTGAATTGTGGTTAAGTTAATGTTATTGTTTGATATTGAAGAAATCTTGTCAAATTTGATCAAATTATCCTTCACTAAGTTTAATAATTCCATTGGAGTTTCGTGTTTCATTAATTGGTTGTCTTCCTTATTGTTAGAGTTTGTATTAATATTCAAATGAGATGCAAGATAAGAGTTTGTTAGTTCTGTGTTACCCAAGTTAATTTCACATCTGTTAGCCGGTAAAGATAACCATGTTAATCTTAGAATAATAATCATAATACCTAAATTACAATAATCTGAAGATTTTGCCATGTGTAATTCCAATTTCTTATCTGGTGTTTCATGAAGAATCTGAACCAAATGGTTTTTGAAATTTTGTTCATCAATAATAGGAATAATTGGGTATATATGTTTGAAAAACTTATCGATAAATGTAAGTATAATATGTCTTGGTGGTAACATTGAAACTACTTTAGTGATAATTTGTTCATAAGTCATTTGTTCAGTGGCCTTAGCCATTAAACTTGGTTCAGTTTCATGTGGTACTGGACATTTCGAAGTCAGTTTTTGGAACGATGGCAATGGATTTGTTGCAGATACCGGAGCCGTCCTTGTGTTAGTTTTATTATCACTTTCAGTTCTTTTCATATGTTGATTTGACATATCATTTTCATTTCTCTCAGAGTCCTCGGCAGTTTCATTAGCTTCCATTGGAAATCCATGTGCTACAGGACATTTACTAATATCTCCATTGGAGCCAACTGGTAAAGGATGTGGAGCAATTGACATAGAACTTCCAACAGATGCCATTCCTGTCATTGGCGATGATTGTGGTTCTTTCTTAACTGCAGGTCTAACATCTACAAATCTGTGAGCCACTGGACATTTACTGATATCACCTGAAGAGCCAGCAGGTAAAGGATGTGGAGCAACGGGAGTTGAGCTCGAAGCAGAGTTTGGTGGTGGCGGGGTATCTGTTTTGATACCCATAGCTTTGGCTTGTGCGGTACCAACTAAACTTTTATAATCAATTGGACATTTCCCTGAAGAAGCAGATTGTAAATTTTGGAAACTTTTTGATTGATGAGGAGGACGTTTACCATTAGTAGCACCACCTGAATTACCTACCATCCTTTGAGAGTACCAATCATTAACTCTTTCTCTAATATTAAAGATATGACCCCATAATAATTTTAAATATGGATCACCTTTCATAATAGCTAACCAATGAGTAGCCCCTAAATGAATTGTCCCATTATTTTTTATATGTAACATATCGAATTGTTTTGTTAAATCCAATTCATCATTATCATATTTATCTCTTGGATTAGCAGTACTTGGATGATTAGTAGTTGAAACTAAAGAGCCTAAATCATCTGAATTTGATTGAGTTTGACGATCTGCACCACCACTAGCATTTGAGGATGTTGATGAATCATTCATGACTAACATACTATTATTACCATTACTGTTATTACTATTACTATTACCAATAGAAGGAACTGGACTGTTTATATTCATATTATTATTATCTGGGGTATTAGCTACTGTATTTGAATTTGAATTTGAAGAGTGAATTTTTGATAAAGCTTTTTCTAAATATTTTACTCTATCTCTTAAATTTTTCAATTCAGCTTCTTTTGAAAGTTCCTTTTCAGCTTCCTCAGCCCATGATTGTTCCATATAATGACATAAATGAGCTACACCTGTCTTTGTACATTGATTACAATGTGGTCTAATTTTATCACATTTAACTTTACGTTTACGACAAATAGTACATGATAAAGGAATTCTATTTCTCTTTCTCTTGGATTTTTTTTCTTTATCTTTATTTGAAGATGAAGAAGTTGGTGTATTATTAGAAGGTGAAACAGATGCAGAGACAGCAGCTGAAACAGAAGTTGTACTATTAGGAGTTCCAACATTAGTAATATTTGTACTAATATTATTGTTATTATTCATGGCCATATTCATATTATTCATATTATTCATATTCATGTTCATATTATTACTGGTCATATTATTATTATTACTATTGTTATTATTTTGCATAGCTGGACGCATCATTTGCTGAACACCTGGTGAAAATGTATCAGCTGGTAAAGCGATTGATGGTTGCGTATTCATTCGTCTCAAATGGTTTATATATTGACCTTATATTATATTGTATATTCTCTTTTTCTCGATCGGGGGTAAGGTCGTCTTGGTATTATTGTTATCAGTGTTAATTACTAACTAATACAGACCAAATATAATATCTGTCTTTTAATTTTTTTTTTAAAATTTCGATGGTCAATATAATTAATTATCTTAGTAAGAAGCAGTAGATCTCACTTCGAGAAACTTGAAAGTACCTAAAACAAATAAAAATAAAACAAAGAAGAAGAAGAGCAAAAAAAAACCTAATAACAATACTATTTCGTATAAGTTTGTTGAAAACTTACTAATATTTTTCCTATCACAAAACACACCTTTACCAGTTATTGATTAGAAGTTGTTGATGGGATGGAATGTAAGAGAAGGGACTATTTTCCCTCTTACTTCTGGTTTTTCATTTTGTTTCAACTATTTTTTTTTGTTTGCCTTCTTTTCTTCTTTCTCTAAGCTTTTTTTTGCTTCGTCTTTCCCATTGCTCGTTCCGTCTTTTCGCGCGGGTGTTAATATTAAAATTTTCTCTGAGCAGAAACGAAGTGAGGGAGAAATAACGCCGGCGGGCTATTTTTTTTTTGATTGATTTTGCTGCAAAAAATTTCGTTGATCGCCGTCGGGTCGTTCTCCGTGACGCTCAGAAAAAAAAATTCGTGGGGGGGGGAGCGAGACGGAAGGAGAAAGGAAGTTAGAAATGGGAGGCTTTGCGTTGTGCTTCGTGGGAAATGATGGCCGGTGGATCACGTGACTGATGCATGGATGTTTACTTTTGCTTTTTGGGTTCCGGAGTCTACGTTTCTATTAACATACAAAAATGACTTATATCCGATTTTACTTCATAAATTGAAATGCTACTACGGTTTTATTTACAAATAATACGTATATTAAATAAGAATATATATATATATATATATATTTTAGAAGTAATTCCACATTTGTGTGGTCAATTGGCGATACCATAAAATAGTATCGTAAATGAATAATTGATTACGACGTCTTTCGTAACAAAGCCAATTAATAATATAATTAATTGTCCATCTTAAGGTCCATCTACCATTTTTTTTATCATTTCGTTCGCAATCTTCTCCATAGACTGTATTGGCACAATATTGTGTCATAATTAAAAAGGTACGTTCAGGTCCAAGTGGACTATTTAAACATTCATCTAAATATCTTGTAAGATCATTAGTCTTCAGAATTAATAAAACAATTCTTGGAATTCGGGATAGAATACTCATTAAATCAGGTAAAAATTCTCCATCTATAAAACGTGATGTCATTGAATTAATCTCTTCTTTACTTCTTCTTGTACTAATATCATAATGTAGAGCTACATCTATACTACGCCCGGTTATTGCAGCGGCAAATAATGGAAATTGTTCATCTGTAATATTTGCAAATCTTTTTGCATAAATTTTCATCTTTTCTTGATCTTGATCTAATAATGCTAACCAAAATCTTGCATAATCTCTTCTCATTTGTGTCTTTGGAAATCTATATAATCCATGATCAAATAATATAATTTCAAAATTATGTGGATTTGTCTTTGTTGGTTTTATTGGTCTAATGGCTAAATTACCTCCATGGGGATCACAATGTAATCCAACATTTGGTGTGAAAATCATATTACTAAAAATATGCGATAGACATGATGATACATCTGCTCTTGATATGTGATTATTATCAATAAATTCTGTATTATCAAGTCTTTTACCTTCAACATATTCCATAATTAAGATTCTATGATGTGCTTCAATAACGTCCGGAACCTTTAATGCTGTTATCTTTGTAAAATTTTTAAAATAATTTTGTGTATTAATTGCATTTTCTGCTTCTTTAGTAAAATCTAATTCTGTATATATTGATGATTGTAATTCATCTCCAAGCCACATTAATGGATATTCTGGAAACACTTTATCCATTAATGCAAATACAGTCTTTGTTAAAATTACATCCACGGGAATAAATTCCTTTAATTCTGGATGTTGACATTTAACAGCAACTTTTTGACCCGTTGATCTTAAAGTAGCAATATAAACTTGCGCTAAAGAAGCTACACCAATCGGTACTTCGTTAAATTCACTAAACATTTCATCGATAGATTTACCCGTATCGCTAACAAACATCTCATTGATTGACTCCTTAGATGATTCAGGGCATTGATCCTGTAAAGGGATCATCGTTTCTGTCCACTCTATTGGCAATAAATATGTCATTGCACCAATATGCTGTCCAAATTTAATAAAAATTCCACCATTAGTACTTAACGCATGTAACGTGATCATAGCACATTGACTGTGACATTCTGATAGAGCTTTTTTTCTGGCTTCTTCATTAGGGTAAGTTTCATCTAATGTCTTCTTATAATAATAAAAACATTTTGCTGTAGCCTGGGTTACTACCCCAACACGTTCACTAGTGGAATAAATATGATCAACAAAATTATGCACAGAACCATCACTATCATATAAGAGCGCTCCAGAAGCTAAACTTGCTCCAAACAATGTTTTTTTCTTATTCTTATAAAAGGATTGCTTCCAACTCTTCATATGAATAGATTTGGAGGTATGTGATGCCCATCTGCGTGATATATGTAATAATGGGAAATATTGAAGAAAGGGTTTCATCTCTATTTTAAAACAATGACAATGATGTGAAAAAAAGAATATAGACAAAATAATAATTCAATAGTGTATATGTGCAAAATTTAATAATGCATCAATAACGTACTTGTTCTTGACTGTCTGCTTTCCAATGTAATGCTTCAATTCTTCTTTTTAGTTATGCCTAGTAAAGGATACCTTTTTAAATGCCCATCCTTTATATTCCCCTCTCACCTTTGTTCATTTTACGGAATTCTCGGTAGGTGAAGAACTCGCGCCGCTCATAATCGACAAGATTTTACATTATGCTGCGCTTAATAGAATCACGTATATACATGACTACTTAGTTTAGATAAATTGCAAATTTTTTTTTTATATATTTATCATAATTTCGTCTTGTATTGATATTAAATATTTGCTATTCAGTTAGTGTACCAGAGTCTCTCCAGAAGCCTTCAATCCAGTGATGACTACCTCTCCGAGGACACTTTCTACTACTACATCAAGGATGGAGTCAAAGGTCACTCGAGTCTCTCCTTTGAAGAAAATTTCATTAAACACTTCAGATAATTCACCCCGATCAATTACTTTCATATCATCGTCCTTTATGTCAAATGTGACATCGATGAAGGTGCTGTTGTTATTATCCTCATCATGTCTAATTTCAGATGTAGATTTAGTCCAAACTGTCATTGGGATAGATAGAAAATGTGTCCCTGTATGATATATCTCTAAGTTACCCTTGATATTATGTACAGCAAGTCTTTCTTCTTGTGTATTATAAAATGCAAGATCAATAGAGGCTATCATCGTCCCAACCATACGAAGTCGGTTATCTGACCATATCAATCGCATATTGTCAATAGTGATCACTCTTAAGATATCTGTAGCATTAAACGTTGTATTAATAGATATTGGAAAATAATCTAACTCATGGAAAAAAGATTGTAAAATATCTGGTGGTAAAAGCATATCCTCTTCATTCTGAACAGTTAAATGGCTCATGTCTGCAATTGCACCTTTCAACTCTATCCCACAACTTAACGAATCATTCATAAGCTCGTTTAGTATCATTGTTAAAGGTGTAACTGTATTCTCTTCATCAGATGAACAAACATGTGATAGTAATTCTCGAGGTAACGGACCTCCAAGTCTGTTATAAATAGTTAGCGATTCATTTTGCCTCAAATCAAATTTTGAACTATGACATTCCAATGTAGGGACCTCAATAGTACATTCATTAAAACAATCGGGAAGTCTTATACTCCATTTAAGATGCGGTATAATTGTATTCTGTGGTATGTGTATCCATTTGTTATCTGTTAACAATTTATCCAATATCCTTAACGGAGTTGTCTGTATTTGTACATCAAAATACTGTTCTGAATCATCTGTGACTTGTAATTGCTGAACTTTAGGAATTTCCAGATTTTTATCTAGATAACGTAAAAATTGATCCTCTAATTTATTCCATTCGAAAACTTTTGTCCAATCTATTTTAACTCTTGGTAATGTAGCTAGTTTAATATCCAGTTTCATTATGCTTTGTTTGTATAAAGTAACACTCACACGAGACCACAATTGCAAACCTTCATATTTATGAGATAGAATCTTCTTCAGGACACTCATAATATTCTTCATGTTTGGTTGTACTAACAGGGTGACATTCAAAGGTGTTACAGTTCCATTAAGTAACGAGACACATACAGGATTCTGAACCAATACATTTGCTAATGCAAAATTTTTGTTATTGACATTATGAAAGGTTGTGGAGTTATTAAGATCAATACAAAGAGTCTTAACTAGATTTTCTGCCACAAACTTAAAATTTTCAACTTTCTGAGGATCTATAGCTAAAGAACTATTTTGTAAACGATCATAATTTATCATATAGTTAGCTTGTACTGTCACTTGTAAATATTTTCCATTATCGTTATCCAAAGTTGGATTATTTTTACTTTCTCTCCAACCATCGATGGTCACATCACGAACTTCAACATCTGATATTTGAAATACATTGTCCTGCACTTCATCGACTGTAGGCGTATGTTTTACAAATGTGGTAATTCTACACGTTATGAACATAAATGCTATACCAACAAAAAAAGCACCTAATATCATTAGGTGGACCTTTCTCAAACAATTTGAATAGTTTTTGCTTTTTCTTCTATCATTTGGAAGGTTTGTTAACCGTTGTGTGGCTGGCTGTATAACACCATCTCTCGTGTTTGTTTGTGGGCCGCCCAACAAGGGCTGCGTTTCTAAGTCATCTTCCAACATCTTCTTTTCTTTAAAATACCTTTTAATAGAGGAAATGAGTATATATATATATATATGTATCTGTATATTAGTTTTACTATTAACACCAATAGATTTCCCTTTTATTTTCAGGATAACGAGTTGTCAGTAAATGTTTAAAAGGACTAAGAAATTTATTGTTTTCAATCAATTTTTAGGTTAGCCTATTGAGGGGGAGGGGGGCATCGCTCAGTCTCAGCTGCCCTTACAGCAAAAAAACAACAATGCATCAGCCCACTACTAACACGATTAGGTATAATACAGAAAATTAAAACAAACAATTGTTTATTATTATAATAATCAATTAGGCATATATTTTTAACTGAAAATCTAATCCAACGTAACTCAATTATCATTCTATTTTATCTGTATAAATGAGCTTGCCTCATGTAGCATCTAATGCCAATTCTGCAATACAAAACGGGTGTGGAGCTCATCGCTTCGCGGACACTTCCAAAAGTTGAAATTTTTCAGTTTGCAATTTGATAAAATATATAAAACATAATGACATTTATAGCCTGCACTTCCCTTCTCTTTTCTTTATATTTGGCTTAAGTATTATAGTTGTCTTGTATTATTACTTGCATTACTCTTTTTGTTCATAGGATAAGTCAATTGCACAACAATATAATCACTTTTCTGCGATGTTGTATTTGATTGGGTTAGGTCTTTCTTACAAGAGCGATATCACTGTCCGTGGCTTAGAAGCCATCAGAAACTGTTCCAGAGTATACCTGGAGCATTATACTAGTATCCTGATGGCAGCTTCCCAAGAGGAACTAGAAGAATACTATGGTAAGCCTGTCTTATTAGCCGATCGTGAGTTGGTCGAAACTGGATCCGAAGAGATCTTGAAGAATGCTGATAAAGAAGATGTTGCGTTCTTAGTTGTTGGTGATCCATTTGGTGCTACAACACATACCGATTTGGTTTTAAGAGCTAAAAGAGCTGGTATCCAAGTCGAGGTTGTCCACAATGCATCTGTGATGAACGCTGTTGGTTCCTGTGGTTTGCAATTATATAATTTCGGCCAAACTGTATCGATGGTTTTCTTCACTGAAAACTGGAGACCAGATTCATGGTACGATAAGATTTGGGAGAATAGAAAGATAGGTTTACATACTTTAGTGCTACTTGATATCAAGGTTAAGGAACAAAGTATCGAAAACATGGCTCGTGGAAGACTCATTTATGAACCACCTCGTTACATGTCTATATCTCAATGTTGTGAGCAATTACTTGAGATTGAAGCCACTAGAGGTACCAAAGCATACACCCCAGATACTCCGGTAGTAGCTATCAGTAGATTGGGATCTGCATCCCAAACTTTCAAAGTCGGTACCATTGAGGAATTGTCTCAATATGATTCTGGGGAACCATTGCATTCTTTGGTCATTCTAGGTAGACAATGTCACGAACTAGAACTGGAATATTTGCTAGAGTTTACTGACAACAGAGAAAAATTTAAGAGCGATGTCTCTGCCGATCAAGAATTCTTCAAGCCAGCGGCATGGGTTCCCCCAACTGAGGAGGACAGCGAATAATCTGATAATTAAATATATAAATAAATGTTTACTTTACAAAGTAATGCTTGATTTATCATGCGATTCATTCATAATTTTTTTTATTTCTTCTCTGATTACATTAAGCACTGAACCTTTTTGTATTTATAGCCAGCCAGTCACTATGGCATTTTGAATTTTTAGACGTAGTCGCCTTGTATACATCATGCTCTGTATTCCCCCAAAAAAACACAAGACTGAAAAATAGAAGTACGAGGTATCACCAACGTTCATATTTCACAAGAGTAAACGGTGGACAAGTATTAGGCAAGATCGAACAATATATACGTATTGCAAATAAACATTTAAGTTATCAACCACTCTCATACCAATCATTTACAATATGTCTAATATAAAATACCTTTTGCTTGTTTCGAGACAGGGAAAAGTTAGATTGATGCAATGGTATACACCACTTACACCAAAACAAAAGACAAAGATAATAAATGACTTGACACCATTAATTTTGGCTCGTAAGCCCAAGATGTGCAATATTCTGGAATATAATGATCATAAAGTGGTATATAGACGATATGCAAGTTTATATTTCATCTGTGGAATAACGAATGAACAAGATAACGAACTATTAACTCTAGAGATTATCCACAGATTCGTTGAGACAATGGATACATATTTTGGTAACGTTTGTGAACTAGATATTATCTTCCATTTCGACAAAGCATATGATATCCTGAATGAATTAATAATGTGCGATGGTTCAATGGCCGAATCTAGTAAAAAGGAGATATTAAATAATGTGCATGCAATGGATGCGATAGAGAGTAATGACCATTTAGACAGAATCTTGAGTTAATTAATTTAGAAATATACATAAAATATACATAAGATATACATATATTAATAATGAAACTTTGACATTTACTCTGTTTTGAAAAGACAATGCCATAGATGTTTTTCAGCAACCATTTCGGTAGAGTCCGCATTAATCTCAAAATTGGTATCATCATCAGAGTTTTCAATAGAATCCTCTACAGCTTCGATTTCTTTTTTGCCTTTATTTGGTTTTCCTCTCTTCCCTGTCAATTTATTATGTTCTAAGGCATGTTTGTACAATATGATATTCTCCTCGACAGAATCCATCATGATAAAGTTCCACACAAAGGTTTCCTCTGTTTGACCAATTCTGTTGTTACGACTGATAGCCTGTAATTCGTCACCATGGTTTATAATGGGATCTAATAAGAATATATGTTTTGCGTTTAATAAATTTAACCCTGTACCTAATGTTCGAACATTTAACAATAAACAAGTAATACTTGAGTCAGTCTTAAATTTATCAATCGTACTACTGATTGTCTTTTTATTTTGAAAACCTTCCAAAAATGTTATATTATTTAAAGATAGAATATGAGTTATTATCTTTAAAAATTCAATATTTTGGGAATAAAGTAATATTTGGGGAGGAGCCTTATTTTCAGATTGATCACGTAACTTCAGAAATAGAATCAGTTTAATCGCAAAATCGACCTTGGCTCCAAAATTTTCTTTGATTTTTATCTTATGAACTTCGCTTATCTGTGGGAACTTCGAATACTTATCACTGAGTGAAAATAATTCGTCACTATAAGTGCTGGCTGTATTGGTTATTCCGGTAGTAGCTCCGTCTGCTGCTTGAGTAGCATCTACCAACGATTCACTCTTCAAAAAGGTAGCTTGGGGCTGTTCTTCATTTTTGAATTTAAAATTATACACTTCCGAAATGTCAGTTGCTTGCTTACATATTGGACAAGTCTGATGGTTTTTCAACCAATTATGAATACAACCCTTGCAGAAAAAATGCCCACATTTCATAATAGAACCTAAATAGATAACACCCAGACAAATAGAACAGGTAAATGACTTGTTTTGATCAATTAATTCCTTCAATTTTCTTAAATTTTTCAAGTATTTAACTCTGGATTCTGTCTGATTGATTTTATTGATATTTTGGTTATATTTTTTGTGAGATTTTATTTCTTTGACAATATTATTCCTGACATGTGGCTCCAATTGTATTAATGACACCAAAGAATCTGATATTCTTTGAAGTTGAGTAAAGTATTCAATTTTACTATTGTAGATAACGTTCAATTTTTTGATCGATTCTCTAATTGTTTTGTTCTCATTTTTAATTCTTTTAATTTCACTTTCATAACTTAATAAATGATCTTCGAAGTCATTGTTATTCAAAGAGCTACTAGTTAACGAACTGCGTACTATCTTAGAGTTCCTTAACTCATTAAAGATAGATTTCAAAGATACACCATCTTTTATCAAATTCAATTTCTTTATTAGTATAACATGAAAATCAGAATAACTTGGATCTATTTGAACCAAAGTCTTAGAGCTTAACTTTATCACTTCATCCTCCGAATTAATAATCATTTCTCTATTTTTCAAAAGTTCTTCCAGGCAATGTAGATAAGCATATATTTTATCTTGATCCTCTATAGAGCTTCCGTATTCTTCAGCTTTCTCTTCTTCGTTTGCTTCCGTGTATTCCTTTGCAATTGGCCTGTGCAAAATTTTTATTACTTCTTCAATGAATTCATTAAACTGTGTTGCCTGGTTATTTAACAATGTCACAGAAGAACCTAGTGACTTAAATAACTTCTGGGTGAGGAAGTTTGAGGAATAGTTTTTATTGCCCTCATATTCAATTACTTGTAGTTTTGTTAGCGATTTATTATTCTTTTGTTTCTTGTTAAGGTAATTGTCTACTTCCTGTATAGTTTCATCTACTTTCTCTGCTCTCTCCTTTAGCATCTGTCTTCTCAATTTTTCTGCATATTCATAATACATTTGTTCCTGTAATTGATTTTTATGAATATCGTCCATCTCTTGGGCGGAATAGATATCATCATACTCTTTAGACTTATTGGTATATCCTTCTTCCTCTTTGTTTAACAATTTCGTCTTCTCGTTCATGTCATCAACCTCTTCTAATTTCTTGGAACCTAAGAAATAATATGCCGTACCAATGAAAAAGAAGCATTGGTGAAGCAAATCCATGTATGCTCTTATCTGTATCTTAGAAGATGCATTTTCTTCTTCAGTAACTATAATATCTATGATATTATCGTCTTTGCCCTTGCCCTGCTTAGTCGGTTCGTCACTTATTTGATTAATAATAAACGGATCTAAAATATTATACTTCTTCTTAAGATCTTCTTTAATAAGTTGAATAATATTAGAGAACAAATTAATAGCCTCATTGGGATTATTTTGTAATTCCATCTTGGCTTGAGCTGTCTTCAACTGCAACTGAATGTTTTCTCTGTGCATAGTATCCAATAATTCTGTAGCATTTATTGTCATCAACTCAAGAATATCACTAATATTATGAACAGATGATATCTGAGTATCAGACTGTCCAAGTTTTGATTGTCCTAATTGATTCTTTTTAAACCCTTGACGGCGTGCTCGTCCTTCGAAACTACTCAAAATATTCTCAGGAATAACTGCATGACAACATAGATATCTCAATTTTACTAACCATTGATTTAATTGAGCAGAAGATATTCGAGATTTATTTTGGCCTCTTGAACCAAACCCAGAGGTATACAAAAATTCGTTCCATGTGTTGATGTAATTATCCCATTCTACGGGATTAAATTCCAATGGAATAAGGTAGTTTGTTTGTTTTGGTATATGAATCTGATCAATCACATCTTTCTTTATATGTCTAATGCAAATATCATATTTTAAGAAAATATTCAATAGCTCATCTAATGAAAATTTTATTCCACTTTTCAGTATTGTTCCTTCTCTTGGAGCAATATCTGCGTCAGTTGCATTATCTTTAATATTTTGAGCAATGTTGTTGTGTAAATTAGATACGATATCGGGCATATCACAAAATGGATGTATCTTCAAGTATGATAGTACCGTTTGAATGTCCTTAATATTTTGTATTGGTGTACCAGAAACGCCCCATGTATGAATTCTATCTAATAATGCAGTACATTTTGCAGCTTGAGTGTTATCACTTTTTAACATTTGGACTTCATCGAGAATAATCCTAAAAAATTGCATAAGGGACAATGGTGAAGAATAGTCGTATCTGGGGGCATTATTATCATTTCTTCTTGATCTTTGGTTTGCATTATACTGAGTATAATGTATTTCCATATTAATAACGTTATATGTTGTAATGATAACATCATATTGAGATAGTTTATGTACAATTTGATTGATATTATCAGTATTGAAAGTTTCTTTAACATCGTTATATCCTTGGTAATGAAACAATGATACAGAATCTTTCTCAGTGTGTTGAGTAATCTCATTGATCCATTGTTGTAATAGAGGATTTGGGCATATAATCAGAGTTGTCTTTGTCTTTAAGACAGTTTTCCCAAGTTTGTTGGTATATGAATTTAAAGGATTTGGAAAATTATTGTTCTTGAGAGATAGTTGACGTTTATTCAAGAGGATTAAAGAAAGTATCTCAATAGTCTTTCCCAACCCCATTTCTTCACATAATAAACCTTTTGCATTTTTAATATTTTCATTTCGTGGCAAACCATGGTGATGATGTATGTACATATCTTTTGCTGTATCATAATCCAGTACATAATTTGTAAATTTATTCCAAAAATAATGAACAGAGTCGACAGATTTTATAATTTCATATCCGTAACAAATGGATTCATTTAGAAACGATAATATATCAAATTCAGATGGGATAACAATATTATTATTGGATTCTAAAGATTTATTTTTGTTATAGCCTTCTTTTGAAAGTAACCAGTTTAAACTTTGTCTTTGAAATGGTAATAATTGTATATTCAAATTTGGTATCTTTTCTTCGAATAAATTTTCATTTGAAATAGTCTTTGTATGTTTTATAGTTTGTGTAATAAATTGTCTCTCTATAAAAGTTGAATTTATAATATGATGAGGTAATAGTTCATCTTTTTTTGACAATAATGAATCTAAATATGAAATGGTCTCTGAAGTAAATTTATTAAAAGAATTTTTTTGAAATTCGATTAAAACATCAAAAGAAATTTGATTCAAATTAATTTTGCAATTTTTAATAATAAAATTTTTAAATTTTTTCTTATCTGATCTTAATTTTTTTAAGACGTCATTGATTTTTTTATTACATGATTTTAATTGAAATTTTTTCAATACTGATTTTTCATTTAAATTAATATCTAATAAATGATTTCTTAATGTGTGTAATTTTTGTTCGTCTTTAAGAATAGAATAGTTTAAATTAATTAAAGATAAGTTTTTCAATAAAGATTCTCTCTCAGTAGGAGAAATATTTGAAATATTCAATTGTATAGACCATAATGGAATTAAATTTTCATTGAAAATAGTAAGAATATCTTTCTCCCCATCAGTATTCACTAGTTCATAGTTAATTAATACAGGTATATCATGCTGTGATAATAACAAATCTGTTGGGAGATTATCAATTTGAAATTCATAACTGGACACTATTAAATTATCATTATTATTCAAAGAGTTCTTTTTATGTTTTTTAAAAGGTGGCTCCGATACAGATGGTGTTATTGTATTATTACATTTAATCACTTCCTCTTTATTAATTATCGTAATTATATCATTTCCGTTGGCATTAAAAGATATGTTAACAGTATTTTTCTTAATATTATTGTTCATTATATCACCAATCTAATGTATTCATCGTACGAAAAGAGTTCAAAATAAACAAACCCACTTCCTATTTTTCTTTTTCTTCTTTCTTCTAAAGAAACAATCCTTCTTTCTAAGTCCCTCTACTTGCTTCAAACAAACAAGTGGTGACTATAGGTTAGGACCACCCTCATCTTAAATGTTATATGTTAACTGAAAAATAATTACTTAATATCCACCCACGTATAGTTCAATGTTTAGCATAATTCGGCACGAAAAACTTCCAAACAAATAAACATTCTAGCCCTAAACTAGGGTTCAGCCGGAATTCTGTTTTTCTTCGCTTTTCGGCGCGGAGAAACTCAGAAACTCTCTTTGTTTTTGTTACATGGAGAGGTGGCTACATGACGTCAGAGTGCTCTTTATCAATTACGTAATGGGCGTTACGGTGTGTCGTGCAATTGTATAATACTTTGGCTTGCATTGCATATGTTACTTTGAGAGTCTATCACATTTAACAGTCCAGGTGATACACATAGCAAGAAGAGAGATGTGGATAGCCTGTTGTCTCTGAGACGTGTCACACATGTTTTGACGGCTCAAGGGCAAAGCCAGTAGAATCGCAACATGCTTGATCGAAGATGCTACAAATCAACATATACATAGCTAGTAATATTATATATAGTCGATCGTGAACAACACCCATAATCAAAAGCGTTTCCTTGCTTGACCACAGTTAAACAAGGAGTTATTCAGGAAAACCGCAAAAAACCGCAAGACAAATTTGATTGCGAGTGGCCTGGTTTGTTCGGCCCCCGCAAATCTCAACTTTCGCTGCTTCTTTGCTAAAATAGATACACAGCGCGACGGATAGAGACAGAGCGAAGAAGCAACAAAAACAGAGAGAGAAGCAAAAGAAAAAAAAATAATAAAAAAAATAGGAGGGTTGCAGTTTCTTGAAGGGAAAAGGGAAAGGGAGCATATATAATAAACCACAATTATCATATTTCTATATAACTGATAATTTTGAAGTATTAGGATCCTTTACTTGATAAATTCTTTTGAATTTTTACAATAAAGTGTCTATTTATAAAGGGATCAATAGAAATTTATTAAGAGAAAAAATAAAAGGGAAATAGTATATTTGCATATATTTGTCACATTTGTTTCTTAGCATTATTGATCTGTGACATTTGAAATATTTATTTATTTATTTATTTCTTTATTTTTTTCAAAATACAACAAAAGAAGAATATATATATATAAAAGTGATTTATATATAATTGTGTGTTTCATTTATATTCATGAATAAAATTAAAGCGTTTTTCCATAAAAATAAACGTTTCGATACTGAACAAAATATTCAACATATTGATCGTAATAATAACAATAATAGAAATGATAATAATATAGGGAATAACAATACTTCTAATACGGTTCCTCGTACAAAGATAGATCAAACGATAGATCCAATTCAAATTAGTTCAGAAATTGAAACTCAAAATATCCCAATTGCCCCAACAACAGCAAAAACTAATATTCCACAAGAACAAACTCATATAATATCATCTGTACAAATTGATGAAGATAATGATGATTCATTTGATGATTCTAATTTATCATTAATATCATCAGATTTTGAAAGTGAATATAGTTATATTAATGATTCAAACACAGAAGAAAACATTTTTTCTGAACAAATTGAATTAAATAATTATAAATTGATTGAAAAGATCGGTGAAGGTGCTTTTTCAAAAGTTTATAGAGGTATACCACTTGAATCATCATTTGTGGCAAAACAATATAAACAAGTAGCAATTAAAGTTATTAAAAAAGATATATTAACCGTTGAAGATAATGAACCAATGGAAATTAATGGTGAAAGACATGGTTCAAGCAAAACTTCAACAAGAGAACAAGTATTAAAAGAAGTTGCATTACATAAACAAGTTTCACCAGGTTGTAAAAATATTGTTCAATTTATTGATTTTCAAGAGACTCCATCGTATTATTATATTATTCAAGAATTATTAAATGGTGGTGAAATATTTAATGAAATTGTTAAATTAACATATTTAAGTGAAGATTTAACACGTCATATTGCAAAACAATTAGGTAATGCAATTAAACATTTACATTCAATGGGTGTTGTTCATCGTGATATTAAACCAGAAAATTTATTATTTAATTCAATTGAATTTTTACCATCCATTCAACCACGTAAATTTCGTAAAAGTGATGATCCGAATTCAAAAGCTGATGAAGGTATATTTATTCCAGGTATTGGTGGTGGTGGAATTGGTATTGTTAAATTAGCAGATTTTGGTTTATCAAAACAAATATATCAAACAAATACTAAGACTCCATGTGGTACAGTTGGTTATACAGCACCTGAAGTGGTTAAAGATGAAATGTATTCAATGAAAGTTGATATGTGGGGGATTGGTTGTGTTTTATATACAATGCTTTGTGGATTTCCACCATTTTACGATGATAAAATTAATATTTTAACAGAAAAAATTTCAAGAGGTGAATATACTTTTTTACAACCATGGTGGGATGAAATTAGTGATGGTGCTAAAAGATGTGTTAGTAAATTATTAGAAGTTGATCCATTATTAAGATATGACATTGATGAATTTTTAAACGATCCATGGTTAAATCAATATGATTGTGAAATTAAAGAAAAGACGAAAATTAAAAGAAAAACGAAAATCCATCATAATAATAGACGTCGGATTTTATTCAATCAATTTAATGATAAAGATGTATTGTATTCACCTGCCGCTGTAGCAATGCGTGATGCATTCGACATAAGTAATGCAGTTGCACGTATTGAAGAAGAGCGTATGCAAACACCTGTTTATGGTCTCGGTTCACTAGCTGAAGGTGACGAAGCTACATCATTTGATGAACAACAGTTAAAAGAACAGGAAAGACAACAGGAAAGACAACAAGAATTAGAAAATAAAATGTTTCATTTGAAATTAGATACTTCTACCATTGTAATGAGACGTAAACAAAAGAAAAATAGCATACCTTAGAAAAGAAAAGGAATAAATAACGATCACCCCCTCTCCCTCCATATACATATATATATATATACATAATTGCACGAAAATAATACTATTTTTTAAAAAACAAAATGTATGCATACAACAACAGCTATTACAGTACCATGTCGATCGATGCAGAAGTAAAGCACATAGAAGTTGTTGTTGGTATTCTTTGCATCAAGAGTCAACAACGTAAAATAAAATAAAAAAATAAGGGCATTAGAAATATTTGAGTCGTTTTTACCTTATCTGACCAAAATCGAAAAGCGGCTAAATTTCCTTCACCAAACCCTTATCACAATACACGAACCTCGTCCACGTACACAGCGACAACACAGTTGCTTTTTTGTCGGGTAACTGCACACCCACACACCCCAACAAGCAAATGAAAAACTAAAAAAACAAATAAAAAAAGCAATCACGGCCGATCACCTCTGCGCATCTTTCTGTGCCTCTCACTCAAAGGGCTCCACGTTGTCGTTTCTTTTTTCTTCCTAGCTGTACGTACGTGTGTTATGTTCCCGCTTCTGTTCGATCCCTTCTCAATTTACATCGCTGTTCATGAGATAAGCGATGAGATGCGGCAGGGCAAGAAGAAGAACAGGATGAAATAGAAAAAAAACACAAAAAAGTCGAAAAGAAAAGTGAAAAATTTTCGTAGAGTCGCTCAAGCTGGTAAATGCTGGGCCATTGAGCACAAAGTGAAAAAATTTTCATTTTAAGCATCTCGTTAACTGACAGCACACGCAAACAAACAAGAAAAAAGAACAGAAAGCAAATGAGTACAGACTGAAAAGAGAGAAAATTTTTCATTTCTGCACTTTGCTCTGCTCTTCTTTCTTTTGTTTTGACTTTCTTTTTTTACCTACTCTTGTACAACTTCACATCGCAAATGGGTAAGCAAATTTAGTGAAAATTTTTTTTTCTCTCTCTATTTCCTACCTCTTCTCATTCTTGTTATTTTGTCTTTCAATTATATATATAAGACTTAAACTCGATTCTAAACTTTGTTATAATTCTTTCTTAAACAACATTTATAGTTTTTTCGGTTTTTTTAAATCTTATTCATTTTACCTCTCTCTTTTATTTTAATTTGTATCTTTTGATTTATATTCTTTCTTAAATACACCGTGCAAGAAAATGTCTGATTCTCAAGAATCCATTAAGGTTTTAGAAGAACTTTTCCAAAAGCTATCTGTTGCTACTCCAGAAAACAGAGATGCTGTTGCCACTGAAGTGTCTAGCTTCTTAAACGGTGGTATCATCGAACACGATGTCCCAGAACAATTCTTCGCTACTTTGAAGAAGTCTATTAAGGACAAGAAGACCGCTGCTAACGCTCTAGACGCTGTCGCTCACATCGCCAACGATGCTGGTTTGTCTCCATCTGTTGAACCATACATGGTTGAATTGATTCCAGAAATCTGTGCTAAGGCTGCTGACAAAGATAAGGATACTCAAGCTCTTGCTGCCAAGGTTTTAGTTTGTCTAGCTACTTCTATCAACCCAGTTGCTGTTAAGGCTTTCCTACCACATTTGACTTCTGCTTTGTCTACTACTTCTAAATGGCAAGAAAAGGTCGCTATCCTAGCTGCCATTTCTGTCTTAGTCGATGCTGCTAAGGAACAAGTCGCTCTAAGAATGCCTGAATTAATCCCAGCTTTATCTGAAGCTATGTGGGATACTAAGAAGGAAGTTAAGGCTGCTGCTACTGCCACCATCACCAAGGCCACTGAAACTGTTGACAACAAGGATATTGACCGTTTCATTCCAGAATTGATTGGTTGTATCGCTGATCCAAACTTAGTTCCAGAAACTGTTCACTCTTTAGGTGCTACTACTTTCGTTGCTGAAGTTACTCCAGCTACTCTATCCATTATGGTTCCATTATTGGCTAGAGGTCTTGCTGAAAGAGAAACCTCCATCAAGAGAAAAGCTGCTGTTATTATTGATAACATGTGTAAATTGGTCGAAGATCCACAAGTTGTTGCTCCTTTCTTAGGTAAGTTGCTACCAGGTCTAAAGAACAATTTCGCTACTATTGCTGACCCAGAAGCTCGTGAAGTTACTCTAAGAGCTCTAAAGACTTTGAGAAGAGTTGGTAACGTTGCTGCCGATGACACTCTACCAGAAGTCTCTCACGCTGGTGACATTGAAACTACTCTATCTGTCATTAACGAATTATTGAAGGGTGAAAACGTTGCTCCAAGATTCAAGATTGTTGTTGAATATGTTGCTGCTATGGCTGGTGATTTGATTGATGAAAGAGTCATTGATCAACACGCTTGGTTCACTCACATTACTCCATACATGACTGTTTTCTTACATCAAAAGACCGCTAAGGATATCTTAGATGAATTCAGAAAGAGAGCTGTTGACAACATTCCAGTTGGTCCAAACTTCGATGATGAAGAAGATGAAGGTGAAGATCTATGTAACTGTGAATTCTCTTTAGCTTACGGTGCTAAGATTCTATTGAACAAGACTCAATTAAGATTGAAGAGAGGTAGAAGATACGGTCTATGTGGTCCAAACGGTGCTGGTAAATCTACTTTGATGAGAGCTATTGCTAACGGTCAAGTTGATGGTTTCCCAACTCAAGAAGAATGTAGAACTGTCTACGTCGAACACGATATCGATGGTACTAAGGCTGATACTTCCGTTGTTGACTTCGTTTTCGAAGGTGATGTCGGTACTAAGGAAGTTATTGTTGCTAAATTACAAGAATTCGGTTTCTCCGATGAAATGATCGCTATGCCAATTGCCTCCCTATCTGGTGGTTGGAAGATGAAGTTGGCTCTAGCTAGAGCTGTCTTGAAGAACGCTGATATTCTTCTATTAGATGAACCAACTAACCATTTGGATACTGTTAACGTCGCTTGGTTAGTCAACTACTTGAAGACTTGTGGTATTACTTCTATCACTGTTTCTCACGACTCCGGTTTCTTAAACAACGTTTGTGAATATATTATTAACTACGAAGGTTTGAAACTAAGAAAGTACAAGGGTAACTTGACTGAATTCGTCAAGAAATGTCCAGCTGCTCAATCTTACTTCGAATTAGGTGCCTCCGATTTGGAATTCAGATTCCCAGAACCAGGTTACTTGGAAGGTGTTAAGACTAAGCAAAAGGCTATCGTTAAGGTTTCCAACATGACTTTCCAATACCCAGGTACTTCTAAGCCACAAATTGAAGACATTTCTTTCCAATGTTCTCTATCCTCTAGAATTGCTGTTATTGGTCCAAATGGTGCTGGTAAATCCACTTTGATTAACGTCTTAACTGGTGAATTACTACCAACTATTGGTGAAGTTTACACTCACGAAAATTGTCGTATCGCTTACATTAAGCAACACGCTTTCGCTCATATTGAATCTCATTTAGACAAGACTCCATCTGAATATATCCAATGGAGATTCCAAACTGGTGAAGATAGAGAAACCATGGACAGAGCTAACAGACAAATCAACGAAAATGATGCTGAAGCTATGAACAAGATCTTCAAGATCGAAGGTACTCCAAGAAGAATTGCTGGTATCCACTCTAGAAGAAAGTTCAAGAACACTTACGAATACGAATGTTCTTTCTTATTAGGTGAAAACATCGGTATGAAATCTGAAAGATGGGTTCCAATGATGTCTGTTGACAACGCTTGGTTACCAAGAGGTGAATTAGTTGAATCTCACGCTAAGATGGTTGCTGAAGTTGATATGAAGGAAGCTTTAGCTTCTGGTCAATTCCGTCCTCTAACCAGAAAGGAAATTGAAGAACATTGTGCTATGTTGGGTCTAGATGCTGAATTAGTTTCTCACTCCAGAATCAGAGGTTTATCTGGTGGTCAAAAGGTTAAGCTGGTTCTAGCTGCCGGTACATGGCAAAGACCTCATTTGATTGTTCTTGATGAGCCAACTAACTATTTGGACAGAGACTCCTTAGGTGCTCTATCCAAGGCTCTAAAGGCTTTCGAAGGTGGTGTTATTATCATTACTCACTCTGCTGAATTCACAAAGAACTTGACTGAAGAAGTCTGGGCTGTTAACAACGGTAGAATGACTCCATCCGGTCATAACTGGGTTGCTGGTCAAGGTGCTGGTCCAAGAATCGAAAAGAAAGAAGATGAAGAAGACAAATTCGATGCTATGGGTAACAAGATTTCCGGTGGTAAGAAGAAGAAGAAGTTATCTTCCGCTGAATTGAGAAAGAAGAAGAAGGAAAGAATGAAGAAGAAGAAGGAACTTGGTGACGCTTACGTTTCCTCCGACGAAGAATTATAATTATAGTCAAAGATTTTTAAACTCTATTTTTTTAAAAAAAATAGCATGTTTTTTTTTCCTTTTCAATTGTAATTATTTTTTAATCGTTGGTTGTGAAATTGTATTTGTTTTTTAATTTTTTTTGCTTGCATTAAAAGAAAAAAAGCTTTCACTTACCTCTCCCCCTCCCATTCCTAATTTTATGTCCTTTTTTCTGTAACATACTTCCAGTATTATTTAAAGATTAATCAATCATTGTTATATAAAATTAAATATAGTGTATGAATTTTAGAATAGATAAAATATAGATTCATCGTTTCAAATTCGCAGTATCCTGCTGTTAAATATCACTTTATTGTTGTGATAGTAGTGTATATGGGCTATTAATAGTTCTATTTCGTAATAAGCGAGGACGGTTACCAGAAAATGAAAAATAAAGGAATCCAAAAAAATGACGAAACTGGGAAAAAAAATAGTTCAATATATATATGTATACATTTTGTAAGGTGAAATAAATAGAATCACAGCTTACAAGAGGAAAAATAAATAGTTTAAACAAAAGAGGTATAAACCCAATAGACAATTAATATCGGTGTAGGACATTTGTTGGAGAGCTTATAGTATAGTACTTCCCGTTGTTATCTTTTGTTTTCTTATTGATATAATAATAAAGAGGACATGAAACTATTACAAGCTGTCTTAGTACCTGTATGGGTACTTGTATCATTAGTTCAACTAAGTTCTGGTTCGGCCATTGCTGAGGCCAATGTAGATGCTGCTGACCAAATAGGTATCAAGAATGAGAAGATCAATGTTGATACGGAGAATCCACCTAAGGGAATGTCCTGGGAGGAATGGCATATGTTACATGAACATCAGTTAGAAAAATATACCCCTGAACAATTTTTCTCATTGCATGATGTTCAAAAGAAAGGATTTCTAGATAAGAATGATATACTTTCGTTATATGGTCTTGATAGACGTGAAGTTATTGGTACTGGTGATGGTATGGGTCAACATGATCAAAGTGAAGAAATTGATGAGGAATTAGGTGAACGTGTTGTAAGTTTAATTCTGAGACTTTTAGATATAAATGATGATGATAAAATATTGAGGAATGAATATTTGGATTTTGCAAAAACAGGCCAGAAATTTCCTAATTTAGGCGTTGGTGTTGGTCATCATTCTGATTTTGAACAAGAATATGAACTTCATCATTGGAACAAATTCCATAGGGATAATGATCCAGAGGTGAAAAACGTTCACAAGGAAGATATCGAACATGAATTGCTACATCATGAGCATGAAATTGAGCACGAAGAACAAGAACAAAGAAGTTCTTCAAGGGCTACAGTGATTACAGATGACGAGTTGGAATCTCGTATAGAACTGAAAAACATTCCACAAAGATTTAAGAACGGTCTCTTCTAAAGACATCTAGATCCATATATAGATATGTATAAAAAAACAAATGAATAAATCAATAAAAAGTCTTCGTTTCAACCCATAAACTATGCTATTCAGGTAATATTGGCAGTGCAAGTTTCACTTTTTAAATTTAGAAAGAAATCGTGCTCCCGTACAATATGATACGAAGTGACAGGTCACGTGATATGTCCGTTCAAAACGACCTCCATTGGCCCGGGTTGTCACCCCCCCGCCCAAAAAAATGGACTTTCCCGGGAAATCGGACTCTGTTTAACCACTTTACTACCAACCAATCATCAACGAGAAATGACGTCGACCCACCTCAAAACCCTCATCGCTCCATTTATCACCGGTATCAAACAATTTTACCCACAAAATTTCGCCAACAAAACAAAATAGTATGGAACATAAGCACTTTACATCTGTGGCCTGTTGAGCACTACGAAAGACGGGCTCATTTGAACAGTGATTTATGGTGGGAGAGGAGATTGAATGGCTGTGAAGATGACTGAGGTCGACAGACTTTCAACAACTTTTGGGAGAGTCATTACCACTTAACAATGTACATACAATACTGGTAATACAGCTTCCAACGGGATTATTCTTCCCCCAAGAGATGCGGAGGAAAGCATTTAGGGAACAGAATGGTTGACTTCAAATAACGTAACTTTGCAGGTATATATATATATATATAAAGATATTAGAAAGTTGGTAGATTGGAGTTGAAAGTTTTCTTGCTTTTTTATTTTACTTCTATTCCTACTCTTGTATTGATTTGTTTTGAATAAACTGAAGTAGTTTTGCACACAAGTAATAAAAACAAAATATCATTTTATCTATTAAGAAAGGCAAAAAATGGTTGCAGAAAAAATTAAAGTAGCTAACCCTATCGTGGAGATGGATGGTGATGAACAAACAAGAATCATCTGGCAATTAATTAGAGAAAAATTGATTCTACCATTCTTAGATGTTGATTTAAAATATTATGATTTATCAATTCAATATCGTGATGAAACAAATGATCAAGTAACTGTTGATTCTGCAGAAGCAACATTAAAATATGGTGTTGCAGTTAAATGTGCTACAATTACGCCTGATGAAGCTCGTGTTAAAGAATTTAATTTGAAAAAAATGTGGAAATCTCCAAATGGTACTATTAGAAATATTCTTGGTGGTACAATTTTTAGAGAACCTATTGTTATTCCAACTGTTCCAAGATTAATCCCACAATGGGAAAGTCCAATTATTATTGGTAGACATGGTTTTGGTGATCAATATTGTGCTACTGATGTAGTGATCCCAAATAATGGTAAATTAAAATTAATATTTGAATCCGATGTTTCACCTGATCAAAATATGGATTTACAAGTTTATGATTATCCAAAGGATGGTGGTGTTGCAATGGTTATGTATAATACAAAAGAATCTATCGAAGGTTTCGCTCATGCTTCATTTAAGATGGCCCTTAATAGAAAACTACCATTATATTCAACAACTAAAAATACTATATTGAAAAGATATGATGGACAATTTAAGGATATCTTTGAATCTCTATATGAATCTACTTATAAGAAAGAATTTGAAAAAGTAGGGATCTGGTATGAACATAGATTGATCGATGATATGGTCGCTCAAATGATTAAATCAAAGGGTGGCTTTATCATTGCTATGAAAAATTATGATGGTGATGTTCAATCTGATATTGTAGCTCAAGGGTTTGGTTCCCTGGGTTTAATGACTTCAGTATTAATCTCTCCAGATGGTAAGACTTTTGAAAGTGAAGCTGCACATGGTACTGTGACAAGACATTACAGACAGCATCAACAAGGAAAAGAAACTTCAACAAACTCTATTGCATCTATCTTTGCATGGACTAGAGGTATCATCCAAAGAGGTAAAGTCGATGGAACACCACAAGTCATCGCATTTGGTGAAACTTTAGAAAAAGCTACAATTGATACTGTACAACTTGACGGAATCATGACCAAAGATTTAGCTTTGAATATGGGTAAGACTGAAAGATCAGCTTATGTTACCACTGAAGAGTTTATTGAAGCTGTGTCTAAGAGATTGGTAGCCGAAATGGCATAAACCATTTCAAAAAACATATGATCTCTACTCTATGAATGCTCCCTTATGTTTCCCACCGTTCATAATTAATTAATTAAGTACTTGTTGTATATACGTACAAATATATATATATATATATATATATCCTTAATATTCTAAATGATTCCATTGATTCAGATTAAGTTAGAGACCTAGGAAAGTGCGAATGGATAATTAAAATTCCTTGTTTTAGATGAATTGGCACAAAGAAAATTGGCGATGAGGTTACCCTGTCTCACGGTGAAAAATTTTTTTTATTTTTCATTTTTTGGCTTTTGTAAAATTTGAAAATTTTTCAATTTGGCAAAAAATTGTTTGCGATGGCCCAAAGGAATCCCTCTCCCAAAGGAGCTCTAAGAAGTAAAGTAACCTCATAGGAATTGGTTTACCATTCAGATTGTATGTTAGAAGGATTGTTTTTTATTGTATTTATCAATAAGTATATTCTTTAACATTTAACGATACCTTTATTCGTTGGTTTGCTGTTAATTTTATTTCAAAGATCATTGCAATCTACCAAAGGTAAACCTTCATAATATCATCAGAAATCTCATCGATATGTCTCAGGATTACGTTATCAAGCCAGAAGATGCAGGTGCTTCTACCAACACTGCTGAATGGCCATTATTACTAAAGGACTACGACAAATTGCTAGTCAGAAGTGGTCACTACACTCCAATTCCAGCTGGTTCTTCTCCTCTGAAGAGAGATCTAAAATCTTACATCTCTTCTGGTATTATCAACTTGGATAAGCCATCTAACCCATCTTCCCACGAAGTTGTTGCTTGGATTAAGCGTATTCTACGTTGTGAAAAGACCGGTCATTCCGGTACTCTGGATCCTAAGGTTACTGGTTGTTTGATTGTTTGTATTGACAGAGCCACCAGATTGGTTAAATCTCAACAAGGTGCTGGTAAAGAGTACGTGTGTATTGTTAGATTACACGATGCCTTAAAGGATGAAAAAGATCTGGGCCGTTCTTTGGAAAACTTGACAGGTGCTTTATTCCAAAGACCACCTTTAATCTCTGCCGTTAAGCGTCAATTACGTGTTCGTACAATCTATGATTCTAATTTGATTGAATTTGACAACAAGAGAAACTTAGGTGTCTTCTGGGCTTCTTGTGAAGCTGGTACTTATATGCGTACATTGTGTGTCCATTTAGGTATGTTATTAGGTGTCGGTGGTCACATGCAAGAACTTCGTCGTGTTAGATCCGGTGCTCTATCTGAAAACCAAAACATGGTCACTTTACATGATGTTTTAGATGCCCAATGGGTTTACGACAACACTAGAGATGAATCTTACTTGAGAAAGATCATCAGTCCTCTGGAAACTTTACTAGTTGGTTACAAGAGAATCGTTGTCAAGGACTCTGCTGTGAATGCCGTTTGTTACGGTGCTAAGTTGATGATGCCAGGTTTATTACGTTACGAAGAAGGTATTGAATTATACGATGAAGTCGTTTTAATCACAACTAAGGGTGAAGCTATTGCCGTTGCACATGCTCAAATGTCCACTGTCGATTTGGCCACTTGTGATCACGGTGTTGTTGCTACTGTAAAGAGATGTATTATGGAAAGAGATCAATATCCAAGAAGATGGGGTCTAGGTCCGGTCGCTCAAAAGAAGAAACAAATGAAGGCTGATGGTAAGCTAGATAAGTACGGTCGTGTTAACGAAAATACTCCTGAAGACTGGAAGAAGAGTTATGTCTCCTTAGAAAAGTCAGAAACTACTGAGTCCACCTCTAAGCCAGCCGCTACTGAAACTCCTTTGATTAAAGAAGTTGAAAAGGAAGATGAAACTGTAAAGGAAGATGAGGTTGCTGAAGTTAAGAAAGAAAAGAAGGAAAAGAAGGAAAAGAAAGAGAAGAAGGAAAAGAAGGAAAAGAAAGAGAAGAAGGAAAAGAAGGAAAAGAAGGAAAAGAAGAGAAAGGCAGAAGATGACGAAGAATCTGACAAGAAGAAGAAGAAGTCCAAGAAATAAAGGAGCTCATCTGCATTACCCCATATATGACAAAAGTTGCAATTCATTAAAACCCATTTGCATATATCTATATTTTTAACACTGTATTTTATTTTATAAGTTTTCTTAATATCAATCAATATATCGTACCTCATTAAAGGCAAAAAAAATTCAAGAAAATAAACTTAATGAAAGGAATAAATGTATAAATTGGAAATTGTGTATGTAACTTATATATATGCATTGTTCATTAATTATCGTTCCGACATTTCTTCTAATGAATTGCGACGAATTTTGTGGCCTCGAATGAGTAATTTAATAGTTGGACAGTAACATTATTGAAAAATAACCACAATAGTAAATTCTCCGACGATTTTAATGATATGTCACCAATCAAGGCGTTTGTGAACCTGATATAACTATTAATCAAAGTATTAGCAGAACAAGTGGACTCTGAAACAAACTCCAAAAATTTCAGAAGCAAGGTATTAAAAGGATCTTCGATTATTTCGGTACCATCTGAGGAGTTGTCACTTCCAGATGGAACTTCCTTAAATAATAATGTGATGTTGCCATGCAAAAAATCCTTGATATCTTTGCATACTTCATGATGCTTATCTGTGCTAACCATATCGTATATGTCTTCTAAATTTAAGGTATCCCAATCCCGGTGCATATCACCCTTAAATGCTTGGAAACTGTTCAAAAATTTTATTATAAACTTGTCTAACTTCAGAAGTTTTTTCATAAGAGATGTAAAATCTTTGGCTGTATTTGTTTTAGAGTTTCGTAAAGTTGTAGGAAGTTCCATCGTCAAATCAGAAATTTGCTTTGGATAAGTGTTAACAAAGCTCTCTAGAGACTTGACCGTGTTATTACGTGTTTCAGACGGTTTTGTTTTATCAAGGACGAGATTAGAAAGATACTTGGCTAATGAAATATGAGTAATTCTATCACATTGGGCAATCCAATCATTTAATTCTTCTGATATCAGTAGATTGTACATCTGAGGAGAAACAGACCCAGTATGGAAAAACAACAAATTTGTAGAAAGGGAATCGAACCTCAGGTACTTTATATTATCAAATATCTTGTTGCAATAAATATGGTACAGAGATTCTAAGGAGGATATCATATCTTGATCAATATTACTTGGTAGTAACATTTTTGGAATTGGTGGTAAAGAAAGCTTGTACAACTTAGATAAAACAACCTCATTTTTAAAGATATTTGGTAAAACATTGTGTAAAGAAATTGAAGCATTATCAGGTGCCACGATCGGCTCCTTCGTTTCGTTATTCCTCTGCAAGTCAGATCTGCTCTTTTTGTTAATTGGTGTGCTTACCTTAGAATCCTCAGTGATATTATTTTTACGCTTCTTGGGTTTTTCAGTGCTTATGTTGTCAGATTTTATCGATAAAGGTGGATCAGAAACTTCCAATTTTACGCCCACAGCCTCTGGCGAATTTGGTTTACTCAGGGACGGGCTCACATTAACACTACTGGTATCTGTATCGTCATCATAATTCTCATTTCCATCAGAATTAATAAGTTTTAAACCACAGTAATGATACTTCGATTGACCTCTCATACCTAGTCGTCTTGTTGTTAATCCAGGAAAAACCGTTCTAATTAGTTTTCCCAAGGATGCTTGAGATAAAGGCTTCAAATTATACTGAGCGCAAGAAGATGCATATTGGGCAAAGATTCTCCCTCTTGGTACATAACTGTCATGTTGGGACTCACAGTTTTTCATCAACCAAAGTAACGCATACACTTGTCTTTCTCTTTCTTTTTTCTGTTCCAACACCTGAATTGAAGCCTTTGATTGAATTGCTGGATTTATATGTAAGACATCTAGTTCAGCTTCCTTCACAACAGAAGCGTATTCTGAGATTGGCTTGTCTAAATATTTTTCTGCAATCGATTTAGCCACTAGTTCTTGTGTGTTTCTTCTTGATGCTAACAAGGTATTATTAATTTTTGACTTTGTCGTTGGTTTGAATGCAGTAGTTGTTGTGTTTGTAGCTGTAGTTGCCGATGATGCATTGGTGTTATTTCGGGATGATTCGTTGGAAGATGCAATGTTTGTTACGTTCGTTGATTCGTTATATGCATATTGTAGGTTTTCATTAGTCGGATGCTGGGCCGTTACAAACGGGATGCTTGTATTTTGACCTGGGAGTTCGCCGTTTTTATTATCTGTCTTCATAAAGTTTTGATTAGCGTTCGTACCAGGTTGCAATGAATTTGGAATAGGAAATGTTCTTGTAGATTGTGGTGACTCCGTTGAAAATGGAGTAGGTTTGAAATTAGAAAGTGTGGAGGGAACTCTACTTAGATTGTTAAGGTGTTTATAGTAAGGTGTATCATGGCCATCTTTGTGAAGTAGAGTATTTAAAGTGTTATCATTTGATGAACTTCTATCGTAAGGTGGCAGATTTGGAATTGAAATGTTAGAATGTTGGGATATAGTCCTACCTTGAGGAGGTGATGTATTTGGTTTTGGTAGACTTGGTAGCATTGGTCTGTTATTTGTATCACCCATGTAATATGAATTAAAATTTTGTCCCTGTGGTATTATATTGAAACTTTTGTCTTTATTTGTTGTAGAGCCATTCATAGTACCATTTTCTTCAGATACACCTTCTTGAGCACGTAAGTTGCTATTATTAGAAGAATGAATCAAATTATATATAGAAGAGGTTGTACGTTGGTACCCTGGAATGTTATTCACATTTAGGTCATTACCATTAGATGGATCCTGCCCCATTTTGTTTTATTCGATTATGGGGTTATGTATCTGAATAATAGTTAAAGTTCCTCTAAAAGTTGAGAAAGTTGAAAAAGTGAAGATCTTTCAAATTATATGCATAGATCGTATTAGAAACACGAAACCACAAAACCACGAAATTAATATGTTCTGTAATATATGAATGAATTTATGCTGTTGTAAACTCAATAAATCTTTCTTGAAATCAGTAATTTCACTGAGTATTACGCGTGATTATTATTTTAAAAAGATATCTTATAGATATGAATACTAATAACCCAAAAGTTGTTGTTAAAATTAGTCTGTCAAACAAATAATGTAACTGATGGTCAGATGTTTTCAAAAGATGATAGATTTGTACCTAATCGCCAATAGATAAAAATTTGCTCGAAATGTCAAAGGGGCACTTCTCAAAATGAATGCTATTAAAATAAGAGGTGAATAAACTAAGCACTTTAAAATTTTGGTGATGCACATATCCTTCTCCTAATCAAAATTTGTAAAGTAATAAGAGGGAAAAAATGAACGAGACGCTACCTCATTACATCAAAATTTCTCTATGGTAACGATTATTAATGTTAATGCTGGATCACCCATATTAAAAGTGTACAACACCGTCGCGCATAGCAACAGTAACACCAATTTATTCGTTTCTGTGGTTTCTGAGGAAAGGAATCTAAGTTGTTGTAATATCTTCTCACAGAAACAATTGCAGTAACTAGTTCCATCCGTGGAATTTTAAAAATAAATTGATAGAAATGGAAGGGGAGTGAAAAGGAGTAGAAAAAAAAGAAAAAAAATTTTCGGCCCCAGTGTTCAAACTGGAGTTTTTAGTGGGTACATATTTATTCTTTATCGGCAGAGCCTGGGTGCACTAAATTTGAAAAGGCTCCCTAAATCCACGTGACAAAAGGACTTTAAAGAGGTCACAGAGAGATGACAGTCAGTAGAGTTGGTCAACAACCGATAGTAAACTTAGAAAACTTGCTTTCAGTTAGTAGGTTGTATAACATACAGAAAAATCGTCATTTAAATATAGCTTAATTTGATATCGTCAAAGTTTTCCATCAGAAGGTAAAGGTGGAATAGTACAATGAATTGTGGTCCATTGTTTTGGGGGATCAAATGGCAGAAATGAAATTTTTAAGGTCTGTAAAAAATAAATACAGTGTTTGATATTCCGTATTTAGTATTCGTGTGTTTTTAATTATGAGAGTAGTCACTTTGCAAATGATGAGTAGACCCTCAATGGAATCTATATTTCTTATGACTAATTTTTCTCTTCCATTAAAAAACAACAAGTTCATATCTTAACAATTATTTACTTAATTTGGAACTCTAGAGTATAGTTATTAGAATTTAGTTGTTGTGATATACGGGTCTTTTTTTCATTTTATGCGGCATATAATCACAAATCATCTTGAACTAGCTTCATAAAACCCATATACCGTACTTTAATGTCATAAAATTTGGATGAAGCATCTCAGAGTTATTTCTCAGAATTCTATTTTCAGATCAAACTCCTAATTTTTTCTGTCGTTTCATCTGAAAATACTCTTAGCGGTTAAGCTGTAGTACAGTTCTTGTATTATAAGCTATCAAAATTAACAGCTAATGGATGAGGCCTCTTGTAAAAATAATTAATTTTATTAAATATATTGAAGAAACAAATGTATCAATTATTGGGAATATTTAATTCTTAGATCGAATGTAACTGGATACATTTCAAATAAATAGCCGCCAATCAAACCTTCATACTATCTGGTAATTAGACTTTGTACATTTCGTGAATAGTTACAAGAGAGCGAAGGTTACCCCGTCGGGTTAAAAAAAATTTTCTTAAGAACTGAAAAATTTATTATTGCGATGCGATGAGATGAGCATCAAACCAAGGTTTAGTGGGGCTATTATTACAAGCTGAAATAAACTAATTTGAAAAACAAGATCATGGAATGTATTAATATTTGAATGTTACTATATTTATATTTGTTATAGGAATACTTCATAGTTTTAAAATTAGTAGCAACAAACAGACCAAAGTTATACAAATGTCTTCTAACGAACCAGCTGCCAAATTGAACTCTACTCCGGAGATTCTTCTACGTAAGAGAAGAAATGCTGATCGTACCAGACTAGAGAAACAAGAATTAGCTAGACAAAAGAATGAAGACAGAAAGAAGACCAAACAAAAAAACAAGAAGAGATTTATCAGAGCAGAAACCCTTGTGTCTAAGACTCTAGCTACAGAAAGAGAGAAAGAAAGAATAAAAAGAATATCCAAGTTAGAATTAAATAAGACCAAGAAATTAAATGGAGCTGATTTAGATGCCATCCATTTACCATCTGAAAGAGATTTCATTTTAAAGATCACAGAAAAACTATCTTCAAATGAAGATAATGAATTGGAAGAAGGTATTGATACAGATGAAGAAGAAGACAACATTATTAAGGAAAAGATTGTTTACAATGGTGAACCAACTTTATTGTTTGTCATTAGAGTAAGAGGACCAACTGCTATCAACATTCCAGCTAAGGCTTTCAAAATCTTAACCTTATTAAGATTAACCGAAGTAAACACTGGTGTCTTTGTTAAATTAACAAAAAGTGTATATCCACTTTTGAAATTAGTTGCTCCATATATTGTCATTGGTCAGCCATCTTTATCATCTATCCGTTCTATTGTTCAAAAGAGAAGTAAGATCATGTACAAGAGACCAGAAGAGGATCAAGAAAAAGAAATTCAATTGAATGACAATAATATCATTGAGGAACAACTTGGAGAAACTGGTATTATCTGTATGGAAGATATAATCCACGAAATCAATGCCATGGGTGAATCCTTCCAAGATGTTACTTTCTTCCTTTTACCATTCAAATTGAATAGAGAAGTATCTGGTTTCAATTCTTTGAACAGATTAAAGAGAATCAGACAAAAGGAACAAGAAGCTAAGTATCGTCACCACTCTAACTCTGCTGTTGCTCCGATAGTACAAGTAGATATCAACGAATTAATCTCTAAGTTAAATTAATTGATCAAGTCAAAATATCACATATTTCTATCCGCACACATCATACATATATAAAAGTCATTATATCAAATTCTGTATATTATCCATAATAGAAAAAAAAATCAAAATAGAGAAATTAGCACAACACTTGTTTAAAAGGCGTGATGTCGTATGATGCTTGTATGATGCGCTCTGTATGAATTTGTTTCTTAAACTATTCGCATTAAACTGACAACTGTGAGAAAGTCTCAGGCGCAAGCAATCTGTATATACATATGACACATTCGACTGTTAGCCCTTTGAAAATAATTTCAATTACTGTCACAAACTTATATCGCAGTGTCCATTATGAAATAGGTACGCTGTGTGATGCTCTAATGGAATCACTTTTGTCTCTCGCCTGAAGTTTAATCACAAGAATATAGGCCGTCAACGGAAATTTCAAATCTTGCGGTTTACTGCACTCGCCCGGTACCGGAGAGCGGTGATGCCCTTTTTGCTTAACAAAAAAATTCCACAAGCCATTTCTTCAGATGTCGACTTGCTGCGTACGCTCATTGATAGTAAGGGGGGCCTATGGTGAGGTAAGTAGATGACAAAATACAGACGGTTCTAGCTCACAAAATGAACCCAAGAGTACATTCAACCTATCTGTTTTCTCTAAACAAAGAAATGAGATGTTGCATGTCGGTAATTTTACGAAACTTCGTGACTCAATAGGTAAATATTATGTTTTTTCAAAGAATAATTAAGTTTATATAAAGAATGAATGATTGGACCTTTTTTTGACTTTCTTCAGTAGATGAAATATTTATCCTCTTGCTCCCTACATTCAGATTGATTAATTATATATTTCAGAGTACGATTATTCTGGAAAGATCAAATCGAATCAAGAACAAAAATCTATATATAAAAAATGTCTACTGTTACTAAAACAATTGTGGTCCTACCTGGTGACCATGTCGGGACTGAAATTACTGAAGAAGCTATTAAAGTCTTAAACGCCATTAGTGAAAGTCGCCCAAATATTAAATTTGAATTCCAACATCATTTAATCGGTGGTGCTGCCATTGATGCTACTGGTGTTCCATTACCCGACGAAGCATTGGAAGCCTCTAAGAAAGCCGATGCTGTCTTATTAGGTGCTGTTGGTGGTCCAAAATGGGGTACCGGTGCTGTTAGACCAGAACAAGGTTTATTAAAGATACGTAAAGAATTAGGATTATACGCAAATTTGAGACCGTGTAACTTTGCCTCAGAGTCTCTACTTGATCTATCGCCATTAAAACCTGAATATGCCAGAGGTACTGACTTCTGCGTCGTTAGAGAATTGGTTGGTGGTATCTACTTCGGTAAGAGAAAAGAAGATGATGGTGATGGTATCGCTTGGGATAGTGAACAATACAGTGTTCCGGAAGTTCAAAGAATCACTAGAATGGCTGCATTCATGGCTTTACAACACAACCCACCTCTACCAATCTGGTCTCTGGATAAGGCCAATGTCCTAGCTTCCTCTAGATTATGGAGAAAGACCGTTGAAGAAACCATTAAGAATGAATTCCCAACTTTAAGCGTCCAACATCAATTGATCGATTCTGCAGCTATGATCTTAGTCCAAAATCCAACTAAATTGAACGGTCTAGTTATCACCAGTAATATGTTTGGTGATATCATCTCTGATGAAGCCTCTGTCATTCCAGGTTCTCTAGGTCTATTGCCATCTGCTTCTCTAGCCTCTTTACCAGACACAAACAAAGCATTCGGTTTATATGAACCATGTCACGGTTCTGCTCCAGATTTACCAAAGGGTAAAGTGAACCCAATTGCTACAATCTTATCTGCAGCCATGATGTTGAAACTTTCTCTAGATATGGTTGAAGAAGGTATTGCTGTTGAGAAAGCAGTAAAGAAAGTTTTGGATAGTGGTGTTAGGACTGCTGATCTACGTGGTACAAACTCTACCACTGAAGTTGGTGATGCCGTTGCCGCTGCCGTAAAAGAATTTTTATAGATATAAGATTATTTAAATTAAGTAGAAATAACTTAACGAAATGAATTAATGCTTAAAAATGTAATATGTGAAAATAATGAGAGTGATTCGATGCTATTGCATCTTTTGTTGTTGTTGTTGCATTTGTTTAATTAATTTTATGAATTATTTACAATTTTATGTGAATTAAATATGATTTTTTATTATTTTGGGAACTAAATTGAATAACAGATTTGTCCCATATATAACTTATTCGATTATTTTGTTATGAGTTTTAATGGCCTGACCATTCTATAGAGTCTAGGTCAATACCTTCTTGGACCATTTCCCATAGTGGAGATAGTTCTCTTAAGAACTTAACTCTCTCAGATATAGCCTTAATGACGTAGTCTACTTCCTCTTCGGTACTAAATCTACCAATACCAAATCTAATAGAAGAATGAGCCATGGCGTCATCCTTACCTAAAGCGTGCAAAACGTAAGAAGGTTCTAAAGAGGCTGAAGTACAGGCAGAACCGGAAGACAATGCAATATCTCTTAGAGCCATTAACAATGACTCACCCTCAACGTACGCAAACGAGACATTGATACAACCAGGATAACGATGTAATGCAGAACCATTTAAGTTGGTATGATCATTAGCCAATAGACCATCTACTAATTTCTTGGATAATCTTTCAATATGTTTTTTGTCGTTTTCGTATTCTTGTTTCATAATCCTTGCCGCTTCACCAAAACCTGCTACATTTGGTGGCGCTAATGTACCAGATCTTAAACCTCTCTCCTGACCACCACCTGAAAATAGTGGTTCTAATCTCACTCTTGGTCTTCTTCTAACATACAAGGCACCAATACCTTTTGGACCATAGATCTTGTGACTAGAAATAGATAGAAGATCGATATTCATTTCATTCACATCGATTGGAATCTTACCATACGCTTGAGCTGCATCAGTATGGAAGTAAACCTTATGTTTCTTACAAATAGCACCTATTTCCTTCAGTGGTTGAATAACACCAATTTCATTGTTAACAGCCATTACTGAGATTAGACATGTATCAGGTCTAATGGCATCTTCCAATTCTTTCAAATCAACCAACCCATTTGCATCTACATTTAAAAATGTAACGTCAAACCCTTCATTCATCATCGCTCTTGCGGCCTCTATGACACACTTATGTTCAGTCTTTGTAGTAATAATATGTTTCTTAGTCTTACTATAAAATCTAGCTACACCTTTAACAACCATATTGTTTGATTCTGTAGCACCTGATGTAAAGATAATTTCCTTTGAATTAGCATGAATAACATCTGCAACATATTCTCTTGCTGCTTCAACAGCTTTGTTGGTCTCCCAACCATAAGAATGTGTGTTTGAGTGCGGATTACCATATAACCCTGTGTAATATTTCAACATTGTATCCAGGACACGAGGATCAGTTGGCGTCGTAGCTTGCATATCTAAATATATAGGTCTAGTACCGTAGCCAGTATTCTCTCTATAAGCATGGTTTAAAGCAGTAGTACCCGAACTAATGCCATCCTCTGTACTCATTATAGATTTACTAGCTGTACGAATATTTGATTGTTCTTTATTAGCAGCCTGTACATCTGTGTGCGTCTCAATAGAAAGGCCATCATCTGATCTTAGCGTCTTAGCAACACCTACAGCAGATGCAGCATATTGTCTAATTGAAGAAGTGCGTAAACTTGGACTTAATGTGTTTCTTGAAAAAGCAGCACTACCAGAAGTAGCAGCAGAGCTGGCAATCTTGGGCAATCTATTATTAGTCCTCACGAAAGCTGATCTTAACATTATTTTTAAAAATGATAGTGTATATTTATACTATACTGAGGTTATTTATTCAATATTCTTCGCTGTACAGATTCTAATTCAAATTTTGAAAAGAAAAAATTACAGAACTTAAACACCTAAAATATTAAATGAAAAAACCTTACTTTGTTAAGTGAAAATGAACTTAAACAAAACTTATAGATACACTAATCTATAAAACTTCAAATATATACTTTTTACCTATCAAATCTTGAGATGACCAATCCTTTTGATTTGTAAGCTCTCACATATCAAAAGTTCCAAAAACATTACATCCCTACTTTGATATTGAGTCAATATCCGCGAATGGCAGGTGCAATTCTGTGGTGCCGCATTGTGGGCGATGAGCGGAAAATCTTGCTTGAAATCAAAAAAGGGTGCCAGCACGTGATTATCACGTGCATTTATCATGTTGCACGTAAGTTCCGCATCCGATATGGTATTTATTAGTGAGCAAGTAAATAGATCGATCGATATCTTGGCGAATGGAAGATTAAGTTCTACTGGTGATGATGTAATGCTTGCCGACTCTACGTCTTCTGGCGAATTTCATGATGAACGAGTCGATCTTTAGATGTTTTACGTTAAGTTCCTCAACAAAGGGTTCTATATCACGGAGGTCCCAGGAGGATTGTAACTTGAATAATGTCTTGAAGCGATCCTTGGGATCCATTGACAACGTGTTACGAGCAAAATACTGTATTTGTTTTTCCTGTGGTTGATAATAATGGCCTCTTAACATTGCCATGTCAATGTCACAAGGGAAAAAGGGAGGAAACTGAGATCTCCATTGCAACATGAACTCATCGATTGATAATGCGCTCTTATTAACATATTTCTTAAGTGACTGGATACCATACCACTTGGCAATATTTGAGTTGTTCAGTTCCCACATAGGTTCCTCTGAAGGTAAATTTATTTGTTTACCGAACTTGTTCAATACAGTCTCGACAACTTCTACGGTGTATGGATTGAATCCGCTATCCATATCTTTACTCACAGCCTCGTATGAACTTTTAAGTTTTAATTCATTAAGTTTCATTGATTCTGCTAACACACTCATTAATGTGACATGTAATGCTTTGCCCATAAATTGTGGGCTCAGGAGACAAACTTGTCCCTCGATGGTACAACCACCTAGACTATGCCATTGTGCTAGAGATTCACCCCTTGAACATGGGGAATTTTTCAATAAATCTTCAAAGGAAAGACCTTCTAGATCTTTCGAAGGTTTAAAATGTTGCTCACCATCATATATAGGTATGACATCAAGATGTAGACGTCCCTCTGTGACAATAGTCTCATATTCGAAAGTTGTTCTTGTAAACCCAATATAATCTGTAATCGGCGGAGGTAGGCCAAATAATGAGGATGGATCAATCACCATAGAATCATCATCTACAACCCCCTCGTGCATAATCATGGACATATTAGAATGATCCTTTTGTCTAACTAACCACGTCTTATCTTTGGAGCATAATACCACATGAGATTTTTCGTTGTCTAGAGATTTGAACTGTAAACCTTTCCGCGTATTCTTATCCTTCAGGACTTTCATTAGATCATCATTTAGTTCAATCAATTTGTAACTTATACTACCATTGTCCTGTTTCAGTTTGGAATACAAGTTTATTGACATCTTGGAAGAATTCTCTCAAATCTTATTCTACGCGTTTGTTACAAATACTTTCTCACCAAAATATTATGTTACAATCGTAACAACGTATTAATATATAATAATGTGTAGGCTTAAAGACTGTTGACAGTAAATCATACAATTCAAGGACCAACTAAGCTATATCCCCTCACCATTCCCTAAACACATCCACACGTTCACGTTGGTTCCTGTGTAATTACACGCTCAGACAAATATCATTTCGAGACCTACGGCGAGCTGAAAAATTTCGTTACCCGTTTGGGAAATATGCAAAACAAACAAAGATCTTTTCCAGACAAACAGAGCAACAATGCGAATGGCAGGATTTTACTTTTGATCCAATTAATAACAGTGATCAACAGATGAGTTTTGTTAGCAGCAAGGGAGTGGATCTGTGAGTTTACATTATCACATTGAAAATAAATTTCAATCTGGAAAAGGAAACAGCTATTACTATTTTCTAAAGTCGACGATTTTATAATCATATCTTTTCAGTTGAAAAAATACCTATATTTTACTCACTAACCTAACTTATTTGAAAATAAAAGCTATATCAAGAGTACTGTAAATATGGTTGGAAAGGAAGTAGGGGCAAACGACTTCTCATCCATCTATTCTCATGATTCTAAAATTAATAAGAATATAGACTACCTGGTGGAAACTGCTGAAGTGAAGGATCCAGCTAATGCCGTGGCTCAAGAACAACCTCTTGAAAAAGAAATTATACTATTTAACAACTATCTCAATAATACTCATTATGATGAATCAAAAAATTTGCAAACTTCAGAGAACATAAAGACATATTGGACTCAAAAGGTTTTTGATGAATCCGATGTATTAACAGGGTATGATGATATCCTATGGGGTTCATTTATTGTCTGTATACATCGCAATAAAACAACAGATAAGTTTAATTGTTTGATTGTTGATGACTTTGGTCTCAGTTCAATAGAATCAATTAATGTCACTTGCGAATCTCCATATTATTCTGCCATCGAAAATTTAAGCCCCAATGACAAAAATTCAGAATTAAAAAAATGTATTGCTATTATCATGTTACAACGATACTCAGAATTAAGTATTGAACAGAAGAACCAATTAAAATATATATACAGTACAAGATCTCTTTCAGATTACGATTATGTGCATGCAGGTCAATTGGCAAGTAACTGTACCAGACCCAAACTTACATCGTCATCACTGTTTGGTCAGAAAGTTATTGCAAAAGGTTTACTCGACCATCACAAAGTTAAATCAACCCTGTTAGATGTAATATATCAAAGCAAAGAATCTACAATTGAATTGAATAATAGACTTGTTTTCCATCTTGGGGAACAATTAGAACAGTTATTTAACCCAATTACTGAATATTCACCAGAACAGACGGAATATGGATATAGACCTCCTGAAAATGACGCACCTACAGAAGATGATGAACCATTGATTAAAGCAATTTGTAATGAATTATTAGAATTACAATCGAATTTCACATTTAATTTGGTTGAGTTTTTGCAAAAATTTCTAATTACGTTAAGAGTACAGGTTTTAAATAACGACATCGAAGGTTTATCTACAGTCAAACTGAATCGTTTGTTTCCACCAACAATAGATGAAGTTACAAGAATTAATTGTATTTTCCTAGATTCTTTGAAATCGGCTACTCCATATGGTTCGTTCGAAGTATTAAAGGCATGTAACTTAACGATACCATACTTTTATAAGGCTTATACTAGACATGAAGCAGCCACTAAAAACTTCAGTAAAGACATTAAACTTTTCATGAGGAATTTTGGAGATATTATGCCAAATAAAGATATATATACAGAAATGAAATTAGAAACAATAATAAAAGGCCCACAGGAAAAACTACTAAAATTAAAATTAATTCTTGATAGATTATACAAAAAGAAAGAATGGTCTAAAAGCAATCAAAAGGATGCTGAAAAGTATTATAATAACATAATTGATATAATTAATTCCTTCGGTCATTTGGATGCACCTATGAGCTCGTATAATACTAGAGTATTCACACCATCTGGGAAAATTTTAACTGAATTGGCCAAAGGGTGGCCCGTTGAACTACAATATAAGTGGTTAAAGAGACGTATTGTTGGTGTTTTCGATATTGTTGAGGCAAGTGAACCATCTAAAAGAAAACTGTTGGTTATATTTAGTGATTATATTGTTTTCCTTAATATTATTGATTACCAAAAATATTATACATCTGATAAATCCAACAAAAAACCATTAATTTCAGATATTTTAATGAATTCCTTGATAAATGAGCTTCCGTTGCCTCCGAAAATCCCAAAGTTAGAAGTTGAAAAATATTGCTACATTAATGAAATTCATACATCTGTGACAAACAACGATATCATTAGGTTCGATGCAATTCGTGCAAGAGAGAAACAGCCATTTTCTGTTATTTGTAAACTGGCATCAAAGACAAATAACGCTACAGATATTGCAGATTTGATAACCAAGGCTAAGATTTTAGAAAAGGATACAGCATTCCACTTATTTAAATCATCTACCGAAGAATCCATTCTCTATTTTACAGCACATGAATTAGAAGCTTATAACAGCGAAAGGATAAAATCCAAATTTGGGTTATTCTTAAATATGGAGCCTTCCAAAGAAGAATTGGTTGCAAATAATCTGCACTCAGCTATTTTTGCCAAGTTTTCGAATCCTACTGAAACAAACACAGTTCAATTGGACCTTTTAACCCTAAACGATAATGGAAAACAACAAAGTCGAACAATACCTGCCGAAAATATGGTTTCAACCCTTCTTTCATTGTTGGCGGTCGAAATATCTGTCTGTTACTCATCAATTTTTTCAGAGGAAGCCCTAGGTTTAATTAGTGTCAACAACGTTGTGGCCACCCAACTCTTGGAAAGTAATGAGGTAGATCCAAGTTTACCATCCGAAATAACATCGCCAAATTTATCTCGTGAAATAAATGAGGAAACTAAAAAATCGTATGGTACAATAACGACATTCAGAAGTGATGTAAGTGATTTGGTAGATGTTCCTAATGATAAGGATATTCCGGATGAAAAGGCTAAGAATGGTAAAACAGACAAGAGGAAAGGAGAGAAGATAAAGAAGGGGGACATAAAAACGGGGAAGACAAATACGGTTGGAAGTGATAAAACTCAGAACAATAGATCGAAACCAACAAACCAAAAAAATAAAGTTGAGAAGACACCAAAAGAAAAAACAAAAAATAAAGGTTTCTTTGGAATCATTAAGAGTATATTCCCAAGTGGTAATAAAAAGGAAAGGAAACAGATAGGAAAACCAGTGATTGTTAATCAAAAAACTTCAAACAAGCAGTTAGACATTAAACCCCGCCCTAAATCGAAACTAGAACCTTTGAAACCTGTCCAGGGTAAAGAGAAAATTTCTGATAGGAAAACAGAAGCTCCTGGCGAAAACAGAACGAACGATACATCTACAAGCAGGAACGCGGTTTTATCAAAGGATGATGATGTTCGAATTAGTTCTGTAGTTCATAATCCTAACTTTACAGAGGAAGTGACAGGAAATGAAGAACCGGATAATAATACTGAAACAGAGAAGAGCACAGAACCAGAAAAGATAGTTCCTAAGGTTCCTCCTGCCTTTGAAATAACTGAGAGAAAGAAAGAATTACCACCGGTTCCAATAAAAATCGAAGAAAACAATACTTTAGACATCGACACACAATCGCTAGACTGTCAGGCAGATGGTACAGAAGAAGGTAATGATACTGATCTTAAGTTGGCCAATCCCATTTTACATCAAAGTCAATTGTTTGAAGATGACTTGTTCGGAGATTTTATACCTGAGAAAGCAACGAACGAAGATAACCAAGAAATGTTGAAAAATGTAGCGGTAGAAGGAGAAAATTACACTAATAATTGTGATACCCCCGACATCAATAGCCCAGTTCTAAATGGAGAGATTGTGACTTTGACTGAAGCTCCGAATTCTGTATCTGAAAAGGTGAGCTCCGGTGGTATTAAATTGGAGCCAAATGATGAAATAAAGAATGGATTATTAGTAGAAACAGAGAAGTCTAAACTGAAGAAGAAGGCACCAATATTTCCTGAGATAGCTAAAATTGTTCCGCCAAAGTCAAATATTAAGTTTGAAAAATCACCCTCATTTGTGGAATTATTCAGAGATATGAGAATTGTCTTGGATGATACTGATGCTAAGTACAATTGGAAAAGGTTATCTACTGAGGTTTCTTTAAATGAAAAATATCTTGTAAATAACGATGGTATTGATCACGCTAATACCACATCAAATACTGGACTAAACACAATTGTGGAAAAATCATATAATATTAAAGCTCCAAGTTCTAACTCAATAAAAATCAATAATACCGGAAACATGTCACCAAATAGGCCATCACCACAGAAAAATGAAGGATCCCCTTTCAGGGCTTTAGCACACAAGAAACTTTCAGATTTGACTGTGAACGATATTGAGACCTTTGGTTCACCCCGTGTTAATAATGGTTTATTTACGACACAAAATCCAGGGGAGGGTTCAAAAGGAAATAGATCACTAAAAGGTAGTGATGGTACCCCCATAGGCTCTCCGGTAAAACCTGGGGCATTTTTTAAAGTGGTCAACAAGTCCCCAACTAAATTTGCAAATAAGCCTTCAAAAAATGATACTACGGAATTAACTAAGAATCTTCAGGAAAATAGAAAATTTATCCAACAGAAAACATTGGATTCAAGTATTCAATTGAAACCACTAAAATATGTTAACGATAATTCAATTGTTGATGACAAAAATGCAGTGTCTGATTTTTCTTTTGCTTCTAACTTTAATGTTGATAATAATAGACGTTGGGTTCAATTGAACGTTAATTCCAAAGAGGATCTTCTAGATGAGACTTTCCATACCCCACTAGAAGATGTATCAGAAACATTTTCAGCTCCAATATTTGAAAATGCTCCTGTAGTATCAAATTCGACTACAAAAATTGTAACAGATGCAGAACAAGTTAGCAAACCAACCACAAACAAAACCATTCTAGCCAAAAAGAATGCTGCTGAACACAGAAGCAAAGATGATATTTTGGATGATCTGGATTTTAGCTCATTCGATATTACTTTCAATACAACTAATACAACTAACGACATTCAATCAACTATCCCAAAAGAATCAAATGTTGATCAAAATATCTTATTTGGCTTAAATATCAATAATATTCCTAAAATGACCGCCCCAGTTGTTTACAGATATTCCAAAGAATTATCATTTAATAATAAAGAAAACATCAAGGTTACATCTAACAATTTGGATAAATCAGGTGCTGGATTGAACGAACATGATTATGACAACGACGATGAGCCATTCTGGATATCGCCAAGTAAATTAGATTTTACAACTCTGAATAAGTCCAGTGTGAAAAAACCTAATAATATCACTACATTAAACCCAAATAAATACAATAGAGAGCCGGTTCGTGCTTCTGAAACCCAAGATAAAACATTTTCAACAAAAGAAGATTCTAAGGAAGATTCGAACATCACCCATGATATGTCGTTTGCATTTTTGGGTAACCTTGTTGATATTGATGGTACCGAAGATGATTCTGAAACAAATTCAAATTTCGCAAACGACAAGCCAACACGTTTACAATTTACTTAAGATGGCAATTTCCAAACATAGACATAGACAATTAAATTAAATAGTATATTCAAATCTACATATACGTAAAAATATAAATTGATGTACTTATCAAATTGATATTATTATAATAATTCTTACTAATGCCAATTTATATTTTAAGCTATAATAAATATAAACATGGATATCAACTTCCTATGATAAATATATAAATATATGTGTATGTAGTGTTTCACATTTATTATATCTAGCCCTTATGGCACAGAAACTTAATTTGTACGCTGTGCGAATGACACAGATAAGTCTTGACCACCATAGTTATAGTTATTTAGTTTACTGACACATAAGTCCGCAGAACTAATATCTTCATAGTCAACTACTGCAGCACCAGTTGGTGCACCAGTAGAATCGTAAGACAATTCAGCATGGTGTACCCTACCCAAACTTTCAAACAATTCATACAAGTCATTGGCAGATGTTGAAAGTGGCAGACCTGTACAATATACTAAACTGTTTCTTTCACCATTACCTATGACACCTTCTGTGAAAGTAGATGGTGGTTGCTCTAAAGGTAGTCCATTATCGTTGATATTTTCTGGTGGAATTCGTTCCGCATAGGCTAGTCTGTCATTTGTTTCATGGTAAGATTCACGACGGGGTTGTCTAAATTGACGGTTTGAACGACCTTCTCTTACTTCAAGGATTCTACCTTGTAAATTATAACCGTTAAAGGTATCAATTGCTCTAAACATTTCTTCTTCACTTCCATAAAATACATTACCAAAACCTTTTGAGTATCCATTATAATCCAAATCAATATCTGCTCTTAGCACGTTACCACATTCTCTAAACAGATCCTTCAAATCTTGCCATGAGAAAGAATATGGTAAATTAATAATGAAAACTTCGAACGCTGGTGAACGTTCTTGTGGAGGTTGCACTTGTTTGCGTGGAGGGGGTGCGAATCCATAATCTTGGTTGTCATAATATGGATCATAATTATTATTCGCACCATATGCATCATTAGGTTGAATTCTTTCATGAATACTTAAAGGTGCTGCACGTTTGTTTGGTGGAGGTTGATCCTGTTTAATGAACAAATCACGACCCATGAAATTAACGTTATTGAATCTATTAATTGCATCATCTACTGCAGCTGTATTTGTAAACTCTACTGTACCCATACCTTTATGACGTCCTCTTCTTCTAATAATCTCAGTACTAACAATTTCACCAACTGGTTGGAAGAAATCTCTTAAATCATCTTCAGTAGAATCAAATGATAGATTACCGATAAAAATACTATTATCATAGTTTCTCTCCGGTACCATTTCACGTCTTGGTGGCATATCTCTGAATGAATCACGACTTGAACCATATTCAAAACCTCCACGACCACCACGGCCTCTTCTACCACCTCTTCTTGCACGTCTTGGTCTACCTCCAAAACTACCTTGGGCGTCGCTATAATCAAAACTCATACGGCGACGAGAAGGAGATCTGGATCTACTACGCTGGTTACCAGCATTGTTGTAGTCACCTAAAGCCTGATCCATGTTTCAATAAAAATAATAGTAATAATAATAAAACGAAAATGTGTCGTTTATTCTTTGTTGATAATAATATCTGTCGAAAGTTTCTAGGCCCTTATTTTATTCTAGACTATAGAATGGCTTCCTTTTACCTTTTTTTTCAAAATATTTCGGTAAAAGATATAAAATATGAGAACGATCAAAAGGGATTAAAATGAGAATAACATTCTAATGTCTAAGAAGTACCAGAATCCAACTGACAAAGATTGTCATATGGCTCTTTCTCAATTCTCGTGTTACTAACTATATCGACGTGTTTCTCTCATTCAATGGTTCAGTTACGAAAAAGAAGCTCAAACGAAATAAACAAAGCGAAAAATTGAGAAATGAAAAATTTTGGTTCTTTGCCGATGGGTGAAAAGAGAGAGAGCAAAGGCGACAAACAACAACAAGCCCATATCGTATAGAGTGACTTTAATGTGAGTTGTTTTGATTGCAAGACCTAAGGGTAATGAATTAATGTTGCAATTCATTTCACTTCTTTGCCGGGGTGGAAGATGCCATTGGGAATGGTAGTACTAGTCTCCTTGGTACTTCTGTCTCTTTGTCTACTTCTTCTTCACCTTCAAACCTCAGTCTACAGGTACCGTCTCTCTTGTTACCGATAACCTCTGCAGGATAGAAAGTTGTAGTTTCTGGATATCTGGCAAGTACTTTGGTACCCGCAGGGTAATTGAGAGTCTTAGACCTTATACTTGCACTTTTCAAAGTTGGAATTAAAATCAATTCTTTCCAACTACATTTGAATACTTTCCCTGTATTTCCAAGTTCATCGGGTTCAGGATCGCGTACTTCGTATCTGATTCTATCATGAAACACTTTAATAACTTCACATTGGAACCATTCACCGTCACCACCTTTACGTGGTTTATATGCGACTTCTGATCCAGTTACAATAGGATCTGGAGAATTGTACTGACTAACCCAATATTGTCTACCTCCAATAGATCCCTCCCCATTCGTTCCTGCAATCGATATCGGTATTTCTGATTTAGCTTTTGAGGCAGAAGCTGCAGCTGTGGTCGTTGATGAATCATTAACACCTAATTTTGAACTAATGTTAGATTGTTCATCATTTTGTCCCTGAATATCCTCATTTTCTTTATTTTCTTCTTCCTTTTTCTGTTCATCCAATATCTTTGTTAAATTATTTTGAATTGATTCTATTAATTCACTACCTTTATTGATATTCTGAAGGTGGCCTTGGAATTGTAACAAGTAATTCTGTAATTGATCTTCTGGTAAAGAATCAAAATTCATACGTTTTGCCATTGTATCATCATCAAATTGGGTAGCTTCGTTTGCATTATACAAATCCTGTAATGAGGACACTACCATACGCCAGTAATTCTCTACCATATTTTCTTTATGTTAAGATATAATTATCGTTGTGAAGTCTAAAAGATACTTATATTTCTTGACAGAAAGTTCAAAACTTATATCTTTATGTACCCTTCTATCAATTGCTCTATATGAAGTTACCTCTTCTTCCCGTTCTGTAGTTGATGTCTTGCATTTCTAAATATGAATATATTAGATAATATATATCAAAATACACGAATTTCATGTTTTTGTTTGTTTTTCGCTCTGCGATTTTTTTGGCGAAGGTAAAAGCTAAGCTAGGCGATTGAAAGTGACACACAGTTAAGTTATATGGGTTATAGTTAGAAGATATGATGAAGTGAAGGATAGAAGGAGGTAGATGTAGATGTTGATAGCAGCGATTGTTTGTTTGTTGTTGTTGCAATTAACTTATCTTGCGTGGGATCGGTTATATTGTTTTTTGTTTTCTGTTCTTCTATTAAACTACGAAAGAGGAAAATTATGTTGTCAATTTTATTAAATTGCGATATTCATGATTGCAAGTGAGATGTAACGGTGTGTGTAGAACTAAATAAAATTATATTAATTAAGTATTAGTTTTTTGACTTCTATCTTTACCTTTTCTCTGAAGCAGAACATAAAGTTTCTTCAAAGATTTACCATATATGTTTATGAATAATAGTGTTTGAAATTATGAGAAATGTTACAAAGTGTTAATTCAAGTAAACAAAAAACTAAAAGTGATAATCTGTCATATGTTGCTTATAAATATAATGTACCTATAAAATATGTTTAATTGGAATTTATGTACTCCACAGAACTTTTGATATGGAAATACATATGTAGTTTTCAATGTTTGACTTGAAAGGTAGATAATTATGGACGATCCATTTAAATTCGATAAATTCCATGAGAGACACGAAAACTCTCCTAATTTAGGTATGTAAAACGAGCTCAAATATGTAGTTATCCGATACAACTAAGCCAAATACAAATACCAACCTTTTATTTTTTTCTCTCATATGTAATATCCAGTCAAAATTATCCAGAACACTCTAAATTATCCTGTGCATTTCTGATCTATGATAATATAACTTAAGAAACACCTTATTGAAAGTAACATTTTATATAAACCAAATATACTTGTACGATTTATTCTTAAAGTTTCAGACAGCATTTTTATTCTTCTTTGTGTTTTTACTTCGAATTTTAATCATATACAAAACAACATACTTAAAATCTTGGACATACTTTTTTATTTTTGCGTTGAGATAGTGTCTTGGTACCTCCCAGAATCGTTAATGAAAATTTTGTATTACTATTGTTTCTTCTATGTTGAATTATTGATAATTCTATGGACTATTTATAAATCTTAAGGACTCGCTATACTAGGTTCTATAAATAGTAAAATTGAGGAGTATTAGATAGAAACATAAGTACCAATATTTGAGTATCCGATCGAGAAATATTTCTTTGTGACTGAATATCATTAGATGAAACCATTGATTTTGTGTTCGACTTCAATTTGGCCTCTTGTACCAGGATAACGACACGGTTGTTGATCTATTATCGGATCTGGAGATTCCAACATGGGACTTCACATAAAAAAGAGTGCCATAATTAAATTGTGGAACTGACTCATTTTTTTAATATATCTACCAAATGTACAACTTTTATACAGTCACACACTCTAATTGAATTGTTTAGACCTCAAGGTTCCGAATTACATATACGAGTTCAAAGCCAACGATGAAGACAAAGCTCAAATTAATATCGAAACATTCATAATTCCTTGGGAAACTCATTCTCAAAAAGACTTACAATAACACTATGTAATGTTAGAACAACGAAAAGTTTCACTCCCATGATTGATATTTTCTATAGTCGTAAACCTCTATATTATAACGAGAAGGATTAACTTCATTTATCTCGAATCGACGTAAGATGAGCCCAGGTATCAATGAAAAAAATGGAATACGTGCCATGAAGTTAATGTGAATGTAATTGATTAAGAGAGAATACCAAAGGTGATTCAGAATTGTGAACGTTTGGTATTCTCTCTTAGCCAATTACGTTCTCACATAACACTCAGAAAGAGCCGTAGGAAAAGTAACCACGACTCTCCGAATAACCCAACCAAACTGACAACGCTCATTGGTTGCGGAGTTGCATTTGAGACACGCTGGTGTGACCCTCCTAAGCAATGAGGGACGTGTCCTGCTGGACGCCACATAATCAGTTGAGATTGAGAGCACTGCTATATCAAAAACTCTCCTTTCTCTCGTTGTTCAACCTCTGTCTTTTAGACGAAAGACACCAATCAAGACTATCAAGAATCAATCAAGTCTAATCAATAAGAAGACCATAATAGTCAAGCTAAGTATAACGTACACCTTAGAAGAAGATAACATTACTGTTAGTGAACCACACATCTTCACACACAGGACTTATACTCAACCTAAATATTATAATCCTTTAATTGGTATGCGAGACAACAATTACTCAAATAGCGCCTTTAGATATCCTTAAGATGACTTAGGGTTAATCTACCGTACAAATTAATAATCTTAATATCGACATAGCTCTATCTTATTAACAATAATTCTGTGGTATTTTGATACTCGGATCGGAATCTTAAAATTATATATTCTTTTTTTCTATTTCTATAAATTCATTATATAAGCGAGAGACTCATAATCTGAGATAAGCTCTCTTTATATAAGATATAGATTTATATACTCAATATAGTTAAGCTCGTTAACTCCTCTAATTCCGTGTTATTTCTACCTTGTTTCATATTTCTTAGTCATTGTAAATCATTCCTTTTTAGTTCATTGTTAGGTTTTAGATATGCTTCAACCTAATTGGTTGATTCTTTTGAGTCGTCATTCTTTAGCACGTGACAAAGTGTCACTTGACTTTTAGTCTGTTTCAAATACAATAAATTCCAATATTAAGAGGGCGTGTGGTCTAGTGGTATGATTCTCGCTTTGGGTAATTTAACTCGAATATGTGAGAGGCCCTGGGTTCAATTCCCAGTATGCCCCCTTTTCTTTTTGTGAATTTTCTGGCCGGTGCACGTGACTTTTCAATTAACATTTTGCTAATCTCATAGAATTCAAGATGAAGCATCAAATGACATGAACTATGTAATGTCAGTTAACTATTCATAGGAGACAACACGTTGGAGTAGCCCCTTATAATTAATGTATTGAAGAGACTCCTTCTGAAACTAATAGAAGCTTTATTTTATTTCATTTTCTGAAAATCTCTTCGATAAATATCTCACTAAGAAAACTATTACGATATTTAATTTAATATTTCATCTACTCTTCTTTATCGATATGTTGCGTATAAGAGAACAAAATGAAACTCTAATATTCATTTTTTACATTTAATAATGCCATGATTAATTTTCAATATTTTTATATCTTGGAGAATAAATAAAAAAAAATACATATATGTATTTACGTTCATTTTTACTTAATTTTGTTGTTGTTGTTGGGAGGTTTTAAAACACATACAAGAATAATAACTAATCAATGTTAAGAAACAAACAGATAACTTTTTCTCACCTTCTTTAAATATTTATTAATATTAACCAGGTGGTAGTTGGGAAATATCGACGATTTCACTAATTAAACTGTCATTATCTTCTTCAGCTTCTTCATGAGATGTCTTCAATGGAGTTCTTGGCAAAGCCATCATACCACTTCTCGTACATTCTAAAACACCGAAAGGCTCCAATAACTTAATGAAGGCAGAGACACGAGTTGGTTTAGCGGCCAATTCAACAATACAATTAGTCTCTGAGATATCGACGATTTTACCACCGAAATTCTTTGCCAAATTAGTAATATCGTTCAAATGTTGATGTTTTAATCTGTGAACTTCACTTGGTAGTAAATTAGAAGGATGATATTTTTCTTTTCTAATCTTTGAGATTAAACCTGCATTAGTCTCATCATGATGATGATTCAATAATAAATCTTGGAAATATTCAGATCCTAACAAAGATATTCTGGCTAGAACCAATTCACGTTTTACCATTTGAGAGTTAGTATAGTTTAACACAGCATAAACAGGTACTAAATCCTCGATTTGTCTTCTGGCTTGTTCAATGATACTATCTTGACCTTGTAAAACGATAGTCATTCTACTTAAATCTTTAACTTCAGTGTTACATACCACTAGGGAATCAATATTGAAACCTCTAGCGGCAAGAGTTCCGGATATACGGGATAACACACCAGGTTCATTTTGTACCAAACAGTTCAAGACATGTTGATGTTTAGGTTGTTTGGATGGAGTTGGTGTATCATATAGAATAGATGAAACTGCAGTATTAGCATCCCATACAGGAGTCTCGACTGTTGGCAGAGGAGGTCTCTTTGCATGTCTATGTAATTGTTTGTAAGCCATAGCACTAGTTGATGAAGAACTATGACGAATAGGGCCACATACAGGGCTCTTAGCCACTGTAGTTCTTAGGACAGTTCTCAACATAATTGGAATGGTTCTTTATTTCCCTTACTGAAAAAAAAAAATAAAAAAAGACAAACCTGAAAGACCTTTTCAATACTTTGAAGACAAACAAATTAATCAAGTACGCCAATAAATCCCTTTAACTGTGTTTTAGTTAACCTTTTATGAAAAGAATATTTCTCTCTTTTGCTTATATATGAAAAAACTCTGTATCTGTTGGGTTTTAATGAGTCGTCTACTACAAGTTGGATCACCTCTTGTCTCTCTGCTTCTGCCCATCCCGGTCAAAATTTCATGAAATTTCACGAGAGAGACAGACAGAGGGAGAGAGAGAATGCCAATGGGCGCGGGAACAACAGCGCGACCAGTCAGTGAGTCACTTTGATAGCGAGAGCAAACAAGAACTACACAGGCAGAGAGACGAGAATAGAATGGGATGCCGGTTCCGGAGCATCGGATGTTTGATGGCAACGAGAAGAAATGAAGTTAACTGTCTTTTGATTCTTGAGAGTTTGCATTTTATAAAAAAGTTTTGGTGGTGTATGTAAGTTGGATGTATAATGGTTGAGTTTATGTAAGTGTGGCTGATCTTGTTAGGATAGCATCGCGAGTTTGGAACTGTAAAGTACCGAGATATCTTGTCTCTCTGATGAATTGATCTACAGTGAGTGACCCTTTACTGAGTAATTGGTTACAAAGTTGTAGAGCATCTGTAAGAGCCAAATCGAGAGATACAAACTTGTACAAGAGATCATCTGCAGTCGTGACGATCTCGTCAACGTCTCGAGGAGGTTCTTGTGCATCTAGTCTAGTATCTTGAAATTCATGTAATGCTGTCATTTGTATCATTAGGGATTCTCTATGTCTTGTTATATTGTCATTGACATATTGTACAGCTTGTGTCTGATATTCTAAATTCTCATTGAATTTAGATATGACATCCTGATATTTCATGGAATAATCTGTCACTTCAAGATCCATAGATCTTTCTGAGTCTGTATGTAATTTTTGTAATAATTCTTCCAAAGCAATAAGTAATTGATCATGTTGTTTATCCCCATCTAATGTCAATGAATCCATTAGATCCACAACTTGTTGTTGTTGCTGTTGTTGCTGTTGTTGCTGTTGTTGTTGCTGCTGTTGTTGTTGTTGTTGTTGTTGCTGCTGTTGTTGTTGTTGTTGTTGCTGCTGTTGTTGTTGTTGCGGTACATTGACTCTTGGTTCTGTGTGTGGTGCAGGAATACGCCTTGGAATTTGAGGTTTGGATATAGGCACTGTTGATTGTCCAGGTTTTGGAGGTAAAGGTGGTGGTGACATTGATGAATCTGCTGAAGGGACAGTGGTAGTGTCTGTTTGTGTATTCGGTATTTGTGAACTCTCTATTAAACTTGTACGTTCCAATTGGTCAATTGCTTGAACCATTTGAGCAATATTACTAGTTTGTGGATCCCATACATTAAAGAACATGGATAAATTTAATTGTCCATCATTTTGTATCAACGAGCCATACTTCTGAGATGCATCCATTTTTTCAATATCTATATAAACTAAAGGAGCCGTAGCAGGATAATCCTCTGGTAACCATATTAGTATCGGTATTCCATTGAGTGAGCCATATAACATTAACAATAATCGTGAAAGACCATCTGACCCCGTGAATACTCTTGTACGAGGACGCAATTGACCAAACTGGGTTAATGTGACCATCGAATCATGAAATGTTGCTCTTGGGTCATGTTTGTATATAGGTTGAATCACTTGAAACAACCATTTCACTACAGATTCAGGGATCTCCGTTTTATTTTTATCCATTACACTGTTCATTCTTTTTTGCAGCTTTCATTTACATCAATAGTACTTACCTTTAGCTAAATAGGGTTAACTTGTACTCACCACCCCCTTTTCTTTGCCTTCAATCAACCTGAAGGAAGTAGCAAAATGATGAAAGTTGGCTGTATAAGAACCCTCCGGCACGTGATCAGAAGGCCTCAAATTTCTTGTTTCGCCTGCTGCTGCCCGTCTGGAAATCTTTGGCTGCAAAATGAAACTGCCACTTTGAATTATTTACAGAAGAACAAGAAGTTTCAGTATATAAGATAAAGAGATGTGATGAGATAGGAAGAGTTTTTTTTCGTTTTTAGTTGTGTTTGAAAGTGTAAAAGGTATAACGATCCAAGAATGAGTTTGTATGTTTAAATTGCTTCACTAAAATTTATTTTCCCCCGTTTGTTTTATTGAGATTACTAACAAGATTCGTCGATGGGGGGCAATTAGGTAGATCGATAGATAGATCCCGTGTAAGTTCCTTCCTTTTCTTTTAAATCAGTTATACTGTTGTTGGTGTGTTAGCCGTAGTGGTCATCTCCTCTTATGTCTTCTGGATAATGGCTCCTAAGGAGAATCGAACGTATGTATACAGTCATTTTTTTAACCCTGTGAGTTGACAGGAAACCCAATGCGAAACTTTTTTAATATATTTTACTAACAATACAACTCTGTTATATAATGCCATTGCTTTATATTATTCCCTGTTTCCTTTTTAATATAGTGTTTGGAGAAGTACTGTCATACTAGCTTTAGCTATGATGTATCTAATGTGGGCCATCACATATTTATGTCAATTACATCCTCTAGTAGAACCTCGTCGTTCTGATATGAGACCAGAATAATATAAATACATAATCAAATAAAAAATAATAATACAATTTTACGATACAAGTTTCAAGATACATTTATATATAGTATGTAGGGAACTGTACCCCTGGAAGAGCATCTTCAAAAATAAATAATGAATGCTTTTTCAGTTTGTGACTCTGTATTACAAGAGCGATACATGGAATCCCACGATCCATCGAAAGAGAGCAGTCTGCGGTTGTATCAGTTTAGTGTGCAGACCGGCCGATCAATGGCTTATTCTTCTCCACTATTAGAACCCGTGATCCGTGGGGGTGTAGTAAGGATCCCGGGGCAGAAATGGGAGTGTTCTTATTTATTTTTTTGTTGTTCCTTAAGTTATTATTTCAACAATATATCTTGGTATTTAATAAGTGAGGACGCAATTGAAGTGAGCCTACCACCACACACACACATATATATATATATATATATATATGTTCATATCTCACTTCACACATATAACCTTATATGTGCACACTTTGCTCCATGACTTCTCTTGTCTGTCTCTGTGTATTCAAAAAGACAAGTCATCGCCAAATAAATAAAGTTGATACCAGAAACTTACTGAAAGGTCTTCTCTTTTTATACTGCGCGGCTCTCAGAAGACAAAAAAATTTTTGCGATTTTTGAATTTTCCCGCTTAATTTAAAACTGACAATATTTTTATAAATTAGGGCTTCTTTAACAACAATATATATACACATACTTGGTTTTATTAAGAGATAGGACTTTCAAAGTCTTCAGAAAACGGGTTTAATCGATACTAAACATCTCTACAACCTACTATTTCCCGTTTGGCATTGCTTTATAATGGTATTCACTGTTTTCCACGTTGCCCGATGGGTTAAACTGCTACTGGTGAGTTTATTGATATGGGGCAGGTCCCTGATATGGCTATTAGTCAATAGTATTTACAATTATATGTTTCGCCCTGTATTTGTCATGGGAAAATGCTTGTTATGGGATCCTATGATGATTGCCTCAAGAGTAGCTACATCGCTATTTCTTTTACCAATTAATATTCCTTTATATATTATTTTAGGAACATCATTTCAGAAACTGGCATCATATGGACCAGGATTTCTTAATGCACACATTTTATTAACTTTGATACAATATTCAATAGTATTATTTATATTTGGTGTCACAATTGGATCCATTGCAGGATCCCTCTTAGGTATGACACATTATTATTTGAGAGTACCCAATGTCTATCTTGATTTAACTTTATTGAGTCAATATATTATAGATAAAATTAAAATATCAACAAACATGATAAATAAACCTATTGCTAATATATGGCAGACAGTGAAAAATTTAGTGATAAAAATCTTTGGCCATACTGATGAAGAATCAGTAACTACACAGACACAAACAGAAATAGAAACAGAAACAAAGGAACCAGTGATAGAGACTCCAAGGACAAAAATTCCTGTGGCGGTTCATTCGAGATCCAATTCTACTGCAAGTGTACTTGATGTTGCCTCTGTAATGCCTAGTGATTTCTTCCAACCAGGGAAGAAACCAAAAAGATTAGTAGTTCATATCGAACCTTCTACTCGCGATAGACAGCTACAGACAGTGTACAATACACCAATACAATCACCACAAAGATCTTCTACTTTATCCCCACATCAAGATTTAGAAATTTCAAACGACTCCTCACTAATGGAATCCGAACCTTCTGGAATTGATCTTTGGGATAGGTTTGATTCTATCGATAGTGCAGCGGTTCATGGGACAATGAGGACAGATAATACTACTATGCGGACTACAAGAGTTAGCAAGAAACCTCGAAGACATAGCGATACGTTCTCAGATCGAACACCATAGTTCGTGAAACATACGTCTTACATCCAATTCTGCCATATTCTATTATTTATCAACTAGTCATTCACACACTCACACCTGCCCATATATCTATATATACTTATGTATATCTTTATATTCCATAGTATGCCCACACATTGCTTGTTGGCTGCGTAAACAATTTTGCATACAAAAAAATAAATCTATCGTTTTTTATTGTTTAAAAGAAACAATTCTCAAGGGAAGGTTTCAAACTTTAACTGACAAAAATAGGGATCACGCTATTAAGAAAGTAAGATATTTATATATAGCATATACATTGCTTTAAACAATAGACTCCTAAAGTAATTCGAATATCAAGACACAAACTTATAAATGGATGTCTAGTGTTCGTTCGCTCAAAAATATATCACAAGCCATCGCAAAGACTTGTTCTAGACATTACTCCCTACAATCATCCATGTCAACCACTACTACTACCACAACCACTTCATACTCACAATTTGATAGTTTTAAAGAAACACTGTCTCCTTTGAAGACCAAATTCTATTTACGAAAGGATGAAATAGAAATTATGCAATTACCATCGGAGTTTTACCTAACTTTAAAACAAAAGATTACAAATGCACAGAATCGTATATTCTTTGCATCCTTATATCTAGGGAAATCTGAACAAGAATTAATAAATTGCATTGATAAAGCCATGGAGAGTAAACCGAACCTGAAAGTATATTTCTTATTGGATGGACTTAGGGGTACAAGAGAGACACCTCATAACAATTCATCTGCATCATTACTAGCCAATTTAGTACACAAATATGGTGAGGATAGAATCAACTGCAGACTCTATAGAACACCGGCATTTCATGGGTGGAAGAAAAGACTGATTCCAAAGAGGTTTAATGAAGGTTTAGGCTTACAACATATGAAGATATATGGATTTGACAATGAATTGATTCTTTCTGGAGCAAATCTCTCGAATGATTATTTCACTAATAGACAAGATCGATACTACTTATTTAAGTGTCCCCCTTTGACAAATTATTATTTCAAATTGCATCAGCTCATTGGCTCACTGAGCTTTAAGATAGAAGCTGTCAAAAATAATATCAATCCATTTGCTAACTACAAGCTAATATGGCCGAAGGATAATTTATCAGTAAATCCAACTCATTTGGGAAACAAACATAAATTTATTTCAGATTCATCAAGTGCTCTTGACAAATTCCTCCATACTAATCAAAATATGGACCAAAATGTTACTATCGATCAAGAGAAGAATTATCCAACACTAGTTTTTCCCATTTCGCAATTCACACCATTGTTCAAAAGATTTCAAGATAGATCTACAGAGAAACCGAGTGTCTTATCTATTATATCTAATATTCATCACAAGACACTAAATTGGATATTCACTGCGGGTTATTTTAATATGCTACCTTCAATAAAGCATCAACTACTAAAGACAGTTTCCGAAAATAGTCGGATCATTACAGCATCACAATATGCTAATGGGTTTTTCGAATCAAAGGGTGTTTCATCTAATCTCCCAAAGGCTTACATTCATCTATCTCATAAATTCATGAAAAGCCTAATCTTATACAATAGGACCGATCAAATTCATCTATTAGAATGGCAAAAGGGAATTGTTACTAAACCCGGTGGTTGGTCATACCATGCTAAGGGATTCTGGTTATTTGATGATACAAAAAAAATAAAACCATTCCTAACAATTATTGGTTCCTCGAATTATACAAAAAGAGCATACTCCTTGGACCTAGAATCAAACGTTATAATACTGACAAAAGATGAAAACTTACAAAAAGGAATAAATTCAGAAGTCGAACATCTAATACAAGATTGCCACGAAGTCACTATCGAGGACTTTAAACATGATGAAGATAAGCATGTTGGTCTTGGTGTCAAGATAGCTACAAAATTATTAAGTAAAAGGCTCTAAATAAATTAGCATGCCGTGTACATCGATCAGGAGTAAAGAATGAATGAACAAATTTTGTAGAATATTAAATTTTGGACACTTGTAAATAAATTAATATAGAAAAGATATTATAATGCATGTATTAAATAAATATTATCAAACAAGGGCTGTTCTCTTCTCATGAATTCGAGGAAGAGTTGGTTTATGCCCTATATATACAACTTGGGCTTGGTATAAAATTACTGAAAGACCTAATAGTTCAGCAGATGTAGTGACAATTGGGATGGAATTAAATGGCCAATTCCAATATTCTACCGACCCTTTCATGGCCGAAACAACATATCCGATCCATCTTATACAATCTGCGACAAACAACGTGAGGATATACCGACTTGAGATACCTGAGCAACATCTACCCATCCAATTAATACATATTTGAGGACACAACGTCACCATACCTATCATATTTCCCATGATCCACAAAATGTTCAAATGATCAAGGTACATGAAATGATGAGCATTAAAATAATATAAATAAAATGTAGCGGTACCTGTGATCCCTAAAAATACCACCAATGTAGCTATACATATCATAGAAACTCCCTGATGAGTGTGTGACGTTGCTTTATAAAGAGTCAATTGTTTCCAAATAGATAGATATGCTATTAATAATCCAACGTTAGTTATCAGCAACGAAATAGAGATTGGAATATCATCCCAATCTTTATAAAATAGAGGAAATCTTGCATAAAGTTGTGTTCTGACATATATATTGAATTTGTAATTCAAGGAGGTATATAAATCAACTGATAACCTTGCTATAGTAAGTACAGCTGAGTCATAAGATAAACCATAAACTGATTTATGCAATTTGTTATACCGCCTCTGATAGAGCACCGCCATTATAGATAGCACATTCCCCACTAGCTGGGTCACTAGCAATATCATTATTCGGCTTGTAAAGTACGTATCCTTGCTGTGTTTTGATTTGTTTTGTCTATTGCTTCAGTTGTAAATATGCCACTTTTACGAGTATTTTTTGTATAGGTAAAAAGTATGGTGGGCCTCACAAAAAATTTCTCTTTTTAGCATACAAAACTCCAGAAGTTTCCAGATTAGATAAGACTAAAATATAGCTACTAAGAAAAACACAGGGATGTCAATATAAATATATGAACATCCCTGTGTATTCACCAAGGAATGCATGCTATGTGTAATGAGACTACTCAAGATGTGCCATTTTCTCGATATGATAATGGACTATGGCGTGCACCGCCGATCGTTCATGTTTTACGCCTTGCTTACTGTAACACTTGTAGAAAGTATAAGTATGGCCGTCTAGACTTATTACGCAATACTGACTACTATCAAAACTGTATCAATACTACTTAGTTTCCTATAACTACCTGCTAGCTCCTAGCGAAAAATACACTAGCGGAGTTACCTTAATAGCAGCTTATTAATACTACGATAATAAATCACATAGCACAACTGAGGTATCATTGTCTTTAACAATGGGAAACAACGTAAAACAATAATATCGAATATCGACAAGCTCAAATGCTATTCAAGACATCCTGTGATTAATTATTTTGATAGTAACCTCATCAACCAAAAATCAAACTAGGGTGTGCTTATTAATTACGGGTGCTTTCATGACTGAAAATTTTTCGCAGGCGATGAGTATGCGTAAGCACCATATTAAATAGCAGGATATAGACACCCTTAAAGACAGAACAGGGTGCCATATTTATCTGAGTAAGCAAAACCCAGTTTAAACAGATCAGATATATATATATATATATAGGATTGAGTAAGCAAGATAGATACATGATGTCTTGAGATGATGTGGATTCATTTCTAAATTATTTTATATATCGTTTCTCTTGTAATAGGTATATTTAAAGGAATAACAACCAAACAAACTATTTACAACAATGAAGATAGGCTATATTAAGCAAAGTACAAACGACAAGAGTCAAACAATTATTAATCTCACTCCAGAGGATAAGGAGGATCTCTTCACTATATATCAGATCATCGACCCCGATGATGAGGTTATCATTAAGAAGATGTTTACTACAAAGCAGGAGGATAGTAACAAGAAGACCGTTACAGACTTACACGAAATCAAACTGAAGGTTCTTTCCTATGAGTTTGATATTAAGGATGAATATTTACGTTACAAAGGTGTCACCATCCCTGATGAGACCGGTGTAGCTAACAAAGATATATCTATTGGGAAGTACCTAAGTTTTAGTATAACGTACACACATCCTATGACCATATACAAGCGTAATTTAAACAAATATGCTAAGAGATTACTTCAGGATGCAGAAAATGCTATGAATAAATCTGAAATTGGTGCTGTGGTATTACAAGAAGGTATTGCACACGTATGTCTATTGACATCTTCTTCTACTATTATGAAGCAGAAGATTGCTGTGACTTTACCAAAGAAGAAGAATGCTGAAGATGCCACAAAATTCAATGACTTAAATGAAACTTTCTATAGACAAATTTATGATGCCATGAGTGCTCATTTCAATTATAACGAATTGAAGGTGATCTTATTATGTTCACCTGGTTTCTTTGCGGATGCGCTTCACAAACATATTTTAAAATTTGCAGAACAAGATCAAAATGAAGATATTATAAAGAATCAAGAATCCTTTCTACTGGCTAATTGTTCTACTGGTTATCTACAAGGTATTGATGAAGTCTTGAAAAATCCAAAATATGTTGAGAAATTAGAAGATGCAAAGTTCGTTAAGGATGTGAAGTTATTAGACGAATTCATGGAACATCTGGATACTGATGATAACATGGCATGGTATGGTAGATATGAAGTATTTAAAGCTGCTAAGCTTGATGCTATAGATACATTATTGATAACAGATTCAATGTTGAAATCAAACAACGTTGCTAAGAGAGAAAAATATTTAGATTTAATTGATCTAATCGAAGCTGATGGTGGTAAAGTGTTTATATTTAGTACTTTACATACATCAGGTGAAGAATTGAACCAATTGACGGGGTTGGCTTGTATTTTGAAGTACCCAATCCCAACACTTGATGAAAGGAATAAGGAAGATGGTATTTCTGACTCTGACTCTGAAGATAGCTCTGACTCTGAAAAGGAGGAAATGATAACTTCAAAGGCATAATAATAATATTGATGTATATATTCCAAACAGTCAAAAACTTTTGCATTAACATCTATTAGTGAGTATATTTTTCTCTATATTGCATAATATCCGTATATATATTTAACTGAATAATAGATTGTATTAATAATTATCAAAATGACATTATATAAAGTTATAGAAACATGGCTCAGTTTCAGTATCTTTTTGTTTTCATTGATTATAGATGTCTTGAATAGAGTTATATATATATATATATATATATATGTATACATAATATTGTGTCTGTTTTAGGTTTTGCCATTAATTTAAGTAAAAAAAAATGTTGTAAATTGTACTTGTAGAGTGTTAGTTATATTTAAGCCGCTTGTTGTTGAGCGTGTTGCTGTTGTTGCATTTGTGCAGATGATTGACGATTACTTGCGTTTTCTTTCAAAGCAATTAATTGTCTAGATCTGAATTTTTCATAATGAATAAACGACGTTGTTTCTATTAAATCTTGCAAATGTGTTCTTATTAAAAATTCTCTTAAATAAACAAATTCACATTGATTTATGTCTTCAACATTAATGGCACCCCAACGAGTCTTTCTACCTCTAACAGTTTCACCATCAATCTCTATATCTTTTTCAGAACCAACGACAGCAAATGGAATAATAGATCTAATACTATTATTCAATTCAAGTTCATCTTCAGTCAATTCTTCTAAATCATAAGGATAGATATTTAAATCATGATTCTTAAAATCATTTTGTAAAATTTCTCTATATGATTCTCTTTCGGCCATAGTTAAAGTATCAGATTTACCAATCACAGGTATAACATTGGCAATCTCGGAGACCCTCCTTAAAGTTGCTACATCTAATGGAGTCAAATGTTTCGTAGCAGTTGGTTCAATAAAATAAAGAATTGCATGAACTCTTGTATCCTTAATAAACTTTTCTCTTTGAGCAGTTAATTCCTTACGTAAATAATTTGAATGTTGTTCCTTAATATATTTAACGATTGGTTCCCAAGCTTTATTGTTATTAATTTGATCACCAAACCCTGGAGTATCAATAATATTAATGTTCAATTTAACTCTGTCCTCAATTAAAGTATGTTGAGAGATCTTAATCTCGGTAGTTTGTCTAATTGGTAGATTTGAAATATCCTCTCCCGTTTTGGAATCAATTAAATGGGAAGCAAATAAGGTATTAATCAAAGTAGATTTACCTAGACCGGAGTTACCAACAACCATGATATTAAATTGGAAACCTTTCTTCAATAATCTATGTTCGATTTGATTAGTGATAGTGTCGAAACCGACATATGAACTTGGTTGAATTTCTGACATAATTTTCTTTTAATTGAAACAAGCACTTTCTTTTCTTTGGGATGTTATACGAAGTTATCTAATAATAACAATAAGAAATACTATATTTATTCTATCAAAAACCCTTTAGTTTCAACTTTTATTTACTTATAACCTGTTAACTATGTTTCTCTCTTCGAGGGAACCACAAACTGTAAACATGATCTTCTCACTCACAGATTGAAAACCCGTTTCTTCCTTCAACGACAAAACTTTCAATTGGAATCCGCACGCGTAAAAAGCTTTGAAGAAATAATTTAAAAATAAAGAAAAACAAAGTTGAAATTTTAAAGTGAGGGTAATACTTAGTTAAAAGAATTGGTTTCAATGAAGGCAAAGTCATCGAGCTAGCTGGGCTATTTACACTTGTTGTTTCCCTGGAGGGTCTTTATTTTTTTGTTTGTTTGTGTCTGGCTTGCTATTCATCAAACTGGAGGATGAATGTCGAGTCGGGTTGTCCTTAGATTTGTCGAAGAATTTGCTCCATCATAAATCAACTAGTTATGTAAATACCTAAGCCTCGAATTGAAAAGTTTCCAGGGGACATTATCTTAGCTGGGTATATACTCGTAACCATCAGTTTTCTTCTTTATAAGTACCCTTAATAAAAATACAATAGACAGTAGAATAAAGTGCTTCTGATTTATTCTAAATTTTTTTGAAAAGTAGGTTTAGTATAGACCAACAAAAATAGGAAAATTTTAAAGCCACAATTTACATTTGTCATTTATTAGAGCTCTTCAATAAATGACATTGGTAGGACTAAATATGAATTTTAAAAATTTAACTAGATAAAGAAAAACTTATTACATAATTGTAATTCTTGGGTTCATAGGAAATGTTCATTTAGAATTTTTACCTTCTATTCTAGAACGAGTTAAATCATAAATCACATGCATAAAACATGTTATATTGTTTATATAACTAAATTGTAGAGCTAAAGTTTAACAGAGGAGAGATATAGTCAAAAACATAATTAATTTAGACATTTTATAAAACTTACAATTTCAGCATGTAGTCGAATAAAAGGTTATTTTTTTATGAATTTAAGGCAACTTGGCCGAGTGGTTAAGGCGAAAGATTAGAAATCTTTTGGGCTCTGCCCGCGCAGGTTCAAATCCTGCAGTTGTCGTTATTTTTTAAAATTTTTTGTAACGAAAATAACCGCCGATCTTTTATTTAAGTTGAGACATATATATATATGTATATTGTTTTTCTCTATTTAAAATGTTACTCAATCTATAAGGTTGAAAAAAATAAGTTAAGTAATGTTTTCAAAACTACGAAGTCTTCCATGATGACAATGTGGCCAATTTTATGAATAGGTCTTCAATAAAAAAAAAAATATAAATTTGAAATAATAACCAAATTGGTCATAAACTTATTACACTGTTGTTATCAACTCATAATCTAAATTACATATGTATATACAAAATAATTTAGAGGTATATAATTATGGATGATTAACGTTAAACTTTTTACCCTAGTTGTAAAATCCTAAATGACAATAAGAAAAAGAGGAAAAAAAAATGAATTGAAAGCAAATAATAAAAATTCTTAATTGAGATATCTTCTTATTTTCAAATCAAGAAAACTTCCATCTATTACCACAAACTTCACACGTACAAAATGTTGTTAAAGGTTCATCAGCAGATCTAGTTTGTAATTGATAATAAGACACTTTTCTTTCTTTACATTTACCACATTGGAATCTATCTGTTACGGATCTTTCGATAGTAGCACCTTGTGCATTAAATAAGTTCTTCTCTTTAATTTCTTCTAACTTCTTTCTCAAAGATTCTGGTGCTAGTTCTTTTGGATCACATGTGACTAAGAAATTTGGTGTTAAATCACCATTAGTGATCTTAACTTTCAAATCAGCATTGTTTTTTGATATAATATTAGAATAAATGACCCTATATTTTTCTTTATATTGTTTTTCATGAGTCATAATATCGTTCAACTTGTTCATTTCCTTTTCTATTTCAATGGCCAATTGTAGTATATAATTTGGTGGATGTTCACTTTCTTTGGCTAATGAATCATAAAGTGCTCTAATGACGTTATCACGTAATTTAATGTGATATATAATAGTATTCACACCATCATTCTTGGCATTTCTAGTCTTGGAACTTTGAAATTTACTTACTTTCTTCGATATACTACCATTTGCATCTGTAGTTATTGTACTGGAGACAGAATTTTCCTTAGATCCATCTGGTTTGTTATCCGACGGAGTGACTCCACTCGAGGATGACTGTTGTTGCTGTTGTTGCCTCATCTTTAATTTATTTTTGTTAATAACATCCTTCCAAGCAGAAATAATCTTTCTAACTAATTTGGCTATTTCTGGATTAGATGATTTTTTAAATTTGTTAACTTCGACACCAACTCTAGTTTCTCTCAACAACTTTTCAGTAGGAACAACTTCCTTCTCCAAAGTCTTAAGAATATCTAAGACAATCTGGTCATTGGTCTTTGATTGTTCAAGGTTCTTAATTAATGACAATACTTCTTTGGATTCCATGGTTGTAATGTGACAATGGTAAATAGACGGTTGAGTAAAAAGAATGGGTTGATAATGTTTACAACGTGTTAAGAACCACCTCTCAATATTCTTAAATTATTATTGGTCGATTGAATAGCTTTTACAATTCATTGAATTTAATCGATATCCACAATGAGTTTATCTTCAACATCATCGTTCTTTCTGTATACATTTTATGGTATCTAAACACATTACAGAGATGATGAAAGCAAATAGAAAAAACAACGCAACGCGCTGAGATATCATGAAGTACGAAGTGAGATGTGAAAAATTTGGTGTAAAGTTGAATTTAAAGTAGAAGGAGTGAAACTTAAAGAGATGAGAAACGTTGAAAAAAGTAGTTGCTAATATCTACACAGTGACGATTAAATTATTGGGTTTTGAACTGAAAGGTGATAAGTTTCAGTAACACTGTGTGTCTCTTTCTTTTTTTAACTATTTTACTCAATTTTCAGAACAAAAAGGGTACTATTTTATTTTTACATAATACAAATAATGAATCAAGGAAATAACTCAAATAATACTCCATCGAGAGTTGTATATTTAGGCTCCATACCTTACGATCAGACAGAGCAACAGATTCTTGATCTTTGTACGAATGTTGGACCTGTAGTGAGTATGAAGATGATGTTCGACCCTCAAACAGGTAAATCTAAAGGTTATGCATTTATTGAATTTAAGGATCTAGATACAAGTGCATCAGCGGTAAGGAACCTAAATGGTTATCAATTGGGTTCTCGATTTTTGAAATGTGGATATTCTAACAATAATGATTTAAATTCTGTTAGTGGGAGCGGTACTGGATCTTCGGGATCCATGGGTGATCAAAACGATATACCTGGTTCAAGTTTAAGGTTTGCAGATTTACCAACCGGTATAGATGTAAATATTAATATGACAACTCCTGCAATGATGATATCGAGTGAATTGTCGAAGTTAGATAAAAATGCTCAATTAGATTTATTAAGGGGATTCCAAGAATGGTCTAAGAATGATGGAGACCTAGCAACATCTTTACTTACAGAGTACCCTCAACTGACGTATGTTATTGCCGAACTAATGTTAACTAATGGTATTGCCAAAGTTGATGATCTGACTCAATTAGCATCTTCAAACAATAAAGGAATTCAAAATGGTGTCACATCATCTGAAAGTGAAAATAAAAATGCGTTATCTAATGACCCTGAAACACAGCAAAAACAGAAAGATTTGTTGAGACAAGTATTGCAATTAAATGATGGTGATATTTCTATCTTACCTGACGATGAGAGGATGACTTTATGGGATTTGAAACAAAGAGCCATGAGAGGTGATTTCGGAGGTTTAATTTAAGCATTTAATACAAAGACATTGATACAACACAAGAATTAATTGTTATTTAGTATAAAAAAACTTATATATTATATACTATTTGTAATAAAACAGCATTTTTCGTATAGAAAGTAAAAAGAGATAGTTATTTTAACTATTTCCTATAATGAGTATGATTACTTTTTACATATTTATTTATTTATAGTTAATTACCTATGTAGATTTATCATCGTCTAGTTTAGATAATAAATAACTTGCCATTAAGCCTTTTATTTGCAAGTACTGGTCCTTACAGATATCAAGACTGTCTCCAAAACTAGATTCGTCCTTTATGTCACCTTTATCTCTCCAAATACCAATAACTTCAGAACCATTCTTTGTAAAACAAATTGCATTATTGTCATTGAACCCACAACCAGGTAAGTCTGATATTTCAATACCTGCATCAACTAGACCAAGAACTATACTCATCATGATATAAGGAATGTACCAACTTAGATCACTGACCTGTTCAATATTTAGATTGATGAAGACATCAATACCTGCCTTTGGGTATAACTCTAAACACACAAAACTCTCTAGAACATTGATTAAGAAGCTGCTTAGTTCTTTCAACTCAGAAGTTGGGAATACCGCACTTTTAATGGTGACATTAATTAAACAACGGGACTCAAATAAGTTCGACCTTGTTGATCTTGGACCATAAATAGAAGATAAAATTGACGTGTTCTCGTTCTCTATTATACATGAACCGTTACAATTCTTTAACAGATTTGTTTGAATACTAGGAGCTTGAAATTCCGGTAGTACAACGGTGGTCTCTTCATTAGAAGTCGATTTTGTTTCTGGAAAAGCCAACGGTTTGGCTTCAATAGGGCCCAATATCCTTCTTCTATCCTGGACATTCATTGTGATACACGTATGATTTGGTGATATGGTTCTTTGTTGGCTTTTTATTTTGTACTTTTTTTATCGAGTGAATCGAAAGCTCATCACTTTCTCTTTTAAATATTTAAACAATTTTTTTTTTCACCCTGCGGCGAGTTGACAATATGTAATATCTATAATCTAAATTGCTAATAGTGAGAAAGATTAAAGGTTAGAAGATAGGATACAAATATGTATACATAACAAATAAATAAAGTACTAAATAAATATTAAAGATTTTTATAAATCTAATTCCTAATGTGGATCGTATTATACATAGTTATGTTTTTTTTTTGAAATGCGATGCAAAGGTCATGCTTTAATTATGAAAAATTATAGAGATCATTATATGTGTACATATATGTAATGCAGTAAGAAAAAAATTAATAACTTTCAGGTGGTTCACTTTCCAGTTCTTGGAGTCTCAATCTTTCTAATTCCTGTTTATCTTCGGAAATCGTTATAGGTTTGGCTGTAGTAGATGTTTCACGCGGAGAATATTCTGGAAGTGGTAAAGAGTTATCATGAACTGGATAACTCGATAACCAACTGTTTAATTCCGAGGTAGTTAGTGACGGTACATTTATTTCTTGGTCTTTTTGGATCGTATCTCTTTCATGATCGGACACTATATTCTGTCTTGTTTGATTTTCTTGAGTTGAACTTATATTTGAGATTGGTTCTAATCTATCAGGTTTTATATTTTCCTTCACAGTTCCTACAACAATTTCAATAGACATCCCCGTGACGTTTCGCATTCCTTTGAGACTCTCTACATTAACCATATCCTTATACAATATTTTACTATCATGATCAGATGAATCGTTCATGCTAATTGTCCCTGCTTCTTCATACAATTCATTCTTATTATCTGTACTAGTAACTAATGCTGAAACTTTTTGTTGAATACTTTTATCAATACCAAATAATTTCGAAGATGATATTTTATTTGTTTTAAATTTATTATTCATATTTTGATAAATTTCTTCATCGTTTTCATCCATTGCACCACCAAGAATCTTATTAGATTCAGTGTAAACTAAATTTTTTCTTGATAAATTTACCATTACCTCAATATAATATTGAAAGCTAAATAATTGATTTGGTGGATTAAATGTAGCAAAAGCATCCAACGGAACCTTTAAATGAGCTAAGACATTTGATCTTAATGTTTCAGGATCTATATATAAAGGTGACACACATTGACATATGTCTTTTCTAAATTTTTCAATTGCAATTCCTTCCGTTTCATTATTTGTTCCTACTCTGCATATTCTCACTAAAGTAGCAATAACACCAGCTGCATGATAATATGGTTTATAATGATCTACAGAAATTTTAACTGGGATGACTTCTCCCATAATATAACCAGATCTTGGTAAACCTACAGATATTGCTACAGTTTTGTCTAAAGTAGCATCATTTTTTGTTGATAAACTCCCCGAACCTGTTGAATCATTTGATTTGTTTGTTAACTTTGAAAATAATGATGAACCTGCATCACCTGAAGAATTCGATTTTTTATGTACCATTGGCGTACCAGTAAATGATTGTAATACAACAGTTTTTGTCTTTGGAATTGGTAAATATGATACATCTAAAGGCACAATAACTTCAAATTCATTTTTACACTTTGAAACATAAGTCTTTTCAGACTGTGTTGAAGATAAAGGTTCTAAAGTACATTGCATATAATAATCAATTGAACCTCTTTCAAATTTTATCGAACTAAATAATTTTTTATTATTTTTTGGTAATTTTATTCTAAATGGGAACTTATGTATACCTTTTGTTAAACCATTCATGGTTTTAATATTTCCATCTTTATCAATTAAGCAATTATTATTTTTCACTTCATCATATTGATCAGACGAAGATAATGTTGAATCCATTGATTGATGATTTTGTTTTAAAATATTTTCTTGAGTCATATCAAATCCATATAAAAAAGTTGATCGTTCAATTAATCGTACTGTTTTCTTAGCCATTAATGTAGTTGGACTATTCCCTCTTGTTTTAACTTTCATTTCACAAATTAAAGATAATCGTATAGCAATATTAGTAATATCTTTCTTAATCTCTAAAGTTGCTTCACCAATAATATGTTCATTTGGTTTCCAAATTCTATGAGGTTCAGCAAATGTTATATAAAATTGTCTTGTAATATTTGATGAAAGTAAACCATGAGAATTATTTGTTAAAGATTTACTAGAATCATTACGTTCTTTCCTCTTTAAGGAATTTCTTGATTTATTATCCTTTTTCAATAAATCGAACAGTGCCATTTGAAGTGGATAAATTTGTATTATTTTTATAATGAGTAGTTCGTATCACACACAAACACATACACAATTGAAATTGATTTCAATTGTGAATATATATATCTATATCTATATCTATAATTGTAGGGTATGCGTTCCACAATAAAAAAACCAAACAGTTATAAATTATCTCTGTATGATGAAACCACTATATTTATGTTATACTATGCCTCCTTTTCACTATCTCTCTCTCCCTCTCTCTTATTTTTGTCCTTTTTGAAATAGTTTATTGTATGCACAACCAATGAAAGAGGCTTATGATGTGTCAGAACCTCTACAACCCTTCGAGAGATTAACCGGATACTCGATACAAATGTATTTTAAGCCCACACTCACACAGACTGATGATATTATCTTCCAGGACTCTGAAATCTCAACATAAACAAAACAAACTCACCCAAACAAAATAAAGGATAAATATACTGCTGTCTCAGTTCCAACTATGTAATTAGCTAATACTGAAATTATGAAATTTCCGCTGCCTTGAAAGAAAACTTATTTTTTCTTGGCAAAAGCACCCATAATAACAAACAAACAAACAACGTGAAGCGGCAAGAGAAAATTTTTTTATTATTCTCGCCGCTGTTTTTAAGGTGGAAATCCACAGATTGCTGCAGGAGTTTCTCTGCGTGGAGTTATCAGATGGTGGCATCACTCATTCCCACAGAAATTGAAGAAAAATTATTGTTACGTAGATCTGTTCAGTGCAACAACCGGTTCACGTTTCTCACTGCAACAGAGACAATCCAATACGGTACGTATTTTGAGTTTAAGATTGATTGGTCTGTGTATATGCTTGACACTTCAATGACCGGGTGCTCACTAGGTTGACACCACCCAGGTGTGGCAACTCATGGAGGTAGTAGTAGTAGTAGTAATGCTATCGTACACATTATCTTAATCTATATGTATGCTTATTTATGGATGAAACTGCGGTTAGTTGCGACACATGATTGTAATAGTATATGAAATAAATTATGATTCTATATTTATATAAGGGGAAGCATTCTCCCGGCAATGAATAGGTAATATAATTTTGTTTTGATGAATCATCATTAAGAATAGATTCATTGATCTTTTATGAAAGGAACACATTGATTAAAAGCAAAATTAAACAAGTCAAATCATCATACACGACCATCGATACAGATATATATATATGTATATATATTTCGATCTTTAAAAGACAAAAATTTGATCTTCCATCTTAGAGACAGGTTTGCCTTTAGTATAACCCATTGCAACAGCCATTCTCTTAACAGATGAAACCATTCTTGGTGGACCACATAATAATAATTGAACATTATCATCATCTGGTGATGCAATTTTTTCATTTAATAAATCAGACGTAACATAACCAATACCACCTTCCCAATCATCACGATCAGCTTTATCAATTAAATAATAAACCTTAATTTGTTCAGGTTTACGTTCACATAATGAATCTAATTCATCCTTTAATAAAATTTCAGATTCTGAACTATTACCATAAATTAACGAAACTTCAGTGGTGTCATTTGGATCATCTACAATAGCCTTCATAATTTGATACATTGGTGTAATACCTGTACCACCTGCAACCATTCCAAGTTTTTTACGACAATTTGGTGTATAATCATAAGCACCAGCTGGCCCACAAACTTCAATATTATCACCAATTTGTAAATCACCAATCATTTTAGAGATATTACCTGTTGGATAAGCTTTAATTAAGAGATCAAAATATCCGATTGCGTCATAATCTAATGAAATTGGAGTATATGATCTTAAGAATTTTTTTTCATCAATGTTAGCTCTAATTGAAATATGTTGTCCAATAGGTAATCCAAGAACGTAAGAATCAGAGGGTAAACTAAATCTATAAATGGCAGTTTCTTTAGTGATTTCTGTCTTGGATAATAATGGATATTTATGAAATTCACCTTTCACTAATGCTTTCTTATAAGTCTTTTCATTTTCATCAACTTCATCTTCAATCATTGATACATCTGTCTTATATTTATGAGTTAATTTATAAAATATAACAATTCCAATTGCTACAATTAAGAAAAAAAGATCAAATTTTTTAGCATTTTCTAAATATTTTGATAATCTTTCCTCATGGAAGATATCACTATCTTGAGTGGTTGTATCAACAAACATTTTAATATTATCTTGGTCCATAATGATCTATAATATTAAAGTGAACAGGAATATATAAATAAATAAGTCTTTTTCGGGAGGAATATATGATAACAAAGATAAAAATAATAAAAATATGATCTTGCTTTATAGGAAAAATAGAATACCTATAATTGATGTGGATGTATATGTAGGATGGAGATTAAAAAGAATATGTAAAACAGTTGATGGTTTGCTGAAAAGGAAAACAAATCCCAATGAATGCCCTAATAAAGGTTTCTCAAGTTAAAATTTGAAAAAAATATTACAACCTTTATGCAAGCATTTCTTCTTTTCGATGATCAAGTATCGACACCTCTTTTTATATTTTTTTTATATTTTTTTCTTTTTCATTCGTACATTTTTCGCCAACCTTTAACAATCAAGAGAACAAAGAAAAAATTATTTACCATTTGGGAAGTGAGAGAGATCGTATAACCTTTGTCAAGGGCGAAGAAACGTTTGAAGTAAGAGTTTTCTTCATTATCTTTTATTGATTTGTGCATTATGCAGGAATATGATTAATAAATAGGGGATTATATAGACTTTTTAAATACTAAAGAATTTAATTAGTATAAATGCGTTGGAGTCTTATGTGACATTATGGCAAGGGAGAATTTAATATCTTTTCAGTAGGTCCCGTTAATGTTATATACACATCTGTACCTCTTCCTGCAAGACTTTGAATGTCTATCTTCCCACCAAATAAATCCAAGTATGTTTTACATAATGGTAAACCAAATCCCATTCCTGCAATATTATGTACTGTTTGACCAGGTAACATTTGATCTTCAGCTACTGAACAATGTATATCGTCAATATCTTTATTTTCAGTCGAGCATTCGGTCATAGTCGAATCAGTTGTTGATGTATATGAATAATCAAAGATTTTACGTTCAATGGCTTCTGGGATACCTCCACCATAATCTCTTACACGTATCAAGACTTTACTTGGACCAGCTTCAAATATACTTACTTCAATATCTCTAGGATCAGTCCCATTTTTTGCAGAACTTTCAATAGTAGCACGCATTGAATTTTTTAAAATTTCTGTCATTAAATATTCAAGTATTATTGGAATACAAGAAAATTTAATATCTTGACCATGTGTAAAATTTAAATTAATTGGTTGATGATCATATTTTAATAGACATAAATCATTAACAAATTCATATATTCTCTTAATGAAAGGTGCTAAAGGAACATTTTGTTGAACGATTCCAATTTTGTTTTGTAAATTATTAATTCTAGCTTGAGGTCTTCTTTCTTGTTGTGACATTAATTCAACATAATGAGTAGCTAACAATTTCATTGTAATACGATTCTTTAAATGTTCATTTAGGAAAAGAAATACAGATTTTTTAGGAAAAGCTTCCATAATTTCCGTCATACCATCTGACAACGTTTGTAAAGTATCCTGATGATCATCAAGAAATTGACGTAATAATATTCTCATTTTTTGTCTATCATATAAATCGTAAGGAAATTTATTATCTAATAATGCAGTTAAAGTCTTTAAATATAATGCGTAAGTTTGTTCGATCTTTGGGTTTAATATTGCAATATATGGTAACTGCTGTAAAGCTGTAAGTTGTCTACATGTATAAGTGAGTAAATAATTCATAATTTGAATATTTAAAGTGTATAATTCACTTGCGGGTAAAGGTCTTTGTCTATGTTGAGTTAAAAATGCAAATGTTAAAGGTGGAACACGTCTTCTCGAATAATCTTGTATCAATGATTCTATATTTGATCTAATATTATAATGATCTTCAAATGTTAAATTTGCAATAACAGATCGTGATTCTTCATTTGGCCCTTTTAATGTTGAAAATATGTGAAATCTTCGATTTTGTAATCGAAGATTTCTTGGACGTAAAAATTTATTTACAACATGTAACATATTCCTTCAATGTCTGTAATAATATGTTACTTTACTTATTTCAGTTGATAATCTTTCATAATACAGCAAGTCTCATCTCATCTCTTTATATTTATATATTTACGTTTATATTGATATCCATCACCAGATACAAATCTGATCATTTTTCAGTCTGCGATTTAATCACGCGAATCCGGCAGAACGGGAAAATTACTGATGACTCTTTTACAATATTGCAAACCGCTGACATTCAATATATGTGTATATATATATGAAACTGTGACTATTCGATCAACAGTTACTAATATATGGTTAAATTAATAATCTACAGGCAATATTTTTGCTAAGACCACTTCACTAAACTAGTGTTTTCAGCTAGAGAGTACAGACATTGTGATATTGAAGATAGAATAATAATATATTATGCTATTGGAAATACAGTAATAGCTCATTGTTGTACACTGTTATTTTAATGCAGACCCATTTTTATCCGTATTATTCACTAGCAAACATGATCCTTTTATATCCAGGTCCCCCAATCACACATTTTTTTTATTGCAATTCGAAGTAGTTTATAATATGCAACAGCGTTCCAATAAGAAAGCGACACAATAAACCAAGTACGTTGAGCTCCCCCTCCCCTCCCCAAGTAAAAGTAATTGCACGATATACTTATAATACCATTACCAATATCCTATCTTACATACACCTAAAAACGATCATAAAAGATTACCCGGGCACATCACTCTGCACGACACTGCGCGACACAGCATTAAAATTGAACAACGCACACAGCCACAGAAAATGCGCGCGAGAAACGTTTTAAAATAAATTATTTCTGTTTCTCAATGCTTTGGGAGACAACAAGAAAAAGAGGAAGCGAATGAAAACGTAAGGGTTAGCTGTCCCTGGGAAGGCTGCGTTTGCTTAGATATTAATCTATCGATCTATATATATATATCCCTACTATCATATTTCAATTATTTTGATTACATGTTTAATCAATTTAATTGTCGGTTATTGGTATTACTTAACAAAGAATAATCACTTAGTATCTATATCTATATATTTAAGTTTAAAGAAACAAAAAGTACAAATGTCATTCAATTCATTTAGTTCCAATTTTAGTAAAAAATTTCAAGAACTGTCAACTTCAGTATCTCAAAAAGCAGGTGAATTTTCAACAAATTTACCATCATTAGCTCAAAATACACAAAGATTAGTTCAAGAAAAATTAGGTCAAGTAACAGATATTTCTCAATTACCACAAGAATATATCGAATTAGAGAAAAAAGTTGATACTTTAAAATTAACTTATCAACATTTTTTACAAGTTTCATCAACTTTTGAAAATGAATCTTATGATTATCCAAAGTATGTTAATGAATCATTAAATGAATTTTCCAAAAATGTTGCAACAAAAGTTTCAGAATTATCTCATGCAACAAATGCATCAGAAGCTCAAAATATTTTAATTTCACCAAATGCAACAACTGAACCAAAAACTTTAAATTATGCTTTAAGTAAAGTATCATTACAATCAAGTGAACTTTTTAATCAATTACCTTCTGCAATCTCAACTCCGCAAGATCATAAAACTGCAGCTACTTTATTAAGTTTTAGTGATGTTCAAGCAAAAATTGCTCAAGAAAGATTAAGACAAGATACTATAATCCAAACTAAATTTAATAAGCAATTACGCGAAGAATTAGCTGGTGCAATTGACGGTGCTAACAGAGCAAGAAAAGATGTTCAAAATAAAAGACTAAAATATGATGTTGCTAGATCAAATTTATTAAATGCAAGACCTGAAAAAGAAGCTTCTTTAAGAGTTCAAATGGAAGCATTAGAAGATGAATTTGCTCAATCAACTGAAACTGCTACTTTAGTTATGCAAAAAGTTTTAGCTAATTCTGGTCTTTTAGCAGATTTGAAACAAATGGCTATTGCTGAAAAGACATATTTTGAAAATTCAGCATCTTTGATGAAAGAATTCATTGAATCAAATGATTTCGATGTTAATGATTCAAAGGTAAACAATGGATCTACAGCAACTACTACCACTGCTGATCAAGATATTGCTGATGACCTTGACAACGATGAAGACGATACTCAAGGTGGTATCAAGATGAGTGTTGATGATCAAGAATAAATATTCTCATCATAATCTTTATCATTGTACGTTATTATTAGTATTATTCTAAATATATATATATATATATCTAAAAAAAAGAAAATATACATTAAAGAAAAAAACGTCAATATATATTTATACTCAATTCAAATTATTAATATTATACTTATATACTCGTATAGATCTTGGCCTTGTTAATAGTGCTGGGTGATCTGCCTTCGCAAGCTCTGGAATAGATTCACCTTTTATATAATTTTAAAAATAAGATAAGTATTAAACTGCTACAAAAATTTCTAAAATACCTCTTCCTCTTCTGCAATAAAAATGGACTTTTATTATATATATACAGATATTAGCATCGTTCATCTTCAGTAGTTAATACTGTTTTTATCATTAGAGAGTAATTAAGACAGGATGGCAGAAACCTAGAGTCGTTTCCCATCAATGTTTGTCAGTGCGTAAACAGAGCACAAAAACGTCCTCAATCATATATATGCGGTTTTTCTCTGTCTGAGTAAAAGTATTGTAGAACAATCATTTCATAGAGTGCTACCTGAAATGTACAGCATGAATAATTTACCGATGAAAAGTACGGACAATATAACTTGAAATTCAAAGCTACGGTATTTCTCAAGAGCTATAAAACCCTCTACGCTAGTTTTCACAATCTCTACAAAGAAGTTACAGCAATGCAGGGTATTAATTCCTGCTAATCATTAGTTGATGCACAGAAGATAACCACGACAATCATTATACACTAATTTTTATGCTCGATGAAAGTTTTGTCATTTATTGACTGAACTATCCAGATCAACTAACACCATATGGTGACAACCATGATATTTAGACCTTAAATATTAAGAATTCGAAGAAAACACTTGCACCGTCATTCCTCTAATTCAAAAATATCCATATTAAACGAAGCTAATGCTATATATATTAATATTAGAGAACCAGTTAGGATTTATTCTATCTTGATTTGTACAATGTATTGAAACTAGTAAGTTTGACGTATGATGACCTCCACGAAATTTCGGATAACAAATTCAGGAACATTGCCATCGAGACAAAATAGTTTTAGGACAGAGTACTGACAACCCTCATATTCACTTACAAGGGGTTGTCCTTTCCCCGTTATATCTATGATATTAGAAGCTCCCTCAGTTGTAGAATGAGAAAATTTCCTTTTATCAAGATCATTATAAAGGAACTTATATGCTAAATATCGGCCTTGCATAACAGTTACAACATTATAATCCATACACAATTATTTGAGCTTAGTCATATTGCTCTGATCTTGAAGGGTAGATACAGTGATTAATGCATCATACTCCTGCTGCCCATCACTCATTTCTGTCTCTTTCGATATACCATCATACTCTGTACCTTCTAGTTGAGCATATTCATTTTCTTGCTTTTCTGATTTAACACATTCTTTTTCTTTGTTTTCTAATTCAATAACCTTTTCCAATGTGGTTTTGACAAGAGTTTTAGCACCAACAAGCGGCTGCGAAATGTGTTTACTAAATATTGGATTCTCTTTCATTTTAATTAATAAGCGATTATGCCAAGTTCGTCTATACTCTGCTATAAATTCTTTTAAACCCGTAGGTTCGAAAATACGATTCGAAGCAGTATGATGAAGACAATGATCAAACTAATCCCTAATATCCATAATTACTGGGGACACTTATTCTCAATAAAGAACCACCGTCAAAATAGGTAACGATTAGTTTTGCTTCTCGAACTGATACCTTGCTAACAATGGTAAAATGTTATTTGACAACGAGAAGGATCAATTCTATTCCTTCTCAATTGGCCGAAGTCAATTCCAGATACAAATGAAATGATATAATAATTCATCGAAAAGTTTATTAATTTCTTGAAGTTTAGGAGTAACACCTATGCTAAATGGTGACAATAAAATTTCTGACTAGATTGCTTTCGTCGTATTTTTCATTTTATTTAGTGCAACAGATCTATTTTAGAATGGATCACACCATCTTCAGCCAACATTTCTTAGCTTCTCTTTCTTACAGTGAATGTTGTGCTATTACTTTAACCTAATGAGTTGTTATGTTCAGTATATTCAAGGGCTCATTACTCTTTGATTAGTTTATTTACTCCCTTAAAAGTTATTTTTATTATGTTATAGAATAATTGTAGTATTCTGAAAATTGTAAATACTTCTTTTAAAAATTGTTTTAGGCTGGAAAGAAATCATGTAAAAAACAAAGGCAGTTAAAAATATAAAACTATAAAAATATAAAAATATAAAAACATAAATTGATCATAAAAGGCCTTTAAGTTTCCCATTTTTAAGTCCTTTCACTCAAAATAACATATACCTATATTAATAGGTGTTTCTCTAATCAGTACAAAGCGGCTAAAACCATGGACAAATAATGTTATATTTTCCAGAAAACGTAACGAATGTTGAGTACATAGTATTATGAAATTAAAAAAAGTCTTGAACAAGTAATTGAATATTTTCTACTACTAGACCAGAAATAGAATTCGATATAACACCAGAGATGAAAAAAGGTCGTACCCGGATTCGAACCGGGGTTGGTCGGATCAAAACCGACAGTGATAACCACTACACTATACAACCTCGATTGTACAAAAAATTCCACCCAAATAGAAATATTTGAGTGTAACGTAAAAGTAAATTTTAGTTTATATATCATATTTATTTCCCTTTAATTTTACCTATTTAACGTTGCACCTTACTCTATAGTCACAGTGAAATTAAGTACGAATAATAAAATATGTGACTAACGGTATCTATAAGGTTAGTTGGTGAAAAATAGGTTGTGTACCTAATATTTAGTCATTTATATACCAGGTCGAAACACTCTCACTTAAGGTGGGCCACCGTTGAGTAAAAATAATAAGATCATACCGAAAATCATAAATATGCCCGTTAGGGAACAAATAATATGCAATATACTTTACCTTAGTTGAAGTAAAGTAGAAGGATGTGGGTTTGATGAACTAATCTTTGAGAGTGCGAACCAACCAACAATTGAAAACCTATTTTGTTTATCTACTAAATACAATATTACAAAAATGTCTACCACTCAAAAGAAGTGAAACATATAGGAATTTGTATTTAAACTATTAAATTATATATAACCTTTAATCTTCTAGCTTATAAAGTTGAAACATAAGCCTATCGTGTTATATGTACTAATTCCCCACTAAGTGAGTTCCTATACTAAACAATACCATTTAACAATACCAGTCAAAATGTAACAACGCCAATCAATATATCTATGTGTATGTTCTGCGATTACGGTGGGGTTGAGATAGTGAGAACGAAGAATCCAAGTGATAGTAATTATTTTGCATGTTAGGTAGAGAACCTTTTTTGCCTGGAGTATTCTTAAATACTACCACAAAAATGAAAATCCAAGTTAAATATTTCATTACAAATATATAATTTAGACACAGCACAGAGTACAGACTTTGATAACGTGCTGATATGAAATAAGCCAAATATCGTTATCCTGTGCAACAAGATATAGCGGGAATGTCACTACATATTTTAATTACGGCGCATTAGTTGAACGTAACTTATTATGAATAATTATAATCGATTCAAAATAGTACAACTTAGTTGTTTGTTCTTCTTTTATTACTTAAAATTTTAATGTTTTCCATGAAATGTGCACAATTTATATTTGTTGAGAATTTGCTCATCCGGGAGCTTCCATTTCGAAACCTCAAAAAACAAACAAACAACAACAAAACACCAATTATATGGTATGTCTGTAAACTTTGATATAAAAGATACACAGAACAGATAGATAGAAAGGTAGAAATACAATTCAGAGCCCCAATTAACAGTACAAGGACAGGTAAACCGCCATACAACATGCAATTTGAACAACAAGGAGCTCCTTTGGAGCAAACTTATGAAAGATACGTCATATTGACACTGAGGTACATTATACAAGGTTTACAGTTCATTATTCCATTGGTCACTAAGTTTAGTAAAGAGAACCCTACGGTATTTTTAATAATTACCACTTTAATTCTTTTTTATATTGCCTGGAAAGTAATAAAGAATATATTTAACATTTTGAGAAGATTATTTTTATTATATTTACTGGTTCTCGTAGTGTCAATACATCTACGTGGTTGGGAACAATTCATAGGCAAAGACGTACCATATTTTTATAACACAATAGCAGAATCAGATAATGCCTATAAAGTTGGTTTAGGGGTAAAATTTATTGTGTTTCAATTCAAATTTTATTTAGAATACTTGTATCATTATGTTCAGAACATGTAGACCAAAAGAACCATCTATCAAACTATTTTAAGTATTATATACAATCATATAAGCAATTGTTTATTTATTAATTCTTCCAGAACTTCTTTTTATTAAACTTTTATCATCAATATAGTAGTTAGAATGGTTTCAATTGAATAAAACTTAACTGCGATTTTTGCGTGGTGCCGACACGTTTTCTCCGTAACACGATATAAAATAAATGGGTGTCTCTCTTCAGAAGGAATTGAAAGAGATAAGAATACTTAAGTTCAAATCGAATAGGTTAGATCAATAAGAATATAACATTATTTGCCTCATTTAAAGAATTTGCTTTTTCTTTTCTTTTAATACGCTTAGTTTGGTTTATAACGATACACTGAGCCATGTTGAAGTTCTATTTAAAGCGGTTTGCGATATTTGCGACCATCCTAACGATTCTGATCAACATTTATACGTTTACATATCCTTCTCTAGATCCTGAAAATTGTTCATGGCATTGTTTTGACAATTCAGTGATAAATGCTGCTCCAATTGGTGGTAGTTTGTTTGAAAAAATGAATTATTATATTAAACGTTATTCTAATGATGTTATCAAGACTCATTGGAATTCAGAGACAGACTTAGTGAATGATAAACAAAGGGTAAATGACATTCATATGATGGCATTAGGTGATCCACAAATTAAAGGTGTATGGCACAATACACCATATATTTCTAGGCTAGACACATTCGGTAATGATTATTATTTGGGTCATATTTTCAGAACAATGAAAAAGAGATTATCTCCATCTCATGTTGTTGTAATGGGTGACTTATTCTCCTCCCAATGGATTCCTGATTCTGAATTTTATAATAGAACAAGAAGATATGTCGATAGATTGTTCAAAAGAGATACTTCATTAATTGAAGAAATTAAAGGAGAAAATCATGAGGAAAACGAGAATTTGTTTATTGTTGATTGGCATAAATGGGCTGATAACTTCAACGAAAATTTAAATGGTAATCGTAACAATTTCAATTTCGGTTATAAAGATGTTAAATCTTGGTCTGATGAAGAAGATTATCTATTTGTAAACTTGACAGGGAATCACGATGTTGGATATTCCGGTGATGCTACTTATCAACACTTAACGAGATTTAATACCCTTTTCGGTAAGGATAATTTTTGGATTGAATATGATACAGAAACAGATCATCCATGGAGATTAGTTGTCCTGAATGATTTGTTATTGGAAGGACCAGCTCTTCAACCTGAATTTATTGATTATGATTGGGAATTCCTGAAACAACTTGTAAATCAAAATTTTTCAGGTAGTACTATATTAGCCACACATGTTCCTTTTTACAAGGAAGAAGGTTTGTGTGTTGATCCTTTAGAGGTCAACTACTATCCAGAAGGTTGGGAAAAAGAACCATATAAAGCAAATCTATTGAGATCTCAAAATCATATTAGTGAAAGTGTCACAAACAAGGTTTTCGATATGATCTTTGGAAATGGAAAACCAGGTATGGTTTTAGTAGGTCATGATCATGAAGGTTGTGAAGTTATCTACAACAAATTTGAATCAAACAATTCATGGGTGGCTACCAAAGAACCTCTTGCAGATGCTAAATACCATTTACAAGAAATAACTGTTAGATCAATGATGGGTGAATTTAATGGTAATACGGGTCTTGTATCTGGCCATTTCAATGAAGACTCCAAATTATGGGAGTGGAAATTTACATTATGTCCATTTTCTATTCAACATGTATGGTGGGCATCTAAAGTAACTGCCATTATTACTTTATTAGCATGGTCAACGTTGGCTGTTCTTTGAATAACTGTCAAAGATTTCGATGTATAATTTTATTGTCCTATATATGTATATAAAAAATGCAAATTAGAAAAAATTGAAAAACATTGTATGATTAAATAATGATATGCTTATTAACAGCTATTATGTTTTAACGATATTATGAAAATGAATAAATATTTAAGATACAGAAAAACAAAGAAATAAATAGTCATGATAGAGATTCGTTTAGGCTTTCCCTAATTTTAATTGTTGTAGTAATTGATGACCATGAGAGACACCTGCATCATTACCATGATTAACACCTACAGAAGTGGTAGCCGATACGTTTTGTCCTTTTTTCAAATCTTCTATTTCTTCAGATGCAAGAGTACTATATTCCAATTTGAAATTAACTTTTTCAATAACAGTCCAAGTATCTAATTTAAAAATTTTAAAGTCACCAATTTCAAAACTTTCATTAGAAAATTTAGTTTCACCTTCTCTAGAAAACCACATTGTTTCACCAATTGCAACTTTCCAACCACGTTCTCGTAGTACAACCATTGCTATCTTTTTCTCAAGAGGAGTTATAGCAAAATAATAATTATAAAATAATGTAAACATCTCCAGACCTTTAAATCTTTCAGTTATGTTATCAAACGATATATCTTCCTGAGTGGTATCAATACCACATCTGATAACATCCCATTGATTAGTAGATCTAAATGCATCTAATGGATTCGGAGGGTTAACACCCGATGGGATTTTGTATAAACGATCCATACAACAAAGGTCAACACTTCTTCTATAACCTCCTAATTTACCATCATTCGGAGATAAACTATTATTATAAATTTCATAACCCATAATAAATTCTTTAATACCATCTGGTAAACCAAGTGTATCAAAAGCGTTTTCATAACTATCTTCCAATGCATGAAGGGTCTTATCTTTAATAAATTTCTGGTCATCTGTTAAAGATAAAACATTCTTTGATAGATCAATATCATAGTTTTCTAAATCCCCATAAGCCATAGAAGGAGTAACTGGAAGATTTAATTCTTCTTGTTCTTTAATAATATCTTGGTTCGATAATTCCTGTAAAGAATTTTGTTCATTTGATACAATTTTTTGTTCAATAGTTTGATTCTTATTATCTGAAATAGTTGAAAATTCTTCTGTAGGTAATTGATTTATTGTGTCATTCCCGGATAAATTATTTAAGTTAGTTGAACTTGGATGAGTTAAATTTCTATGAAATTGTTGATTATTTTGATTAACTGCAGCTGCTCCTGCAGCAAGAACAGCAGCGGCTGTAGCCGATGCCATTGATTGTGATTGATTTAAAGTTTCAAAAGTATTTGTCTTTGTCTTATCTGATAAACTAGATAATGATGGTTGATTTAATATAGGTGTATTTGTATTACTGAAAAGTTTACTTTCATTATTATTAATGGTAGCAGGTGTTATAATGGTTCCATCAGGTAATGATTTCTTTTCAGTATCCATATTCAATGCAGCAGCATCTGACCATTTTAGATCACCTGCTGGTCTTGCCGGAATAGTTACAGGTTTAAATGTAATAGTATTTGGTGTAATTTTATTAGGTGTCGGCGTTTGTGGAGTTTCAATATTTTTTGAACTTGTATTTGATATTATTGGAGCTGTTGATAATGGACTACTTTGTTGGCTTGATTCAATTGATAATTCTCTCTTTGGTGATGCACCTCGTGGTGTTGGATCTGCTTTAATTGATATCGTTGGACCTTCTGACAAACTTTGTGCTGCGGCATTTTTTGCAGCTAATTTTGCAGCTTTTTTAGCTTCTCTTTCGAGTCGTCTTAATTCTTTTTTAGATAATTTTGATGAATCAATATCTTGTGATATCGAGGTTGATATACTTGTATCAATTTCATTTTCATTACTAGTTGTATTATTATTATTATTGTTATTATTAATTTCTTCATTTCGTAATGCAAATGATTGAGATACTTCGTGAGCAATTGCTTCATTTGATTGTAAATTTAAATTGTCATAAATCGATTCATCTTCAATAAAACCATCATCTTGATTTGATTCAACAAAATAATTAATATCATCTTTAATTTCTTTAACATTTTCAGGATCTAATTCCTCGTTAGCTAATAATCTTAAAGCTAATTCCATTTGTTGTTGATGCCATCTATACCTTATTTGTAATAATTTTAAATCATTAATTTTTTCGTCATTTAAATTTGAGAAAGTCTTCTTTTTCTTATTCAATGAAAATAATTTATCAATTTCTAATTGTAATAAATCAAATTGTCTCTCCAATTCATCAATCTGTTGTGAAAGATAATTTGAAATTTCAAGTCTTTCTTGTTCTTGTGGTTCTAAAATTTCAGATTTTTTTAAACTAATATTTGAATACGCTTTTTCCTTTGATGCTTTTTCAACAATTTTATATTTTTCCATTGCAATTTCAACAGATTTTCTATAATTTAATAAAGAATCTTTATCTTTAATTTCGGGAGAACTTTGCCATGATTTAATTTGTTCTCTTAATCTTTGTAATTTCTTAACTTCTCTCTTTAAATCAGATTCTAATTTATCCTTTTGTGAGGGATTATTATTACAAGCTTCATGTCTTTCATAATATGTATCAAAGATTTCTAAACCTTCATTAATTTTTTTAAATACTTTATCGACTTCTTGTTGTAATTTTCTATGTGCCATCTTTTAAAATGAAGACAATAAATTGGATAACTTGATACTAGTAGTAAATTAAATTTTCGGGCTTTCACCTAACTGCATAGGATAAATAATTGGATATAATATAATATAATATAATATAATATAATATAATATAATATATATATATATGTATATGTATATTGATGATTGATGAGATTTTTTTCTTATCTATCTAACAGAAATTCACTATACTAAAAGGGTTTCTTCTTCTGTCTAACTTATCTGTTCTTGTTAAAACAATATAGTTTCTAGAAACACTATTACGTTAATCAAAATTTTTCACAAAGAAATTTGTTAGTTATCCCCAGCGAAGCAAAGAGCAAAAAAACAACTGCAAAACCCAACTATATGTACCATGCCACCACCAGCGATAGATGGACAGCTCTTGTAGTGTATATGGAATTCGATACCGCTGCGCTACGTGAAAGAATGAATTAACGAGCCAAATTTCCAGTTAGAGCAACACTTCGCAACGGGCTCTCGCTCGCTCGCTCGCTCGCTGCACGCAAAAGGGAGACAGAGAGACAGAGAGACTGTTTAAGCCGATAATTCTATTTTGAGGCGAGCGGTGCAGTCTGCGCGGGTGTTTCTCTCGCTCTATCTGTATTGTATTGTATTGTATCTGTTTTGTGAAAAAATTTTTGAGCGGAAAACGGCACTTCGAAAAAAAAGGGGAAGCGCGTGTCACTGTGTACGGCGCAGGGTCAAGAGATGCCGATGCGGTTCGGTTCGGGCCGGTGTGCGTGAGTGTGAGTGTGAGTGTGTGCGGGACATTTGGTTCGTGACGGAGAGTTGTCTACATAGAGAGGGTGTGTGCAATTCTGCAAGCGAGAGAGGGAGAGAGGAAGTGAGGGAGGGACAGAGAGGTTTAACACAGTGGGAGGACGAGTGGTTGCTATATTAAGAGGTATACCGGTTGTTGAGAGAGCAGTGGCAGGCATCGAAACCTAAGTGCTCGTATCCATCTCTCTCTCTCTCTGTTTTTTTTTATGACGCGCGCGTGAAAGGTTAAAACTTAGACAGAAAAAATGAAATTTCTTTTATGGTGAAAGTTTCAATTAAAAAGTTTAATGCAGCATCTCTAATAATGTATACACACAATTTTATTTATTTTATTTTATTTGTTATCAAGTATAAACAAATGATTATCTCTTTTGAATAATGGCATTTGAAGTATTGTAAATCGATATTATCACATCCATATATACGTATTTTTCAAAACATTCATATTCCTACACTTTCAATACTACCACTACCACCTTTTTTTCTTTTATCCTAAAGAGCAACAAAAGAAACACACACACACACACACTTTTAATTTATTTTATTTTATTCTTTAAATTTCATATATATTTACATATACTTTTTGTTAGATCTCATTTCCATATGTTATCAGTTGAACAAAGGTATAATATTTGCCTTATGGCAGAAACTCACCCAAAATGGACTCAACAAGAATTAGCAAGATGGGCTTACGAAACTTTTCAATTACCGAAAATTCCATCACAAGGTACAATATCAAGAATATTAACTAAAAAATCAACATATATGAATACAAAAGAACACGAAAAGGATGTAAACAGAATTAGAAAACCAAATAATTTATTAGTTCGTAGGATTTTACAAGAATGGATTAATCAAAGTTTGTGGAATGGTATACCAATTACTTCACCAATTATACAAGAAACTGCTCATGCAGTTTGGCAAAGAATTCCATCAAAATATAGAGAAGGTAATGGATCTTTTACTTATAAATGGATTTCAAATTTTTTAGCTAAAATGGACGTTAATGTTTCAATCTTAGATGAAGAAATGCCAAAAATTCCAAAAATTTGGACTTTTGAAGAAAGAAGTTATTTAAAAGAATATTTCTCGAAATTACCTGCAACTGATGTTTTCACTTTAGATGAAACGTTTTTAGCTTATAATTTACCATTAGATTATGCACAATATGAAATTAGTAGTATTCAAAGAAAAGTTGAAGTTGCAACTGTAATGTTATGCGCAAATTTAGATGGTACAGAAAAATTAAAACCTTTAGTTGTTGGTAAATATGAAAATTATAAAAGTTTTAGAAATTATTTCCCAAATGAACCTTTAAGCTCATTAAATCAATCAAGTTTAGGTGATAAAATGGCAAAAAAATTTGACATTTCTTATCAAAGTAATACAAAATCTTGGTTAACGAGTAATTTATTTCATGATTGGTTAGTCAGATGGGATAAACGTTTAGTTGCATATAATAGAAAAATTTGGATAGTATTAGATGATTCATGTTCACATAGAATTATTAATTTACATTTACACAATATTACATTAATTTATACTTCGGCAACTTCAAAATTTTTACCATTAAATTGGGGGGTATTAGATGAATTTAAGACAAGATATAGAATACAACAATATAATGCTTTGATCGAGTTACAAAATAAATATGAAGAAAAGACTAAACATCCTTATTTTATTAGTTTTGAACAAAGTGAATTGACAATGTCAAATGCTTTTAAATTTATTAAAAATGCTTGGGATGAAATTCCATTAGACACAATTAAAGCAAATTGGAAAAGTTCAGGTATTATACCATCAAATCTAATTCATTTAAATGAAAATATTAGTATGGCTTTTAAAAAAAATGAAGCTTTAGAAGCGGAATTAGATAATTTATGTCATAAATATCGTTGTGTTAAACAATGGGAATATGACATGTTATTAGATTTAAATATGGAAAATAAAAGTGCTAATTTCTTAAGTATGGAAGAATTAGTTGAAAGTTCAATAATTGAAAATATGGAACCAGGTGATGATACTATTACAAAAATGACAGGTAATGAACAAATAAAAGAAAATGATAGTGATGATGATGGATTATTGGATCTTCCTGGAGAAGAAAATTTAAATGAATTATCAACAATTAATAATAAACCACAAAGATCAAATAGTATGGCAGATTTTAATTTTGCAAGATTTGCGGATAATATTACTAAATCTAATGGATTTTTACCAAACAATACACAAAATGATGATACAACAAATATATTAACAAATCCAGCCCTTGTTGATACATCAATGGATCAAAATTTGCAAAAATTCCTTAATGAACCATATTTACAAGATATTCAAAACAATTATTTCAATGTGAGTAATTTGATTGATAGACCTAATTTATTTCTTCCAGAAACTGAATCGACTATACCTGATATTGGGATAGATTTACCACAAAATGATTATTTGACAAATGTTTTTGGTAACACCATGAGTCCAACAACAACATCACCGAATACAAATTCTACTTTACCAATTAATACGAATGTTATTAATACTGCAAATACTAATTTTGACAGGTCTCCAATGACAAATATAGGAAGCGTAGGAAATATTAATACCTCGACTTCAGGTATGAATAATTCACCATTGAATATGTCAGTAAATTCTGTTCAAAGTTTCGATGTACCTGATTTAAATCGCATATTGCATGAAAATCAAGATAACACAACAAATGATCCAATCCTGGATACTCATTCAACTGTTACTTCTAATGGTTTAAGTCCTACACCATCGAGAAATATCGTAATAAATTCAAGGCAAACTAATATCGAGGTTGCTAAGGCATTGTATACAGTTATACTACATTCCGACGGTACTGATCTAAATATTTCAAAAAGTGGTCAAAGTGAACTACGTGCAACTTACAGATCATTATTAAAACAAATTAGAAAGACAAAACCACAAAACAATAAAATCAAAAAGATGATTAATGAATCAGCACTGGATAATATTTTGAATCAATCCAATCAAAACATAAATTTGGAAAATTCTTCAAATTTTCTTTAATTATGGATTGAAATTTATCTATAATAAAAAACGCACACACACATACACATTATTACATTGTTTCAGGGGCATGCGGACATGTAGAAACAATATGCATATAAGATACTTACATATATACATACATATATATAATAAAAATTCTTTCAAAAAATATTTCAAGTAAATTGGTCAACATTTGACCCAGGTTATATTTATACAAATGAAGATTTTGAATTAGGATCATGTAATTTCCCTTGGGTTCGCAGTTTGAGGAGGTCAATCGCATATTTGGAGGTTTCACCGTCAACTATCTTCAACACATTTTCATTAACCTGATAACTTCTTTTAACTTCTAATAATGTGTTAATAATTGGCGTTGCAATCTCTCCAATAGGTTGTTCATCGTCTATACCTGCTACTACATTAATGTATTTGTCCCCAATGAAGCTGTAGGAATTCAAAAGCTTTTCAACAAAATTAGATTTGTTCATTGTATATTCTATTAAGAAATCCCACAGTTCAGTATCTCCCCAACTTATGATATATTCTATTGCCAATGAAGGGTCATTTAATTTATTAACAATAATAGATAAAGCTTTCTTGGTTTCACCGATTCTTCCCCAAAGATAAATTAGTTCAGAATATAACCCGTCTTGAGTCGAGCATAACTCAATAGCCTTTTCAATATCATAATGCGTCTTGTTTTTCAAAAAGTTTAAAAGAGGTTTCTTATCAAATCTAGAAAAAAGGTCTATCATTTCATTTTCATAGATTTTCAATAAATCAGGTTCGGTGCTGTCAATTCTTAGTAATATGCATAGTAATAATTTATCAACATTCTCATGCTCTTTAGAATAATCCTTGAACTGTTCTATTACAGTTTTCAAGGATATAACTTTCCTATTTTGGACTATCAATAAGATCGGTTCCCAGAATGTCTGTTCTAACTCAGGGATTGATAAATCATTAATAATGGCATTTCTTAGTTTCGAGTTGTTAAACGCCGGGATCAGTATTATTTCCATCAGTCTATCCGTGACCTGTGGTAAAAGCTGAGGTTCATTTTGCAGAATACGCAACGTTTTAGGATCTTTAATATTTATCATAAATGGGATAGCTTGGGAGTACTTCTGGGTTTTCAAGTAAAGGTATATCAATTGGTTCACATAAAATATTTTAAAATCTTCGTTTTTGGATTGCAACATTTTTAGTCTTCCTTCTATACCTTTAGAATCAAATATTTTTACAGGCCAATGCTGTATGAATTTGCTAAACATAGAAGTTTCATGTTTATCAAGTGTATAATTTAGAATAAAATCATACACAGCATTTGAACAATCCAACGTAAGAGGAATAAAATCGGCAATTTGCGATAGTTTATCTTCATCCATATATATATTAATCACCTTAAACCATTCTTTATTAAATATTTCATTAAGATCATTTGAATTCGCATTTTCTCTTTCTACTTCTAAACCGTTGAAAATTTTAATCATTGTAGGACCAACTTCATCCCATTCTTGTTCTTTTAACAAATGTTCAACATACTTAATACCGACTTTTGCTCGTTCAACATCATCAACCACATATTGAGCGATATTCCACGCCCTATAAAAATGTTCCTTACTGATGAACCAATTATAATGATCCATTAATGTTAATTGTTGGATTTTAATAGCGTCAGATGTACAAATGAGATAGTATTCCGATGGGCTATCACCATTTTCATGAATATGTTTCCCAAGATGGTAGTCACTGAGTGATAATTTTTCATAATCTTTACATACAATTTCATCATTATATATCTCACTTCCATCAATTAGGTTAAAAATTTGTAATTGAGGTGGTAAATGTTTCAATTGTAATTCATTTTTATCATCAAATTGTTTTTCATAACCTAAACAAAGTAGCTGATCATCTTTGAAGGATGCAATACCAGCTATTAACAATGGGATAGTAAAGTGATGTTCTATACTTACATCCTTATCTGGTATTCCTTTAAAACTTGATGCCGCACTTGAGATAATAGATCCAACATTGCCGTGAATAAAGCCATCTTGGCTATTTTTTGTAGCTACCGAAATTTTAAATATCCATATATTGTCCATCCAGCCAATAATAATTCTATCTCTTTCGGGAATATGAACATGAGGTTTAAATATTTCGAAAGGGTTGTTATTTTGATCCAGTTCAGGTAATTCTACACGTAATAATGATGTCCTGGTAATCTTGTCAAAAAAGTGGATCCCACTAGATGTAAACCAAAAAATTATATCTTCAGTTTTATTTATAGACAAAATTGGACCATCTCCTTTAGATATTACAATATCTGTTTTATTACCCAGCCAATTTCGTTGGGAAAGTATTAGTTCACCTGCCATTCCACCGGATACGAAAGTCTTGTTTGTTACAAAATCCGTATCTAATATAACGGAATTAATTGGTCTCTTGAAATCATATGCAATAAGACTTTCTGATTTGATGTTATTAACTAAACCTGTTACTATTGTTCCGTCAATAGAAGCTGTTGCGAAACTTACACCATCTGTATAAATAGACAGAATGGACGATCTGTGACATTTCAAAGTATCTATCATTTTGAAATGAGGTGTAGTAAAATATAACATACCTGAATGAGTACCAAATATGAATATAGAATCATGGAAATTACATGCAGAAATAGTATCCCTTTGAAACAATTTAATTGGTAATTGTTTGATTCGAGAGTAGGTCAATAATGGGGGTTCTTCATCATCATCGTCATCGTCATCGTCATCGTCATCGTCATCGTCATCGTCATCGTCATCGTCATCGTCATCGTCATCGTCATCGTCATCTGACTCAGAATCATCATCACTTCCTTCAGAATTTTCTGTATTGCTACTTGAGCCCTTACTGTCAACTTCTTTTAAATTCTCTTTCTTATCGTCATTTTCAGTTGATGCTTCATTTGAACCCGAATCGACTATATGGGATTCCAAATTGGATTCGGTTAATTGGGAACTATCTGTTCCAACAATTCCACCAGTCATATTCTGATCCAATTTGTTACCGAGTACTATATGAGATTCATTAGAGTCATATAAGTCATCTTTGGTATGTGAAATGATCTCATTTGTTGTATTTTCTTGGTTCATATCCTCATAGGCTTATTGTACTTGATACAACTTGTCATAAATTCTCTCTTGATTACTGTAAAGAAGAATTAAGATTACTTTACGAATAAAAGCAACCTGAGTTATTTTAAAACAAATAAATCAGTTGTAACTCTTGTTTTAAAGGGAGTGTGTACTTGCTAGTCAAGGCATATTTCTATCTATGACATTGTTTTCACTCGATTTTTTAGTACATGAAAAGGGAATCTTCCTTAAGCGCGACATCTAAGAAATGAAAAAGTGAAATGTTTAACAATAAAGCTATTCAGTTTTGAACTTGTAATGCAAAACAGTACAAAAATATTGATTTGAACTCTTGTGTTGGGGGTTAACAAGCTTACAGTATCACTTACATTGAATATACAGGTTCAAGAAGCCACACACACACACATACATATAAAGAAAATATAAAAACATGGCAAGAGCTAGGAGAGGAATGCTGTTACAATGTGATCCTTCGATCAAAGCATTAATTTTACAGATAGATTCTCAACATAATGATATCATATTAGAAGATCTTGACGATACACATTTATTGGTAGACCCAACGAAAGTGGAGTTCATTAAACATGAATTGAATAGATTATTATCGAAGAATATATATAATCCAATGGAGGAAGAAGAAGAGCAATAAGTGAAGATTTAAAAGAAAAGTTCGAAAGAGTTTGAAACCCGACTTATTTGTTAATAATAATAGTATTATTAAGTATAATCAGGATAGAAATATGAGTTAAGGACATTGCGAAACAATATGGTTTCAGTTTGCATTCTTTATTGAACTGACATTTCTATTCATTCCAATAAAGCCTCCAAAAAATTTCATAGCATTTAATATATATTTAAATATAAATATGTATATACTAGTCATTCATTATAATCCCATTTTTAATGTAAAAAACAAAAAAACACGAAATATAACAACAACAATTATAGTATCGTAATCAGAATATATTTACATGGTTTTTATAGTTTTTATTTATTCTTTTTTCCCTAATTTTAATTCTTCTCTAATTTTAGCCTTTTCTGTCTCTACATCAATACCAAATTCTTCTTGTAATTTTTTTTCTAATTTAATTCTTTTCTCAAGTCTTTCTTTCTTCATTCTAGCTAATTCAGCTTGAATTTCATATCTTTCCTTTGGAATCTTATTTAAAGTTTCAGGATCAGGCCAGAACCCAGGAACGTTTAATTTCTTATCTGTATCAGTACCAATATAATACATCACAGCTACAGGAGCTAAGAGACAAAACGAAAATCTGAAGATTTCCAATTGAGATCTCGTATATTTAAAGGGCAATCTAAATCTCATAATAATAATAATAATAATAATGAAAATGTAAGGACACTAGTAATGATATATGACTTCTTGTAAAAGCAACCAAAATATGAGTGTGTTTCTTGTTCAAGGTAAATAAAAATACAAACGTAATGGGTATGAATGTATATATGAAACCCACTAGTAAACAACCACCGTGATACTTGTATAAATATATGCAAAAATTTCAATTGAATCCTTAATTCCTTACTTAATTCGGTGTTTTTGTTCGTTGAAACAATTAAATTAACTCAAAATATAAATTTGCTGCACTGTGTGTGTGTGTCTCTGTTTCACAGCGCGAGCTCTTTAAAATACTGATAGTAACAATTTAGCCAGATGCGATGAACGTACATAAGCATCGATTGAATCTCCGATGAGAATAATGTTCTAATATATATTTGCCTGATGATTTTAGATATACGTGCAGTACCATCATATTGCTACCACTTCCATTAGAGCAAATTCGGTTCTTCACAAGTTTATTGAAAAAAAAAATGGACAACACTGTTAATTATTCAGAGCTATTTTCTCGATTGTTAGATAATGAAGGTAATTTAAATAATTCGATGCTAACATTCTTATATTACATGTTTCCTCGAGATCTTTTCATTCGAGCATTATCATTATTAGAATCTAACGATATGTTAATATACATTCTGGAAGAAGGTCTCGTTAATGATAATTCAACAGGTAAAGAAGCCGAACGAACAGTTACATTAGCTGATAAACCTACAAGTGAAAGAAGTACAAATACCCTCGAAGATAAACAAGATACAGATTCGATAAAGAAGGGGAATAATTCATCTGATACTGATACTCATGAACGAATCGAAGATATGGATAAATTATTAAAGGATATATACAATGATGATGATTATCAATTATTGTATCGATTAATTGTTAAATCTGATAACGAATCACCAATTTATGTTGATTTAAAAGATTGGACATGTTCATGTACTGAATATTGTGAACTTTTTTCAAAAGAAATACATTCTGCTGAGGAATCAAATACTAATAATTCAACAATTCAAGATATTATGATTAATGAAATTGATGATATTGAAGAATTTAAAGAAGATAGAGTTGGACAATTAGATGCATATAGTTTTTCAAAACAACGATATTTTAAGATTGATAAAATTATGTGTTCACATTTATTAGCTTATTCAATTTTATTACGTTCTTCTTTGAAAAATTTAAATTATTTTGTTCAAAAAAAATCTAATGTCTTATTAATACGAATAAGTAATATCGATGAATGGTTAAAATTGCATATAAATATTGTCATTTAAATTAAGAAAAAAAAAATTCGATTAAATTAAATTTATATAATTATTTATATATCTAAATATATATAAATATGAGGTACATGATTATGTTTTGTTTTCTTCTTATTTTAAAAATAAAAAGACACAAATCTATGAAATAGAAAGAAGAACTTGAATATAAGATATTAAGATATATGTAGCAAATATATCAAAACAGAAGAATTGTTCATTCCTAATAAATTCCTTTTCAACAGTAAATAAGAAACCGTATATTAAATCTTGAAGAAAAGGTAATAAAGTAGAATGCAGTAGAAATGTTTGTCAATGTTTCATAGATATAATTTCAAAAGAGAAAAAAAGATTTAGGGAACATTGTAGCGTGTGTGTGGGGGTGGTGGTCATAGGAACAACAATCTTACGAACGACTGGGAAGAATATGAGGTACTGATTAAAATGATGAATGAGAAGGTGAATGTATAAATGTTAAGATTACTCTTTACTTTTTTTTATTTTATTTTTTTAAAAAAAAGGTAGTAACTAATACTATTAATATTCTATCAATTATAATAGTAAGTAAGCACCAATCAAACCAGCGACGGATGGAATCAAAGCATTAGCACCGTTAGCATCAGCGACGGAGTGAGTGGTAGTAGAAGAAGCGGCGGCAGCAGCCTTGGTAGTAGTAGAAGAAACTGGAGTAGCAACAATGGTAGAAGTTGGTTCAGCTTGCTTGTCGGTAGTCTTAACGATAGTACATGGACAATCGGTAATAGTTAAAGTAGTAGCACCAGTGACGGTGTAAGTCTTACTGTTAGTAACAATTTCAGTGGCTTCTGGACAGTAAGTAGTGAAAGCGGTAACAACTTCAGTGACGGTGAATAATTCAGTAGAGTTGTAAGCTGGGTAAGAAGCAACTGGGGAAGTAGTGGAAGAGATGTAAGAAGTAGTGGAGTTAACAATTGGAGCAATTGAAGTAGTAGAGATTGGTAGTTCGGTAGTAGTATCATTATCAGCGGCAATAGCAGAAGAAGAAATGATAGCAGCAGAAGAAGTAGTGTCGTTAGAGATAACGGCCAAAGCGCTAGTAGCAAATAGAGCTGAAGTTAATAGAGTAGAAGTGAATTGCATTATTATAAGTTATGAATTTAAAAGAATATTCTTTGGAGCGAAAGGACAGATATAATAAATTTGTTCTTGATGATTTATTTATTATAATAAATTATTGTAAGAAGAATTAAAAAAAAACAAAAACAATTAATTTCAAGAAAGTACAATTGAAATAGTCTACCTTTATATATTTAAATAAATATTACAAGAAGCAAAAATTTATTCAATTCGATTTAATTCAACAACCCCCCCTCTCCCTCTCTTTTGTTTGCCTTATTTCCTACTAGAAATGTTTAATAATAAAAAAGCTAAAAATAATTGAAAAATATTAATAAATTGACGCATCTATTATTACTTATTTCTTCTTCTAGTCTCTAATTACCTTCTTTGTCTTATTACAAGGATAAGACTAATCTGATACTGACTGCATAAATTGGATAATAAACGATATCTAATATTTACTCTCCTTAATGATCGTCCCATAAAGCTTAGCTACTCTAATCTAATAATAACATATGTGTGCGAGGGTGCAACAACAGTATTAATTATCATTACTGTCTCTGCCCCTCCTCTCCCACACGAGGCTCAGTGGTCAATTTCGCTCTCACAACATCTTCGCTGTCTTTCAAGACTTTCCCTTACATAAAATTTCAAAGACACAACAAAGGGCTTTGTTCAGTACGGCAAACTACTAGAGAAATAGTGACACAGCGAAAAGAAAGTTATTCGTTGATTTTGATCAGTGGGACTGGTTTAATAATCTTTGAAGTCGAGGGGATGAGAGGGACACACAGTTGTTTGATTACTACTCACCCTCACGCAGTCATTGTAATATATCTGTTTCTGTCTCTGACACTAAGATATGTCCGTAGGTCCCCTCCTCTTGCCAAAGGAGGCATGATTATTAGTATTACTGTTTCCCGCTAAGTTTTAAAAATAGTTCAGCGTCAGAGATAAGGCCGCACAAACAAAAGAAAAACAATTTATGTGGAAAAAGAAATAACCTTCAAAAAACTTATATATAACTATATATCCACCATTTTTACCACAATAGGAAATAGCTTAGGGCTGGTCAGTCAAACTGCAATCATACACACTCCGTGCTCCTTTGAAGGACAACACGCTTTCAACAAGGGGCGCTGAGGGGGAATATAATAGATTATTTCCAATTATTAGTTTATTTTTGTCCATTGTGTCTCTGTTACTTGCAAATTAATAGATACGTCATTTTACACATACAATATGAATTTGTTTTGTCCTTGCCCTTTCGATAAATTTGTTTTGTTCTGCATAAATTTAAGCGCAAATAAAGAAAACAAACTAATCCCTTACCGCTCCGTGAATACGCAGAGAGAGAGAGAAAGAGAGAGAGAAAGAGAGAGAGAAAGAGAGAGAGAAAAAAAAAAATAAGAGGACTACGTTTAAAATTACCTTTTTTTTTCCTTGCTCCCCATGATAATGCGCAGAAGCATAGGTAGTGCAAATATGACATAACAAATCATTCCCTATTTGGGATATTTATTAGTGTGTCCATATATCCTGATCTGGCAATGATATTCCATGAGTGGTAACCATTGTATGCAACAGTATCCGTATTTGGATTAATCAAATCAGAATATTATTATTGCTTTCATCTTCACTATCTCCGACTATGTCATCATCATTACTATTATTTTGTGTTTCTGCTAATAGAACTGATGATGATGTCGATGATAGCTGTGTACATTGACCTCTAGGTATTGGTGATGATATTGAATCAACATCTGTACTAATAGATGGGTCAATCATCGAATTACTTAAAAGATTATTACTATTTTTGTCGTTATTGAATTCCCAATTGATTGGGAATTCAATAATTTGCCCAATTGGTTTATTAATCTTATTATCCCTTGAGTCTAGATCATCACATACTACTGCTACTCTTGTCCTTTTCGGAATCTTAGATTTCTTTGTTAAACTATTAGTATCTTCTTGTCGATGACTCCAATCCCAAAGTAATGCAATCCTTGCCCTTAAAAAAATCTCCCATTTGGAATCCTTTGATCCCATACCAGAATTTGCAACTAATGCACTCTTTAACATTTGAACATTTCTCTTCCCAATACTATTATTTCTATTAAATAATGAATTATTTTCATTTAAATTATTGTTACTAATAGTAGATGATACAAAAAAATTACTACCATCTCCAATTACTTCAAATGTATTTTCGTAAAAATCGTTATTAATATTATTACTTGTAGTTAATAACCCCGTTTGATATGATGTATTCATACAATTATTAAGTAGTATTATTATACTGTTATGTTTATTTGCATACTTCGTCATTGTACTAAATAGAAGAATTAAATCTCGACATTTTAACCCATGAATATTTAATTTATTTGAAATCCCTTGATTTATTGATAATTTATCTCTCGTAATTAATGAATTTAAATGATTAACTAATAATTGTGAAAATCCATCAATTATAATTAATTTATAATCATTTGTTGAAATTAATTTTGTGAAAAATACTAATAATTCTGTAAATTTTGAAATTTTGACATTATAAATATTATTATTTATTTCATTTGATATTAAATTATTTGGTAATGGTATAAATGTTTCAATCCATAATATTGAATCTTCATTTGATCGTTTTAAAGAATTTTTAATTAAATTAATACCAAATCGTGTCTTACCAATACCTGGTGGTCCATAAACTTCATATATATTACCACTTTGAAATCCTCCACCTAATATATCATCTAATGTTGAGTTTCCTGTAGTTAATGGCTCGGGTTTCTCTACAATTAATTGTGATAAAGGAACTCCAAATGACATACTTCTTTCAGATTATTCCTATGCTTGTTCGTTTGGGGACCTCTAAGTAGATTGGTTCATACAGTTCTCGTAGCGTACTCTGCATTCTATTTCTTTTCTTTCTCTGTGTTTTGATGTTATTTATATTTTCTTTTGCTTATATGGTGCTTGTTTCGAAAAATATGAATCTTGAGCGCGTAAGGCAAAAAAATAAAGTAAAAATGTGTTTATTTGCTGCGATGCTGCCTAGATCATTGCAATAAAAAAGTTCGCATAAACATTAATTACTAGTAAATTTATATACATACACATATATATACAAATTACTAGATGAAGATGGTATTACATTAGAGATTTATATTGTTTGTCTGTTTTGTTTTTTTGTACAATCTGTTTTAGTATCATTTCTTATTGATACTTGTTGAAGATCCTGTTCTTTTCAAAGTATATGCAACGGAAGCAGCTTGAGATTTTTTACTACTTAAACTATCTTTAACATGACCTCTTGTATCAAGATCAACTGTACCTGCACTTTGAAATAATGAAACGTTACCAACAAGTAAACCTAATGTATCCAATACCTGTTGTGGATCTGTAAGATGCGCTTTAGCTACTGTAACTTTTGCAGCTGATCCAACTGTTACAGGATAAAATCCAAAATTACCCCATCTATTACGTTTATCATTATATTCTTCACTCCAACATGTTTCAATTGAATTTAATTGTCTGAACATATCTTCATCTGTAAAATCATCACCAAGACATAAGATAAAATCTGGCATTTCATCAATTGGTAATTGTTGATCTAATGGTTTTAATAAATCTTGTGGTGTACCATATTTATGCCATACAAGTCTCTTAACAATTTCACCTTTATTGACAAATTTTGGACGTACTTCAATATTTTTTTTACCCTCCATAACATCTAAATCAAAATCTTCAGTAAATTCTAATAGTTGTTTCTTTAATTCTGCTGCATTATAATCACCCAGTTCAGGAACTGTAGCTCTATAATGCCATGTTAATGCAACTTCTTTACGTTCAATAAATGAACCTGGTGTTTTATTAGTTAAGTCTTCCATTACTTTATTAACACGTACTTGCCATGACATATCAAATTTCTTAGCCAAATTAACCCATTCAGGTGTACTAATATCTTTAACAAAACAACCATGTTCCGCACTTAAACCAATCTGTTTATTTTTAGAACCCCACCATTTATTTAAGAATACTTGATCACGACCTGAAATAATCCATATTTGATTCTTTGGATCTTGAGATAATTTTTCCATAATTGTGTATAATCTTGCTGTTGGGATGGCAGCAGCTGGATCCTTCACAATTGGTGTCAATGTACCATCATAATCAAATAAGAATAAACGACGATTTGCGGCCTTGTAATTTTCTAATAAGACAGGTCTATTTAATGCTGGTGTTTTCTTACGATCTTGTGATTCGGATTGTTTACTGACTTCAACCATTTGATCCAGATACATATCAGTCCATGATTTAATGGATGGTACTTCACCCCATGTCTTTTCTTGTAAAGTATCTCTTTGAGATTTAGTCAAATTGAATGCATTGTTAATAGATTTTGCAACAGCAACTGAATCCCAAGGATTAACAATAATCGCATCCTTAAGAACAGAACTACTACCACTAAATTCACTCAATATTAATGGCATACCATAACATGAAGAATTCGAATCATGAGATTTGATTGTAACATATTCTAAAGCAGTTGTATTCATACCGTCTCTAACACTAGTAATTAAACATAGATTAGCAGCTCTCAATAGAGAAAAATATACATCCTTTGGAATTCTCATATAATAATGTTGAACAGGAGCAAAATTCAAATTACCGTATTGAGAATTAATAGAATTTACCAATTCATTGACTTGTTGCTCTAATCTAATATTTTGTGGAGAATCTCTATTCATAGTTGGAGAACTAACTTGAATTAAGACAACTTGTTCTCTCCATTCTGGATACATTGCTAAAAATGTCTCAAAGGCCCTCAACTTTTGAATAATACCACGAACTGGATCGAAACGATCTCTTCCGATAATAATTTTTTTCCCTTGATAAGCTTGTCTAATTGCATCTACTTTGGCATCAACATCTGGTGCGAATGCTTCGGCTACAATTTTATCGGTATCAACACCAATCGGAGATGAATCTACAATTAGATCACCACCATAGACTGACATATTATACTGATCTTTACCTCTATCATTTTTAACTTTCTTTGAAGTAGAATCCAATAATCTTTTACAACTTGATACAAAATGTCTACTGAATTGTTCATTTTGGAAAGAAAGTCTATCAGCACCTACTAAACCATCCAAAATTTCTTTTCTTCTTGGTAAACAACGGAAATATTCATAACTTGGCCATGGAGCATGATGGAAATAACCAATTACTAAATTATTACCCGATTCTGAATTAAATTTCATTCTTAATAATTGTGGAAGTAATAATAAATAATAATCATGAATCCAAATAATATCACCTGGTTGATATATTTCACCAATTTTCATTGCATATGCTTCATTAAATTTCACATAATCATACCATGAATTATTTGCATCGGATCCATCAGAATCTAACTCTACTTCTGTAGATGGATTTAAAATATAATGAAATAATGGCCAAATAATATTTTCAGCATAATTTCTCCATCTACTTTGATTTCTGCTTCTTAATAACCAAACAGGATTATAATTTTTATTAATTTTTGTCTTTAAATTATCCATTTGTTCATTTGTAACATATAATTTATCTTCATCTGGACCATTGCCATGACCATTAGTAGTCTTATCTTCATCATCATTATTTGATGACGCTGATTCATTTTTATTATCTTTAGGAATACTTGATGCTAATTTTTCATCTTTTAATTGTCTCTTAAGTAATTCAGCTTTTGTAAGATTTTTTTTTGAAATTTCACCTGTCCATCCAACAACAATTTGTTCATATTCATCAGAATCTTGTAAATAATCTAATGATGAATATAAAGCACTATTACCAGTAGCAGGATTAATTATCCATTCATCTGAAGATTCGTCTAATGTAATCTTATATGGTAATTGTGAAACACAATTGATAATTCTTTGTTTTTTAGCTCCCATTATTACGAACTAAAATAACAATAAAAAAAAAAATAGTAGTTCAATAAAATATTAGGTAGCGAAAAGGTTTCAATTTATTTGTGTATTTCGTTTACTTCCAAAATATACTTTGTTATACCTTTATTTTTGGGTTATTGTAGAGTGTCAATTAAAAACGAAATGAACTTATTATGATATATTTAAATTTAATTTGATATATGAGTACGATACAAAGAAAATTTATCTCACTAGCTCTTTCTTTTTCTTTAGTCTAGTACTCTTTAATAAAAATATAAAATATAATCGTTTATTATACAGATTATATTTATTTATTTTATATATAACTCTATCTTCAATGATTCTATTATATTAACTTATAACAATATGTAAGTGTATCTCCTTGTCTTGCTCCGGTTCCCATCCCTTTCCTTAATTTTCAGCATCAATTTTTCTCTTCTTCACGGTTGTTGTTTTTTTTCTTTGCCTGAGACTTATCTCAAAGGGAACAAATGATCTCTACGTACTATCAATATTCAAAACCGATACAGAGTTAGCGGACCCACCCTCTCGCACTGGAAATGTGAGATTTTGTTTTTGTTAAAGAAGAGAGAATGATGGGCAATTAGCGGGAAAAAGGGGTCCAACCATACAAACATATTTTTTCTCCTGCCATTAGTATTATGAGGGGATATCATAATGGACGAAGAGGAGGGGGGTATAATATAGTACAAATATATACAGATTTATTTCTTATTGCTAAGAAATGATTGAACTTCTATTTTGAGCCATTTCTAACACAGGATAAAGCACAGAAATATGAATAAGTGAAGGTTAATAGAGTGTTCTTTATCTAAACTATGGTTCTAGTAAAGATTGCTATTGGTTCGATTTTTATCAAAAGTAAAGCTGTATACTGACCCTTGGGTCCTGAGCTTGATTGTCCTTTCAATTCTTATCAAAATAATAAAAAATGACGTAGTTTTTGTTCCCATCAATTAGTATGCAGCATATACGTCTTTGCGTAAAACTGTATTCTATTCTAACAATGCTAAATTTATATTTAGACATGAACGATGCGCAATTTCCTAAATGAACTTATTTGCTTTATAATATATAAATTATATACATGCATTTTAATGCGTTACGGTTATTTTTTAATGTTACAAATTCTTCCCATATCCTAAAAGGATGGCAGAACAAAGTCTTGGTTAATCGGTGGCTAATAAAAGATTTAAAGCTCTAGTGTTTTGAAAGATATGTTAGATATAGTTGTGTTCTATTCACCATTTACAAATTTCGTCATCGAATACGTTCGCTGAGTATAGTAGGTAGGCAATATCTACTGTTTTTTTTTTTTCAATAATTCAAAGTTTTATCACATGATTCCTTCAGAGGTGTGCGTATTTGCCTCTTTTTTCTGTATATTTTTCACCAATACTTGTTAGTATGAGTATAATGGATTCACCAAAATTCAAATACTCTTGACATTAATAAATATAATTTAGCTAAAATATCATTACTTTGTTGTGGCTGTTGTGGTATCATTGGCGGATCTGAGATTACAGGTTTTGACCTTATGTAACCTTGATTGATTTGTGATATACATTGTAAATTAGCATGAACTCTTTTCAAATTTTGTGATACTAATAATTGAATATTTTCAGGCAATACAGAAGGTGAATTAGGCTCAATTTTTTTATCTTTAAAAAATGGATTTGTCATATGTATTACTCTTGCTAAAAGTACACTATTTATATGTAATAATAATTGAATCTTATATTGAATTTGCTCATCCACTGAAATAATTTGATTGGGATCCATTTGTAAAACATCGTTATTGTTATTATTATTGTTATTATTATTTGTAGTATTATTTTGAGGAACTCCAGAATTGGTAACACCAGGTGTAATTATACTACTCATTGTAATGGGTATTATTATCTTTTCTTGATGAAGACTATATGTAATGTATGCTTTGACTCTTGTATACCCCTACTCATTAATGTGGAGAAGTAAAAAAAAAAAAGAAAAAGCTGGAGATATTGGTTTGTTTACTTTAAGTGTGATAAATCTTACAATTTTTTTGTTTTTCTGTTGTTTTTTCCAGTATTTTTTCTATTTGGTGAAGCCCATTATTCTTTTTATTTTACGCCGCGCTGAAATTCCATTTTCTAAGTGAAGCGCAAGTGTAAGTTTTTTTTCACGATTTAATTTTCAGTAGTTGAAAGCATTGAGTTTACTATGTGAATAACTGTTTGCATATATATAATTCTAAATTATCACTACTTTAAGGTATGCACTTCGCGTATGTCAACAAAAGAAATTGAACGAAGCATAAGCTTCAACTACGTCTATATGACTACATGTTATAAACTTTTAAGAGTTGAGAAGCTGTCTTTTTTTTTCGTGTTTTTTGCATATCTTTCTCTTTCGATCTTGTTTGTAAATTCCCCTAATTTTTATTTATGATATGTGAACCGATCGTTTAAAATATAATTAATATGGTTGAACAAGGCGCAATATGATATAAAATTATTTATATTGAAATTAAGGAATGTATATATTGAAAGCGTTGTCCCGAATCTAACCCGGGATCGTTTTAGAAAACCAGAAATGTATTCTTAACTCGGATCGGTGAAATTATCTTAATTCAAACAATATGTGAGTTATAGGATAAACTTATGATAATGATATCTTTAAAATTGTTCAGTCAATTTAAGGTTAAAATATGCCATGATTTGAAATATCGTACTGCTTGCTTTAGCATACCACGTAGTCGATTACTTTAATGTATTTAAAAAAACGTCAAATAAGGTTCAATCCGTAATTAAGTCGAAGTAAATGGTACCAAGAGTAATAATGATTGATAGTGGGGGAAATAATAATAAGAAAAAATCAAGAATCATGCTATCTATTCATGTCTAATGTTTCCGATACGGCTGTAAGAGTAATATCCGGCATTTGACATACATTTGCAAAGCAGTTTTTATTTAGTGGCTATAACTTATGACATCCGAAGAGTCTCGGTCAATTAATCCAAAATAATAATAATAACACCACATATATTTTTATTTCAGTTTTTTTGTATGCAATCCACATTTAGCATTAAGCCAGAATTATAGTGGGGTACACAATATGAAGCAGCCAAACTAGTTCGACTGCTAATAATCTCTAAGAAGTATACGTACAAATTTAGCTTATTGTTTTATGAGCTCTTTCATAAGAAAAACCTTGCAGAGTAGTTGAGAATTATTTAAACTACTTGACTTTATAAGATTTATGGAACAATCCCGCGGTTTGCACTTTCCGTGGGAACGAATCCGTTAGAGATAAAAAAAATTACGTACTAGCTCAGCGATTCCTCGGAATATATTCATCTCAACAAAATAAAAATGAAAAGCGTATTAAAGTCTTACGCTTATAAGCATCATTGTCAAAAAAATAAAAAAGGCTATTAGACGCCATATATAAATAGTAACTAACAAAAGTACTCATACGTTATTGTGCCTTTCAACGACCGTAGTGAATAAAATCTGAGCATACATATATATGGTGGGGCAATAACCTCATCTTTTTTTGTTACTTGCTGAACTCGCTTAATTATTAATAGATGCATTCTTTTAACATAGCTAAAATCAGTTGATTCCTTTTGTACCAACAGAAAAAAATTTATAGTATTATATCAATCCGGGGAAAATTTTTCATAACAAAAAAATTTTTTTTTTTTTTAACTTCCGTAATTCTGTATATACTTTTCTTCTTATGAAATAGTTGAAAAAACAATTTACTCTCCCTGGAATGGCTAAATATTCTACCTAAACCCCTAAAGCCGTTCTCCTTGGACGAAGGGAGATTTCAATTTATACGTACTAAACTCACTCCATTTATCTAACTACTACAGGCAAAAAAACAAGGATTGCAACGCTAAGCAACAAAATAAAATGAAAAGGCTGCACAAAAACCTTATGACACCAAAATATGGGGATCAACTACCCTTGCAGTTATTTGGCAGTTATGCAGTATTTTTAGTGATAAGTTTAAAAGCATTACAAAATTTGAAAACAAATGAAAGATAAGGAAATATTGAGGGAGTGAACAAGCAAGCAAGACAAAAACGTAAAAGAAACTAAGAAGTAAATAACAATCACAGAAGGTTTTTTAACCCATGTTCTCATAAAACAAAAACTCAAATATTTCTTTTCTCCCCCTCCATTTCTCTTGTTCTCCCTATTTGTAATGAATTGCTTTTTTGCTTAAGCGCACAAAAGCAATTTGTTTTTATTCACATTTTGAGACAATCGTAGCAGGCCTTTGTCAATCAAAAAAAAAGTAAAACTAATTGTCTTTTTGCACTACTAATCCTTCTCTCATCCCTCAGAAAAGTCTGCAAAATAAATTTCGCAATGTCATAGTGATGAACGCCTCTTTTGTTTCTTCTAGTTTCTTATCATTCCACGGAAATATCCTGAGAATGCATCAAAAAAAAAAGTAACGTATTGCTTTTTTTTCAACTGGTTTTATTCTACCGTGTTTATTTGGATTTGCTGCGGTGACTACTTACCCGTGTCATGCTCGGATTTGTCATCCTTCCTTCAGTTCTTCCTTCTCCCCGTCTTAATTACGCCCCTCCTCAAATCAAAACCCAAACAAAAACAAAACAAAATAAACAACAAAAGTTCGCGTATTTTTTTCTTTATTATTATTTTGAGTCCTTCCGGGGTTGTAACGGAAGACAAAAATACATACACGATATATATTTTTCAGATTCTATAATTTTCCCGTACAACACAATAAATGAGGATGATGATGATGGCACAAACGAATTCGTTATATCCGTCACTCTTTTATTTCTTTCACATAGTAATATCTAGGTACTACTATTTATCCCCTTTGCCAAGGTAGATTCTCGATTATTTTAAATGTTTAAATTTTTTCTTTTATTGTTTACAAAATAATATCTTGGTGTTTCCTACGAGCTATACTCTTTTGTCATTTTTTTGCTTCGTCATTTTAACCAACCAAAAAAACATATCCTTTTTTTTCGTTTTGAGTGTTAAGCCATGGGGGGACCAATGTTTTATTCTACGCAAATAAAAGTCACGGTGAAAATTTTATGCGATGGCTGTGAAACGAAATGAATGTAACAAAAATAATTTAACAACATTAAAATAAAAAATATAGCTAAACAACGCTACTTTTTTCACTAAATTATCTTTGATTTCAACATTTTCCTTTCATTTTACTTAGTGAAAAATTATGAAATTAGAGATTAATCGGTGATATTGATCTTATTTTCCTGCTTACATACTTTGTTAATTGTAAATACTTTTTTGTAATTCCTTGTTAAATATATATATATACTATACTGTTTTATCGCTATTACAAACATTGATTCATTTAAACTGCGCCTTACAAAATCTTTTTCTTGTTTGTTTTTTTATTTTTAATTGATATATATAAATAAATTTTGACTAAATATTTTTTAATTCTTTCACTTTTAAAGGTTGTTTACTATTCTACACTTTCATTTAGATATATATTAAAATATTTTTTTTTAACTAGACTGAAATCGTTACAGTTTTTCCTATTCAAAATAAATATTATATCTAATTTCATCTGAACAAGAATTGAAAACAAAATCAGAATAAACAAGTACTTTCATTCGTTTTTTTTAGCAATTGCATCTTTTTCATTCGTTTTATTCTCATATTTGTTATCTTCAAATTATTTTTTTAATTTAGGTTATATTTGGTTTTTTGGGAAAAGTTTATTAAAAACATACATATTAGTTGTTGTTTTTTGACAAAATACATTACAATTACAATGATACAGTCAGCGTTTCTGGGGTTTTTTAACCTTATTATAAGAATTATTAAATCAGGTTTAAATAAAAGAAATATACTCACACTTCCATTAAATTTTTTCATAAATTTTTTACCTGTAGTAATATGGCTATCAATTTTTCATCATGCTGGTATGATTCCTTTAGATATTAGACCGACAATTCATAGTAAAATTGCATTTATTTCAGATGCTTTCTTATTTGGTGATTGGTTTGGTGAATTGCAATCACAATATCATGATTCTTATCAATTAACAAAAATTTCATTTGCTACAGCTTTTGCATTTTGTGTATTTGGTTTACTAATTATTCCTTTATCGATATGGTATTATTTATATCATATTAAATCATTAAAATATAATATAATTGAGTGGTATGATCATATTTTCCATTTTGAAAATAAAAAAAATACTCGTAGATTTAGATTATTAGCTGTACCATTTTTAATTCCATTTTTTGCATTTATTATATTAAATTTAGATCATACCTTTAGTTCTCAAAATATTGAAAATTTTACAAAGACTAAAGATATTATTGCATGGTTTTCTTATGTTATTTTACATGTTACTGTACCAATTTTAACTGCAGTTTATCTTTATGTATTTCATCCAGCTGGTACAGTTAAATGTTTTTCATTTGCATTAGGTTTACAAAATATTTGTGGTGTTTTCACTCATTTATTATTTCCAACTGCATCACCTTGGTTTACTCATTTATATGGTATTCACGATACAGAACATGTTAATTATACTCAAGAAGGTTTTGCAGCTGGTTTAATTAGAGTTGATAATCATTTAGGTACCCATTTAAATACTAATGGGTTTCATTTATCACCAATTGTCTTTGGTGCTGTTCCATCTTTGCATTCTGCAATTGCTTTCCAATGTTTCTTATTCATTATCACAAGAGCAAGTTCATTTAAACATAGATTTGCTTCAGATAGATCACAATCTACAAGTAATAGATTAAGAAATGGTACTCAAATGGTTGGATCTACTGATGATGAAGAAAACGATTCCGACGAAATCAATTCAAAGACTTCAAGAGATGAATGTGTAACAACATCTAACAGCAGTAGTATGTCTGATTTAGCTGATTCTGATGAAGATTATTCCGATATCGATTTAGAAGCTACAGACAAGGAATCTTCTCAATTATTATCTTTGTATACCGACGATACAGATTTTACCAATAGATGGTATTTTAGAATTTTTAATACTGGGTTAGTTGCTAAATTATTAATCTCATCATTTATCATATTGCAATGGTGGGCTACAATGTATTTGGATCATCATTATAGATTTGATTTATTCATTGGTTTATTATACTCTATTACTAGTTTTATCGTAATAAACAATTTTGTTTTACAACCTAGAGTATTAAAACCTTGGTTAGATTTAAGATTTGGTAAAATGCCTGATGATAATAATGAGGCAAGAACAATGGGGATGAGAGTCTTCAAAGGGACAAAGATCGAATGGTTTTTCGATCCATTAGCATAAAGTGTTTTGAAACAACATTAGAAATAAATAAATAAAATTCATATTTTTTGTAGCATATAATTATTCTTAATAACAAGAAAACTAAAGAAGAAGAAGAAAAGAAAACACTGCAGAATAATGGAAAAGACTACCATTATCAACTTGAGAAGGTTTGGCATAATTCTTCAATGCTTAGTAAGAAATCGAAGCCTACTTTACCGATGGGTATTCGAAGAAAGCCATCAAGCGTACTATTTGATACAATCAATACTGTTTTAATTAATATTCCAATGTAATTCTACAACTCTATGTCATATTATTAATAGGTATAGAGAGAGAAAAGGTGTTCGATTAAAGTGTAATACCTTGATGTTGTGTTTTAAGATATTCCAATGGAATTTAAATGCCATTGGATTAGCCTCACCTTAGATATTCGTAAGTATCCTTCGGCAATACTTGTTGTTTGGCATTTTTGGCCATGTCCGTTTTCCAGATTGTAAGAAAAATAAACAGACAAATTGTAATGTACTGCAGGTCTATGTTCGGTGGAACTTTTCGTCACTGGATACGACGGGGGAAAAGATGAAATAAGAATTAAATTCCAAAAAAATATAAAAAGGTTTGGAATTCAATCAATGATTTTAACAGCAACTATATAATTGACTCTCGAAACTTTTCAAGAACAGATTCAGATATAATTACGTTCCCTCTTTGGTCTATTTAATTGATTAATCTGAAACTGAGATAGGAAGCTTTGAAAAATCATATAATCGAGCATAATTTTAAATTTTATTTTACTTGTGACTGTTTTTATTGATAAATCATAATAAGAATAACGAATAAAGAAAAAAACAAAATGTCTAACGCTACTTCTGCCACTTTACCACTACATATGTACATCAGACCACTGATTGTCGAAGATGAAGAAGAAGTTTCAAAACTTGAAGCTGTTTGTTTCCCACCAAATGAAAGAGCACCAAGTGCTACAATTGATTTTAGATTAAAGAATTGTCCAGAATTATGTTCTGGTTTATTCATCAGAGATTTCGATGAAGATACTAAGGAGGTTAAGAGTGAAACATTAATTGGTCATATTCTTGGTACTAAGATTTCTACAGCTTATATTACTTTAGATAGTATGAAATTAGTTAATGATGAAGCTAGTGGTACAATTGCAATTCATTCTGTTGTTATTGATCCAAAATTTCAAAAGAAAAATTTAGCTACTTTAATGTTAACAGATTATATTCAAAAATTGAGTAATCAAGAAGTTGGTAGTAAGATTGTGATTATTGTTCACGAATATTTAATTCCATTTTATGAAAGAGTTGGCTTTAAGGTTATTGCTGAAAATACAAATGTCAGTAAAGATCCAGATTTTGCTCGTTCTAAATGGATTGATATGGAAAGAGAATTGGTAAAGGAAGAATATGAAGCTTAAAAAAATTAAAGTTTCATTTTGATGATTTATAATAATAAGAATAAAGAAGTATTTTATTTTTATTTTAGTTTTGTAACATATAACATGTAATCTTCTTTCGTTTGCGATGACTCTTTCAATTGGCAATCATTTCTAATTGATGGATAAAATAACCAAAATATATATATAAAATAAAATAAAATATAAACAAGATAAGAATATACATACATTCATAAATTTTAGAAAAACTATCGTCGGGAAGCACGATGTATGTATTCTCTGTCATTCAGTTTAATCGATAAGAGAGTTTACTTCTAAAATAAATAAACGCATTTTTGACAAGGTGTGTGTATCTTCAAACAAGTGTAAATATATCTGTCTGCTATAGTATTAATTTATCAAACATGGATATAGATACGTCACGAACTATCATTATTGAAGTAACTCAAGCGACGATTTGAAACTACTAATCGCCGGTGTTCATCTGATGATTTTACATATTTCACATCCTATTATTTCTAACGAATGTAAAATTTTTCAATAAAAGAAAAACACTTCTTTTCTATGGACATACAATTATCTAATGTAAACCCATCCCACCCTTTTCCCCACAAAACTCAGTTTGCTCTTAAGGGTACGATGTATCCAAATAAACTAAAGCAAATAGAACGCTTAATGAGTAATCAAATGTTAGACAGGGGAAGTATTTTAGGTTTTCCTGCGATGTTGACTACCAAAAAAATTTAAAAAGAACCAAACAAATCAACGATTTTTCTCACGTCAAATATGGACAAAGGATGAAGAATTGTATGCTTACCAAGCAAATAAATAATTTTTAATGATGTGAAGTTGCGAGAGTCTAAGGGGCATGCATTGGTTATTTAAGATACACTCTGCGTGTGTGTGTGTCGCTCTGGCTTTGCTCCGGGTTCTGTTTTTTGCTTTTTTTTAGAGAGAATGTGCCTATTTTAAGGGTATTAGCTCTCTTTGTGCTTAGAAATATTTATCCCTTTACCTTCATCTAACCAGGATCCCACAGGGAGAGGGAAGTGAGGTGATTAAAAGACTTGTGTATTCCCTCTCTCTCACTCTCTCCCATCTGATCCTCGTTAATTTTTCGTAATATTCATAGTATGACTAATTAGACTATTGCAAATACCATACATAATATCTAAGAGAAAAGTAGAAAAAGAAAATAAGGATACGTATAACGAGGAGCAGCATAGACATTGGTTGAGAATAACTGATGTATGAACGGTTCAATAATGGGTATTGTTATTAGGTCAATTCTCAACAGAAACTGAATCGTACAAAAAAAATATGTATTCATATATAAAGTAAGAACTTTATTGGGTTTGCAATACTTGATCTTATTTAAATTCTTCTTTAACGTCTTAATTTGTTGTCTGTTTTCTCTAAAATATATAAGGACTTAAAATTTCATTACTACCTTTAGTGCTCACATTAGTATTAAATTTCCTTAAAAGTAAAAGAACTTTCTACCCCTAGACAACTAAAAATATACAGAAAAAAAAATGTTAGCCCCAGCATTAGTAAGAAATTCAATGATCTTAAGACCAGTTGTAGTTTCTACACGTTACAGCATGGTTCGTATGATGTCTAGTACAAGAAATTGTGCTAAAGATCATAGAATGAAGCATCCGGACGCAGAAGATGTTAAAGAACAAAGAAAATTCGATGCAAACAAGAAGAAGCTAGAGAAGTTAGAACATGGTGGTCATTCTGGTATTATGAAACCTTCAATGGAAAAATTGCAACAAAAAGGTGAAAATGCAAGAATTGAACAAAACAGACCAGACGATGGTGTCTACTAATTAATTACAACATCAAACAAAACATAGAAGTAGCCGTGTGCAACAATATCTATACTTATATATTCGTATTATTTAAAATAAAAATAACATATAAAATTCAATAAGTTTAATTTATTCTAATCAAATTTCATGTTTAAGATGACCTTTCTAAGGTATTTGACTCGTCGACTATCACTTTTGCAATGAGACTGCAATTGTATATGGAATTCATTGGATGTTCATGGAGTTTTTTTTTGAGCTTTGTATGTGTTTGTTTACCCGGACTTTAATGGAAGCAGCAAAGAAACGTCCGTACAAACTTTGAATGAAGTGTTGTTTTGTAAGGCTCGCTTTGTCCCACACCATATTCTTGCATATTAGGCGCATATTAAATTATAGAAGAAAAGAGATATTAATGACAAATAATCCTATTTACAATAATAACTGTGTTAAAAACTTAATCAATCACTAGGTATACGTTCTTACAAGCAGCTAGAGAATATTATAGACCAGAATAGAAAAAATCGTGTAGTTTTTTCTTACTCATAGTAGTCTACTTACTAATACATGAAACTATTGAACTTAATACGGTGTTTCTTTGCTTCATATCTGTGAGATCATATAATATTATACACATATACATATATATATATATGGATCTCAACTTTGTCAGTCGATTTTGAACATACCTCCTATAATAATATCGTAACTGAGGGAAAAAAGTAAACATTTTTAGCCATTTTGTTCTGCATAGACCGTTACTATAATAAGTGAAATAAAAAAAATTAAAGAGAGTTTGGATTCAAACAACATAACATTTCTCAATTATTTGTCCCCTTTTTTAATTTTTAAACAAAACATACCTCGAGAGGTTCTATTCGCATCCAAATTAATAGTTCTCATTAAACCTAAACCAAAACTATAACCTTCAATAAATAAATCGTAAAAAAATATTAAATTATTAAAGAAGATGACGACAATGAAAAACGATGAAATATATTGTACATCCATAGTACGATTATCAGAAATAGCTGGAACTTTTATTTCAAAAAATAATAAATCAAATGATAGTGATAAATCGAATGATTTAAAGGCAGTTCTTCAAGAATGTATTGACACACTCTCAAATTATAAAGATGAATGTAAACGAATTAAAAAATTAGGTTTATTTACCCACCCTGAAAATATTTCAAATGTAGATACTCAAGAAAAATTAAAAATATTTAAAGTATTTGAATCAGCATATATTTATTATAAAATTATTCATATTACAGTATTGATTAGGATACCAAATTTGCCCTCATTTATTAAAATTAAAAATGAAAAGGATTTACATACCATTAAACAAACTAAAAATAAAGAAATTATCGAAATTTATAACACATTGGTTAATACTTTAGTACAAGATGATAGTATTGCCAAAATAAAATTATTCATTAAAAAACATACGAAACCCAATTCGATATTAGAAGAAAATGCACCTTTGAATGATGTAAATATAGAGAAAGAAGTTGCAAAAGGATTCGGCGATGTACTTACAGTAGAACAACTCGGGACATTGTTAGCAAATAACAAATCTTCTACTTTATTGATAGATATACGGCCCAGACCAGAATTTAATAAATATCACATTTCTTTTGATAATATCATCTGTGTGGAACCTATTTCCTTTAAAGAATCATACTCAGATTATGAGCTTGAAAGAAAATCTCTTATCACTAGTCCCAATGAAGAAATAAAGTTATTTCAAAAAAGGGATAAATTTAAATTTATCGTATTATACACTGATGAAAGTTACGGAGATGGATTTGGAAAACAGAAGCAAACCATATTACAAAACATGCTCATGAATAAATCATTTGATAAACCTTTAGAAAATACTAAAATATTCACATTACAAGATGGGATTCAGAAGTGGATTCAAGCTGGTGGGAAAACTGATACACGAACAGCTGTAAAAAGTCAAAAATTAGAGGCTGTTGATGATAATGCCATTTATATTAATGGAAACACATCTCGTTTAAATTTACAAGCATTCCCAAAAACATCACTTAATGTATCACAGCAAGATGCTAATAAATCTATTCAACATATGATGTCCAACTCCCCCACATCAACAGGCGGAGTGTACGCTATGCATGATCAACAACATTCACGAGAAGAGAAACTGAATAAAGGCCCGCAGAGAACATCTAGTTTCAAAAGATTATTTACCAATTTTAGGAGTTCCTCGGGAAATTCAGTTAACTCAACAGGTAGTGGACAAACAATTTCAGCTCCGCCACTATCCATCCATGATAATCAGTCACCACTATCGTACACCCAGAATTCATCTTATTTATCCTATTCGGCTCCTCGTACGTCGCAACACAATGGGTCGAGTTCGATAGACTATCCGGATGCATCTTCATTACTAAGCAATGGTATGGAAGCGATATCGTTATCTAATAATTCCAATACCTATAGCCCTGGTCGCTCTAATAATACTATTGGCAGGGGAAACGTTTCTCCATATTCAAGTCCTGTTGCAACCTTTCATTCCCGTTCGCAAAGTTTCAACGAAAGTTCTACACTTAAATCTGGAATGTTCTCAACCACGGCTTCATTAAGTAAATTGGATCACAATTTAATAGGAGGTCAAAAACAAGCATCTCCTGGTCACTCTGGCTATTCATTATCAAAACATTTACCTGATATCCCTAGGTTACCTGCTAGACCATCTAGTTCCTCTTTTTCATCAACTATACCCTATAAACAACAAGATTTTATGACTGATTCATCAAAAGATGTTCTGAAGAATGTATCAGTATATCAAAAGGGTACCGAGTTGGATTTTTTAACTGGTTTAGAAAATATGGGGAACTCCTGTTATTTGAATTGCATAATCCAATGTGTTCTTGGGACACATGAATTAACGAAGATATTTTTGAATGATTCATATGAGAAACATATTAATCTTAACAGTAAATTAGGATCCAAAGGTGTATTGGCCAAGAATTTTGCCAGACTGGTTCATACCATGCATGATAATGGTACTGCGACAACCGGAAATGATCGTTCTAAGAAAAAGAAAAAGAAAATACCAGTTAGACCAGATCAATTCAAATTTGCATGTGGATCTATCAACTCCACGTTCAAGGACATGTGCCAACAAGATTGCCAAGAATTTTGTCAATTCTTATTAGATGGTCTTCATGAAGATTTAAATCAATGTGGTGGAAACCCCCCTTTGAAAGAACTATCTAAACAAGCAGAAGAATTGAGAGAGAAATTATCTTTTCGCATTGCATCATCAATAGAATGGGAAAGATATTTAACTACAGATTTTAGTGTCATTGTTGATTTATTTCAGGGACAATATGCGTCTCGTTTACAATGCAAAGTATGTAACCATACATCTACTACCTACCAACCATTCTCAGTTCTGTCTGTTCCAATTCCCAATAAAAAGAATTGTAATATTTTGGACTGCTTCCAAGATTTTACAAAGTGCGAGAATTTGGAAACTGATGAACAATGGTCATGTCCACATTGTAAAAAGAAACAACCTTCAACAAAACAATTGACAATAACTAGACTTCCAAGAAATTTAATTATCCATTTGAAGAGATTCGATAATAGGATGAATAAAAACAATTCTTTTATAAACTATCCCTTCACATTAGATCTAACAAAATTCTGGCCAGATGACTTCGATGGAAATTTACCCCCAGGTGTCACAGATGAATTGCCTGCTAGAGGTCAAGTTGCGCCCTTCAATTATAAGTTATATGGTGTTGCATGTCATTTTGGCAGTTTACAAGGTGGACATTATACTGCGTATGTTGATAAGGGTATCAAGAATAGTTGGTATTATTTCGATGATACAGCTTTTAGGCCGATAAAGAATCATAATGAACCTATTACCTCCAGTGCTTATGTACTATTTTATCATAGAATATATAATTTATAATAGGCGTAGATCCATAATAAATAATATTGAAACTGATAGAATTCCTCGTTTCTATCTTGTTGAGCATTGATTATATTCTTATTATACAGATATTATACAGATAATTCTTCTTAATGTATTTCGGAAAGAATTGTTTAACATACAGATTATGTATTTCAAACCTCTGTCTTTATATATTAAGAATTTAGTGGCGTTGTTGTTGACCTTCACATTCATGAACTTCTTATTCAAGTATCGTCGCATAAGCCTATTCAATTATAATAAGTGCGCACAATATTCTATGTGTTATTTAATTAATGTTAATATTAGTGTTTCTAATCATTAATTGTTATGCTCATTCGAATATCTTATACTAAATACCCTTAGAATATTCAGCTCAGTAAAAACATTATTTTTATTGCATAGTTTTCTTAAAAAGATTGTTTACTTACAATACATGAAAATATTTCAAAAGAACTACATGTGAAAACCAAAGGTTGGTTTATTTTTACAGTGGAACAAAATGCAAACAGACTTAGATATTCTTATATATCTGTAATCAAGGGTAGATCGACAATCTAGCTAGGAACGTTAGATTATATATAACTTAAAAAAGTGAACGGCAAAATTTCTTATTCCCAATCGTCATCTTCTTCATCGTCGTTTTCTTCGTTGTTCTCATCCTCTTCATCGTTGATATCACTCTTTGAGACAATAACAAGAGATTCATCTTTGGTAGATGCACTGCTTTCGTTCCCAGCTTCTTCTACTTTAGCGGATTTTTCTGTCTTTTCAGGTGTCTTTTCAGGCACCTTTCCATCATTTTCATTGTGTTCATCTTCGTCATCCCAATTTACTTCTTCTTCGTTCTTATTTTGAGAACTTGAGGTAAGAATATTCTTTCTGGTCTCCTCTCTTTTCAATATTTCTTCCTTTTTGTTCAAATACATACTCCAAAAATCAACGTAAGAAATTTGTTGAGGAACTATAGAGTGCATTAATGTTTCTAATTCTTTATTGGATTTTAAAATTTCACTGATTTCTTCAGTTTTTGTATCAATGTCTATTGGTTTACCTTTACCCTTTTCGCTGTTAAGATAGATATCCTTGTTCGTTGATAGTTCACTTAATTCAGCTTCGGTTCTATTACCAGCAATGGTGTGTCCGTTGATGGAACTGGAATTTTCTTCATTTAAATGTGTACCTAACGAATCTGATGTTATTTGCACAACTTTATCAAACTGTGATCCCAAATTATCTGTAATATTAGACCAAAATCCAGGCTTCTTGACTGTTTCCCAGTATGAAGTGGCCATATTCTCTACTTTTGCAAGATTTTCATCCATAGAAGTCAGTATTGCTTGGGTCTTTCGAGATGTAGCTTCATCCATTGGGATATTTAGATTGATACCTTCTTTATTATCATCAGCCATGATAGTTTTGATCCCTTGTGCAGTCTTTTCGTAAGCACTGTTTAAATCATTCTCAAATTTTGAAAATATTTCATTTGTCTTTTCATCTTTGGGGGCAGGAGTACCTTCTGCTGGCGTCTCCACTGGAGTTTGTTGTTCGTAATAAAAGTCCATAATTGCACTATTTCAGTTTTAATGTCACTCAACAATATTAGAAAATTTATCCAATGTTATATCATTACCTTTCTCTTTCTCTCTGTTTCTTCCAAATCCCCATTTCAACTTTCTCTCAATAGTTGGTAGTCATGTTATTTAAAAAGGGCGGAAAAAGTTCGCCAAATTTGTTGGAGTACATATAAATTCCGTCTATGACGGGCAAGTTGTTAAGGCACGTAGAGAGCGACAAGTCGATGATCTGTTTTAGATGTCTTCAGCTTGATTAATGACAGGAAAGTGTAAAGCAAGGATGATTAATGGATAAACTGGTTGAGAGTTCAGGTTAATACTGTCTGGCACGTATATGTAACACTGTATTAAGGAGTGAAGGCCTTCTTGCATCACTTTTTTCCTCTTTGAATTTATTGTAGCTTAAAGCAAATCTAGTAAATGAAATATTTAAACTAAACAAGAGTCCTCCGGTAATATATAATGGCGACATATTCAGGTCATTACCAGTGGTAGCCCCCAGGTTGGGGTTTAATTTTACGTTTTGAATTTTGTAGGTTTGCCAATCACTATGATATTTACATACTAAGTCTCGTTTCAAGGACCCAATAATTATACCGGATATGTATTTGTAGTTGAACATCTTCCCCATTTCATTAATCCTGTAGGTACTGTACGTTTCGTATCACAAAAGCCTGTGCTAACTACATTGGTGTCCAAGTCATGCGCAACTCTAGTATTGGCTCTGTCATGAATGAATAAGATATGGTTATTGTAATAACTGGTTCATACGAGTATCGCAATGTCTAATGCCTTGTTCTAACTTTTTAAATTTGTTAAAGGATATAAAATGAAGATAACATCCTATATTTAGTTGATTAAAAATGGTAATTACCATAAGAAATAAATCTGTCTCATTTATAGCATGGGTATTCTGAATTCATACATGCATAAATAATTTTTACCGAAGATAAATTACTACGTGTGAGTCTGTTTTCCATAAGAAACGTTCAACACCACCATAGTAAGTTCTTCATAGATATATAAAGACATGGCCATCCATACATGTCTCCTTGTTATCCTGGAGTTTATAATATCGTACCACTGAGCTATTAACTTTTTAGTGGCTGTTCCAAATGAGCGAATTATAATTTTAATATTGTAATATAAATGATATAACACATAAGCCATTGTTAAAAGAAAAAGCACTTCGAACTCCCACAATATGACTAGTTCTTAACGGTCAAACCTTTCTTCGACTTAAAAGTACACAGTCCATCATATCTTCCGTTTTGGGTTTATGCTGCGAAACAATATTCGGGACGAGTGCGAGATGAAATTTCATATTTGGTGATATTTTTGGTGTGATTTGGAAATGCAACAAAGTCTAAATAGAAAAGATGGAAATATACTTCGTAAAAGAGTAACATTTCTGAAAGTATTAATGTATACTGAAGTTTCCAGTTTGTCTATCGATACATATACGTGAAGTGTTCGTCAAGTCTTATTGACTATTTGCAATATATTATCTAGTAACGTCATTAACTCTCCTTATTGCAAACATTCCAGTTGCAATTATACACGATAATAATACCTAAATCGATGTCCCTCGTTGCGCCATTACACTTCAATACTGTTCAAATAAATTTATATAGGGGATCATCCCCCAGGGAAATTAATATACCGTTTTTGAAACGATTAAGATTAAAATATATTCTGTCATTGACACCAGAACCACTAGATGAGACCATGACAGCCTTTTGTAAAGAGAATGACATTAAGATGAAACATATAGTATGTAATGATAAACCTCCGAAGGATAAGACGAAGAAAGTTAAGAGAAAGAAAAAACCAGTGCCAATAGAATATGACGTTGTCATCGAATGTGTTGCGTTCTTAGTAGACAGGAGAAACTATCCTATATATATGCATTGTCACAATGGAGAGCTGATTACATCTCTGGTGGTAGCCTGTCTCAGAAAGTTCTCATATTGGAGTACAGTTTCAATCCTTAATGAATTTTTAATATATAATTCTAGCATAAATGTACATGAAAGAAGTTTTATTGAACATTTTAATTTAGAAGTGGATATACAGGGTCTCAAACCAAAAGATAAAGTTCCATGGGTATCAGGACAGTTTATTACCAAGACTTCTAAGAGTAAAAACAAAAAAAAAGATGTAACTAAAGCAGAAGTTATCACTACAATGAGTAATAGTATACCTAATGCCCTCCCGAAATTAAAATTCCATAGTATATAAACCTGTTTGTATGAATCTACAGACTTCTATATTGAAATTAATATATTCAGCACTATTTATAGATCATTAGTCCCCTTCTTAAAACAATAATCATGTTTCTTATGTTTATCGTAGGTTTTTTTTTTTGTTATTATTTTCTTAATTACTCACATCAACACAATTCTATAGAATTTTTCAGCTATTAAGGGAGGAAATTAAAGAACAATAAAAGACCTCATTAATATACATAAAAGATCAAGTACGTATATATGTAACATTCAAATGTCTTCTTTATTCGATGTAATACAGATCACATCTAATACATTAAATTCTAATGACGCTATCTCAAATATTCTAGCTCTCATATCGCAGTCTTATTGTTTAGACTCAACGACTTTTAAATGTGTCTTAGCTTTGCTTAATTTATCAGATTATGAAGTTCTTCTGAGGGAAAGGAGTGTGAAACACAGATGTGCATATCCCCTATGTTCGAAAGAAATTTCAGAGGCATTATCGAGAAATCATTTGTCTAACTATTGTGGTGATTATCATTTTGATTGTTCTCAATTTGTCATCACTCAACTAGGTCAATTTCCAAGATGTGGGATAGAGTTATGGAAAAGACTACTTTCTGAAGAAGAGAGAAATCCAGGTAGAATGATCCTCTTTGAGGAGTTGCTTCAAGATAAAGTTGTTGAAAATGATATCAATTCATTGACCACTGATATGAATATATTTAGGTTGATCTGAATGTACATAAAATATAAATAACTAAGGATTTTTTTTAATAAAAAAAGACAAAAAGAACTTTTATTCTAATTTTATATCCTTGTTTGTTATGTACTATAAAAGCAGCTTTTCAGGCAAGTCAAAATTTGTTATTTTCCAAAATTGAATACAAATTATGACCTTCTTCAAAAGTACAAGCGTTGGGCACATAATTTTTCAGCATGTTGTTAAATCTTTCCTTACGTTTCAAATGCATACTTGCCGTTTTCTCTTTATAATATTCCACATGTCCATCCTTTAATAAAATCTCTTTCTTGAACTTAGCAAAGGATGCAGCCCTTTCGTGTAAACTTTTATTCAGTTCAGAAATAACCTTACCTATTGGTGATAGCCATGAGATAATTGTGACTGGCATCCCATCTTTATATTGTAAATTTTCTAATACGACAGTAGAGCTCACCAATCTCTTTGTTTTCTCTATCTTGTCTACTTTTGATAAAACTTCATTAACGCTGTTAAAACTTGGAAGGTTTCCGTTGGCAAGATACTCTTCCCACACTGCCTCTGAAAGAGCCCATTGAGCATTTAATTCGCATGCAGCTATACCATCAAGAACATCTTGGTTTTCTTTCTTAGCTGATGAAATAAGGAAGCTTAATTTTCTTGATTGAGCCTTTTGTTTATTTACAGGTGATCTGACAAACCAGATTGTGCTTGGACCAGCCTTTGTATAACTGAGATATACTTCAGGTATTCCCTTATCTAATTGTTTTTGGATTCGATCTATTTTATTTTTAGAATACCAGTCAAGAGCTATTGGTAATAAAAGCTTTCTCTTAATCTTCTTGGATAGTTGACCAGGTAATAGATGCTCAGATTGTTTGATCTTGATATATTTATCTAGAATATTAGACTGCGCCAGAAGCTTTGGATCTTGCTGTGGTTGCTTCATATTTGTTTTGATAGCATTGATTTGGGATTTGATTATTCTTGAATTAGGATCCATTTTAGTTTCTGTTATGAATTTATTAACTTGATTATAATCTCCTTCCTTTATAGCACAATTTAATGACTCCAACTTTAGTAGTAGACTATACACACTCCAACTTGATTTATTATTTTTATTATTTGTTATTCTTTCTTTCACCTTGTTGATAATCTGATTTCTAAATAAAACAGAATTTATGTTTCCTGTCGTAGTTCTTAAAGTGTGGCGATATAATTTAAGAACATAGTGGCGATGGTCCCTCAGTAGACTAAAGTGCGTCGACATCTAATCTCATGTATTTATTGGTGGATTGAACTATACCACTATTAATCTATACCTGATGATCTATTCTACTCAGAATCATTATATGTGTATATGTATATCTTTTTTCACCATTGAAAAATAAGAAATAAATCGATAAGCGAGCTTATTTTTTTGGCCATAGTAAGTAAGTCATCGAAAATTTAAGATGTTTGATAATAACAATCTTATGTTAACTCGAGCTACAAAGCCACACATATACGTAATAAGAGTAATATATGACGTAAAGATTTTTTTTCCGTAACATGATACATCTATTTGAACGTCTTTCTTTTTATTCTAACCAATTCCAGATGATTTGGGTTGGTAAAATTAGAATAAGGCAATATAGGTCCATATATATTATGACTTATAACTACTAAAATTCTGAGTAGTAATCATATTCCATGCAATTTCCGATATTGTATAAAGTTTTTATTCCTGAGCAAGACAATTTTAGTCGTAATCTTCTGTTTTAATATGTGAATACTTTATGTATAAATAATTAGGGAACATATAAAAGAAAAGAAAATAATTATTTATTGTTTTCCAAATATGATAATTTATATAAATTCAGATCCTTAATAAATATGTACGTTTCTAAATGAGTCGAGTAATGGAATCCATCTTGAGGTAAATGTTTTGTGATTATGTTGGTTGTGTGGATGCTACTATATAATTGCTCAGTTAAGTTTTAGTTACCTAATATACTTTAATTAATATTATCTGTCACCTATGTTTTTCTCAGTGATTTAGATAGTCTATATTTAAATCTTTATGAAAATTAAAAAGGCCTAGTAAAGGTAGTTATCTTCTATACGATGTAAGGCACGTAACTACTCCTAAAATTGCAAATCACAATCGTACGGGAATATCATGTCAGATTTTACATATGCTAGCAAAAGCAAATATAAAATACATTCTTTGCCCTGATTAAGAAATCCGTTAGTTGAAGAGAATACTGTTACGGTTTGCGATTACGATATAGCTATTTAATGGTATACCAAGGAATTTAACTAGATTTGAAAACACCAAACACCCATTAGAAATCACCCACGAATATTATAGTTTATTACGGAAGCTCTTTAAGTTGTTGTTCACTATTCGGAAAGGTTGATCACAAGGTTGAAGGATGTTTTATAGAGTTTCATCTTGAAAGGACGACTGATCGTTTTATCTTTAGGCACTCTGTACTCAGTGTATGGACCATATACAGAGTTGATAGCTCATGAATGTTTAAAACTTACAGAATTGAGAAATTATTTTCTACAAATTCGGATAGGCAGTATAATAGTCCTTTTGTGTATCTAGGCAACTTGGCCGAGTGGTTAAGGCGAAAGATTAGAAATCTTTTGGGCTCTGCCCGCGCAGGTTCGAGTCCTGCAGTTGTCGTTACTTTTTACCAATTGCAACCCTTCTCTTTTTTTACTGATGTTCTCGAGGATGTTTTGTTTCTAAACCTGTTCTCTTGCAAGAAATGAAGAATATTTGACCAATTTCTTGAGTCTTTTGTTTCTTCTTTACAATTGTCATATATCTTATTTGTCAAAATACTCTTCAAAATCAATTAAGACCTTCTTTTCCTTTCAAAACTGAATCATTATTGAAAAGATATAGGATGAAAGACGCTAAAGAGCCAGCTAATTTAAAAATCAACGACCTGTCAATATTGAAATGTTATTTTTGTAGCGCCATAATGCTGTCGTGCGCAATATTCTGAGAGATCCACTAGGTTTTAATATATTCTATTTTTTTCTCCGTCGATTTTTTAGGATCTCACAGGACGCGTTAGTAAATGAGATTTCAAAAGAAGAAAAAAAAGGTGAAGCTTAGCGATGAGCTAGATTTATTACCAACAAATGTGACATAAAATATAAACTGTTTAGCAAACAAGCTAGGTATCAAACCCACCGGATTAAAAAAGACAAAATGGGTTGTTTAGGAATGTCGAGACTCACTAAGAATTCTTTTTATTCGCTAGGTGAAAATGAATTGTTATTATACGATGTAAAGAAAAAGGTATCGGAAAAAATCAAACTCTCTTCTCTTTTGCCTTGCAATTGCTATACAATGTTGAAAGCAAGAAAGACATAGTAATTTATAGTTATATGTCAAAAAAAAAAAAAAAAAA